CCCAGCCCGTCGATGAGTCTTTGCTATTGCGCGTCCAAAGCAGGACCATGCGCAACACCCGCAGCTCACGTGTTCCCGAGAATCAATCTCGGGCCCGGACGTGCTCATCGGTCGAGCTGCATATACCTACCAACAAAAGCAGGCGACATACACACACACACACACACACAGAAGCCGCGGGCCATGCTCCGTAGAATCTCCGTAGAATCTCCGCAAACTCCGTAAAACAAGGCTGAGTCCTAAAAAAATTAACTTTTCGACGACAAATTAGGTCCCGGGATATTTTATCATAAGGAAAGCTGTCAAAAAAATGATGGCCATGGAAGCGGAGTAGCTTGCTATATAACTTCCCCACTGTGGCTCGCATCGCTTTCGAAAGCCAACGATAGACGCACACTCATCAGCTTCTGACTTTAGAACGCAAGGCACCACGCTCATGCCAGTAAAATAAAAGCAAATCGATCAAGTTCGAGAATCAAAGCGCAGCAGTCGGGTCGATGGCTCTCATTTTCCATCCATCCAAGTAGAGGCCTTCGAGCAATATAGAAAAAGCAGGCAGGTAATACATACGGGAACAGTAAGCGAGTACCTCGCTCGGTGATATGTTAGAAAAAGCGCCAGTAAATCGCTGCGAGTCAGCGCCATTCTTTATGAATTGCATGGAGAGCCCCCAGACGGGCCCAGAATGCATGGCGCCACAGTTGTGACGAACTTCGCACACGGTTGGGGATCAAGATCAACACGAATGCCACAACAAAGCCACGGCACCCCGGTGAGCTATCAGCTTAACCAGCCCGCAGCATACCATACGCATGCCGTACGCATAAAATAAATGCCAGAAGCATCCAAATGACACGACGCCAAATAAGGCCGCACAATCAAAGGGGGAGCCGTCTCACATCAGCGCGCAGAATTTGCATCATCTGGCTAACGCGTCTAGCATTGCGCGCGTGTTCTCTTGCATTTTTTGCAGCTAGCGACGCCATCGGTGTCGACAGTTCAGCTGATGCACTGCGCGCGACATTAGAGGAGCTGGGGAAACCGGACAAAAAAGCAAAACAAAGAAAGCCACAAGACGCGTCAGAGTTGCGTGCTTCATTGTTATGCCATCGAGGTCAGGCCTGCTCTCTCTTTTGCTCTCTATGCACAGAGTTCAAATGTTCCGCGTTTTCTTCTGCTTTCTTGTCATGTCTTTGCTGCAAGTCATGCCATCAGCGTGCTTCTTCCGGGGCAAAAGATGTCGCACATGCGCCGGCGCCAGCTGAACGGGAACGACGACGGAGACACTTGCGGCAAGTTTCTTTTTGGAATTGGAAACCAAAGAAAACAAAACACCAGCCCAGCAATGCGGCTGGGACGATCTTCACGGGCGCGAGCACTGTCCACGCATGAGCATGAAGCACGGGAACACTATGGAAAATGGGCACTACTGCGCTACCATCAAGATCAACCACAACGCGCCAAGACTTTTGCTGCTTCGTCAGTGTTAACGTATAAGATTCTCACCGCATCGATCTACGCCTAACTCGCGAGCCAGCGAGGCCGTGCTTCTTAAGCACTCGCTTCGCTGATAGCAATCCTAAAACCAGCGGAACCAACCAAGTCGCTCGCCTTGGACTATGCTACTGCTTTAGCCGCTGCGAGATTCAATAAGCCGCGGCCACCAGCTCAAAGCGATAAGCGCTGCGCTTGTTTTACGGTAGAAGGCAGAAGCCTTGCAGCAGTGCAGCACTTTGGCCCCCCTTCAGGCTACCCCGTACGTTGCGCGGTTTTTGTATCGTGGAGAAGCATGGACAAGCTTCCCCGCGACGGTTTCGCCAATATCTGAAACAGCGCAGCCCGCTATAATCTCAATTCCTTTGGCGCAAGCCCGTCAAAGTGCTGGCTTATCGAATCCAGGCAGTCCGTACGTGCTACAAGTTTGCTCTCTATGAATTCGCTAGCCAAGTCCTCCCCTTTAAGTGTTCCCTCTGTGTGAGGTGTTTTAGCAAGTTCTCTCCCGATCGTGGGGCGGTCGCTGTTTTTGTTTTTCTGATTCGCTCGGCCTCCAAGATTGTTCCAATTCTTGCGGCCAGCAGGCTCTTCAAGGTTTTCACTGCATTGGACAAGCAACACTGTGGCAGGAGTTAGTCTGGGCCTCTCGCGTATACTGGTCAACATTTTCGAGCGGGTGCGTTGTTTCAATCTGGTGTGAATCAATTATCTTGCACGCAAGAGCCTGCATCTCCTTCAAAAATGTCGCACGCAGCAACTGTCTGCAGCAGCACCAGACCCGTCGGGTTCTGAACGTAGTGGCCTTTCTTCTGCTGAGTAGCAGTTTTCAACTTTTTCAGCAGTATACAATACTGCTGAGGCTTCGGCTATTGCGTGGCTACTGCATGACTGACCGAAGACGCGGCGCATATCTCTCACGCGCGTCGCGTGCAGTCAGGTCGCGTCGCCTGGGTTCTTTTCAGTTGATTCGTGCGAAGGCTCCTTGCTCTGACGCGCGCAGCCCTTTGCTTGGCGATACTTTCACGCGCGGCGCTTGTCGTCAAAGCAGCGCACTTCTGTAAGTATTCCCTTCAGTTCGGGCCCACGTTCTTGCTGCCAATCGTTGGCGGGTAAGTCTTGCGTAATCCTTTTCGTCTCTGCAGTATTTCCCTCCTCCCTCTTCTTCCCCTTTTTCCTTAAAGTCATGCACTTTGCCAGTAAGTACATCAGAGCCCAGCGGTCTTGTTTTCTAAGTCTAGACCTTATACTTACACGAGACAGCCCGAAGCGACTTAATAAACTTAACAGCAGCGCAGGGATGTCGTCATCCCTGCGCTAGCCTGTGATACTTTGAACTATGTATGTTATTGAACCCGTTGCTAGTACTGGTTCATTGTATATACTCATACATACTTACATCGTCATTTTTTCAGAGACTTTTCTTAAACATTGTGGATGTGGTGGTTGTTGTTGTTAAAAATGTAAACTTGCTCTGGTGGCTCTACGTCTACGCGTACTGCTTCTCCCAGTTCGAAAATCAAAAATGTAGACAACTTGTTCTTCTTCAACTTGTTGCGTCCTCCGCTGCGAGTTCGATTGCAGCGTACTCGGCCAAGCGGGCTATCTTCGTTGCGAAAGGCCATGTGATCTTATCCAGCGTGTCCTGTGTGGTGTGGCCAAACTGATCTTCGGCATACAGGTTGTCCCGCTCGATCAAGAGCACTGCGGGAAAACCAGCATTGAGCATCGATATGTGGTCGGAGCCAAACCCGTGATAGTTCACGTTAAGGTCGAGCTTCGAGGCCTGCGGAATCAGCCGTTCCGATAGCTCGCCGAGCAAGTTGATCAAGTGCTGCTGTGGAGGACCAGTTTTACTTGAAGATGTCTTCGTTCCTGCATGGGACTTGGAGAACCTGCTAGTCGATGTGCCATTTGCTTTACTATTTTCTACTTCCTCTTTTGTAGTTTCGGACGTCGAAGAAGATCTTTTTCTTTTCTCCTGCTCTAGCACGCGGCGCTTGCTCTCAACGAGAGCAGTACCTTCCGCTGTGGAAGGACGTTCGCCCGTTGTCTCGAATATGAAGCCGTTTGGGCCACTAGCGTTCTTTTGATACCCAACCTGCATTTAGAGAGCAGTTATCTTAGTTCTCGGACACAGGAGCAGCTCCTGCTGTAGCGCAAATCAACGTTAAGTCGTTTTATTCTTGCTGTAAAAATAATCCATAAAATTAGAATAAACTACATTCTAAAAACTTGTCGTTGTCGAGATCAACAAGAGCACATTACTAGCACTAGGTAGCCATCAAAATTTCTTTTTGTTTGATGATTAATAGAATACAACTTCCCGCACCAGGAACAGGATGAATGTTAAACACGAAAGTAGAACAAGCAGAAGTACCTGATCCATGATCAGCGCTTGCTTTACGGCTATTCCGTCATCCTTCAATTTCTGCGCAAAAGCAGCACTGCCGTAGAGCCCTTCTTCCTCCGCAGAGAAGGCGACAAAATAAATCGGAAAACGCTGCTGCATTGATGCGTTTGCTTGCTGTTCGTGAAAAAATTGGGCTGCCTTCTTTGCTGCCAACATCATCGCCACTGTTCCACTGGCATTGTCGTCCGCACCCGGTGCTACGCTTCCGAAGGGCCGACTGTCGTAGTGCGCACCAACCACAACTACGGGCTTGTTCGCTTGTGGATGCAAAACGGCAACCACATTCTTACATTGAGACGTCTGCCCACAACTGAAGGATTGCTCGCTTACCTGAAAACGAAAAGTTGAAAACGTGTACGTGAAATGTCGAGTTTTATCGACATTATCTCGACGCAGATGAAGATGTTGTCGGGAACAACAATTTACCTCCTGTACTTGCTGGTTCTTGTTCAACAAGAACAATGCTACATGAAAATCAAAAAACAGACATGATGAATGACCATCACTTCAAATTCATCCCGCTTGAAATAAGGAACCAAAAACTGGGATGTAATGACGGTTCAACTTGTTCTTCATCACAACAAGTCATGTGAGTGTACAGTGAGCCCTGGTATCTCGTGGAAGTATTCCTTGATAAATTGTCGCGCTTGTCCGTTTCCTGGATCGCCGATGTATCTACTACTTTGATTTTCGACAAAGTTGGTCAGGAGTTGCTTGTACTCCGTCTCCGCGAGGTCTGGAATTCGCTGCAACGAAGGTTGCACTGTCGTCAGAGTTTCGGTAGAGAAGAATGACTCAAGTTGCTCCGTTGGCTGGCGCTTAGAAGCGAGGAACCGCGCTGCGTCTTGTGAAATTTTTTTTAGCTGCCCACCAGCAGTCCCGGCTACCCGGCGTCCCATCCTTCTAGAGGCCGATCGCGACGTGAATTTTTTGCTAGTATCCTGCTTCTGCTCCCGCTGAAGCAACACGCCACCCCGTCGATCAACATGAGAAGATGAAGAGACCTCTTCTACAACATCTCCATCATGATGATGGTTTTTCTCGTCACGAGAAGATGAAGAGACATATACAGCATCTTCATCATGATGGTCTTCCTCGTCTATTCTTGGTGCTGCTGCAACTGCGCCTGCAAGTCCTCTCTCTTCAAGATGGTCAAGCCGCTTGGCGCGCTCCTGGTTGTCCGCCTCAGCTTCCTTCGATGACGTTGGACGTGTTCCTCTCAGCGGGCTCCTGATAACTTCTACTTGTTGGTTTGTTGATGTTTTCCCGTGCTCCTCAAACTCATTCAGGTGCTGTACTTTCGCTGTAGTTCCTTGTCCTTCGGGATCGGGATGTAGATTACTTGATGGCGATAGTGTCTGTGCAGCCGACGCTATTTTCCTCTCCATGCCTTTCTTGGCCACGTCGGTGGTGCGCGCAGCTACACCGTCAGCAAGTACAAGCGAGGGCGCACCCGCGCATGATGCAAGGACGAGCGTGGCGCTGGCTTTCAAACCCGTCCTCCTTCGCCGCGGTCGTTCATGTGCGCCCCCAAGCAAAATAGGAATCCTATTTGCAGTCGGCGGTTCATCTTTGGATCCCCCTCGTCGCATCGTCCAGGCGCCGGCGCGTGGTTGCTCCGACAAAGAGGTCATGAAGATTATAGCAACAGTTTCGGTTAGAAATATCGTTATAATTGTGCTAACGCGACGTTTACTTTTTTTGGTCCATTTCTGGCATAGTTTTTGGTTTACTCTACTCTACTTCAATTCCATTTCTATTCCTTGTTTGTTCTCCTCATTGTCATTTTTTGTCTTTTCAGTGAAGAGCTGATGCGTTCTTTGTACCGACAAAGCAGTTTTTGTCAGTTGATTCGAGCCCATGGTTTTAGCCGAGACGAATCTTGGATTGCACGGACACAGAAGAGCAGCAACCGAAATGAAGCTTGAAATCACCAGCCCTAGAACGAATTTTCAGCATCAAACAGATAATGGACCTCGAGGGGGACTTCGTACACCTACACGAACAGAAACAGAATATTGAATACCAGTCCTTGCTGATGCACACGCACTCGCACACGCTATAACGACACCGACGCTAGCACTAGTGACAGAAATATCGACGAACAACAGGCGGTACTGGAGGGGCGAAGGTGGAAGGCCAAGTTCAGACTAAAGTCATTTTGCAGATTGCCTGCAGTTGCAGTAACCGTCTAAGCATGTTCTTTGTTCATGTTTTTTCCACAAACTTCTGCCACTCGGTAAGGATAATAAGATTCACGACAGGATCAAAATCAACATAGTATGCCTCGTTTTTCTGCGGAATGATCGGATTCTTTGAATGAAAAAGGGTGCGTTGAATCAAACAATTCGGCGTTTCGCATCGTGCTCTCGTGTTAATGTGTAACAGAGCGTTGCTTTGCATTTTGCTGCATTTGCGATTCTTGATGTGAAAGTGGAAACCAACTTGCTCAAAAGACATTACTACATTTGATTTCTTCTGATGCTCGGAGAAGGAGCAAAAAGTAAAGATACAACGAATACCTCTAGGCTCTAGTACTACAAAGTCCTTTTGCTCGCCTGCTGCGGTAAGGGTATCCCATTACAACTCGTCAACCAACTGAATTCTCAAGGTTATTAATCGCCGCGCGTGGTCGAGCTGCCCCCGGCATAGTACCAACCTCAGGCGTTGAGAATGCGGTACTTGTTGAGGGGAACATGAAAGGAAACAAACCAGGATCCACTGCTGTAGCTGACGGACTCAAAATTGGGATGAAATTATGCGAGCTAACATGTTCTCAAGCAGCAGCACCGCCACCGCCAGGACCACTCAATATTGGATGTCCGACCGAGGATGGTGACGGCAGTAGTGATAAAGGCGCAGGAGGTGGTGGCAACTGCATGAAATCAAAGTCATCGGACAGCGTTGGGGAGATCGTTTCTCTGCGAGCATGTCCACCACCACCAGGACTCAAGGCGGCCGTTGTTGGTGCTAATGGGTCATCAATCGACTGTGATCGTGGTCTTGAAGAAGATGAATACTGCTCGCCGAGAAATTGACTCATTGCGTCCTGCTCTCGATATTCACTCCTCGACGAATTGTAGCTTCTCGCATTCGTTGTTCCGTAGTTATTTGCCATACTGCTTGATGAACTTGATTGAGCTCCAGGAGCTCGGCTAGGTGTATAACCGTCGTCCCTCCTAGTAGAACTTGCTCCGTCAGATCCCCCTTTGCCTCCGGCAAAGTGCACTAAGTCCTCAGATGTAAGATGCAGTATTTCTGAATTTTTTGCACTAGTTGAGCAGGAAGATGAGCCTATTCTTCTTGTCCCCCCTCCACCTCCTACACTTTCTACAAGGTCATTGGTAAGACCGCGGCTCGGAATGTCGTCCTGGTGTCGGGTTCCTGGTGTCGTAGCATCACCTGTGTACGAAGTGTACGCGTGTATTCCGTCCCCACGCTCTAACAGCGTGAGCGGCTTTCCACCACGTGGTCGGGCGGTCGTGCTGCGAGTACCTCTGGGAGATGACAGCGATGCGACTAGGTAACCTGCTGGCCCTGGCAGCGCGCTGGCCCAATGCGTCATCTCGACAGAATTGCTGTCTTCGTCGTCACTGCCAATAGCCTTCTGGACTCGCTGCGTGTCAACGTATATCTTCAGAACCATGTAGAAAACGACAAGAATGACCAAAAAAACAGCGATCTGGCGTAAGCCGTCAAACGCACTGGGAATACTCCCTCGGTCGTAGTACTCTCGTCCTGCTTTACCAAGAAGGCTGTGCTCCTGTTTGCCACGCGGACCCGCTCCATCTGCAGCGGCGCTTGCAGTCGTGCTCGCAGATGGCGTTGATGTTGTCAGAATTAGAACTAGAATGAAATGATGCCCAACTGTACTAACCCCGTACTAACTTGAAGTTGAACTATCTAAGACTAAGTGTAGGTCAGAATTAGAACTAGAAATAGAATCACCTGAAAATGAGGTCTTCAAACTTCAAAAATGATAAAGATGAAGGTCTACTTACTAGTACTATCTGGATCTTCTTCATATTCTGTTCGTACTCTGCCTCTCCATCTATCTAAAATATGTTTATGCTAAGCTTCACCAAAATGGCCTTAACAGTAGGTTGCGCCGTGCCGTCATGTCCGGGCTTGCTGTGGCGATTACACTTGAGAGTCCGCCAACAACTGAGCCGGAGCTTGTTTCCAGTCCGGGGACTAGTGAATCCATACGTTGTTTCCAAATGACCTCGTCGCCGTCGAGATAGATTCGAAAATCTTGCATGCGCTCCGATGGTTCGCGCCTCCAAGTCACTATGTGGAAGTCACCAACTGGATTTTCGACCAAATGTGGCTTTGGCTGGACCACTTGCGGACGGCCCACAGCAAGGACTGAGTACTCCGTCTTTACTGCGTTAGCGCGGACTACTCGACTCAAAGGGAAAACTATGTTCAGATTCACCTTGTTTAGAGGTGCCGCGTTGGTTTCCGGAGTCGACGAGGCAACGCCCGCCCCTACTGCTATAGTTGGGGGCGACCTCGTCTCTCTACTGACCATGCCGGGGCTCATCACTGTTCCTGCAGAGGACGAAGATGCTGGAATCTGCTGCTGTAAACCTCCAGGGGATGATGTAGGCGATCCTGTGGCAAACAGCAACCGTGCTTGGAAAGAGAAGACTCCACACTCATCAGGGAAGTTTGACTCCCACCAAAAAAACCAAGAAAGTCGCAAGACCTCGTCTAGCTCCACGACTAGGACACGAGCCATGTCAAGACCTGGTATGCTGTCGTCGCTCTCCTGCACTGCCCACCTTGCCGTGCTTCCCAATCCTGCCTCAAGACTCGGCGAACCGCTCAAATAGCTATGCACAATGCGCAGTTGAACGTAAATTTTTTTTCCTCTAGAGGTTTCAGACGATGACCTCAACAAGCCGCTACTGGAGGATGAGGAGGAGCTAGTAGCTATTTGCTGCTCCGCGATGCTGCGCCACCGAGCAAGATCCTGTTCCGAAAACTCCAGCTTCAAACGTCGCACTGCTGTTGTACCTGAAAGCGTTATCACCTTCCCCTCCAGATCTCGCCACGGAACTTTCGTCGGAAAGTCGCTTTGCAGTTTTCTCCGCTCGGTGTCACGCATTAGTACAGCTTCAGGTGTTCTGCCATTCGAGTCAAAGAGGGCTTCAGCCAAAGCCGTGGAAGGCAGCAAGGCCGCGCCCTCCTTGTGTTCCGGCAAAGATGAGAACACACTATCGCCAATCTGCTCTGCTCCATTTATTCTTGTCGTCGCTTTCTCCAGTAGCGCAGCACCCCTTGAGCCCACAGGGCAAGCCGCGGGAGCGCTCTGCACAGCACTCAATAGCAGCCCTCCTCCGGGTTTTGGTGCCTCTGCAGCTAATGACGAAGATGAAGATGTAGAGACTGCACTCAGCGCCAAGAAAAAGTGAAACCTCCGACATGCTGAGAGACCGCGCACACGGTGTATTCGGTGAAACGCTAGCCAGAGTTTTTGCTTCGGCTGCAATCCTTCATACACTTTGCTGTCCCTGCTGCTCCACAGCGGCACTAGCGGAATTCCATTTGATTCCACACGAAAGCCGACCTCCGCACCGTCTTGAAAGTCGCCTCCTAGTTTCAGCTGGAACGAGTACGCTTCAACTTTGGCCAGTCCTCCTCCATCTGACATACCTGACTGTGGTGAAAACCATTGGCCCGTTTGCAACGAGTCTGGTAGTTGCACAAACACTTTCTTTCTCCCGTCATGCAGGTCGGTCAACAACACATCCGCGTGAAAAAGCGGGGGCGAAGGGAAGTGCTCTGCTCGCAGAGGACCATGCAGGGGCGCAGAGCCGCCATGGGATGAGAAAAAGTCCATCGGCAGCAGTGTTGCTGCTTGGAAATGGCATTTGGATCGAGGGTGCAGATCACGTGCCGCGGACACGTCAATCAATGGCATCACACCCACATTGGCTCCCGCCTCTTTGCTGGCGCTAGAAGCCACTAGTGCCTGTCCGGTTTGCGATGGGGGCATGACGTTGCTATTCCGAAACGGATCGGCCGCGTTTGCTCCCCCTAGTGGTGCTGCAAGGGCTGCTAGCCGTAGTTCGTCTCCCAAGGGCACGATTCGGATCTCCATGTGTCCAAGCATCTGACCGGCACTTGTCGACGAGAGACTCGCTAATGACGCTGTCGAAGCCTCAACGTCAGCTGGCAGATTCCTCGGTGCCTCAGACAATGTCAGTCGAACTTTGTACTGCGCCGGACCTGGCAACTCCAGATTGAGATTTGCGTTGCTCCCGTGTGCCTCCGCCATCCAAACGCCTTCAAGAGTCACTAAACCCAATTTCGTCGCGTAGCGCGCAAAATTCCTCGCCCAGAACGACAGTTTGACGACTGACGGTCCTGCAACTTCGATGTCCCACGCTTGTGCGAAATGCTCGCGTTCCGAGTCGACCAGTGCGTCCTTGCTATCGAAGATGGAGGAGCTCACGCAAGACATGATTAGGCTATCGGCAGCATCATTTGACGCATCGCTCGTTACCCCGATTGATGAACCGCCCGCAACATTATAAGGAGGTGGAGCCGACGATGACCTCCCTCGTCTGCTATTTCCGATAAGTTGTGCCCACTGCTGTGCCATCAGTGGTTGCCACAGATTCATTACCGCAAGCGACGACGGGCACGCATACGGTTCAACGTTGTCGTCCTCATGTCCGGCTGCGATGCCTATCGTGAGCAGAAAAGGCTGCTCCATACAGGCTGCAGCCGTCTCGCTAGGAGAGCAGTCGAAAAATATCTTCAACTTCGTGTCGCTATTGTCTTTTAAGTGCAGAAAAACGTGCGGCATGAACTCTTGCACTGCGTTCGTGTCCGGGCTCATAATCATCAGTTTTCCGAATTTCAAATTTATAGGCTCGCTCTGTAAACGAATAGACCGCGCAAACGACTTGGTGATCGTCAGGGTACTCCCCGTATGCTTCACATGCAGTGGCACCGAAAATGTCTGAAGAAAATGTTTCTAGTGAAAATGAGCAATGCAAGCAAGCTAAATGTTTTGCTCTTCGCGCGTTGGATTTGGCAGTACTTTAAACCACCTACCACGCAGAGAAAGTGAAACTGAAGAAAGGACGATTGAAGAAAATATAAATTTTGATGAACTATATTAGTTCATATAATTCAAGTTCATCAATAGAGGTACAGGTACTATTAACACTTTCAGTACCATTTCCTTGTAACGATCAGCGTGCACCCGGTACCCCTCTAGTTTCTCGATAGCAAAGAGTTCAGGATATGCTGCGACTTCTTGGCGCCATGCGTCGAGAGGTCCTCCGGGCTCTGCCACAACCGTCAATGCCGCGTCTAAACAGTAAGCTCCACTAACGACGACATCGCCAAAGCCGTCAGGTGGTTTTCTCAGGATCTGTGGCACAGTCGGTGTTCGCAGCACGAAGTAGTAAGTGCCCTCAGGAAGCGCCTCGTCCGTAAAGAGAAGTCGCCTTCCACGTATGCGCTTGGCGCGATCAAATTCCTGCCCGTTTTCGTCTTCGATGATCTGATAGAAAGGTTAATCGACGATGCAATTTCGGCATCACCACTATGATGAGGTTGAGGAGAAGGACTCCTGCAATGTCAAAAATACTACTAGAACTAAGCTGGTTTATGGTGTTGAGTAATGTCCTCTGACTGCGCCTCCAACGAGCACTACTCTCCCTCGAAACAATTACTAGAAAACAGAAAGTCGAGTATCGTTTTCGTTGTACCATTTCCACAGGAACAATTGGTGGGTCGAGGCTCAACTCTAGCCGGAGGCGCAAGCCTTGCGGATTTTTCACGCTAAAGGTCTCGCGAAGCATGTCTTCCTGCGCAAAACCAGCGACTAGGTCGATCGAAAGGCTGGCGCGAATGATATGCCGAAGAATGTGACTGTTTGCCGTGCTGCCGTCCAATTGTTCGCCCGCCAACTCAGGCGCATTTAGGTGCGAGATGTCAACTGGGATTCCCTCTGACAAAGGCCGGATCTGCGCCAAGGCCTGTTGAATGCCCAATGAAAATTTGTTCATTTCGGTTCCTTTCGTCGGCGGTGGCGTATTGCTGGCCTGCCCGTTCATCGCACTCATCAGACTGGCCATCGTTTTTCCCGCTGCACTCCCGATCGTCACGTCGCGCCAAGGACATATTGGTAACATCTCCAACTTTGCCGCGAAAACATGCAAATTTAGGTTCAAACAGTTCGCGGAGAGACTCGCAACTTCAGGACGTAAGCGAATCCTCAATCGGCCGCCACCACTCTGCGACCACAAGGAAAACAGCTGTTCTCTTTCTGCCTGTCTGTCTCGACTTGCGGCACTAGACGAGACGACCTCTCTTCCCCCTGTCAACAATTTCCCGATACCTCCCGTGAATGGAGCACTAGTGACTGAATCTTCATCAGAACCTTTTTCATCCGCGAACGAGCCATCTGGCAAAGAGCGCTCAAAGGTTACCCGATGCCCGTCCGCGACACCATGTGCGACCAAAATGCCGTGATCCATATGTCCAGCGGGAACGTTGATGATAGCCTCTACTGGATCTCGCCCACTCCCGCCGATGTAGAAATCCCCGTCGAGGAATGCTGGACCGCCACCAGTGGTGTACGTTACGTCCACCGGCAGTTCTGGTGCCAGCAGGTTGCACTGCGGAGCCGAAAGTGCCACGTTAGCAATGTCCAAGGCTGTTGACAATGTTGGCGAGAATCACTTTAGTTACTAGATTTACACTTAGAAACTCTTGGTCTACGTTCTTCGCAAATATTCACCACGCTGCTGCGCACGCATTAATTTCATGATGCTCATGATGATCATCGACGAGAAGCTACACAAAAAGCTACAAAAAAGCGCTAGCGCGGAAAGTTCAAGTTGAAGTTCATGTAACAAGTTAGTACAATATTTTGCGCAGTATTTCTTCTCGGTTTGAACGTTCTGGAAGGGCACGTAGATGATCTGAACCATACAGGTCTCGCAACTGAGAAGCTCCATGAAGCCTTGATCGCTGTCGATCGGTGAAGCTATTGGTATGCCTACGCGCGCTTGCTTCCCCGGTGTCGTCCAGACGCCGAGTACGAGACCCGACATCAAGAAGTCGGACTGGACTCCGACACGCAAGAGTGTGTCTGCCGCTGGCTTCTCGTTCAGTGGATGCCCAATGCCGTTGAAATGGTTCCCAACCATGAAGGACTTCTTGCTGTTTCCGACTTTATGCACTAGAGTCAATGTCGAATCAACCCACTGCGGTGCGAACGACTCGCTTACTTTGCGTGCCACCTCTTCTTGCAAAAGCCCGGCCCCATCTGGACCGTTGGCGTCACATCCTCTCGCGTTGTCCCAGACCAGCATGCTTTGCGGCGATACTTGCAAACGGAGTCGCACAGCCTTGCACGTATAGAGGCCTCCGACTGGCAGAAAAGGCGTTTTAATGCGTACTACGTACATTCCCGGAGTGTTGATTTCCGCGGCAAGCATCCTCTGCCGGTTTCCAAACGGTAAGATTACCGCCTCCACAGGTGGAAAGCCATCGGCATCGATCTCAGTGACAGGGCCATCAGGCACATCGGTCTGCAATTTCACGAAATCGGCAGTAACAATTCCGACGGCACCAGATTCTGGGGCTTGGTGTTAGAGCTGGCCAAGAATACTTCTAACTAGAGGTGTCGAATCATTTCTATTGATTCGCCTTTGTCAGCACTGTTGAGTAATGGTCTTCCAAATTCGACTTGATAGTCCAACAACATGATCATGGGGAAGACGGAAAACAACATGAACATTCTAGCCTGTAATATAAGTTGCCATAAAGATACAGGCGCAACAGCGATTTTGTCTTTATATTCAGGCGGATGTAGTGCAAGGTATGCGTGATCTCGAACAGGTCGTTGATTCGTACGCTCTTGCCCACACCGTATCCCGTGCCGCCCTCCGCTGCAACGTCCGTGAAGTCGCTGGGCCAGTTGTGCGTGGCTGCGCATGTGATAGGAACATCACCAAGATAAAGCGCTGTCTGTCGCACATCGTCTAGAGCCAGATCATCCAGTGCAGCATGCGCTGCGTCGCGGCCGTCACGGGGAGGTTTGTAGAAGTCTTGGGTGAAGGCTCCGAGCCAGTGACCGCCGGCCCCATGCCAGTGCTGATTCATCTGTTCGGCGGTCTGATGTGTCCGAAGCGCCGAAAACTCGAAATAAACCTGGAAAATATAAATTAAAATTAAGATATCATCTACGAATACAGAGACATTACAGCGCACTCACCTGATCGATGTATGAATCCACATATCTTTAACCAGAACTACCGCCATCCTGACTGCAGATTCATTTGGCAGTCAGAAGTAGTTGATCTAGTACAACACGCAGTCAATACATGAAATCGTCTGCCCGCCGCTGCTACCGCATCTGTAGATGGCCCCGGCGTGTATAAGTATCGTTCTAGAGCAGCTCCCAAGCAATCAGGAAGTTGCGCTGAGCGGCTTCCTCCAGTTTTGGTCGCTGCGTGGGTGCGATCCGCACGCGCAAGTGCTGCGCCAAAAAGCTCATCTTGTATTCTGCTTGTGCTCGGTCTCGAAAGAGTGGATGTCTGCGAAACGTCTTTTGCGAAAACGACACGGCTGGCCTGACCCACATGCACGAGAATGTGCAAAGTTGCAAAATTGTCACTGTCCGAATTCTGCGTTCCCGGAAACGAGCTCACTGTTCGGTGGAGAAGCTGACCGTGCTCCACGATAGTTCCCGAGATTCCGTCGACGTGATTCTCGCTCCACGGCATGTCTTTGCCACGCAGCAAGGCGAGTCGGTAGTGCACACCCGGCACTAGACTCTCGATCTTTGCGCGCAAGATGGTAACACCAGTCGCGAGTTCCCAATTCACGTAGTGCAAACTCATCCAGCTCAACTGCTTCAGGTCCTTGACGCGATTGCGGAGACCGCTTTTACGAAAAAATGCGTCGTCGGCTAGATGCGCAATGTCCCAAAAATAATAACCTCGCAGTGTGTGGGGCTCACTACTCTTGTTGGCTCCTGCGTTAGGATTCGGGACTCCCCCAGATGAGCTACTACTTGACGAGCTGGGTTCATCACCTACCCCCGTCTCTCTGGGAGCGCCATTACCCCTGTCGAACTGCAGCACGTTCATGCCCTGTCCAACAATGTCCTCGTCAACATTGTCCAGCAGTGCACGCGCTTGACTAACGGCGCCACCCGTGTACGCGTTGCAAAATTGAGAAGTTCCGTCCAAGTACGTGTGCAGATGGCTGTTTGGGACAACAGGATTAACAAATAAACTAGTACTGAAAGTTTTTTTTGTCCCTGCTCCAACCAGTGCGAGACCGGGCAAACCCGCTCCGGCAGAAGCACTACTACCAGTATCAGCGGCTAACGACCAACAGCGTAGGTCAAAACGAATCGGAATGCACTCAACTCCACTGTTCCATCGATACACTTGTGCGGGAGGCTGAAACTCTAATCGAGTTATGCTTCCACCCGATGGCAGTTTGTTGTCCTGCTGCAACAGCAAGTCTATCAATTCGCACCTCCTATAGGGTCCGTTGGCACCAAGTTCGAACTCACAATTTACCTGATCTGATGCTGACGTTGCTGACGAACCGCCACCTCCACTAGTGCTAGTAGAGGACGCTTGCACCCCTTCCTGCAAAGTTTTTCCAGCAAACTTCGCGAAAAACCAGGGAAGCTGGTCCGTTCCCTCAACAATGACATTGCAGCGCGTTTCTACGTTGTTGTTGACCTTGCGAATGTCCACACGGGAGTTCATGTCTGGCGAAAATCCGAAGAGTCCGGAGTGCGAGAAGAAGCCTTGATGGTCTACAGAAGGCACTACCATCGGAAGCTCACTCCACTTGCAACCCAGAGACTCCTGCGGCACAGGATGAGTTCCGACTGCATCTCCAGCTGCAGCTACAGTTCCTTGTGCGAATGATGAAGTCGTGGCACTGTGAAACTCAGCGGCAAACGCCGCACCTCCAGTCAAACAAATCATGGTCAGCCCGGGAAAACAAGGCGATACCAGTTTCCGCAGTGTCCTTGCGGTCGGTCTAGTCGAGTACTTTGGTCCTGCAGCTGGATGTCCTTTGTAGTTGCGGTAGGGATAGGGTATTGATGAGTATTTACTGTTCTTTTTATCTTCGTAGTCGTAACAATGTCCACGTCGCTGTCGACTCTTGTTCCTTTTGTTTCTCGCCGAGCACGTCACAATTTGATGTTCTTGCATCGATGTGGGTACACAGCACCACGATGGTGCACCCGTTGGGCTGCAGCTCTGCTCCCGTGCCTTTGCAGGAGCAGTAGCACACATGGAGTGAAGGTCCGTCATTCTCTCGATCCTTTCCGGTCTCAACCGCTAATATACCAGTGACCAATGAAGACGCGCTCCGCTACAAAGTGGTTCCGCTACAAAGTGGTAGTAACGATATTCTCGAAGTAGAAAAATGCCAAAACCGGGTCTTCTATCGTTTCGCACCTCTAAGTGCTCGCTATGCTCCGAGCCTTAGATCTTGTTACTCATGTCAGGACTTCATCCTGCCAAGAAGTTGAACTTCTAGTACCGCAGTATCATTCCGCTTCTCGCTGTTCTCTCATCACCTTCGCGCCCGCAGAGATGGACGCAGCTCCGCGTTCTTCCTTGCCACGACATTCCGCTGCCGAACCATCCGACTGCATCTCCGGCGTCGCCGGTTTTGAGGTGGTGACCCAAGAAAATCTGCAGAGCCGGGAGAGTGGCGTCGACGTCCGTCTTTACTCGTCTGATTCCTCTTCCTACTAGTAGCATTGGTTTGCATTTTCGCTTTTTTGACATTTCAAAACTACTGGAAATAACACCATTGCGTTGGCACTGTCACTTAACCAAAGACAATCTACTTCTAGTGGAGGTAGGGCATATATTTCATTTACGCTTCGACATCAACACGTCCATGTCTGTGCAAAACCGGCGACCATCTAACAGAGTTACTTCCGTATCTATCTTTTTCTTTAGTGATGATAGGATGGGAATGAAGAAGATTGAATCTGTCCAGTGAGTACTTAATCAGGGGGTACGTCAATCGCAACTCGCCCCAAAAGCACACTCAATCTTTATTTTTTTGGAGTGCGTCTATTTGCTTTATTACATATTTGTAGGTTTCTTGGTCCCTCAAGCACAAGCTCAAGGTAAGAGAACAGATAACATGGCACACGCACTTTTTTAGACAACCGACACGGATACGAATCGCTGCCGCTGCGATGTGCCCACGTTCTTGAGCAGAAAAATGTCTCATACACATCCTTTTTGATGTCGCATGCAGCTCCTGGCTCAAAGGTGTGACCTACTGACGATGAGCTATTCTCGACTGACTGATTGACTGATTGACTTATGTACCCACTCGTGGGGTGTCGCGTCTCTAATTCGTTGCAAGACTGTCCATTATTTCTTCTTTCCTTTGTTGCATCTGTTTTCGTGCTTCCTCAGTATGTCAACCCTTCTTGGTCTCTGCATCAGCGTCGTTGTCTTCTCATCAAATTCAAGCTTCCACTTTTTGCATTTCATGCGTCTGATTACTGATATGCGTTTTTTCCTCATTTAGCCACTGCTCCTGCTCCTCATCTACGGAGATCTTCCGCAATCTAGCGGGTGGGCCATGCGTGTATCTTTTGGCCTTGGGTTTGTAGTAGTGCTGCCCAGGGCGCAAAATGTTTCGAAATGCGCCAACGCCAGGACTATCGCGCCCTACGTGAGAGCCTACAAGAACGCGCGCTATCTTTGCAATTCCACTCTTCTTGTGCATTTTAGCGTGCTCCTTCGTCGACCCTAGTGACGTGGAGAAGACCGCCTGGCAGCTGAGACACTTGTAGCGCTCCCTATCCTTTTCGCCTGCTCTCGTCTTAGGTCCTACCTCGTGGACCCTCCTGGATGTGGCGCCTGCCTCTTTCTCAGCCTCTTTCCTTGCTTGCGCAAACTCTTCGTTCTGCTCATCCTTCGCTAGGCATACCATGGCGCCCATCACCTCATCGACTACAGGAGGACAGTATAGGCACCCACCTTGGACATGCTCCACTAGTCGCCTGCTGATTTCCTCCCGAGTGCCAACATCTCATCCATCTACTTAGATCATCCGCCTCCCACTCGCATGCCAAGCAACATTCAGAAGCCTCAGGCCTTCTCTCTTCCCATATCTCAGCAGCTGTGGAATCCGAGTCCGCACGGAGCAGCAGCATGGCACCCTCGTCAGTCTTCGTAAGAGTGAGCACATCTGCACCCGGCAAGAGGAGCCGCTTGGTCATCTGTAGTGGCTGTCCGATATAAGGATCAATTACGTACTCCGCAGCTGCCTTGGTCCATATTCCTCCCTTTGACCATCCTCTTACCTCCTGGCCTTTGGTTCTCAGGATGACCGACGCGAACCTTGACGACATCCTTCTTCGTCTTCAGCTCAAAGCTAAGCGCAGCAACTCTACCGCCTGCAAAAGTTGCAGAGTCTGAGTCAACCTCAGCGCCCTCTTATAGCGGGCGGATCTCCAACCCATTTCCTAGAGGAAGCAGCATTGCACTAGCTTCCTCCGTGGTTTTTAGTTCGACTTCAGCCCTTTTCTCAGTAGAATCAGCTCCATAGTAGCCTGCATACAACTACCGCGCTAACGCGGAGCCCTTCCTCCTGCGCTTGTCTGCTCCAGAACTCCTAGCCTGGTCTTTCGTCAACATCCCAGCGTAGAGCGCGGGATGCTCGCCATTGCCTCTCCCTGGTGACCAGTGCCCCACGGTTCTTCGAATATAGTCTGCGCGTATAGCTGCGCGGAGCATTGCCTTTCTGTGCGCGTGCTCTTTCTCTTCCTGTTTCGTTGGCTTTCCATCGGGGCTACTAGTGCCTAGAGGAGCTAAAATATCTCGTAGTAGGCCCAATGTCATTCCGCACTTGGTCGCTAGATGCTCGACAAGCTGCCCCATCAATGAGTCGGCCTGCCTCTCCCTGGGTGGAAGTACCTTATTGCCACTGACACTCTTGATATACTCGCGTGGTCCCTCAGTATCGTCTTCCATGTTCTGCATCGCCTGCGATCGTAGTACAACCTTTACCAAGGACTTGCCTTCCGCAGTCTCACGCTTTGGCCAGCCTTCCGCAGTCTATGAACAGCGCCTCACATTTTAGCTATGCCGGATGGCATCTTAGTTTTGCATTGAATCAGCCCACGGGAACACTCGCCAAAATGGAAACAGAGGGGAACCTAAATCGGTGTCTATTTGAGGGAGCCGTGGTATTGTTGTTGTAAGGACAACTCCATCAATGGCCGATGGCGTCGGTGTGTTTCTTCCTTATCAAATAATCTCGCTATTTAGCCTGCAGCTAAGAGTTTTCAACTCTACAAGGTCCGGCGGAAGGGCTGATGTGTCAAGCAGAATCTCGTCCTCGGAATCAAATACCACATCGTGAAGATACAGGGTATAAGCGGACGAGAGATATTCTCGTTACAGAGAAAGAAGGCGCAGTTTACACATTGGCACATTATTCGTTATTTTGCGTTACAACTTTCTTGATTTTATTGGCGTATGCCACAGTATAACAGAATGATGGCTGCAACTTTGTCAATTTTTTGGGGGCGATTATCTTTATCAACATCTTCTGAACAAACTGATACTGACTGTTTTATGCTTGAAATTTTGGTGGAATAAGAATAAGGAACAACCATTAGTTCGTTGTTTATTTAGGATATCAAACCGACCCTCTAAAGGTATGCGGCAAATGAAAAAACTGAGTTTGTGCCAGTTTTGGACAACAAGGACGGGGAAAAGTAAACAAGCGCAAAGGCAGGGGGAAACGATGGCTATCCCAGCCCAAAGAGAACCTGTTGCCACCAGTAGACCCCAGAAGGAGACTGCAGTCAACTCAACAGGACCGGCATAGGGAGGGCTGCAGAGCCTCCTTAAGAAGACCTTAAGCGTCGCTGGACCTAAGCCACTAATTAGTAGCCAGTCTTGATTTGCGGTCTACTATTGCGAGCCCTGACGAGTTTCTGCCTAAATCTAGAAGTGCTGTTAATTTAATATGAAGGCCCCAGGTGAAGGAAGAATGTTGCAGGTTAATCCCGGTAACCATTTATGTTATAAACTCCCAGGTGGAATAAGAACAAGTATGCAATGGCGTTTTTCAATAAATTTCAGTGCCGGCACGACGTACTTCTAAATCTCGTCCATATTTATCTGCGGATGCTGATGTTTTCACTTCAGATGCGACATCCCTCGATTGTTACTTTCACACTCCGATTGCGATTGGCCTTGGCGAATCTGTTTAGTATCGCCGTCCCTTGCCTTTGTTGCTTGGCTTCATCTCCTTTCCTTCTTTGCCCTTGCCTTCGTCGTTGCAAAAACGGACCCTATCTTTAGCGCCGCCATCCTTCGCGGCACCGGCTTTTGTATTTCCACCTACAGCCTTAGCCTTTCCCATCGCAGCTTTGCCCTCGCCCTAAATCAGGTTGATCATTCTTTTCTAGATCATGCTGGTGCATGGCGCCAACGGCTAATTATAGGCGCCGTATTGAATGACAAACGATTGGGTCAGGGTCCCCCATCTGAAGACGCCGATGTTGATGAGTCCTTCTCGTTAAAGATCTCGACAGCCTTAGTATTCGAGAAACGATCTTTCTAACAAAAAATAATAATAATCCTCCTCGTTAAAGACTCATTTGGGGATGCAAAAATATTACTTAACAGAATGGTATAGATAGATAGTAAAGGCCTTCGCATATACCTGAGCCAAGCGTCAACAGCATTACCTGAAAGGGCGCGCGCGTGCATCTCTTCCCGTCTCCGTGCTTCCCCCAGCCGACTTTTCCACCACCACGTCGGCCGCGCTGAATACGACGCGATTAATTACCAAAATGTTTGAAAATATCGACAGACAAGCTGCAGCTGATGTAAAAATCAAGCCTCAACAAGTGCTACTATATTTTAATATCATCACTTCTTGTTTGCCGCCATTTAGATTTAGAGACAGTCAAAATAAGAACGAGGACCAGAGGAAAAGATCGCACAGCCTATTTGCATTAGCATTTGCAGTCATTCTTTACCAGTTAGTACTTACCAATACTTCATGCGGTTTGCCCTTGCCGCTAGCTGGATGCTGGTCACCATGCTGTTCTTGACTCTGCATCGATTTGCTACAATGATATTCGACGTGAATTTTTTGGCCCAATTAGAAAGTGTTGTTTTTTGCCTGGATAGCGGTGCTCACGCTGCGAGAGTCCTTGAAGTAAACGAATCCCAAAAGCTTGGTGGCGACTTCCTGGTACGTAGAAGAAGCTGGCGGACGCAGCTCATGACCTGAGGTGCTTGCTGATGGTGCCGAAGAGGTCGAGGATGAACGGCACTCGATATGATGTAGCTTAGCACTGTGCAGGAGTCCACAATCCTGAAAGTGGAGTAACAGTTGCGCTTCGGTCATTGTGCTGCGGACATTGCTAACCGCCACAGTTTTGCAGCCATCTGGGATAGGGCGTGGCTTCCAAGGCCGGCAGTCCGGCTGATGGTACTCCACAGAAATTTGCCAGTCAAGCAAAACCGAGCTCGTCCTTGTTACTGCTATATCCGCAGCACCTGTGGATTTGAAGTGGACGAAGCAGACGAAGACGGAATCAGGATTACTGTCTGCGTGGTAACCCGTAGGCTTCCCTTTCTCACCGTTGTGATTCGTCTTGCCGCCGCGCTTGCCAGTGATCCAGCCTGTTCCTTTTTTACCACCATGCGAAGGTACATGCTTGCAAAAAACCTTGGTGATTTCGCCGCATTCTGCAAAGTACCTACGGACGATCGCGCATTCTGGAACCTCGTCATTCGTAAATACAGCGTGCGGCCGCAGTGGGTTCAATCCGAAAACTTTCACGGCTTTGGAATTCTCGGGCAGTAGCGCATTGCTCTTCACCGGGTTAGAACGAGTCTCCGGCGGCTCGCATTGTCTGAGGCCCACCGATTTTGCACTGAAGCCGCTGCAGCCATTTTCCGAGGCCCACCAATTTTGCACTGAAGCCGCAGCAGCAATTTTCCGACACATTTGCGTCTGAGGACGCGCGCACGACCGGCGTCGAATCGGAGCGAGCGGAGGAAGAAACAATATGGCAAGCTGCTCGGTTACGCTGCACAGCATTCGATGGAGAGTCAGCCGCGGGCTGATCGTCCAGACGAAGTTTTTTTCGATCAGCCTCGTAACGAGGCCGATCCGGAGATTTTGACTACGCACTGCGTTTGCTCATTTTGCAACAAGATTCAAAAAATCGAGAAGGCTTTTCTTCGTCGTCCGCGCGCTATAATCAAGTCGAATTCCTTCTTGAGAGGGAAAAGGAAGCCGCGAATGGTTGAGTTCTTTCATGAATCTTTACCAAACGTAACGGCGTGTAAGTTCTCACGTCGTCGCATACTAGTACTAGTAGATGATAGAAACTTGTTGACGTACGAGAATATCTGAGGATTCCTGTTATCTGTAGGCGTCTTGATGGAGGGAGGGTATTTCTAGTTGTCTGAGACGTCCTGGTCAAGGTCGCAGTTACATGATGAAAGTGGGTACTTCGCGCGCGCATTAGGATTGGCCTACCTCCAACCGCTCCAGTCGGCGGCGTGGGCAGCTGGCGCCATCTTCTTCATGGGGGAGCGATCATCATTCATTGATATTCGTTCACATGTGACCGAAAAGCTACCAGTACCATTTCACTCATTGTTTGCGTTTGCCTTCTGCTCGTGGCCTGCTAGCAGAAGAGGCATTCGTTCTGCTTGACCATCCTGCAAATACCTTGCTCAAAGAATAGGCGCGCACAGGCACAACAAGCACCTACGCGGCGACTGAGAGTGCTTCCATCAAGCCGGTATGACCGGCCCAACACAAGTAGTCGTCGGTCAGAATAATTCGCGCATCTATGTTCTCTATGCTGTAAGCAAATGATTGCAATGTTCATCTTCAGTGAAGGCTTTTCATCATATGCATATGCGGTTCCTCGCTCACGACATCGCGCATCCATATCGTTTCATTCGTTGTCCGTCGTGCCTATGACAGTTCACATCGACATATTTATATATTAATCATAGCCTTTTGGATCTGGAGAATTAATTAGCGATCGATAAGTCAGCTTTAACCTCGACAAGGTGAATAGCCAGTAACGGTAAACACTACACTATCGATGAACGATAATATTACGGGATAGTATGCCAATGTCTGATAGATTTGCTTGTAAATATCTTGCTCTAGTCTGGAGCCTGATTTTGATGACAACGTCTTCACTACCAACCTGATACTGATTAAGATTGAATGCTCACACAAATGTTCGTCCAACATCAGAATTACAAAAGCAACGATCGATCATGACTATGCGTTTCAACACTAGGGAAGGAATCATTAGAACGATGGGTAATCATGCTCTTGGTGGAGACAAAACCTTATGTGTATCGTGCGTGAAGAGTCTATGGCAATACCTGTGACTGTGTTACGAAGTTATATATCCGACGTGAAGAGGTGTATGCCAAGTACAGCTACTCCGCAGAGCTTCACCCAGACTTCATCTTCATGTTGCCGGTTACATGATTTGCTAGTACTACCAATTTGAAGGAATATGAAGCTCATCTCGTCTCTGCAACGCTTACATTTGTTTTTGTTCGTCCTTCACACCACGATACCACAGTCGCAAGCCCCAACACGCGATCAAAAATACTAGCTCTGCTCACGTCAATTCGCGTAGCAGCGGGGAACCAGACTTAACCCTGGATCTCCTTAAAAGAAACGATCTTCTCTTTGTCCATAGACACCAATACGGTAATCAGGAGCGATTTGCCTGGTAATGTAGGAGAAGAGGATAAGAGCAGCTTAGTCAAATGGCATTGAGCCTCTCCCTACTGTACGTTAAGGAATACTTGTGAAGTCGCTGGCTTAATTTGAGAAAGAAGTAGAAGTAGTACTAGGAGGAGGTACTCTGACTAATACTAGTACTAGTGGTATGTAATTAAAAGCAAGAAGAACAACAAAAATGAATTACACTTACACATTATAGCGACTCATTCAACAACTAATAATCGAGATTGTAATGGAAACGCTGAAATAGAAGAACCGAATAGGAATACAGACTTGCGATTAGGCAAGAGCAACAACGTTTATTCGATAGCGTTAGTGACCCTAAAATAGCCAAGTCAGTACCTTCCTCGAAAGCAGCTAGTAACTTCTCGGCCTCATCTTCGTAGTTACCCGACGAGTCTTTCGGCAAGTTCAAGTCATCCTTGGTATCACCGTTTTCCAACAACACCGACACAGATCCTGCATCAGTGTCAATATCTAAAAGCTGATACTCGACACGGTTCACGTTCGGAACATCCATATTGTGCGTAGACGGGCACAAATCCTCATACTTCTTATTCGTGAAAATATCGGTACCTGAAATTTTCCAATTTGAAATCGCATTTTCATGATGAATCCCAAAAAAATTGATTATATTCATTTTTTAATGAATCCGTTTCCAGTAAAGAGTAGGTGCTGAGCAGAAAGAAACGTGTCGGAATCAGAAATTTCGACGCATAGCCAAAAAATTTTGATTTTACTATCTTGTTAGATTCAAATGCATTTTCAGACTCATGCACTCATTCGAACCACGTAGCAACTCAGAGCTGCCTGGTCCCGTAGCGACCCGAGTAGAGGCGCGGCAGCTATATTTATACGACCGACTGGTTCCATACATCATAAAACCGTAGAAATCTGATCATTCACATGTATCGTAATTTAAATTTTGGATTTGCTGGGCTGTCCTATAAAGGCAACCAATGAAAAGAAAGTGAAATACCAACGATGTGGCACTTGGCGTGTCCGTGTTTTCCCGTCTTCGACACAGAAATTTCGACGATTTTACCTGTAGTGTTTGAGTTACTAGTCGTACCTCTTACCCAAGATAGTAATTTTATGATGCTCTGATTGGGGCTGTTGTGTGTAAGTTGAGCGCGATGATCAAACTCGCTTATAATTGACAGGCGGCACGCCGCAAAATGACGCAACAAAATTATTCGGCATGCTCATCGATTTGTTCAATGTATCCCCGGTCCTGAAGCAGGCCGTACAACTTTCACGAGCAACACATTTGCCCGGAAAGAATAAAATCAGTGCGGTTGTACATGGGTTTCCCTTGAGCATGCAGTGTCCGTTTTTGCGGAGGGAGCCAGCCTCAGCCGGATAAGTCAGGGAAGCGCCTGCGGCGGCCTTCTCGAAGGTGTAATCCTCGTCAGACATTTTCCTTTATGGATGGTGCTTTATTTAACGTTACTGAAGATGAGTTTTGTGCACGCGCTTTCAGGAAACTAAGTGCTCTTCCTACTTGTAATTACTAGTCTGATGGTCCTCCTACGAAGTTGTAACAGCCGCGACAGTACCAGTCTTTATCAAATCTTTATCTTATTGATGAAGATTCGATGTCGTTAAGCCTTCCGGGCCACTTCCTCTTCCACTTCCTGAAGTCAAATCTATAAAAATACGGTGTTATGGAAAAATAGAAGGGTGGTGATCCACCAAGTTCGTGTGCAGAGGAAAATTAATCTGCTCAAGATGGCACGTATGGCCTGGTGTACGAGCTTCATTCGCTATCAACCGCATTTGATTCCACCAGATCTTTGTAAATGTGAACTCAATACAATTTAGCACCAGCAGAAGAAGCCGGTTGATCTTTCCGAGAGGCGAGCGTGTGAACATAACGGAGTATGAGATAGATTGTAGGTTTTTCAACGATCAAGGCGGAGATGAGTAAAGGTGATCTTCTTGTATACCTTGAGAAAATTTTGAATGTTGACACTCCGGAGACCGTAGGACGCCACAATCCTTGTTGAAGGGAAAACGCCACTTGTGTTTTGGTATTCTTGGTGCTTGGTGGACTGTTAGCCTATTAGTAATAGTATCGCGTCGTAACCTGCTCCAAGCTCGTATATTTCTTCTCACCGGGCGGTTTATCCGCAGTTACCCACTTCCCACATGTTTTTGCACCTTATAGAAGCAATAGTTGACAATGACCTCAGGGTCAGGCAAGCCGATATTTTGTTCTGCAACTTGGGTTATATTCGTGTGCCTTCGCAACAAGAATTACGGTACTATTCCGCTTGCATAGTCGGCATTCCGCATCCGGCTACGACTGGCAAGAAGCTTCTATTGGAGGTCATGAAAGAGCAATAGAAGTTCCATTTCTTTGAACACTCTGTTACCTCCGCGAACGCTGCGCATAGGTTATTCACCACACAGAAATCATCACGTGCACGATTGAGCTCCCTAGGCGGCGATGAATTTCAATTGCTGCCGCGATGTAATTATCGACTCTTCAACATCACGATCGATTATTTGCTAACTTCATTTTTGCGCATGGGTCCAAAAGATAGATCTATCGCAGTGACAAAGGTTGCTAGTTATATTATTCTGTTCGTTATTTTTCTTTTGATCCAACGATGTTGAGGACGAAAATCGTGCGCAAGAAAACCTAGTGCATCGCGATACCCCCTCATGTTGACACAAATGATTGACGCCGTTCGTCGTTAGATGGTAGCTGTCAATCATTTCATCTCGTTACCGCAACCCCGCACCAGGCTTCAGTTTCCCCACTTCATTTAGATCTTCTCGAGTGTTCCGCAGCCAAGGAGGTCAAAACAAGTCTTCATGGTTTGCCTGGTCAGTTCGATCAATAGGAGGCGGCTTTTCTCTTGTTCACTACCAACGACCTTGCAGTCGCGATAGAATTGCGTGTAAGCACCTACTAGATCGTACAAATATGTGCACACATTGTGCACATGCATGGAAGTGAGAACTAACTCCAGGACGTCTGGAAACTTCAACACTTCGAGCAGCAGTGCACGTTCGAGCGGGTCTGAGATCTGGAGCGAAGACAGCGGCATGCTCTTCAACAAATCTACTGGTGACTGGTAGCCCGCCTTCCTCTGGATACTGCAGATTCGAGCATAAGCATACAGCAGGTACACTGCAGTGTCACCCTTTGGATCGAGCATGCGGTCAAACGAGAAAATGTAATTTGAAGTGCGGTTCTGCTTCAAGTCGAAGTACCGGACGGCGGCGTACCTAGGAAGAAGCATTCAAAAAAAATGTCATGCTAGCTAGACATTAACACACCATCTGTTGGTTCCTGTGTGACGTCATTTTGTTTCGTTACGACAATTGTACAACTTACTATTCAAAATCAACGAAAAGAAGTGAAGTATTCAAAATACCCTATGATTTCCGCCGCACCGTCGACATCGTACTCGGTGGTGTCACCGTTTGCTTGATCCGCTGCCCTACGTTTCTCTAACTCCGTTTTTGCTCGCTCTTTTGCCTCGTCAAGCAAGTCCTCCAGCTTTCTACTATGAAAGTCCCGAGTTGCGAGGCACACTTCCCATCAACTGGTCACTACAGTAAGATCAAATATTAAGGCGCCGAGAACGAGAAGATCCACGCAAGTCCACGGCATCTTCATTTCTGATAATCAATATCGATTACCGTACTAGTAAACTTAAATAACTCCCTAAACTTGATCATGGTTAGAAAATGTGACAAGAAATCTTTCTTCCAGTAACCAATCGATCTAGGGCATGCACGCGCCTCGCAGTTTTTTCAGGCCATACACTGTCTCTCCAGATCGTGTTCGGAATCGCCTGCCATCTTCTCCCAAAACCATGCCGAAGCTCATGTGATCCAACCGGCTTACTCCCGGTCGATGCCATCCCGCCTGCAGTGCTGCGTTGAAGACGGAGTAAAAGTGGTTCTCTTGTCCAATATCTGTGACATACACGACCCAGTCGGCTCGCGATGTAATGAGCCTGATAGTGTGTGATGAAGATGTGATGCTTTGCCTGATGTGCAAATTTTTGCATAACAAATGAGTACCTAGTTGCAACTCCCTAGTACCATCCGTGCAGCGGGAAAATACAACACGTCGTATTCGCTTCTCAAAATTAAGGTCCATCAGGTTGAACGTCTTCTAAGATGCAGCTGCGGTCATGATCTCAACATAGGAGAAGAAGATAATGATGTGTGGCTGTGGTGCACATCAAAATGGTATAACAAGGGCATGATCTTGAATTTCTATATCTTCTTGACTTACCTGTGATAAATGCATGCCAGATCCGTAGAGCCGTAGCCGTAGCCACCATCAGATTTTTGGACCATGAGGGGGACATCGGGGTTGACGTCAGGGACCTCAATGACTTTAGCACCGCGGGACTCGACAACAAGTCCCCGCTTCTCCAATTCCGTAATTACGGTCGGAATCATAGCGTTGTAGTATGACCTAAGTTATTATTGTATCAAAAAGATGATTAAGATGTTAGCCACGGTTTTGTAAAAAACGACAATAAAGAATCTTGCTCAATCATCAAAGAACATTTTCATCAAGTCTGATGTTCTTGGTAGTACGAAACGATCGTGATCGTCTTCTATCTTTTTGATGACGTTAGTAGTAGTACTGCTATCGTTAGCGTCACAAATACAAAAATTAATAGAATAGTGTCAACATAATAGAATTACTCGCCGCGTTCGTGCACGGTAATGTCGAGACGACGGTATATGCGCTCGAAGCTTTTCCTAGAGATGTCGCAAATGACCTGCCATGCATTACGATGGAAGGAAGAACCGGATTGAAGTTCAACAACCGAAAGCTGCGACCTCTTTTTGAAGTCCTCATCATCATCAAACCTCTTTTTGGACGCCTTGTAAAAACTCTGCAAATCGCCGATATTCGGCATATTCGTAAGGAAGTCTGGATATTTCTCCCTCATGTACTCGATTAACATACCTGTTGGGAAACAATCAGACAGATGCATGCGAAATAAAACAGTACAAGAAGTAGAAATTTGCCTTGTTGTCGACGAAAAAGATGAAGTGCTATTTCAGGAACTAACTGTAACTAGAACTATCTACTGCTTCACGTGTACCATGAGGTGGCATAATTCCAAAAGCACAACGATGTGGGATAATAAAGTTCATGTTTATCATCCTCATCAATCACTATCTCTTCTATACTCTTCATCCATAAAAATTCTACCGAACTGCGTTCCCCAGTCCCCAACGTGGTTTAGCCGCTCTACTTCGTGCCCGCAGAATTCGAAGACGCGGCAGATCGCCTCTCCAATGATAGTCGAGCGCAAGTGCCCTACGTGCATTTCTTTCGCGATGTTCGGAGAAGAGAAATCTACGATAATTCGCTTCGGCATCTCTGCCTTGTAGCCCGTACCCTTTTGTAGAAGCATTAGCCCCTGTCCGTTAATCCAATCCACGCTGATTCGCACGGAGATAAAACCAGTTGGCGCTACTGTCACTTCGGAAAACATATCTTTGTTTGCTTGGAGGGACACTAGCTGGGCTTTTATCCTTTCGGCGACGTCTTTGGGTGTCTTCGGCAAGTCGCTGCCCAACACATCGCTGTCGCCACGATACCTAGTCGTGAAAAGATTCATGATGATCATTATGCATTTCCCTTGTCCTCGATGTAGGTCTAGTAACTACTGGAGAAACTGAAACAGAATGAAATACATAGGAGTACGACTTTCTTTATTTACGTTTACTTCTGAGTAGAATGATCATGATCTCAAGACGCTTCAAAAGACTAGTACAGCAAGTAGCAGTAGGTGCCTTACTGTGAGAACAGATCCATAGCATTGTTGCATTGGTAGTCGCCAAATCGAGGCTGTGAACAGGGCACAATTTTCGCTTCTTGCAGCGGGACCTTCGGAAACGCGCCTCGAATGGCATCCCCGAAACACCTCTTCAGAAGGCTCTGGAGAGATGCCGACATTTTTTATGATCTCGTGGTGGTTTTGATGATGATGCGATAAAGTTTAATACTTTTTTCAAGTTTATGTACGTCGTTTACATTTACTAGTAGTCGTTCAGAAAGTACATGGAGGTGCAAATGTTCAAATCATTGAAGCCGCGGCCTCCGAGGGATTATACATCGACATCTACTTGCATATGCATAGAAGAAAGTGACACTTAGAACCGAAACCTGCTGGCGATGATGTAGTTGTCAAGGGGTTCCTATAAGTATATTGTGGGTCAAATTTGTTCCCAATGCAGCAGATGCAACACGTAAGACTGGCATATATTCACTACGAAATTGATAGAAGGAGCTCAAATTATGCAAATACATAGCCATTAACAAGAAGTAGAACCGTTAAAATTAATTGGGATAAATCATGCAGAACAGGATCGAGATGGAGATCGTTCACTTGTACGTGCTCTACAGCTGGTTCAAGAACAATGTGATCGTGGTACTAGCAATTGGTTGCACATCAAAAAAGGATCCAGGAGCACATCATCACGTACTTGATATGTTGAGCAGGCTAATACCGCAAGTGTAATTTGTAGTTTTGGGATCATATCCACCCCTGTGTTTCATTGAATTCATGATCATCATTTCATTCCCCATATTTTGTTTCATCTACTTGGTGGAAATTTCAACTCCAAGAAATCAAACCTACTCGATTTGAATTTGAGCGTGATCTCCAATCACTCGGTACTCGAAATATGTTGACGTGCGTTGTACCGATCGCGAAATGACACCAGGAAGAGGGTGAACAAAAATGTCCTCCAAATAAGTCTGCGACGCTCATGATCATGATCTTTTTTTGATGAATTCAAATTGATATTACGATGCAAGAACGCTTGTTTTTAAAGACTTTTTTCATTTTTTGTCGATACTATTTATGTATCTTAAAGATCGTATCGTTACATCTTCCTGTGTCGGCCATATCGTTGACACTCACAGGTGAGAGTTGTCTTCGGCATATGATGCGTTCAAAGCACAAGCCGGCAAGAGTTTTTTGGCAGCGGCAACTCCCGATTCACATACATCAGCACCGAGGAACTACACATGCCTCCCTTTGATGTGAGCAATCAGGGAAGACATGAAATAGCCTTCGCCAATGAATAGATGTCAATCACTGGTGGTAAGAAAAACCTAGCAACGACCACCCATGGTGTGCAGCTGCTGTTCTAAGTACGAAAGTACTATGTATTTTCAATTGATTCTAATTTCTGTCGTACAGATGGGGCTGATACCACCTGATAATCACTGAGCGCCGTACCATTTTCAGTGGCACGAAAAAAAAAAAATCGTCGGAAGATGGTCGAAGTCAGAAGAATAGTAGTATATCATAAATTCCACGTTGCACATGGCAATGGCAATGGTAAAATGAATTATTGTATTCTCCGACAACATCTGCGATCGACATTTTTGAATTGACATAATTCTTACTTGGACTGCACACTGAAACTTTGTTCAAATAGAACGAGAATTCGATGAAGCCACAACAATCGAGGACGATGCATTTGTAGGTTACAAGAAAAACAAATATACGTCCATCGCCCCGGGTAGTTGAGTCAAATGCAAAAAAAAATAGAGTGTCAGACTGAGTGAATGGCAGACTGAGTGGAAAAGGGAAAACATCATGGACTGCCCAAATAATAAGAAAACCTCGAAAACCGCAAGGACAATCGCAGTCATACAACTTTTCTCAACTCGAGCACCTCCTGCTGCCCGCTTCTATTTTACTACGACAAATACGCCAACGATAATCACAATCATGCAGACTATGATTGCTCAGCTTGCTTTTATACTGGAATCAAACGGATCATGCAATTAAGACACGAGAGTCTTAATGGTTCTGGTTTGTCTTTGTTTTTGCTTTTGTCAATGAATCATAACACAGGTTCGTGACCTATACTGCACAATATTGAATATAGTTAGTTGAAGATTGACCTCTTATTCATCCACGGTTCGTCTAGCTCTCAATTTTCTAGTTACTACTTAGTTCGAAATTATCAACCCGCCGCATTGATAGCGTCGATCAAAAATGGCGATACCCGATCGGCCGTTTTGCGCAGGGTATCAATCACCATCAAGTTGCAAGCGACGAACCCATCACTTTTATACTCGACGCCGTGCTTCTTGCAAAACGGCAGAATTTTTTCATCGCGAAGCCGCCTCAAATTATGGCGTGGAATGCGCGGAATCAAGTGGTGCGAAGCTTGGAACTGCAATCCACCATGAAACCAATCCATCCATGGAGGACAATCTGACAAGAATTTTCGAAGAACAGTCCTTTGCAGCCTCTACTTATCTCTCCACAAAAACTTAATTAAAGACACTCACTTGCAGTCCTTTTTTTGAAATTGTCGAGGCTGATGTTGAAGTCGATGAATATTCAGAACGACAATCACAATGATATCTATTCAAGCACTAATAAATAAGTACCAACATCGATGGTTCCCTGCAACTGGAGTTGAATGAAATTCAATTTCTCGTTTTTCAGCGGATTCCCCTCCACCACTGGCATCGGAAAGTGTGATATTGTGATTTGGACATGCAATATTCCCGCTATCGCGTGTGACACTAGCAGGAAGACGACAGTTTCGTCCCACGAATTGAACTTCGATAGCAGCAACGACATCCAAGACCAAAAGAAGCCTAGAGTTGCGAGTTCCTTGCTACGACTCTTGCCACCCCACCGACGAAAGACGTCATACGGCGTCAGGCAAAGGATAATCGATTGCAAATAGAGATTAAACCTGTGTGACGGGATGCGAAGAAAGAATTGCATTTTTACCGCTGGTGTCGTTTTCTATCAGTCGATATTTGGATATTGATCTACTTACCTGAAAACCCATGAAGATACCGTCTTAGATCATAGATGATCTTGTTCTTTCCTGTTTAACATTGCTGGCCATATTCCGACTCCTTAGATGGACTGCATCTGTAGGGACCACTGTAGACTCACAGCCTCAACATCAGAGAAATCCGGAGAACTCGTAACATCATCAGCAGATGAACTGCATCAGTACCTTGCCAACGCCATAATCGGATAGTAGAGAATATGCTGACAGCGCAACGCGATCTGCGCGAATTTGTCGAACTCGAATGTCTTCATGTGAAACTCACTGAAGACGTTGTTGAAATATTTGTCACTAACACAAAGCATAGGTAGATGCTGGATGTCAGGGTCGTACTCCACGCTGTTCGTCACCAGGTGATGCACATTGTGCGTTGTCTTCCACCAGCCGCCACTGATTCCACTCATAGCATTACCCCAGAATAACCTGAAATTGAATGTCGAAGAAGCAGGTGATGATGTTGCTACAAGTCATGATTCTCGACGAGCTACATTTCTAACAATTAACATCACGGTTTCCAACATGATCACAAAAAGTTTCATCTTCTAGCTAGGTGCGCGGTGGAAGAGGAACAAGTGAGCAACTACAGACCAAGAAAAACTAACACAATTCTGTGCGGAAGAACAATTTACCCGAAGATCTCATCGAGGAATATGGAATGGGTGACGCCATTATGTCCCAGGTCGTGGCCGATGAAGGCGACTTGCTGAAAATAGATTCCCAATAGCACCGCCGATAGGATGACACGAACGAAGTAGGACTGCCCGTAGAGCGCACAGGCCACGCTGCAGCCCAGAAGTGTAAAATATCGAGCTACGAGACCCAAGTAGAAACTTGGCCTTGACTTGAACCATGAAGGATCCTTTTGAAGCTCATCGACAAGTTGAAGAAACTCCTTTTCCATCTTGCTTTGCTCCGTTTCCACATATCCTACGTGCCATCGCTTTAACAGAGGCTCAACAACCTCCGGTCGATGGTTGCTCACAAACGGAATCTGGTATCAATAGTAAATTGGTGGAAGAAGATGTTAATTTTTTTCGATTTTAAACAAGCTCGTAATATTACGATCATGTTGCACGACCAATATCTTCCGTCGTGGTGCACGTACTAGATGAAGATGATCATGATTTCTTCAAGAGAAAAAGTTATGACTTTCATGAACATCTCTTCGAAATTATCGGCGAGACCACGTCAATTTCTATTTCTAATTTCTATTTTATAGAACAAAAAACTACTTAATATATAAATCTTATTCTTAAAAAGTCCTCGTCCTTGTTACCGAAATATCTGCGCCTCTTGCGTCCCTGAGTAATATTTCTCCTCCAGGATGGCTTTGCATTGCCCAGTTTTGTGGTATTTTGTAAACTTTCTGGCGGATGATGAAGAGATAAACATCGTCTTTTTCTTTTACGAGTTCCGCAACTTCTTCTCTAGTATACAGCCGCTTCATCCCCACGTTGGAGTTGGAGGAAGTCAAGTTTGGGGACGTCGATAAGGAGCTCCCACCTCCGTCTTCAGAACTGGTGCTTTGCGATGTAGTAGATGGCGTTCTATCTTGTTTTGTCTTCTGAGATGACGTTGTTCCTGCTCCTGCATTTGTGGTCGGACCCGCGGACGCGCGTTTACGTGGTATATCTTCCATTGTTCGAGCCTGCGTAGCCGTCATCTCGGGAAGACACATTTTTATTCTTCCGCAATGAAAGAATCAACTTTCTCTAGCTCTGGTGTTTGTGTGACGATCAATCAAATGATGTGTAGATAATGTTGTTGCCACAAGTACCCCTGATCCTGACCTTGAAGAGGAGGTTGAGCAGCAAATAACAGACACTAGCAGCACTCACACTCGTGAAGATCACAGCGCATAAGCCGAGGACGCAGAAGCGCAAAGCAAGAGCAGGAACGAGCAAGAAAAAAAATGTCACAGTCAGTGGTGCTCTTCTAGAATTCATTCATCATGCTATACTTCGCACTGATTCAGATTCTGGAAGCATTCTAAAGAGATGATGTCGTGTGAGTAAATGGTTATTATTAATCGGTATCAGCAAGAAAAGCGTGCGTGTTGGGAAACAGATGATAGAACAAGTAGAAGGGGAACAACATCAAAGTAAGACTGTAAGTACACAATGTGGGGTTGCGCAGGGATGTAAAGAACATGAGTTGAAAGCGCTGCTGAAGATTCCTGTGGTTTCGGTAAGTCAATGTGATTATGAGAAATCAGATATTTAATCTGTTTAGTGTCTGTCAGCGTCTCGAAAAATACGCGAAAAACGATGTCACCTCCGACTTCCACAATATCGTCAGTCTCAGTCTGTCATCGTGAAAGAAAATAAACGCCCTCTTCGTCCACACCAGAAATAGACTCTACTCCCAGAATCAGAATGTATCTTCAGAAATCAAGAACCACTCTTTCATCTTGCTCGTCGTTATGAAATCAACAGTCTCACGAATGTCGCGTTGCAACTCGCACAAAAACGAAACGCGATGAGCCTGATACTAGTATATATAACTAAAAACCCCTGTGGTCGGAGACACTCGTCACATCAACTCAAATAAAAATAAGTCAGTTATGAGTAGAGACAAATATTCTCCCTAATCCTGATGTTTCTCATTCTCACGCAACTCACTCGCCTACTTACGCCAAACTACAGCTACACCACAAAAACTGATAAAACTATCACTGCAACATTACTCGTGCTTCGTCATCAACCAACGAACGCAGCACAAAAAAAAAGATCCAACCAAAAAAAGATAATAAATCAGTCAGTTGAAGGGGATTTCTATCGCTTCTCGTTCCGATATTGCGCGCAATCACGATGGGGACTGCAGCCAGTTGCTCGCAGCTGAGGGAGCAAAGCGATATTAGTCTAGTGGAACGAACGACGACGACATGCGATGCGTGCCATCGTCTTGGCACGATTTGTCGATGAATATTGATAACAATGAACTCAATGCAATTCGTCTGGACAGTTTTCTTTTTTTTGTATCTTGAGCGAGTTCCGTAAAGAACCCGCCTACATATTTTCCGCGTAGTTACCAGTGAATGGACAGTGAATTTTGCAAACCTTACAACAGCGCTTCTTCTGATCAGTCAACAAGGAAATAGAAAGAACACATGAAGATAGCAAAGTACTTAAGCAGAATAGATACGAATACATCCACTGCCTTTTCTTGTCAGAAGAGCACACTTCAAACGCGAAAAAAATAAGTATCTTAGGTTTCAACTGATTCAAAAGGATCTCCACGTCTACCTCTCTTTCACCTGTAGTACAGTTTCTATCGAGCCTGAGAATCGCCAAATCTGGAACAGAATGTCTAAAGCTGGTCGAGTTGGTGTTCGGTGGTCGTGGTGGTCGATGCTTGCGCATCCAGAGAAAAATTCTTATTAAATAGCTCAATCTGCGACACGTGTTTCGCGTTTGCCTTGCATGGGAGCCACAGGCGCGGCAAATGCAGATAGACCTGGTGCTTCACTTACGCGGCCAGCTGAAGCAAGTGAATCGACGGAACTCTGAAAAACAGACGGAGACTCGTTCTGTGATCCTTCTGGACGTGCAACCGCAACAGGCGAACATGTTTCAGGTTTTACTCCATTCGCTGCACCGGGGGCTGCAAAAGGTGGAAATCCAGCTTGTAATTTACCGGTCTGGGAAGCCGCAACAGGTGGAGACCCAGCTTGTAATTTACCGGTCTGGGGAGCCGCAACAGGTGGAGACCCAGCTCGTGATTTAGCTGTCTCGGGATCCGCAGCAGGTGGAGATCCAGCTTGTGATTTAGCGGCCTGGGGAGCCGCAGCAGGTGGAGATCCACAGCCAGCTGGCGACTTACTGATAAGTGGAGCAGCAGGAGCAGGTGGGAACTCGTCAGCCCCCGCGTCTTGCTCTTGTCCAACCAGCTTCTTGCATAGCGCCGCTCGCACTTCGTTGAAGACCATTTCGAGCAGCTTCAGCGTCTGCTCACTCCTTGCTCCGCCTCCTTCTTTTTCGTGATCATGAAGAGCGTCTTCGGTACTTTTCGAAGATTCTACCAGCCTCCGTCGAATTTCCCTCTCGACGAGATGCTCCTGTTCTTTGATTGCGTTGCTTTGCAACCGGATTTGGCTGCGGATTTGGAGGATGTCGTGCTGTGCGTCCGGTACTTCCTCTACGAGTTCGGAACTGCGTAAAAGCAGGCGCGCAGCATCGTCCAAAAGTCTCTTACCTTTTGCAAGAGCCTCAGCACTAGCGTTGACATAATTACTGTTAGAAGATGACGGAGTGCACATAATTGCATTTTACTAGCTTTCCCCACTAGGATGCTAATAGACGCAAAGAAAATCCTATCCTTAGCCAGTGCCAGCACAAATCAAACACAAACTACTAGTAATGAAAGAGTTCTTCAACCTCCTGGCTGGTCTACTGATGTACGGACTTAGTTCTTGATCAGTTGCAAATGTCAACTCTAGAAAGGCGTTGATAGAACCGATGCCGCCCACCTGCTCTCAGGACGCCCAAACCACGTAAACCAGACAAGCTATCTACTCTAAGCAGTTGTAGATGAAGCAGGGTGAAGCAATCTGTTGTATTATTAAAGTTAAACCTTATCCTTAACCTCCTCCTCCAGGGGGAATCGATATCAAAATTATGGCATTTTTATCGCAACCCCCTGCTGAGAGTAGAGTAAATAAACTGAAATTGACCTAATAAGTGTCGTGAATCATCATCTTTAAAAAAGCCTACTACAGTTTGTAAGTAGTATCTATAAGTATTTCCTGTAGTTGCACTTGCGTTTGAAGACCATAACTCGTTGGGCGTCCCCGGCTTCCCGTTCCCTGGGACTTAATACAACTGCAGGCATCGGGGAGGCGTCCGCGAAGCTGGTGATGGAGTGTTCTTGTTTGGGTTTGCTTTCGTATTTCATCTCTGGTTCATGATGTGCTGCTCTGTCTTCGATGGTATGCTGCAGCTTTTCTCTAGGTGACGATCCACTACGTTCATCTCCATTTGAAACGTTTTCGTCGAAGTTGTCCTTGGACATGGATATGGGGGGAACCTTCGATAGCTTACGAGGTGGTGCTTCAAAGCTCATTGATCCCTTCGTGTCCTTAGGATTTACAACTGCGGACATCATTTGGATTTGCGGTACTGCTGCTGGAACTGCATGCTCCACTACAGGTACGGAACGCTTCGTCGCTAGGTTGCGTTGTTCGTCCCTTCCCTCGCCAGCTTCATTACCCCTTGGTGATTCCCGGTTATTTTTGATGAGGAGTACTGCAGCAGCTGCGGCCTCCTCTGCCTGCCTGATCCTCGCCATCACATCCTCGCCATCACTGCTTTCATAATCATCGCTGGACGCCTCTCTCGCTGCCCTTTCCGCTGCGGCTTTTTCTGCTTCGGCTTTTTTCCTAGCCTTCTCCTCTGCCTCCGCCTTAGCCTTTGCGGCCGCAGCCTCTTTCTCTTTCTCTTTCTCTTTCAAGGCTTTCTCTGCCAGCCGTTGCTTCTTCTGCTCCTGCAGTTCTTTGAATGTGAGAGCAGGCTTGAAATCCTCCGGGGGTGCTAGGTCGGCAAGGGCCTTCATTACCGCGGACACTTTATTCGATGCTCCATCATCGGCGGCTGGAAGGCTCAGCCCTCTTTTCCGTGCAGCCTTCTCTTCTTCCAGGCGAGCTTTAATTTCATTTACAGATGATTTCGTCGAAGTCGGGCCCGGGTGTTTCTCAATCGTGACTTTTGCGGAGGCACGCCTCGACTCTCTGCTAGGAGAATCTTGAGGATCGTCCAGGCAGCTGTAGCTATCTCGCTTCTTCTTTTTCTTCTTTTTCGCGTCGATATCCTGTAATGGTTCGCCACGCCAGTCTCTCGCTGCGTCTCCTTGTCGTGGAGCCCGTGCCGCCAACGTCTCCAGCTGAATCACGTGCATATCAAGCGATTCACGTCTTGCGAGAAGCGACCGCCGCCCCTTGGTGTCCGAAATACTGATGATCTTCAGTTCTTCGTTACTTTAGAGATTTGTAATTATACTGGCTCTGGCGTAATCTTAATCATATTATATCCTTCCTGCTGGTTCTCGAGAAGCATCTGAGACACTATCATTTTGACTGAATAAAACAGTCTCAGTCCGCGCTGCTTCTCGGTCTCAGGGTACTGGTCAAGAATGAACTAACAATCACAATATGGATTCAAATATTTGGGCAAGCCTTAATTGATAGCTGCGATTGCAGTCTTCAAAGTCTGCACCATCTCTCGCGCGGCCGCAGCATCTTGATTCTTCTTTTTACTCGACTTTTTCGTCTTAGAGCAAACATGGACTTTTGTACGCAACATCGAAATTCATTCTATCCACGACGAAAATAATAAGAATAGAAAAGATGATGTTGAAAAATATACTTACAAACTGAACCGGTTACGCAAGAAGTGGAAGACATCTTCAGCATTCTACTTGGTTAAGTACTCTGTTCAGCATTTTTAGCCACGACCACGACCACCTTGTTATTGTTATAATTCTTGTATGTATTTATTACTGCAAATGCAATCGTTGCCTTAATACTCTTCTTGTTGGAATAGTCATCCATACGTGGCGTCGGTTCGTCATTCATCCCTGGCTGAGAGTCTGCGTCAGCGCTTTTTCTACTCTTTTTCTTTTTGCCGTATGATCGAAGAGTAGAGGTATCTTCATCTCCGAAGCTCTTTTTCTTCTTGTTTACGTTGTCGTCCCTCTCCACCACGGAACCAGGTTCCACATTGCGGGGGACAGTCCCCTTTCCAAACGACGACCTGGCCGAAGTCTTTTTTCTCGCATCGCCAAAACCAGGAGATGATGGAAGATTCTGATCGACACCAGAAGCGAGCATCTTGTTGACGTTTAATTGATTAAAAATTGACAGCCCTAGTAGTACTCCTCGACTACCAGCAGCAGGGAGTTGACGTTTCTGCTTGGAGATCAATATTCATCTTTATGTTTATGACGAAGTCGATCTTCCATATCAGTCAAATTAGGCAGAAACCATACCATGCATAGTATGGACATGTAATTTGTTACAACTTCATCCTCCACAGAGCATAGACACGTGCGACGTTATTTGCATCCGTTCTTCAGCGAAAATAAGTAGAAGATGTTGATGGGCTGCAAGTAGAAGACGAAAATAAAGAACAACCGCTACAACACTTGGACCAACATCGATCTTGAAGTTAATCATAGTCGCCCGAAGAGGCTATCCCTATCACAGCTGTCGTAGCACTAATTCGAATATCTATGCTTGTTCATTCATTCATTCAACTACAAAAGAAAATTATGATGAGCTCAACCTCGAGGGTAATCAATGGGCGGAAACTCTTCGGGGGGATGCATGGGAAGTCCTTCTCGTCGTCGATACATAGAGCGGCGACAACTGCGATTGAGTTTAGATTGGGAATTCAATGATAGAGCTTGCGGAATTTTTCTACGACCACTAAAGCAACTACATTTTATTCAATGGTCGTCTCATTACAACGATTGTGCTCAAGCTCAAAGTCATCAAACTACTTAAACAGATAAGACGTTGCTTGACACACTCAGACTATTGTAAGTAGCCCGCACGCTCCCGCTCACAAAACAGAACAATAAAAACGCACTCGCGTTTACTCTCTCTCTCTCTCTCTTTCACAGAGCGCTGCAAAAAAGAGAGCGCTCTCACACAGAACTGAATTGAACATGGTCCAAGACGTCGAGTCACTCTCGCTCTTTTTAAACAGAGCATCATCATCTTCACAGACACGACTCTCGCTCCTCAAACAGAGTTGAGCATGAAATTATTAGGAGGTTGGAGGAGATACTCTCGCGATGCTCTTCTTGGTCTTGTTCTCCTCGATGTTTTGTTCTTAAAAGAGCAACACATGTCTCATCGCGACTGATCATCATGAATGACAACGAAGACACATTCCTTTCTACTTCCGAGGATGCTTGGACAAGTAGTCAAATGCTCATAGATAGAAATAATCGCAAGAAGACGACAAGTAACGCTGTGCTGTGTTGCGGCCACGTACTTACTTATGGCCGATCATATACATAGATGTCGTGACGATAAGTGTCCGCCGGCATGAACGTTTTCCTTTTCAGTAATAAATAGTCGACTAAATAATTAAGTTGTAAAAATGGTAATGGAATTATTCATAGGCAACCAATAGATACAATCTGTATCTGGAAAGGTGCTGGGAATCCGAATTCAAAATTTTTAGCGGAGCAAATAAGAATCAAGAGAAAACAGGAAGAAAAAGAAAAGAAGAAAAATTGCACATCGTCGGATCATGTTATGTTGTTGTCACCAGCTTGATGGTGCTAACTAGGGATACATTTTGAGCGACCATCACGTCGAACTCGATGTCGCGTGTCCATGCGGTTACCTGCTCCCGGCGAAAGACCGATGACAGCACAGTATCAGTTACACTACTCACATGTTTTTCAGTCCTAGCGTTTTTGCGCTCTGGTCGCCACGCCGTTTTTCTCTCGAAGCTACTAGTCCCAGGTCGATAGCGGTTAGTCGCTGCTTAGTTAGTACCGCAACGAAATACTAGAAGGAAGATCACCGCAAACCCGCTAGTGCGCGCGCTCTGCAAGCCCGCTACAGAAGGTGCGACATTGTCATCATGGTTCCTGACATCAGTGAAAAATCGATGCATCCGCGCGCTTCCACCCAGGCAGACACGAGCCCACGACGAGGCGGTCCGAGGAAACCGCGAATGCAAGGAGATGTCAATGTCCTCAACTCCTGTAGTGACCGAGATAGCATCGACGTATCGGGCGTCGCCCGAGACAGTATTGTCGATGGCGGCGGGAGGACGATGGAGCCGATAGCCAATTATAGCAGAAACCCGAAGCCACCTTCGTCGTGACTTCACCACGTCAAGTCGATATTTTGTTGATGTTCTTGTCTACTTTCATCAGATGAAGCCGGAAATGACTTCTCCGCATCCCAAGCAAACCACCGGACTGCTACTCAGGGTTCCTTGCAGTAAGTCGTAGCTGACAAGCTGATAAAATTCGAGGAGACAATACGGACACTTCGTCTTCTGGTCTCGCGAACCCGTAAATTTCTTCACGATGTAGGGGTTGCGGCCGACAGTTTTCGAGTGCAGCATATCCTCCAACTGGCTCCCATGCATTAGGAGAAAAAGACAGGAGGTTCTTGTGCTCTCATTGTACAACTGAAGTGCATATACGTGATGGTCGTTAAGAGTTTTACCATGATGCTTCTAGTCACGACTATTTTTTCTTCTACTTTTGGGTTTCGTTTCGAGAAGACGGCCTACTACTTTTTCTAGTACAACAGGAACAGGTACACCTAGTACACTCTAACTATCTCTACCGTTGGAAGAAGAGGAAACTACAAGGATTAGGTTTTCAATTCATCCTCCCTGCATTATAATGATCTTCTTCATCTCTTTCTCACACTCGTCCCTTATAATGCGTCACTCGTATTCCATCTTTGTGAAATTCTGCTGAAGAAGTATATCAGCTAAGTACAATCCCGGCCATAACTTGATCACATTTGCTGAGAGCGCGCTTGATTCTTCACTCCGGCCTGTCGAGGAGTAGGCTTTACTGTCCGAGGGTGCAGACGTCCCTCCTGCCCCCTCACCACCGCCACGCGAACCGCTGCCACCAGAATGATGTGACCGCACCTCAATGTCGGCCCCCGCATCTTCATCACGGTTTGCGAGAATTAGCACTGGCCAAGGGAGGGAGAGAAAAGGGACAATGACAAACAGGGACGCACATCACGGTTTGCGAGAATTAGCGTTGGCCAAGGGAGGGAGAGAAAAGGGACAATGACAGACAGGGACGCAGATCTGGTGTGAGTAAGAACACGCTTAAGTGTTCTCCAGCGAAGACCTGTCTTTCAGTTACGAAGTCAGTTTCGCCCTTGGACCACAATCTCACCTATGAATACACGATACATACCAGAGTATGGACAGTATCTTGACCATCTCCAAATCTTACTCTCACTCTAATCAAGGCTGTACCTGTATGTGCTTGTTCTAACCGGAGGCCGTAATTTTGTTCCTTTTTTCCGACCTGGTGATGCTGCTCCGGAGCCTTTCTGCTCTTCCTTCTTTGCTTTCCGGGTCATTTCAGCTGCTTCCTCTGCTATTGTTTGTTCCATCGCCGCGATATTTTGGTCCACGAAGTAGTTGACATTCGCTCGCAGTGCGACGCATAAAACAATGCCCGCCAGTCCCAAACATGCCAAAATCTTTAGCATTGCTTCGAAATCGCATTGACTTTTGACTTCCTGACACCTAGACTCACAGACCGCAAGCGTGCCGTCCGCCGCTTGCTGTACTGCAAACTTGTTCGCGCCTCGCAGACCTGCTACCGATTCTGTCCAATCTGCCATGCAACTCGACATGCAAGCGTCATTCTTCTCGGCACATGTTCCGAGCTCGCTGCTACCTGTCGAGCACGTGCGCAGGAAAGTGCAATGAAGATCTTTAATCATGTCACGATTGCGTCTAAGAAGAAGCTGATCCTAGTGCTAACCATGCAAAGAACAAGAAGATGAGAACTAGTTGATCTTCTATTAGAAGACTTCTACGGAACTAAACAGAATGAAAAAAAAAATCATTTCCTACCTTGTAAACCGAAAAAGCCGATCGGGCCTGCAAAGATTGCGAAGAGTGTGCACATTGTCGGAATGGAAGATATCTTCTCCAAGAGCATCGCTTCGTCGTTGATGACGCGCGAAACATTGGTGCCCATGCTATTTGGTGAAATTTTGGTGGTTTTGAACTTGGCTCCTTTCACCTGATTCTGCGGCTTCTCCTGCTGCGTCGTTGTCCCCGTGCGCATCGCTGACGTGGCCGCGTCCGTATTGCGCGCAGCGCTCTTTTCGGTCTTCGCCTTGCCCATTTTCTTGGTTCTTGCTATTAATTTCAATACTTGTTGTTCAAAGAAAACTTCTATTCCTGACGTACTTATATGACTTTGAAATCAGCAACAAATTTAAGTTTATTCGTACGCATCGACTTCACCCAAGGAAATATTTTTTTGGTGAATCTGTCCACCTATCGTTAGTTGTATCTCTAACCCTATCAGTGGTTCGCTTCTTCAAATTCATGAACCTCAAGCTGCTTACTGTCAAATGACTGAGGCAAATAAAGTTGCCGAGAAATGCCTTGTTGTCCCGAACACGAATATGAGAAAAGAATGAGTACTTAACTTCTTTTATTTTTTCCGATTCCGTGTTTCATTACGTAGTGGTTGTGGGAGAGTTCCGATCTCGTAAGAAATAGTACCCGTACTCTCACTCTCACATCACTCTTGCGAAACTTATAAGTAGTCGAGTTCGAGTTGCTTTTGCTCGTTGCTTCTCTCATAGTCAGTAACTCGCTTTAGGTTTCCTGGCGACTTCTCAACATACAGATGCGCGGCCCGATTCCTCTCGATCTCGTAACATGAGCTATCTTCATACTTATAACTACAGATACAGAAAGAGAAAAGTAAGACCTGCAACAATGTTGATGAACCAAGGAAGACCAAAGACGCAATATTTATTTCTCTAAATTAAGGAATTCACAGAGCCTATGACTTCAACTTGAACGTGAAAAAACACCGACAGACAAAATGCCCACAGAAGCAGACACACCAGAGTGCGAGCGGAGCTACAAGCACAAGAGAGCCTTCATTTTTCCGTTTTGTATTTTTGTCTCCTACGGGTGTTTCGTGATTTGGATGCCCCACAGGGATTTTGCATGCTGTTGTCCCTGTTGCCGTCGTTCATGATGACCGTAGAGCCGTGGTCTGCCAGTATTTCTATGATACTGGCAGCGCTCGACAAACCTTGAGGTAAGCAAAAGTGCAGGGTGGAGCTACTTCTACTCGAGCAGAACTCACGCAGGTGCCCACTGCCTCCACGTCCACTATCATCCAGGCCAATTCCTGATAACTTTCCGTGCGGGAGCGACGAAGTGACACGAGGAGGCGACATCTTGTGCCTACTCCTTGACCGGCTATACGCGGCCGCTTGCGCATGTACCCCCAGCCCCGGGCACTTTTAGGATCCAATCGCGCATAGACAGTGCAGATCAAAAACATCGAAGACGTAATGACATGCTCCGTATACCGAAGAGATCTCTGGATCGTCACTGTTTCTCCCGGACACATCATCACGCGGCGTCTGTGCACGTTGTTAACAGACAAGAAGGGCCAAGGAAGCAAGTCAGCAACCACTAGCCAGCAGAGAAAGGGGAACAAGACTCACCATACGAGTCAAGCAAGCGACGCGCAAACGTGGCAAAGGCCATCGCAAGCTGAATTTCACAAGTCTCAAAAACGCAGTTGCTTTAACGTAAGTGCATCAAGAGGCGCAGGCGCACCCTGTTTTTTGTTTCTAATAACTAGCTGAAGCGTTCCACTTCGCTGCCGTTAAGCCTTGAGTTGACTGACTTTCTCGCGTGCTACTTCTCGCGCGGCCCTTTCACTTTTGTCCGCCTCCCCCTCTACCACTCGCAGAGCTTTCGCCTTTTCAGGGTCCTCTTTCTGTGCGTTATTTGTGGCAGTGCTCTCAGCGTGTTTAGATGAGTAAGTGCTTAAAATCAAACTAGATAATTAAAATGCGCAAGTATCTAATAATTTATTAGGTCTACTCCTGCCCATGAGGTCCATCCTCCTAAAAAGGAAGACGGTGCTCGCAGGAGGGACTCTTCTCAAGTATCTTATCCCTCTCAGGGGTGCCGGCTCACAGAGGACAAGAAGAAGACTCACTCGTAGCCAAATTACTATAGCCATAAGGTTGATCGTCCTTATGAAGTTGCCTGCGTCTTAGCTTAAAAGAGTAAGTACAATGCTACTACTAATGATCAATCAATACGCATCACAAGACCTGCAACAATTATCATTCCGATTCCCATCTACACTCCGACGTTAGCAACAGCATCTCGATCACTCCTGTGCTGACTACTCTCTCCGTTACTTGTTGAACCACTGAGAGCTGAGAGTAGCGGTGAGGTGGTTGTATGTGAGAGAAAACTTCTGCGATGTGAAAGCCCTATTACTTAGAGCAAAATTCGTTCACTTTCAGTACGGAGGAAGATTATTTTCGTTACTTGCTTGCGGCAACCGAACTCAACATGTCTTGTTCAGTAGGGCATATCATAAGAATGGATGGGGAACCAAATCTTCGCGGGATAAATCGCGAGAGGACTCAACATTGTGACGTTTACGGACAAACTTCAAATTTTAGTGGTCGTTCACTTCAGAAAGATTTTCAAAAAATTTCCCAGCTCTTTCACTACCTATGTATGTATAATTGTGGTTGTTATATAGGCCATCACCAGCCGCTTCGTATCATCTCGATCTGCTACCTCCTGCTGGTGGTGGAGCAAGAGTTACAGTATTCGCACTAGCGGAAACTATCGGGATATCAGTGGAATTTATCCGCAGTTTCTCTGACTTCAACAGCAATTGAATTCCTAAAAGTGTTAGACTCGCGGTTGGTGCACCATGCCGGTGGAAAAATAAAGCGTCGTGATCCCGCAACACCGCGAGTAAATTTGGAGCCTCCGTGTCCGAAACCATTTGTGCTCGAAAGTATTTGCGCCAATCACGAAAACAATGGTCTAACCGCGATAGTTCTGCTGAATACCTTTTCCTGTTATTCGCATTTCCCGCGGCCGCAGCAACCTGAGCCAACTTGGTGAGAAGAAGAAGTCTTGGCTTTCCAAACGTCTCCTGGATTCCCTTTCGAAGAGCCAAAAGCGTCGCATCTGCGTAGATCTCGGCACAACGGTCGTCGTTTTTCCGTTTCACCTCCTCCTCCGCGAGCTGTTGAAATTCCCGCACGGTCGAATGTCATACTTAGAAGATGAGTCATAGGCAAAGCGAGCAGCCCTCGTCCACCCCCTCCTCGTCGTGCTCTTGGACAGAAATAAAGTCACTCATAGTTTCTGAATGCAGTGCCAGAGTTAGTCTTACTGCAACATACTTTATTTAGTTCATGGATGGATAAAGCGCTCTTCCCTTTCTACCCTTTCGAATCTGCTTGAAAAAAAGGGGAAACCACTTGCACTCCGCATATTCCAGACCAGATACATAGTGATCAACTAGCACTAGCCTACTTGTAGTTATTGTTAGTAAATACACTTACTACAAGTTCTATGGTAACCAAGCCTTAAGCTTCAGGTAAATTGTGACTCTTTGCACGGGTTTGCAGCTCGCTAAGCCAGTCCACTCTGCGAATTTTTTTGTGCAGGTCCGCTCGAATAAATGGACACATTTTGCACCTTCCTGAGGGAACGATAACGTTAATAGGAGCATTTTGTTTAGTGCCTACCGCTAGGGCGGGGCCCGTGACCGGCGAAGAGGCCATCGACTCCGCACCACTTGATGACGAGGAACTACAGTTTGCTATTGCTCCGTGGTCTTTTGAAGTACTAGATGAGCTTGTCGAGAATAAAATCTTCAAGTCGATGCTGGGAATCAATGCAACGCCTTCGTACGTTATGTGTAATCGGCGAATATCGGCCTCGTATTGATAAAAAAGCTCCAGGTCGTCCATGTCTTTCCAGGAACCGTCGGGGTCTGGACCCTGATCGAGCATGGCCTTGCCCTTTTTCATCCTCGTTTGAGCATCAACATGATCTCCGAGGCAGTGCTCTCTCAAACCTGAGACTAGGACTTTCATTAGTGCACGACTGTCTGCTACGTCTTTTCGTGGGATTGCGACCAGCTGATGTCCCCCACGACCAGTAGCTCCACCAGAAGATGACATGGTGGATAGAGTGGGGTTCGAGTCCGCCAGCATGCCTCCAGTTGATGACAGGAGTTGTTTATTCGCAGCTCCTCCTCCAACGGACTCAGTCGTGACATCCCCGTATATGTCCGGCTCACCAGTAGTTTTTTCAGCAGTTTCTGACGACGATTCACCAGCACCAGCGGCCCCTGCAGCTGCTCTACTACTAGATGAAAAAGCAACCGGGGATCCTGGGTAGAGACCATTCGTTCCCGCACTGTTGATAATCTCAGCCTCTTCTGTTGTGAGGTCCAGAATCCAGGGATTCGTTCGCAGCATGTGCCGTCGGGAACGCGCAGACAAGCCGATTAGCGTAGTAGCAGCACTTCTGCTACTTATACTTCCTCCACCCGAAGATGATAATGAAGCAGGGCCAGGAACTACAGTATCTTTAGCAGGAACAGGATGAAAGACATCGACACAGACGAAGAACTCCGGATAGTAAGCGCATATGTCAGGAAGTTGTTTCTTTTTCCAGCCTTTCACTTTCACGCGCAAGTCTCGCAAGGATGGTTGGAGAGAAACGAGTTCCGCTGGAGCGACAAATAGGTCGGGCACCTTGAAGAAGAGAATTTGGATCAAGTGAACGAGAAACGCCATTTTTTCCAGTTGCGGCCGTTGCAGCATTACCGGAAGATTGCTAAAGAGCGCAAATCTTTGCACCGCTTCCTGCCTTCGCTGCTCCACCGTCGCACTAGTAGGCCCGAGGACGCCAAGTCGTTGCATTTTCTCTCGTCTCGCGATCGTGGAGCGTTCTTCACGAAGGTGTTGCTGCGGCAAACAAGATGGCCCATGGCGCCCGACTATACCAGCGCCTGAATCGCCCGTCGTGTTAGATCCGATGGACCCACCTTTACCACCAATCACATGACCAGGAGCAAGGTGAGGCCCCTGTCTTCGGCCATCATCGTCATCAGATTCTAAGTCGAACTCGTCTGCTGCTAGTGCCGCAGATGGACCCTCCAAAGCGTGGTCACCAGGTCCCAAGGACGACATTCCAGGTCTGACAACTCCTTGTTTTAACGCCTCTTGTCGGAAATCTCTCCCTCGTGGCGCTGAAGACGACAAGCCTGTCCCCGTGATTGGTCGAGCACCTCCTCCTCCACCTACACTAGCGGGATTAGGCAGAGCCATCAATGTCCTGAGATCTACCCCTTGTTGTGCACTGCTGGCGTTGATGCTAGGAGTTCGCCCAAAATGTTCGAACAGGGAATTCGATCCATGACCGTCGCGGCCACCAGGACGCGCGTTTGCAGTCACCTTCAACTTCAAGTTCAAATCCTCGTCCTCGCTCGAAGAATCCGAAGGCAAACCTTGACGTCGCTTACTCTTCTTTTTGGCTTAATCTTAGAAAGTGAGTAGTCCTGCTAATTTTGGCCACGAGTTCGTTGTAAATGTAAGTACGTGTTCGGTTAGGTTAGGTTGTGAATCCTGCACAACGAGTCCGCCCGGCACTTGCTCTAACAGTAAGAATATCATGATAAAAAATAGATGAGCAGTACGAATAAAGCTAAACATGATCAAGATACTGCTATCTCGGACCAATCATGCATTTTCTCACTACAATATTTTTTTGAATCTGGTGTTTCACTTTCATAGTTTTGTCATCTTCTAGGTGGATCCTAATTTTTTGTTGTCTTTTTCTGGCCGGCCGCTGTTGCGAACTGCATTCGCTTCCTTTCCATTCGTCGTTGTCGAAGAGCTGTCGCATCGCTGCTGTATGGATTCGAGTTTACAACCAGGACGCGGCTACCATCCTCGCGCACCTCGATGCGACTGTCTTGTTCCTCCACCACACTAGAAGACAGTGGGGGATCTAGAAGAACAGAAGTTGTTGTTGTAGAAGACAGGACAGGGCCGTACCTATCCATCACATCGGCTGATGCTGCAGTTACGTCCGGCTCAACTCCGCCCTTCTTAGCCGCTTGATTCCACCAAGCGGGCACTGCAGAGGACGCTGGCACATTACCGCTCGACAATGCACGCGCGTTATCATGCTGCCCGGCGCCAGAGTGCGACAGATGAACAGAAGCTGCTCGAGTTGAAGTGAGAGCAGGAGGTAGCCGCTTGTTCTTGTCAGGGCCGCAGTATCTCATCTGTGACCTTGCCATTTCATCGTCGGAGTCAGTGTCCGAGAACTCGCCGTCGCCTACGTGAAATTCACCCGCAGCTGCAGCTGGCGTTTCTTTAGGGTTCCCACCAACGACCGCAGGAGCGACTGCCCGTCCTGCTCTTGCTGGAATCGGAGCTCCGCGATTTGCATCTTGTCGTCCTCGTTCTTCTCGATCATGAGGGATGCTGAATGATGATGATCCCTGAAGTGGTTGTTCATTTCTATGGGCAAGGTTTATTTTCGTGCCACAATTGACTGAGACTGACGTATCAGGATATGCAGAAGTTTCGATATTTTTTTCGTGATCAACTCCCGGTGGCGACGCTGACGGAATTGGCATCTCATCTACAGTCTGCATGTGCTCTCCAAAAGGATTCGATATTGACGAAGAAGCCTCTGGCGCATCGTCTTCATTTGTGGTCTGAAAGAAGTTTTCTATGTGGTCCACTTGCCTACTGGGGCTAGAGGGCTCGAAGAAGTCTCCCAATGCATTGTCCGGGTCCTCCTCTTCCTCATATAATGACGTCAGACCTGCTGCTGCTTGAGACTCTTCTTGATCGGGCGCATAGTAGTTTCCTGGTACTGCAAGTGGTAGAGGAGCACTAGTGGGGCCATCGGCAGTAGCGCAGTAGTCAGTGCTGGAACCATAAGAGTATTGCTCTGGGTTTTGCTTTTGGTCACTATCTGCGTGTGCTAAAAGCGCTCCCCGTTCCTGGGCACTCATACGGTCGTACTGATCGTTGCTGCATGCTCCTCTCCCATGTGATAAAAAGTGATCATGATGGTGCACATACTCATCGACTTGAGCAGCCGCGTGTTCGTCGTTCCGTTCTTGGACAGGGAGATTATCTTTCATTCTCCATTCATCTTTTCTTTCCTGCTGTTGCTGATTTGCCATGAGGGCGGCAACAAGCTCAGACTCCGACACTATCCGTCTTTGCTTCGCAGGAGGTCCGGCGTTTTCGCTGGTGTCGTCCACAAAGCCCATCAACGACTCAGCTTCCGGTGGGGGTGGTGGCGGCGTTGGTGGCGGCGGTGGTGGCGGCGGTGGTGGCGGAGGTTCATGCGCGGCGTAAATAAGGTGTTGAGCAGCTTTCTGCATAGAAGTTGGGCGTACATGTCCTTGCGCAAGAACTGGGTGCAATCCACTTCGTGTCCCACTCGAAAAGGACGGCGCTGCATGACCAGCAGACACTGGGAAAACATGACTCTCAATTCGTATGTCGCCGTAATATACTGATGATGGCACGACGCCTGCTGGATGAACAGAGGACGAGTGCGCCGCCGGATCGGAGCCTCCAACAAAATGCTGGGCAGGAATTCTCGTAGGTACTAGACCGGTTGTTGACATCAAGTTTCCATCCAGACCAGTAATGATTGGGCAGCTCCTGGGATTCTCCATTGAGGGCGCCGCTGTCCACCCTGTCGTCCCAGCAGATGTTCTTGAGGAGTCGGCGAGGCCTTGAAAGTCGCCAGAAAGGAACATTTCAGCTAGGTCATCGTCCTCATCACCACTAGGTGCACCGCCCTCAAACATGTCCATTTCCTCTTTGCTGACGCGCAATGATTCAGCTCGGGATGGATTGTCTGAGGCCATCACTTCAGCATTTTGCTGTTGCCACGCCGCGCAGAGCATCTCCGGGTCTACAGTGAGAGACGAAGATAAGGGTAAACTGACCATCCTGATTGCTCAGTTAGTTATTCATTGAATTCGTTCGTCCTCGTCGGTGATGAATGACAGACTTACTACAAAATATCGATTAGCACACATCATCATCCTCGAGATTCATCGTTACTTGTATGTAGTTCTACATCATCAACAAGTTCAAGAACTCTGAGTAACTATTAAGTAACCACGACACGATCAAGAACAGGAATATAATATCAACATATGCTGCCAGCACCTGTGCCATCTCTGCGGGCTGCAGCTCCTGCCGTGCATTGAGCGATATTTTTAATGTCGTGTCGCCAGTCGGTCGCTCGGATAAACATCACGGGGATCAATAGGAAAGAGCTAAATTAAAAAAGAACAACGACCCCGCCAAACTCTCAACCTCCACTTCCGAACCCAAAACTCTTCCACTTCTGACTCATGAACTTAGGAACGTAGAAACCTAAGTTAGGAACTTAAGAACTGAGGAACCAACTCACGAACTTGCGAGGCTTGGGAATTGGTTAGATCTGACTTCACGCAGATAGGCGCGAAAACCTACGCGACAAAACCAAAACTCCCACAATTTGAACTCCAAAAATTGAAAAGACGCCCGGTGATTGGTTAGATCTGACTTCGCGCAGATGGGCGCGAAATTGAAAATTTACGCGATAAAGTCAAAACTTTTACGGCTTGAACTCTCAAAGTTTTAATTTTTCAAAAATTCACTGCGATGGATGCCCAGAAGTTTCGCAATTTTATAGCACTCCAAGGAGGGCGCAAGCTTAAGCCCTAAAGTGTCAAGCTGAAAGCCCACGCCTGAAAGCTCAAAGCTGAAGAATCAAAGTCGAAGCAAGGGAGGTTCAAAATCGAAAGCGCAAAGCCAAAAGCTCAAAGTTGACAGTTCAAAACTGAAAATAACTAGAAAGCGCGAAGCTGAAAGCACCAGGCTAAAAGCCCAAAGCTGAACGCTTAAGATTGAAGGCGGCGCCTCAATGTCTCACAGTTTCAAGTTTGAGACTGGAAATCCAAAGTTTTTGACTATATCCAAAAAACGAAACTTCGAAAATTCCCACCCAAAGTTTTTGATTGTATCACAAGTAGAGGAATCTCGACAAGTTGCAAACTCGACTGCTGCAACTTGCACGAAAAGGAGGCCAAACCTACCAAAAGAAGAGCACACCGACCACAAGCCAACGACTTCGGTCGGTGCCTTCCCCCACTCAGCTCTTGCTCCAACGATCAACGCCGCCAAACGGTTGTCGGGCGGGGGAGGAGCCGGGGAAGCGGAGTCTCGCCGAGGTTGAGGAAGTGCGTGCCGGGGGTGGATGATCCTAGGTAGTGGGAGGAGTTCTACCGAGCGCTCAATTCTAGTAGTATAAGTGAAAAGATGTTGTCAACATATTTTCATCATTTAAGCCACACTCTGACTTTCGTGGCGAGATCCTGGATCAATGGATTTCTGTTACAACAATCATAAAAACGATTCGCGCTGGTAAGACTACGATGAAAATTCCTTTATGGTTGTTGACGGCGTCTGCACTGAGAAGAAGAGAATTACGATCAAAAAGGTCGATCGTCTTCAAAAGTGAATGGAACACAAAGATCACTTTGTGGTTGTAGTTGCGGATCAATACCTGAGACCTGGTAAGCGGCATCGGTGTTTGATCATTTACTTGTAAACACAGGAATTGTAGACGACGACAAGAACCCATCCAATGTCATCGATGTCGACGTGTCAAACATGAATCACGTGGGTAAAAAAAAAACAATGCATAGGTGAAGGTGTGCATCCTTGAAGAACCTAGTACACATCCTTGAGTGACGAACCAGTACAGCCAGAACTCTTTTTTAATAAAAGAAGAAGCTAAATCAGTATCTATAATTAGTGTTCATGACGTCAAATCGAAGTATTGTAAGCGGGGAAGCTGTTGCTGATGCGCTCTAAAAGATAGTTGCTTCGCATCTTTTCGTTGCTGAGAGAGCCCCTCTTCTTGGTCCTCCTTTTCGCTCGAGGACGAATCGTAGTGGCTTCCACTGCTATTCCTTTTGGTTTTCTTCGCAACAGCATGAGTTTGTCCAGCTTGAGCAATACTTGAAGTGAGATTGCAGCTGGAAAGATCCTCCAAAATCCCCAACTTGAAATGCAGGTCGCGCTTATCAGGACGATTTACGGCGTGCAAGAGCACTCTGAAAGCTGAGTCCCGGTATGCAGGAAGGGGCTTCAGCAAGGAAAAGTAAGTTTGACGGTAGCAACTGGGCACGGCACTCGTATCGTAGGTATCGCACTGAAACGCCAAGTCTGTGGACGACTGAAAAAACTCTAACCTGAAGGTAAAAGCTAAGGCGTCGACCCAGTACGGATCTTCTTCACAGTCGTCGTCTTCTGTACCTTCATCTTGTTCTTGCCGTCCACGGCGTAGAAAAATCTCGGTCGCGAAATTTCCCCGAGCTGAATCGCGGTCCATGGTGTAAAAATTCAAGCTGGTTACAGTGGTCGCTGGATCGGACCATACAGCAGCTTCAGAGGAGAGTGCATTCGAGTGCAGTGGCTCCCGCAACGCAACCCGCTGTAATGGCGAAAAGTCAAAACCATAAAAGCTAGACAAATCTGGGGCGTTTGCTCGAGTATCGTAATGAAAGTCGCTGTGATTATACGAATCTGATGTTGAAGATGCGCGGCCACACGCGTTTCCTTCATACGCAATGCTGGCGGTATCTTCACGTAGAGTTGCTGACATCTGCGCATCCACGTTACCACAGCTCTTGCGTCGCCGCTTACTTGACAAAGACTTTCCCGCGCTTCTAGCGTTATAATGATCTTCGTCAATATCGCTTTTAGCCTGCCGCCGCCACCAATGTCTCCGCCTCCTAGGTTGGTTGTCCCATTCTAGCTCCCATCCGTCGTCTTCAGCACCATGGTCTTCATCGTATTCGATAGCCTCGTCACCATGGCATTCTGCGGCTTCTTGGTGTCGATGGTCGTCCTTTCCGTTACCATCCGCGGCTCCTCGTCTCCAAGAAGTTGGTGTGCTCCACTCATCTGCGGATACCACGGCTCGTACCTGCAACTCAACGTGATCAGGTATCAACAATCCCGTCTTCTTGTTCAGAAACAAGTCCCGAGCAAGGCAGACGTCCTGCAAACGACTCTCGAAAAAGAGGCAATATCCAAAGGGTATCGAAAGAATGATATCTACATGAGCTTGAGCACTTCCTAGAGCCTTGAGCGCATTCTGTACCGCCTGCTGAGTGCCCGGCTGTCGCAGACTACCCGTCACGAAATGGAGCTTGCAGCCATCATGTTGATTCAAGTTAGGCTTAGGGCAGCCGCTTGTTGTACTAGCCTGGCCCTCGACCTCTCTATTTTCGGGTACTGTGTCGCGATTTTCACAACCTCTTCCCCAGAAGCGTGGTTGAGAGCCGTTCTTCTTGGCTATGTCGGCGGCCACTTGGACAACCTCAGGTGACTGCTCCACTGCCACGACGGCTGCTGCCCCTGCATCCAGCGCAAGCATGGATAGCTGACCAAAGCCGCAACCGACATCGAGAACAATCTTGTCCGTGAAAAGATGCTCGTTCCGTCGAATCGCATAAGAATAAGCGCTATTCAGCTTTTCATCCTTCAAGATGCACTCAAACACGGAAGATCCGCGATAGGAATCGAAGAAATAGTCCGCGGAAGTAAACATCACACTACCTTCGCCTTTGCATGGTGCTCCAAGTGGCGACGTACACGTACTGCTGCTCGCGGGACTAACATCAGGACTGACGTCAGTCGCACGACCATTAGGATTAGTGGACTTCGACATCCTGTTTCATCAAAATGACAATAACGTTACAGCTACAGGTCGTGAAGATAATAAATAAAATAACTGATGAAAATAAAAATTTACAATGCTATCATGATAGGCTAACTGGTGTAATACGAGGTTGTGGTAGTTGCTAGTCCGAAAGTGAAAAAATATTCAAGCTTCAGACAATTCCGATTCGAATTCGATGAAAATTGAGAGTTATATCTATAATTACCAAGGGCAAGGAAGTGGAAGGCTTACAAAGAAAGGGTGAAGGACAGGGCAGTATGGAGGTCGTCGGGTAGCCATCAAATCTGCATCTGATGCTCAGACACTGGAGCAACAAGCAATATTAGGGAATGAAAATCCATGTGGCTAGAGAAGCTACTACAAAATTCGAACAATTATGCGCCGGCACTCAAAATACCAGGCAACCACGTTGTATAGAAAACAACTTTTTGGAATTCCACGGCTCTTTTTCGTTATCTGTAGCTACGTTCTTATTTTGTTTCTCCTTAACCTTTTCTTCAGTGTGGTGTCGTTAGTTCCTTTAAGGTACGTCGGATCTTCATCCTCGATCTTGTGTGCTGAGATAGAGCGAGGACCTCCACGGGTGATCTTTTGAGGCTGTCAAGCACATCAAGCTGATCTGTATTCTCTACCTGGATGATGGGACACCTTTACAGTATGCTGCTCGTTGCCGTCTTATCACGGGAATAAAGAATAGTACCTGATTAACTGGCACTGTTTCTGCTTCTTGTCAGAGTTGATCTCGTTCTAGAACTAGATCCTTTTTCTACTTTTCCACCTCACGACACAAAATAATCTCCGCTCAGTTAGTGGATAGATCGCATCGCAGGACACACATGATCCACCTGGAAAGCATAAGCAACTCCGTCAACACTTAATAACGAAAAACAACTCTTTGAGAACGCGAGCAGCCATGAATCGGCAGAGACTGAACATATTCATTCGGTAACAGCCTGGACCTGACAGCTACAACTAGATACTGGGCGTTAGTCTTGAGCTGCACGCAAAGAAATGAAAAAATGTTCAGAAGAAGGACTCACTCGATGACAGAAGTTGTTGCGTCTGTGCTTGTGCATCGAGTCACGCGTGGTTTTCCATCTCCTGCATGACACTAATACTTCCCGGCAAAACGAAATCCAGCGTTATTGAACTGCTTTGGTCGGCCAAGTTTGTTGGTATTTGCGCTTTGTGGATTTATCTGGTGCAAGAGTTGAAGAAATGGACGAAGTCATTTTCGATCTTGATAGAGCTCTGATATCGGTGTGATAGTTGTAAGTCAATAACGTCGTCATGGCTCATCCAAGTAGCTACTTGCTTGGTGCTGAAGTTAGACTTAGTCGAATCCAATTGTACTACCGTGATAAAAAACGCTACACGACTAGTTCTTGTGCTTAGGTTTTGGTAAAGGGACAGCAAAGTACATGTATACCGTATTGAAGGGAAGCTCCTTTCGCCCTCGTGTCATTTCGGAAAAAAAACCCTTAATTTCCGAATATATTCCTTCAGCTACGATGATTGGTGTCTGGTACACGTCGGTCATCATGATGGCAAGACCTGCGGATTTTGTGAAAAATGAACGATCATCTACGAGGAGTAGCACTAGTAGTTCTAGTTCTATAGTGTGAAAGGCGGAGACAAGTCCACATATTGAAAGCAGTATTGATATTGATTCAAGCAGGAACAGGTTGAAGTACTTAGATAAAGAAATTCCAATATGACCCTCTGGTACCAAGCGAGATCTTCTTCGGAAACTTGCCCGACATCTTGTGGTCGCGGATAAGGTAAAAATCCTAAGTGACACGAAAGCAGATTTGCTTTGCTGGCTTCTTCTACCTGTACCTTCTTTTTAACACCTCTAGTACTATGCGACTATAGAACAACAGCTCTATTTTTTATATATTACGTCGTATGCTGAGTTTTTATTTTTTCATCTTAGAGAGTACGCATTGATTATACAAGAACACGAAGAGAGCGTGATAGGTGTCTAGGTCTACTTCTACGCATTCATGGCGCACTAAACATGAAGCTTCTTGTTCTTCATGCAAAGCCTTTTGCGAGGCACTTTTCTCATGGCCATGATTCGTCTCGATTGCGTCTGACCTTCTCTCATGTCACATTGCTTGCGCCTACCTCTTCCACTGCCATCTGTGCTGGTGGTGTTGATCTGCATCGTCATTTCCAGGAGCGCGACAATCAAAAATGCTTGCGGAAACTATGAAGACCCATTATTTAGTTTGATGTTTCATTGACTATGCCTGGAATAATCGACTGGAGGGGAGCAACACTAATAAACACTCTTTTATTACATCAATTTTCTTCTATCCACGCATCTTTCTGTTTTTATTACGTCTTGGAGTTGGACTGACAGGTTAATATCAATGCAAGGAGGTCGCGTGGCGGACGTCCTCCTCGTGTAGCACCCGAAAACAAGAACAACTACTAGTTGTCAAAGCCAGTATATTCAGGTTGACTTCATCTTTCCCAGTCACTGAAGATGAAAAACTTAGTACATGCACCTTGATTATAGTTGTACTGCATCTGCAACTACACCTTTGCTACTTACTACCCGTATTTCGAGTTACAGATATGGTCTTTTTGATGGGTGCAACTGTGCCCTGCTGAGTCTTCTCCACAGCTTTCAGTGCAGCTGCCGCGCTGGCGTGACCTTTAACGTAATTGTTGTACTGCGTCGGCAATCGCGTATTTGGTACGAACGCGGAGTTGATGGCAAATTGCGTCGCACATGATCGATTGACGTAACTGGGTGAAAATAATGGAGAAGGATTCTTCTTTTAGTTGCGGATGAAGATCACCATCGCTGCACGTACGCTGGTCGTGGTCGATCACCCTAAAAAGTACAACAACCGCCTTCAGAGACAGTAGAGAGGAAACCAGGAGTACGCAAAAAAAAGCATGCTACTCGAGTAATTCGTTGTCCGCGAGTCTCTCTGCGAAGTAAGTTGATGCTGGAACTGAGGAGAGCTGCCACCCAGTCAAGGGCTCGTCCTCCGCCATCATATACCAAGATTTCCGGACGTTCTTACTCCCACCTGGCGGTGCTTGTCCTTTTGCACTGGGTTCTCTCTTAGTTCTCGGCCTAGCCGTGCCTCTACTGCTTCCTCCACCCGCAAGCATTCCAACCCCGCCTGAAGAGGCGGGACCGCCTAGTGCAGTTGACAGACCATCGCCTCCTACAGATGTGTGTGCGTTGTTCGAGTTCCCACCCATTTCACCACCTGAAACTACTGCAGCGTTCCCTGCTCTCTGCCGCACACTGAGCGAGCTCCCGGGAGCTGCAACCGGCGGCCGCGTCGGAGGCGACTGATCGAACGATCGGATATTCATTTTCCCGAAATTTAATGTGAACCAAAGCGGGAATGAGTGAGCAAGAACTTTTCTTCATGTATGCTGAGCTACCAGGCACATCACAACCTCTAGTACAGCAGATCTCTCTCTCTGTTCGGCACACCACAAAACGACGAGCATCCTCCATAGTAACATCTAGTACTCAAGTACCACGATTTGGTCTTGCCATTCAATGTACGTCATCTTTGCCTTTACAGTCAATGTTCGTGCGCTCTTCTTGTTCTTGCTCGCTCTCGTGTCATCCTTCCGGTAGAAGCAGTAGCTGTCGCGCCTGCATCAGTTACATCTATGAGATTTTTCCTCCTGTACACATAGAGTGGAAGGGTAACGATTTCTCTTTCGTCCCTTCTTGGCCTCATACAGGGTATCGTCCGTGAATCAGATCCTGTTGAACAGGCGTCTGCGCTTTAGCCTGCAGAAAAAGGAGGTGTTCGACACCAAAAAAAACGGCGAACAGCTTCCACCTCTAGTGCAATATATTTTTTTGGCTTTTTCATTGGCAATGGAATTGACCGACATGAGGTTGAAAGATGTTTGTTTCTAATCTGAGAACAGACAGCGAGATACCCCTTGCAGCAGCTGTTTCAGATTGTCAAGTTGCAAGATCTAGTCCTCGAAAATTACTGTACGTCGAGGCCCCGTACCCATTTCTGCAGTCCTACAAAAAATTCTCGACCCCCAATAATTCATACAGACCACGATCTCTACGACGGACACAGACAACATGATGAGTGAGGCCTGCCTCTTCCTTAGGATTGATCGCCCTCCAGAAACCCTTGCTAGTCTTACTACTTGTCACCTTCGAACAAGCTACTAGATAAAGAAATGCACAGACAAGCAGTAACTGTAACTTACGCCACCCCTAGAAGAATTCAATCGTTTACAGCATGATCAATCGTGAAATATACCAGAACAAGTACTTATTCAGCAATGATCCTTTTCATGATACTCGACTTTTCCCTAACCAGTCATGATTTTGATTTTCATCTTCGTCAAAATTAGTACCTTAACATACCTTCCCCGTAAAAACCGTAGCTAGTGGTGATCGCCTAACATATTCTTGCCATAGCTCCTTTCGAAACCAACCGGTTCTATTCGATGCGAGTGGATTTGAATACTGTAAGACTGTTTCACCAGAATGAAGAATAAGCTCAAGATATATCTGCAGCTACCTACAACCTCAGAAACAATCTCATTCTTGTAGTCACCTATCCGAATACACTCGACGTCCAAATACTCTCCTGTGGATGTTTGACGCGTTCGTCTGTGCTCCCCAGTCCATTAGCCAGCATTAGTCTCAGTACTCATCTTCAACTACATAATTCCGTGTGGCTTCATCTTACTTTACTGTTGTTTATGTCCGGCACCTCAACAATACCAATCGTTTTTTATTTTTTTTTATTTTTTTTGCAAGAAAGGGATATGATTTCTATTTGATATTATGATCGACAATCAACACGAATTTTCTGAAGGACTAGAAGTAGAAATGGAAACTGGAAGAAGTAGAATGTCACTTCACGAATTCATGAACTCTCGAAGAAATCATGCAGTTTTCTGTTGTACCACTGCATCGTTTACGTACAGCTGCTGTAGTCGGTCACCGTTCCGGAACCGAGCCACTAGCAGACACCATCATCTTCACCTATAAAACGACTTCGAATCTTCACCTTGCTCTTCATCCGTGAATCTGCATGATGCCGAGAGAGGAGAGAGATTCAAAAAAAGATCGAATTACATCGTATCGTTTTAGTTGTTGAAGTTTATGAGATATGGCGCACCTCCTTGCACCAGTACAATCTCGACCTACAACACCTGCAACCGGTACTCGAGGCGATCGAAATTTTCCTGGTATCTGTTGTGGAGGGAACTACAACTCAGGTCGATGCCCCAGCACGACATGCACATGAGGGACGAGGCCGTAATAACATTCATATTTCCGACTACGAATCAAAGTACCTTAGAACCCTCAAGGATGATAAAGAGAACTTCTGAAAATAGCTAAAGCTAGTGACACTGTTATTTGCAAGATATTGATACTCCCGTTTATAGATAAAAATATTGCAAAAGAACGTCATCAAACATTGTTCTTCACCGTGACCGCTTCTCTTGGTTACAACATATCAAGACATGATCACTACCACCAAATTGCCGATCTCGAAGCACCTATCAAGACTAAGTTCCTTATTGCTCAAGAAGACCCCAACTAAGTTCCTTATTTTCATAGTCATAAGTTATAAGTTGAAGGTTGATGTCACAGTTTCAGAACGTGTCTACCAGTACGGGGAACCTCCTCCGAACCCCTTGCCGCCATCATAGCCTCCGCCGAAGCCGCCTTTTCCGCCACCGAAGTCGCCGAAGCCACCCTTACCGCCGCCATATCCACCACCGAATCCGCCTTTTCCGCCGCCGTAGTCGCCGAAGCCACCGCCCTTGCCTTTGCCGCCGAAGCCCTTGCCTCCACCCTTGCCCTTACCCTTCTCGCGCGGAATGCCGTCACCGTTTCCCGTCACGTTCACTGCGGCTGTCTTCTGCTTCTGCTCATCCCAGAAGGTGTCGTAGAAGACGGTCTCGCCCTCGTTGAGACTCTTGAAGCCATCCTTGTTGATGGAGGAAAAGTGCACGAAGAGGTCCTCACCACCGTCAGCCGGACTGATAAATCCGAACCCCTTGTCGGAAAACCACTTCACTGAACCTTGCTGGGACATCTTGAGGTTGTTCTTGTTGTCTACTCTATTCCCTAGTAGCGACAAATAAATTTAATGATCAACGAATATGAAATATGATGATTTAGCACCAGGTAGAGCAGCTGGAAAACGAAGAACCTAAAAGTGCGGTTTTTGAAATTGGAGGAAGATTCGTTTGGATTTCGTGGTCAATCAAAATATTTCTTGACAGTCTGGTAACATGATCATAGGAGTAGCTGCACTAGGAAAAATAAACAGTAAACCGAACGTAAACAAGAAAAAGAAAATGAAGCAGTCATCAAGTGGAAGTGGTCCGTTCGCTTTCATTTGAGTTGACTTTTCGTGCACGCAATGACACATCAATACTTTTAAGGCAACATTTCACTTTCCACTTTCTCGAGATATGAGCACATGCATGTCCCCCTCAACACATTTACTGAGAAAACAACGGACGACGGACAACGATTTACCAGACCTTCGTCCAGAAAATTTGTGAATGCAACAACTGTACTTTCTTGTACGTGCGAAATTTTGCGAGCACCTTGTGGCGCATTACGTTGAATCCTTCCTGTGGACTCAATCAACCGTGGAGCTGCAGCAAGCAATTCTGACGAAGTGATAATATGTTATCGCAGGACCTCCTGGTTTTTCATTGATCTTGCTCTAATATCATCATCATGCACCTTTGAGATTTGTTCTGAAAGCAAGAGGGTTGTACCGCTCAATCTCAATTGTCGTAAGCTTCTGCGTATTTACATGAACAATCGCCACAACTAGTAGAAGCTTCAAACTGAACACAGACGCTACATTGCAGGAAAGTACGGCCACGGCATTGCCGTCCTGTCGGCTACTCATTGAGGACTCATAAGGCATGTTGTTGTTGACGTTGGGCGAATCATTTCGCATATCAAATTATGGATGCTGTAAACAAAGACAGAAGACACGTTCATTGTCGGTCAGGCTTCATGTACCATGTCATCACCACTTTGTTCCAAGTGCTGCACCCTGCACGTACTTTAGATTCGCAGACGACTGAAGATTAGTTGTGGTCATGTTGTGGGCAGCTATAGCTGTATAGAGGCATGTTCACAACTTCTGCGAGTCGTGGTAGAGGTAGTTATGAAGACAAATTGAGCAAGAATTATATATTTATACTGTACAAAGATACACATTATGAGATAGGTCATACCTCATCGGCATCCCGATTTACGTCGTGCAGAAGCCAAGAAATCCTGCCCACATCCGCCGTGTCTCTACTAGATTCAACATGATCATGTGATATACTCTCTCAAATTCATTCCACTGTGCTCGGTCAATGACAAACTCATTTCGAATCTACTTCAGTTAAGTGTGTATTTGGGTTTTTGATGCAATGGAAGTATTCGTCGTGAATAAGATGATCGTCATGTGTAAGTAGGTCTAGTCTCTTTTTCGAATTCGATTTAATTTCACTCATGAGATATGCTAGATTTATAATGATAAGATGATTATGATCCAGTCTGCTGCAGTCCTGTACATTTTCGAACTCCAGTTACACTCGCTCAATCACCTTCAGTCGGCGGCTCTATCTTGAGAGTTGGCGACGATGCCACCGGATCTCCTTCTCCTGATGCGGCAGGTGCCTGGTGGTCATCACTTTCAATCAGTGCTCGGGTGTATTGTGTAGGCTTTACCTCCTCACCTGCCTCCAGCACTGGCTGCTTCTCGTCTGGTGGCGAAGCTTGTGCAACTTCCCCTTCAGGTGCCGCGGTCTGATGTTGTTGCTCACCACTAATGTCTCCTTGCTGTTCCTTTGGATTGGCCTCCTCTTCTACGCCACCTTTGTCATTCCGCGGTTGACGCTGGTCTTCTTCTTGCAAAGAATCTTTTCCTCGATCTTCTTCGAGGACTGGAGAATTTTCTGCGCCAGCTCGGTCTTGTTCGTGCTCAGTAAAAGTAATTGTAGGTGTGGTGACTACGTTTGCTACGGTTTCTGGCGTTTCTTTTCTAATACCGAGGAAGACACGAATGTCGTCCGGAGTACCCTTCTGCCAGCCGCAGCTGCCATCGCCGAGACCGATTAGTAGCTGCAAGCCCTCTGCATTGTAGCAGGCATGGTAGAGATATGGACTGGTATCCCCAACGTCGGGTCCGTAATAGACTTCGGGACTCTGCGCGAACGGATAGACCATATTCGCAACGGCTGTTCCTTCCCACGTCATCTCCGCGATTTCACCGCTCACAGCAAACCTCCCTTCGACAGGCGTGTCACCCTCGAGCGTACCAGCACGCTCATCCGTGATTGTGTATGCATTCTGTGCGAAAGACGGACCAGGGCCGATAGAGAATGGCAGCCCGTCGGCAAGACGATTGAGGGGCCAGCGGACGCCGAGCTTCAACTGTACAAATTGAGGATCCTGCTCTTCCTGATGCTGCTCTGGATCCCTTCTAGAGCTTTCGTCTTTGTTCTTGGCAGAAGCAGACGCTGTGCCAGCAGTTTCATCTGCTGCCTCAGGATTTTCAGCATCTTCTTCTTCGTCCTCTTCCTCTTGGTTTAGTGCTGATGTTGGATCACTGTTAGTGTCGTCGATGTAAAGCGTGTCTGCCTTTGCAGCGAGTTGCCGCAGATACTCACGTGTGACGCACAGCTGACCGCCTCGCCCATCCTCTGAGCGCTTGAAAATGAGAGTGTAGTCGTATCCCCGCCGCGCGTGTTTCGGCCTTGTCGGGTTGTAGACTAGCTCCACATTCACATCGACTTCCTCTTGTTCACCCTGTGCATCACCAGCACTCTTCGCTGACATATTGGATCCTTCCCGGCCGTTATCGTAGTCTTCACCAACAATCCGCTTGTTTAAGTCGTCTCCTGACGCTTCTTCCTCGTCACGTGGTGTCCAGTCTATCCGAAGCACCCCTGTTTGCGGCAGTGGCTCGCTCGGTCGCCCGCCTGGCATACTGTTCAGCCAGTTGTCGGACCGCAGTATCCGTTCCTCCCGCTTATCCCCTGTCGGACTCAACGGCGACTCGGCACGGGCCATCGCTTTCCGCTCTGCTTCGGCGGCGTCTAAGTCCGCCTGCAGTTCCTCAGCCGACATTGCTGGTGGGACGTAGCCGATCTCTCCCTCTGCGTATGTGATTTTTGTCACTGGCGATGACGGCGGTTTTATCTTGTCCCAACGGCCCTCCTCATCCACTGCCAGCTTGGTCCAGTCGTCCCTGCGAAGGATCGCTTCCTCTACTGGAGGCAGCGTCTTCGCCTTCTGCGGGTAGAGCACATCCGAGACTAGCTTTTGTCGTTCTTGTGCCAAAAAATCGTCTAAGAGCTGTTTCCTCTCCGCTGGGCCGTAGAGAGAGTCAAGGACCGAGGCCTTTTGCGGCACGAAGACGCTTTGTGCGTCAAGTGGACGCGCTAGTTCATGATTCAGCGCTTCGCCCATAGTGGGCCCGTTCCAACCGGAGAGCCCAAGTTCGTACGTTGTCAGAGCTGGAGAGAGAAAAGTTGAATGGAGAAGCAGATTTAGAAAACAACTTTGTCTTTGACTTTGGGCTCATTATTTTTTGTAATTTATCAGGTCTCGACAGCGACAGATACGACTGCAAAGCAACCCAAGCACAACTGACACGAATTTGAATTTGTTGGAAGAAAAGTACCTCTGGCATCTTTTACTGCGGGATTCAGGGCTGTGTGAATGCCCATGAAATCTTCGTAGAGCGCTTTTTGATGTTGACTCTGAACGTTAAGCGCTTCCCGTTTCAGATTGTCCATCTGCACTTTGATTCCCGCTCTTTGCTGCTTGCTCTGCTCCTTCAACTTATCGAGCTCCAACTGCATTGAGTCGTTTGACGCCCTATGAAGCCGCATAATCTGCGACTCTCTTTGCGCTACTGCGTCTGACTGACGTGAACGGGTGGCGTCCCAACGTCCACCGCGATTGATTGGAGACAATCCACGACCCGCACCTGGTACTAGTGGTACTTGTGCTTGATCATGAAGACTCGCGATCCCACCTCCTGATCCGCTGCTCTTTTCTACGAAAGGATCTGCTGAAGAACGGCCTGCAAGCATGCTGCGGTACTGGTCTTGCACGTTGGGGTCGCGCGCAAGCGCGCTTCCGAATTTCGGATACACGTCGGGAAATGTCTCAGGCGCGAAGAAGCTTACTCTTGGCGGCGCACCTGCTTCGACAAATGGCGGTCGACGGCTTGCGTATTGGTTCTCCCACTCCTCGCGCAATCGATGGTACTCCGCTTGACGGCTATCCTTACTTGGAGAGACGGTATCAAAAGGACGACGGTCACTAGGATCGCGCCCCATGGGAGCGGCTTCGCTCGTCAGCTTGGATGGCGAGGACTCCAACCGACCGCGACCGGAAGTTGTCGTTTCGTGGTCTGGCTCCATCTCGGAAGGTGGACTACGAGGTATCAAACCGCCGCGTGACGGTGGTGGTGTGCCATCTGGCGTTTTCGAGCAACCGTTCTCTAATTTCCAGATGCGCCACTCAGCATCGATGTCTATCACATTCTTATTCTTGTTTCCTCCACCTTGTTTGTGGTGTTCGCTACTTTTACCGCCTATCCCATCGTCTGGCGGGTTGTAATTGCCACTCCTAGGGCTTCTTATTGTTCTGCCTCTCGGTGGTGTTTTAACGTATCCACTGGGCGTACGCGGAGAGGTAGTGACCGGTACCTTTCTGTTCGCAGATCTACTCCTGTAGTTGCTTGATTGTTGCTGCTGAGGACCTCCGCGATCGTGCTGATCCACATCACTACTATCATCGGTCTTAATTCTCCCTTCGCCACGACCTCCAGTATCCCGCTTCCCCTCCTGCTCTTCCTCGTATTTTCGCACGATGTCCTCCCGCTCGAGTGCTATTCTTCGGTCCAAGGCCTCCTGCTCCTGTCTCTCTCGCTGTTGCTCTATCTGTTTGCGAAACTGCTTCTCTTGCATCTGCTGTGCTAACGCCATCTGCAGTTCGCGCTGTACGATCTCTTTCCGCTTTGGCGAGCTGTAAACTCCTAATCCCGCAAAAAGACCGGGCCCAAACTGACTACCAGGACCTGCGAACATCTGCACTTGGAAATCATCGCGCGCATTGCGTCCCTCGAACGGGTCATGGCTCTTAAACCTCGTGTTTTGCTGTGCTCTGCGACTAGTCGATGCGACGGACGGCGACCGCGATCTTGGCGAGCCATATCCGGAGTTGTCAGTGTCCTTGTACATCGACTCCTTGCTCATCTCGTAAGGACGGCCAGCAGGAATGTCGCCTGAAAAATGTGCGTAGGAGGTAGATATCAAGGAAGATATTGCAAAATGAAAGACAAACTGCGAGCGTGCAGGCACAGCTGCATACTGACAACGTAGAAAACTTCATCTAGTACTATTAAAAGATGAGGCCTCAACCTCGAAGAGTTGTTTGTAATAAGAGCGAGAGCGAACACACAGTACTGCTACTATGATCAGTCTGCGGAACAACAGGCATGTCGTAGGCAGCTACGACTACAAACTTCATCGATTATATATTCAGATACCTTCCATGAGAGGTTTCGCAACTTGGACCACCCTTCTCTTTTCACCCCACGTGAAGTGCTGATCCGGCGACGCTTGCAAGTGCTTTCGTTCTAGCGCGAGTTCGTCTGCCCGCCGTTTCCGTTCGCCCGCTTTCTTTTCTTCTATCTGCCTTTCTAGTTCAAGTCTGTAGAGCTGCTGTTGTTTTTGAACCATCTCCATCTGGTGCATCTGCGTTGATTTCGGTTCTCGACCATGCAGTGGCGGCAAAGCGGCGGATCCGCCAAAGAGATTTGCTCCTGCTGCGTTTGCTCCTCCACCAGCGCCACCGCTCGTTCCACCTCCTGGACTGGCACCCGCAGCTGCGCTCATCAAGAGGTTGCTGCGTCGCGCCGATGATGTTCGAAACGGCATGTCAGTGTTCTCACCTTTTGCGCGAGGTCGTGGAGAATGCGTCCCCAGCTGGTCCAAAAAGCCACCGCCCCCATTGTAGTTCTGCTGTCCCTGCCTCCTCAAGTCATCCTCCAGCTCGACGCGATATCTGTCGAGAGAATCCCACTGCTCTATCACGGCATGACTAGTGGCGCTGGGCGACCCAGAGGGAGAAAACTCACTACGAGGGGATCCACGGTACGAACCGGTAGCGGCTGTACGGCCGGCCGCGGTGTATGTACCATGCTGTCTGGTGTACCGGGGCTGCATTCTTATCTTTTTCCTACTACTTACGGATACAGATGTAGACGACGACTATCTAGTTATGTAGATGGCGGTTCGCGTTTCATCTAAATGCAATTAGATTAGATTAGATTAGATTAGATTGGGCTCCTGCCTCAGCCCTGCGCCTCAAGCGCCGCATCAGCAGAAATTTCCTTTTGGCTCTCTCGTGAGCCTGCTCATAAAAGAAATTTGAAACGAATTCTGCTTTCTTTGGTGTATCACCATAAGGCCGGGGGTATGGTGCAGGGAAAAATGAGAGGGAAGTTCCAATCCCGAATATATAAGTAGAAGAAGATAAAGATTCTACTTACGAGAAAACGGGTCATAATTGTCATTCTAGCTATCACTGAAAATGGACGAAGAAGCATGGCTGAGAATGAAAAAAGACGGATCTTCTTGGGAACGGAATCCAATGCCTCACCCAAGAAAATTCCTGAACCACGAAGATCTAAATTTTCTCTCTTCTTGCCAGAGCTAAAACCACCGAGCATTTCCACAACAAGTAGTCTTCTCTCATCGTGACAGATTCATCATCCGTCTTTTTGCAAGAGTATGCTTATGTATCTCATCACCAGTGCTGTGACTCCCACCATGTTCGTCATACTAGCACCAGCTCAATGTCAATCGTATCAACAGATGAAGACAATGCCATCTTGTTTCACTCATGTTTGACAGAATTTTATATTTAGAAGGAGGACTCTCCCTGGAGACAGACTTGACTCCATATTATGTACAAGATATCTCTGATATTCACTGGAGCCAATCTCTCGCTCTCCACACAGATGAGAAAAATGCTGGTGGGTGACAGATGAAGACCATGTCCTGCAGCCACGAACATTGAAAACTTAAGCTGAAGTTCGTGAGAAAGTGCATTTCCTGGTCGAGAAGAAGGAGCCCTATCTCCATCACAGAATACGGTCTAACTCACGGTCTAGCCAGGAAAACGTGTAGTTTTGTGCCTGCAAGCATGCATCTTCAATCATAGCCTCTATGCGCCTCCGCAGGATCTGATTGCTCCGAGGTGAAAATAGAGAGATGGAATTGTTGTTGTCTCTACCTCGCACAGCAACAGTATCTCTATCATGTTGACCATCATCCCCGTCTAGCCCCGCATACAGCCGCCTAACTAATCTAGCCACATGCAATGCCTCATCGATGCTGCTGACGTAGAGAAAGTGCTTGCCTGGCTGGAAATACTCTTCGAGCAAGGACCAATGATCGGCTAAAACGAGATGCAGACACTTTCCAAGCGCCGCTTCGAACCCACGCGCCTTCAGCTGCGGCGCTCTAGCGACTGGCCTTCCATGTGGGAACCCTGTGAGGAATTCAGAATCAGAACGCCTCAGACGAAAAGCTTGATGCTTTGCAACCGGTGTGTTGGCATCAGGTGACATTGAGTCTGCTGATGTTGTAGCAGACGGAGTGACACCAATCATCTGAGAACTGAAATCAGCGAAAGCGCGTCTGTCGGAAGCGCCAGAATCCTCTAATTTCTTCGAACGAGCGAAAACATCGTGAAAACTTCGACGGGGAATCATGTCTGTCGAACTGATCGTATCGATTCCCGTTTCTTGATCCTCCTTGTTTCTTGTCTGCGTTCCTTCGTGCATAGGCTTTCTCTCAATCATGTTCATGCCGTCCACCCTATCCCTGGCTTCTTCATACTTTTGTTGAAGTTCCTTTCGAATATCTTGCTCCACATGGAGACTCTCATCCACTGGATCAGTTGCTTTAGGTTCAGCCACGTAGAAGTCCCTGAACAGTGGATTCGCAAGTTGGTCTAAGTGTTCACGCCGGGCCCACTGTGTGGACAGCCAGTCGCGTATAAACCTTGTCTCACGCGGCTCTATGTTCACCAAATTGTGTGTGAAGCAAACGCGGGCCTGACCATACAAACGCAATTTGTATTCGTAAGACGAAGAGTTTTCAGCGTCTTGCATATCAGGTGTAGAAGCTGTAGCAGCTTTTCTTTTCTTTTCCTCATCACCATGCTGCTTCTCTGAATCATCAGGTTCGATTTTCAAACTGACACCCTGTTCTGCAAATCGTGTCTGAAAATCTTCCCCCATATACTTGCTAGCTAAACGCGCTTGATTGTTTCCAAAGAGCTGGAAGACAAGCGGCTTCTCTTCCGAATCGTGAAGATCAATGCTGCGATTATACTGCGTGAGCGTGATTTTGGGAAGAAATATTTCCCTCTGGAGATCCGCAAGAGAATTTCCAGCGTAAAACAGGTCCACCGGTCTTTCTGATAAAGGTAAATGCCGTTCTTGCAAAGCCGCAGGCTTTGCCGTGGGAACAAGGTTAAAGAGTTCGGCATCGTCCGAATAGGTTTTCTCCCGATGCTCGCCCTCGACGTCTTCGTGTTGACCAGCAGGACTGCCGAACCTAAAAACGTTCTTCGTCATCAGAGGCATCCGCAGAAATTGAATACTTTTCTCCGCAGTCGTAATCGAACGACCTGCGCAATGCTGGTCCTCACGACGTGTCATCTGCTCACCAGGTCTTGTCGTGCCTGTTGCAACTGGCTGGTCGGAAACTGGCTTTTCATTTTCTCGTCCACTCGACTCCGGAACTTTGGACATCATTCGATGGAAATAGGGACACAGTGTGAAGACGTGTGTTGGCAGAAATCGTCGGCGAAAAAGCATGCGGTGAGTGGACTCATGCATAACGCGAAGAAAATTGCGTCTAAGCGCACCTTGAAGGAAGCCCAGCAGCGGATACATCACATCGAAGCGCATGTAGAGGTAATGTTTCTCGTAGAGGCGAGGCGCGCGATCACGATCTCCTTTATCAACAGGCGGTGCATTATTTTCTTCGTCCATCGAGTTCGAGATAGGACTTTTCAAATTTCGTTTTCCAACCGCACGTCCATCGTAAAATGAGAAAGCCGCGAGCCGGCCGGTTCTTGCTCCTTGGTGACACTGCAGGTGAAGATGTTGGTTGTCAGTCCCGCCACTTCTTCCTTTTTCTTCGTCATTCGACGAAAGCACGATGCCAGTTCCCACGAAACTCAAAGCTGCATTTCGGTTTACATGTGGATGCCACTCATCGAGTTTTTCTCGCTGAACTGCCAATACTTTCGCGTTGTTGTGCAGGCCGGCCCATGAGAGGCTCGCAAATTCATGGTCCATGAAATCTAACGAACATTCATCGATGGCGGGCATCGCAGTGTGATCTGACAGGCCAGCTGCAATCGTCGAGTCTGGTCTGGAACCATCATGATCCTCTACTAGTGAGGCTCTAGATTCGGCAGGATCTGCATACGGAGCGACGTCTAGGTCACGCAGCTCAGAATTGTAGGTGTGCCTGACTGTATCCCCGAATTTCTGCAAATCGAGAACAACATCTTCTTCAGCAGGACCTGTCTCAGCGACAGCATTTTTCGCCATCGCGTAGCGTTTTCCCCTTGTACTCCAGGCCCACAGACTCGTTTGAGGAACTTCGTAGTCCAATAAAACGCGTTTGCGAAACAGGTTGTTCGTTGTTCGAAGCAAGTCTTCCAGATACGCCATATCAGCTGGAGACGGCGCAGGGCGTCGATTGATGTCGATTGCACCAAAGAATGCTAGCAACTCTTGCTCGCAATAAACCCACGCAAAATTTCCCAGCACCAGAAATGTTCCACCTTGGCTTGGGCAGCTTGCAGCTTCTTTGATGAAGCGAAAATCCGGTCCCCACTCGTGCGAGTCCGGCAAGTAGGCGCACACGAGGGACAGTTCGCCACGGCCGATGAGAGTTATCAAACGAGTGATGTGCTCGCCGTAATCGATGGTCTCCCGGTGTGAAACGTCTAAGCCCTCATGGAAGCCAAGCTGTTCGCGTTGGAATCGAGGCTGCGTGAACCACCAACGAGTTTCGGATCCAGGATGACGAGGCGTGAACCTAAAAGGTATATGTTGGTGTCGCATGAGTGCATGGTGTATCTGCTGAATTCACTAAAATGCAGCTCGGGCCTCGGCGACTCTCAGTCTTGTTCTAGAGGTAATGAACCTGATAAAAAATCATTACACCCCTGCGCCCAGACTCGTTTCTGGCTGCTAGTGAAGATTTCTACTCCTTCATGGCACCACTTCATCTGTGGCGCTATCCGATGGAAGCGCACGGCGATATCGTCACAATCGCTAACCACGAACAATCGTTGTGACTGGGCCCCAGCTTCGTGCCGTCTCAACTGCATATCAGCGAAGTAAAGCTGCGTAACCTCGTCGATCCTGCGGCAACTCCCCGTTCGGAGTAAAGTTGCAGTCCGGTTCTTCGACTCGGCGAGACTTTTCGCCTTTGGCTTTGAAACTGCCGTAGCCGCGATCATGAAAGGGTCGCGAAGCTCCTCTGTCGGAAAATGCCATCCAATGCAGTCGCCGGGCTGGAGAGCCTTGTTGATCTTAAGGTACGAAATCGCCGCCGACGAGGTTGGTTCCTCGTCTTCATGTTCCGAAAGTCGATTCGACGTGCCCTCCCGGTCTCCCTCGGTGGCAGTGCCATTCGCTGTTCTTGTTGACCAACTTCCCCTTCCATGAATTATTCCAGATCTTACTTGTTCAGGTACCAGTTCTTCGAAATGAGACAACTGAGGTGTAGTTACCAGGTTCTCCGAGAGCTCCGTGATGCTGTCCTGCAGATTGAAGAAGACGAGAGCAAACCACGTCTTCAGGAAAAACCGCAACGAAATTGCCTCAATGAAGAGCTGTCCATGCCCTTGATTGCAGAGGTCGCGGCTCCAAACCTTAACACCACCCTGACTAGCCATTATTTACTGTCAAAAGCGATCAGGCTGCCACATTACGACTGCTTCTATGTGAAAAGTGCTCTCACAGTCACCAGATTGAGTTCGTATTAAATGTAAGAAAATGCATCTTTCTCGTCGTATCTAAATTTACGTAAAGTAAAAGTTGTTAACTTGCAACGAAAGACTAGTTCTACATCAACAACTAAAGCGAACACTTGCGCCGTCTTAGCTCTCAAACGACAGCTGCAAAGGAATCATCGTTACTGGATAGATCGTTCTTTTCGGCTATATTCTCGGTATCTTTGCTGTCACTAGGAGTAGCAGACCACCAATCAAATCTGGTTGAGAAGCCATTTATGCTGCCATGTTTTGCGAGAACTCTTTCTAAGAGTGCACGTTCCTCTGCGTGGTATTCGTTCGCGAGTTGCCTCGTCGCGGTGGGTATAGCATCGAACGGCAAAAAGGCTTTGCCGCCGCCCAAGACGTTACGTTTCTGTACGCGACCTTCAGGAAGCCTCGACGCTAGTAGCTGCTCCCATGGCTTGTAGGCTCCAGGAGACGTTTTGGAGTTTTTGGAACTAGACGACGATTTTTCACCTGTTCGAAGCCAGTGTGTGATTCTCGCGATTCCCGCCACTGTCAAGGCTTCACGCATATGAATGACTAGCGTGTTTTCCTCTCCCTTGATCAACGTTGCGCGCTCGATTCGCTCGCGCCAGCTTCCCCACCCGCGCCCCGGAACGCAGTCGGTCAAGTTGTACGCAATCATTTTATCGAAATCCGTGTCGACCAGCTCGCTGCAACGCATGTGGTTGTAGTGGGATAAGAGCGCGTCCACAGGGTCGGAGACCAGAATGACAATCTTAGCATGCTGTGGCAGTCGACGCAATGTGACCTCCGACTCAATCACGCGTGGATCTTTGGCGCCGCGAAGCGTCGTCTTGCGGTCTCGCGTAAAGCCGGAAAGGAGGTATTCGAGAGAAGTTTGGGGAATTGCATAGTAGTTGGACAACTCATGCGACCAGAACATCGTCTCGCAGTGCTCCTCTCGATCTGAAGTTGATGATGAAACTCAAGCTGAAGTGTTGTATTGTTGATGCATATCTTTTTTGTTTACAGTTTCACACTACATTCTAATGTGCCTTGTGCCCCCGTGATGAAAGAGAACAAGTTTCTAATTTCGTCCTTTGATATTGAACTTTAAGTACCACACTCTGCCATTTCAAATCCCGGCACGCTTTCGTGCAGCGCGAAGGCTAAGGAAGTCGTTCCTGACTTCGCGAAGCCGATTATGACAAAATCGATGTCCACATCGCTCCAGTCTAGAAGAGGCTCGATTCGTACTGTGAATCGCCTCGTCAGGTGTATTGGCAAGAGCAGCTCTCGGGGAAATTCCTGTCGAAACAGAACAGCAGGCCGCTTCGTGCATTCCGGTGCTGGAAGGCAGACACCGAAAGCTGTATCGACCCAGCCCCACTCATCGCCAGACTGGGAGTCGGTGAACATGTTGACGAAACGAACAAGGAAATTCTGACCTTTTTTCTTGTCTCGGCATTTGTGGAACTGCTCGGAAAAGAAACGGCGCTTGAAGGGATCGGAAGGTGACGCGATAGCTTGCCATATCGCGCCGTGACCGCGTTCCCGCGTGTAATGAGTCGCAACTGGATATCCGAAATAGTTGCGAAGGCCGATTGGGCGTCCAACTTCGTTATCTTCATCACCTTCACCTTCTGCAACAAAGGCACCGCTAGAGTTTGAAGAACTCTTCACTTTCGTATCCATGGCTGTTGCTTTGTCCTCGGAGGTTCCCTCAGGTTGGGGACGCTCTGCCTTCGACGTGGGAACCGCCATGCGGCCAGTTGTTTGCTCTGCTGACGCCAGATCACTCACCTCAAGGGGGCCATCCCAAGTGTTTAGAAAAGCAGTCACGCAGCCCAACGCTTCCGGTGAGAGGCTCTCCTTCAGTTTTTTCCATTCGAATTTGCTCGCATCGAAGTTGGTCGCACTGGCCACGTTTTGAAAAGAGGACGAGGTTGCAGGAGGGGCTTCGTCTTTCAAAACGCGCAACTGGATAGGCGGAGTTGTAGCAGCCTTTGCCGCCGCCCTCTTCGAGTTTGGAGCTTCCACTGCATCATCATCCTTGATGAACGTTCCCCTTGCGATACTGTATGCAGGTGAAGGCTCGAAAGTCCATACGCGTGGCAAAACAACCTGTTGTTCCCAACTGTACGCCTTCGGTTGATCGTGGAAGTTCAACCACTGAAGCTGCAGAACTTCGGAGCAACAACTTGCTGACGGCATGGATCGAGAAATGTCCTCCAGACGCGGATCCTCGAACATTTGGGCCCACTCGCGTCGTGACATCAGATTCTTTCGCATTCGATGCGCCTTTCTAGCGTTCAGAGGGTATCGCCCTTCAAGTACGCCTGGAGATTCAGATGTACGAGCCGTTCTCACCGCCGTGCGTGTAAAATTTCTGAAAGAGGCCTCAGTGGGAAAGAATTTCTGCGAAAATTCTCGGAAGGCTGAGCGAACGGCAGATGTCGTCGTAGCAATTGTTACGCTTACGGAATCACTTTTGGTATCCTCCTCATGTTGACGTTGGTCACGAAAGCGCGGGCACAAAACGTCTAGTCCCTGCCCTGCAGATTCTGGTTCACCTGGCCCATGCTCGGAACCAGAAGTCAAAACCCTGTAAATCTCGCATGCTTCCACAGGATCAATGAGAGAATGCTCAATGTGAGATGCCGAGACGATATCCGCGTTATCGTTCTTGTTACGTGGTGTCGTCTGCACATCAATTTCCACAGTACTCGCTACACCGGCGAGCAGCTCCCAGCGTCTCAAAGTTTCATACCTTGCAACAAAATTCGGCTCGTATTGTTTCCAGTGTTTCAGCACAACGTCAAAATTAATCGTTCTCTGCGCTTCGTGGTGGAGGTTCCAGGGCAAAGGCTGAGCGCCACCAAAGACCATGTGCAGATAGCGAGGCAGGACGATCTCGGTAATCAGCTGTGGCTCCATTGCGCAAACGCGGGGAACACAAAGCGACACGTAAATGTCCTCGCGGGTTACGTGCACAAACTGGGGATGCGGCGAACGACGAAACACGGACTGCATGCGCTGCTTTATCGTTGGATGTATCAAAGGCTGTCGGGAAGCACTAGCGCCCCTTGGAGGTTTTGTTCCATCTTGATTGGACTCTGGAAGTTCCACTTCCAACTGCTCGTCCTCCAGCTCTATCCGATCGTCCACTGAGTACTTCCGCGGAAAGTGGTTCTTGGTTTCGCCATGCACGTTTATGTAGTCGTGCGGGTAAAAGAGCATCTCTGCCCAAACGTATCGTGATTCGGGATCAGGATCCGAAGCACAAGACAGCCGCATCGCGTAGTACTCTTCGTCACTGATCTGAGTGGCGGCCAGTAGCGAGTAACCAAGCAGCTTCTGCTCGTACAACGATCGCCGCAAAAATTGCTGACATTGCAGCGCTCGCGGATTATGCGTATGCTTGTGCTTCTGAGGGGCAAGCGGTCGAGGATCATGGTAAGGCGCTTGTTCCGCGCTGGCGGCTAACGAAGCCACGAAAGCAAGTACATGAACTAAAACGTAGTGCATCCTCAACAATGGACACCATTGATTTCTCATCATTTCTTATCGCTCTTCACTGCATTTCCCGCCTCATTATCTTCACAGGGATGTTGAAATTGACTATCGTCTTTTCTGTTTTGGTAGGCCTGAGCACATCGTACGTAATCGTATGTTCTCTCTGGTGTCATCTCGTCCAAACCGATGAATGCGTTTTGTTCCACGCGAATGCGTTTCCCCGTGGTACTCTCAAAGCATACGCCCTCAGTCATAACTGCCAAGGATGTCCTTATTCCATCACAGGAATCGGTACTGCAATCGCGCCGACACTAGGAAAATACAGTAAAAAAAAAGAACACTACGCCGAGGATAGCCACATCCTCACGTGCGCGGGGCTTGAGCCACCGCAGCCACAAACAAGAGACTGAACTGCTTTTGATGTTGTGGCGAAGAGAACTAAATAAACCTTTTGACGCATTGTCATCACGCATGTCTCTCGTCGAGTATCACTGTCCCATAGTGTCACTCGTCTCTGTTTTAAACAAGCAAAGTAACAATAAATTTCCGAATGTAATGCTACAGGGGTAGCGCACAGACTTTACCGACAAGAGCGAACAAAAGGTACAACGACTAGCCTTTCTACTTCCATCGGACTTAACGAGCATAGAAGAAAACAATCATACAAATCGAGAACTTGTTCCTTTTCGATTCCGACAGTAAATAAGAGATAGACCGAGGAAGACCAAAGGGTTGCCATTCTTTTTACTTTCGACAGTAAATAAATATGATCCATCCCCCCGAAAAAACCACATGATAGAAGACATGCACAGTTAGAACTTAGCAGACCGTGACCGTGTTTACATCAAAATTATGGAATGATGTTATTGCAGTTTTTGTGCTTCTTTTTCTCGGCCCAAGATGTTCATCGAGCTCGAAGGATTGAGATATCTTTTAATTCAATTCAAGCCGGGTCTCCCTGTTTCTCGCCCCAGTCCTCAGACCAGCGCAGCTCTCGGGGAGTTTAGTTGGTGCTCACTGCTGTTAAGTGAGTAAATAATAATAAGATTTTGACCACAAAACAATAAGATATTTGATAAGATGGGAAATAGATTTGGTCAATTTATTCAATAAATACCTAATTTCAACATTATCATTTCCTTCAATACCATAGAAGACTAGTACCAACTACATTGGATGACCTACCTAGAGCTGGACAAATATCCACAACTCTTACATCTACAAACTGGCTACGTCGACGACCGTGATCTTCATCAGCGATTGAAGAATACAATCATACGAAGCGGACGCAAAGAAACCCAAACCAAATAATCAATGTGGTCAAAACTTAGGAAAAGCATAGCAACATGCTCAGAAAGCATGGCTTGATCATGCTGTGCCTGTAAGTCATTTGCTGGTGGTCGACGACGTGCTGGTCTCTTAATCGCGATATTAAGCATGCCTCGGTCGATGTACGAGTACGCGACCCAAGAAGGCATTTGCAAAAATGGTTCCAAGACATCACCTGCTATTATTTTTATTTTACTTGTATGTTCTTGGTGGGAGTTGATCGTAACTTCTTTCTTTCACCAAGCTGTATGCATTGCGTCATGGTTGGAGGTGGACCAACAAACTACCACCTACTTACTAAATTCGCTCGAACTTGTTTTTATTTTTAACGTCAATTCAATCATGTTGATATAACACTACTCATTTTCTGTACAGACCTCGTCCTCCATCTTCTACCAATCGCTCCATTTTGTGAATCTGAATACTTAGCTAACGAGCGAAAAAATCTAGGAATTCTACTACTACAACTTACGACTACGAGCAAAACGAGGCGGATGCGGATGCGCTCACTTTGCTAAAAAGGCTAAAGCTAAACGGGGTGATTCGTGAACATCATTTTGTTTGCTGATGAAACTGAGACCCAAATTCTAGAACTATTTTTCGTGATTAATGGAATAGAGGACATTTTTCATTTGCAAAGCCCTCGAAGACACAATTGCAAAGTCCTCGAAGAGGAATGATACCAAGTATGGTGAGAGCTGAGGATCCATTCGCATTCTCTCTGAAAAAATTCCTGCAAGATAATAGAGGCGATCGGCGTCCGTCGTCGTGACCAGGGTAACCGTAACCAACGAGTTGACCCATCAATTTTTCATGCATAATAAAGATGCTTCTTAGTCCTATTCCATGGATGTTGGACAGCCTCGGTCTAGCAAAGCGGCGAAGGCTAACAAGATAGGCGATGGTCTCCAAGTTCGTTACTAGCCATTATGATTATGCCCTCCTTGTTCTATTATATATAAATATATGTTCCAGGGGCCAGCACCAGGGGCCAAGGCCCCCCCGATCTAAATTTTTGAAGGGGGGGGCCTCCGTAGGGTCGAGAAAGGGACCCCCTGGGCTTTACGGGATTTCTAGTCGTGTAGTTGTCCAGTACTTGCACCCGGGCCTGTTGAGGAAGAAAAGCATGATATAAGACACTTGAAGTAAAGCTGGGCGTACTTTTCGACGCGAGTTCTTGTTCTGCAACAAGTATAATTGGATCCCAGCTCCATATTACAGCGTTAATAAGACGATCCCGTCGTATAACCGTCAGATAAGACACAAATACTCCTAGTGCTGTTGCGAAGATAAATTCGTTGCTCTTGTTCGTAATGATGCTGAAAGGACTAGACGGCGTTTCAAACTTTAATAGTTAAAAACTTAGTCTGACTACCCCAACATAACCTCTTGTTCGTAATAAGTAAATAATAATAATTTTGATAGGTGTGGCCGTGGCGGTAATTCCATTCAACTGGGTACTATCAGATTGATATCTATAAGACGTACTCAGATCCTCCCGAATTCAGGGAAAAGCGTAGCGCACCCACCGAAGCAACTGAACTCGAAGCCGGGCTTAGAGTTCGGGGGAGATATCTTCTTGAGGTAAAGGTATTCGTATGGCGTAATCATATAAATATATTGCTATCTACTTCCACTTCGGCACAGCCTACACATGGAAGTAAGTGCAAGTGCATCTGGTTCCCAATGACAAAATTTCCCCAAAATCTAAGGGAGACTTTCCACGACACCGTGAAGAGCCGCCAACGCGAATACGTCGTGGAACTCGACGATCGATAGCATGGCGAGTTTCTTATTATATATGATCCAGGGCTTTCTTATTATATATGGTCCGGGGCTACGGTGCCCCCCCTACGCTAGGGGAGGGGTACCGTAGCCCCGGGCCCCTTTTCGAAGCGTCTGCCGGGCGTGGAAGGCCTCCAAAAGTCAGGGGGCCAAGTGGCCGCCTCCGCTCCCTTCCAGGTGCTTGGCTGTCCCCTAGAGGCCTCCGACGTAGGTGAGAGGCCTCAAGAGGGGCCCAAGGGGCCGCCTCCGCTTCCTTCCAGGTGCTTGGCTGTCCCCTAGAGGCCTCCGACGTGGGTGGAAGGCCTCAAAAGGGGCCCAGCCTGGAGACCGCCTGCGCCCCCTCCCAGGTGCGTGCCTGTGCCCTAAGTGTCTCCGATATGCTTCGCCGCCGCAGCAGTGCGCCGGTAGTGGAAGGCCTCCGAAGGCATGCACCCCCCGGGCCCTTGGTCATCGGCGACCGTCGCCGCCTTCGGCGGCCTTTTACCCCGGAGACCTCCCGCCTGCGAGGGTCAGCAGAGGCCAGGGGGTCCCTTAGGGACACGCCGAGAGGCGCAAGGAACCGCCTGCGCCAAGTTTTGACGCCTTTCACCACCGGAATCCGCGAAAATCTGCGCGGAAAAGCGCGCGCGCGCGCCACCACAGACTAGACCACAGGGGGGGACACCGTCCAGCCCTAAAACATATTTATATATGTTTCAGGGCTCAAGGCTGGAGGCCCCCCCCGATCTAACTTTTTGAGGGGGGAGGCCCCGGCCCCTCTTTTCGAGGGGCTGCCGGGCGGGAAGGCCTCAAAGCGCCCACTTCTGACCCCTTCCCGCCTCGTTGCGTGTACCCTACAGACCTGGCAAAGGTGGCAAAGGCAGGGCCCCGCTGCCTTGTTGCGTGTACCCTACAGACCTGGCAAAGATGGCAAGGCTCGCGGGCGCCCTCTGGCGTGTTGCGGTACCCGACAGAGCTGGCAGAGGAGGCAAGGCGGGACCCACCCCCTTGGCGTGCTGCATGTGGCCAACCATACAGACCGCGCAAAGGTGGCCAGGCTGGACCCCTCTGGCGTGGTCAACCGCAGACCCATCCACAGGGGGGGGGCCTCCCTCCCTGGTACATATATTATTTAATTATCAAAGTCTGTCACTCAACATTCAAGAAAAAGATTTGAAAGTCATGATCTTTGAATTTGATTTTGACTTAATAGTAATACTGAAAAAACAAGTTCATCCTGGTACTTAGTTACCCTGCAGAACTAGTAAGAGGAGTGCGTTCCTGGTTTTGATAGAAATCGCTTAGAGTCGTAACTGGAAAGCGGGCACCGTCAGCTTTATCGACAGGCCCCCATTCGCAACAAGCTGCGCATTGAACATGACGCACCAATTTCGTATTAGGCGTACACATCAACATGCAAGCCGCTCTGGCTGAATCCGCGATCTGTTGCAGTGCTTCCCGTGGTAAGCAACACTCAGATCTCCCAATTCGTTGATGACGCGGATCTGCACTAGAAGATGGATGTGGTGAAGCTGCAGAAGAAGACGATATTGATGCTCTTCCGGTACGGGTACTAATACCTCTTCTACCGTCAATACCATGCGCCGGCATGTTGAGAAAGTAGGGACTGCAGATCACGACACGCGCACGACGAGTAGTTTCGAAATAACGACGCATGCAATCCCCGTGGGCAACCAAATTACAGTGTCGGTTTCGCGCCACACAGAAAGGAGGATGTGTGTCTGGTTTTTTCGGCGCCTTGTCGTCTTCGTGATGAAAATGCGGCCCCGTCTGTCGTTGCACACCTTCGGAGTCGTGCTGTTCATCAGGCGAAGCTGCACTAGCAGAAGACGAGGAAGGATCCCCTTGCGGCGAGTCTGAAAATCGGCTCCGACTTAGACTAATTCTGTTACCTGTAAGACCAGATACCAGTCTTGCAAGAAGTCCGAAACCTCCGCGACTACCGCGTGCTACTGGTGCTGCAGCATCTCCAGTACCTTGTTCACTCATGCCTTGATCATCAAGAGCTGTTGTCGTCATTCCTGATGTTGCTGCACCCACATTACCAGCTGCTGCTTGATGCCCCCTCAAAGACTCGGCAGCGAGATCACCTCGTGCCCCTCGCCTAGCACCGCTTCTGTCAGCCAGTCTTTCGTCGCCTGCGTCCGGAAACAACTGGAGAATCTCGTGCCACAGTAGGTCGAGAAAAGCGAAGCATGTGGTAAACTGATCAGGAGCGCTGTGTCTTTCGTGCAGCTCTGCTGCTCTGCGCCTGTGATATCCCGGCTCCGAGGACCTCACAGCCCTTGGGTCCCCACTCGAAATCATAATTCCACGCCTGTTCTGACGTTGTGCAGAAGGAGCGCCAGGACCTCGTTCTGTGGTGGAAGGATGAAGCTGTTCCTGTTGTACTTCTACTTGTACATCTTCATCTTGTCCTCTGGTGCTTCGAGTTCTCGTATCTGATGATGATGCTGCAGATGACATCGCGGGCCGCAACACACCAGTGCCGTCATTTCCCGACGATGTTGCACTTGCGGTTGTAGTCGTGAACTGAGCCCTCGCCTGTTGTTCATTTGGAGCTCTACTTCCAACGCCGGAAGTTGCAACTACCTGCAGTCCGGCCGGAATCGCTGCCGCAGAAGAAGAAGCTGCAGCATCGTAATCGTTGGTAATCGGAGCAGCTGCGGTAGAAGCTGAACTACCGCCGAATGCGAGTCCACCAGAAATGTAAGCACAATATGCATGCTGCATTTCCAGTGACCACGATGCGGAGGGCGCTGCGGAAGGGAGTTGCTCCTGTGCTTGAGTTGCATTCGCGCACCGGAACTCGACAAGCAGCCGCGAAGGAAAAAGAACTTTCTGCACATCACCTACTCCATGTTCCTCTTGCAGCAGTCGAAGGCGTGACTCGCCGGCTTCCTCGTTGTCAGGATCAAGAATATGACCAAGACGCAATACGTAGGAAAGAATGTCAATTAGAAGTTCGAGATTTTCTGGGGACGTCGCACGCATCTCGTTCTCGGTCACTCGAGACACGATTCCGGACACCGCCTGCAAAAACGCAAGTGCGTCGCGCACAAGTACTGCGATGTCTGCCCTATCAACAAACTCAGAGATTGCTGTAGGAAGAGACCGAGGATCGATTCCAGGCAAAGACGCTGAATCTTGTTGAGGAAGGTCTTGCTCAGGGTCGAACAGTTCACTCTCAGCCTTTACACCTTCGATATCCGCACCTGCCGAAACAATATGCTCATGACCCCCTCTCTGCTCGTCGGCATGCTGTTCACGTTGTTTGTGGACACAATAATGGGGACACTCCCGAGATTCTGCACTCCGTTCGCGAGAAGATGCGTGCGAGAGAGACTCTTGAAGATGTAGTTCCGCGACCAACTGCGTCCATGCGAGCGCATCGAAAAAATCGTTCCACACACCGAGACGATCAAGGGCTGACAACACGCCACCTTGTTCGACAGGGGAGGAAGTACGAATAGCATCTGGTTCAACAAACAAGGACCACATACCTGTTAATGGCGGTGGTTCCACTTCCAAAAGACTGCTCCTGTCATTTAAAAGTGACTCAGGCTGTGATGTTGGGGTTTCTTCGCTATAAGTATGAGTCGTCGTATGTAGATGTTGTAGTTGTAGACGTGCTTGGTCGCCCTCAGTATCAGTTGATGTAGTAGGCCGTGACGAGCTGGAAGCTGCTACATCAATCGGATCATCGAGGCACATATTCGACATCTTAGCTTGGAGTTCTTCGTATACAGTTCCGCCTCGCTGCGGCATGAGCTCATCCGGTCGTCGGATACTGCCTACTCCCTCTGCAGCTGGCGGTAGAAGTGTCCATGTCCCAAACGCGATGTCCTGACATGGGCATGCGCCTTCATCTGAAGGTGAAGATACACCTCCAGCAACTTCGTGCAACACTGCAGAGCCGCGCAGAGATGTCTCGTCAACAGGCAAGAGATCAGATAGAGACTTCGGTGTCGTTCCCATTTCAACATCCTGGCCAGCAGCTGCACTCCTGGCTGCGAAAGGCCTATTGCCGTCACCAGAATTGTCATCCTCGACGTCTAAGTCTTTTTCATCACTTCTATTTTCCAAGCCGAAATAAAATGTTGACTCCTGGTCATCATCGGTGTATTCATCTTCAGCCTCGCTGTTGGAACCATGAGCGTCCCATCTTGAAAGAAACTCCTTTCGTCGTTGCCTGGCGCGGGTCATGTATTTGATGTCCTTGACCAGTGGCAATGTGGAGGACCACGGTGTCGGAGGGGTCCGATCGTCAACAATACGAGGATCGATTGCAACATTCGCATCAAACATCGATGGACGCGGAAACTGGAGGATTTGCTCTAATTCAGAGAGCACTGATGAAGATGGTGGTGCTTCCATGGGAGATGATGAGTGTGTTCTCGCAAGAAGCTCTTGGTTGTGTTTCTCAAGTAGCGCCCGCGCGCGGAGCTCCGCACCTCCATCGTCTGAAGTAGAACATGAAGAAGATGAATCGTTTTCCCACTCCCATCGTCTCTTTTGTGAGTTGCCTCTCTTGTAGTTCCTAGAAGCCCTCCGGCCTCGTCTTTTCGCGTCGGGTCCCCCTGTGGCCGGTGTGACCACAGAATTATGCACAGGGTCGCTACACAACCTGCCACGAGCTGCTGAACCACCAGTTCGTGGAAGTGCCCGCTTTTGAAATAAGGTGCGGTTTTTCTCTTGTATCGTTTGCCACTTAGTCTCAAGGCGCGTCTGCGCCGACGGAGAGATTTGACGCGCAAAGGTAATATCGTCGTCAAGCGCAGATGTCGGGGCATCGATCGAAGCTCCTCTGAGGTCGTGACACTGAGCAGCGGCAGAACAAGAAGTGGTCTCTGGTAATGCCGCGCTGCATGATGAAAGGTCGGCAGCCGCTGAATGATTACCTCCGTCTTTTGCGTTACAACGAGCAATTGCCTGCTCTGGCTGGTCTATATTTCCGGGAGGTACTTCTCCGCCACCCTCACTACCGAGAGTTGTTGTGTAGTTAGTAGTGTCAAGAACCTCTACTTTCATCGGGTTCGGCATGGACCACTCAGAAAACGAAGGACTTCCAGCTCTAGCAACATGAAGTGCCGCCTCTACTACATCTTTGCTCTTTAGTGTTAATGCTCGTGGTTCACTATCTTCCGGAGATCGATCACGTAAGGCTTGTGAGGAATCGCGACTTGCTTTGTTAACACTGGTCGCGGCGTCCATGTCGCATACTAAACTTGTTCTTTCCTCTTCACTGTTATTGCGCTCCACGATCATCTCAAACTCGAAACTGCGACCCCTCTGTCGCTTTTCAAACCCTCGTTCGTCTCCACAACTAAAAGTAGATCCTCCGAGAAGGAGCGTGGTTGTGGGGGATGGCTCTGAAGCACTGCCTGTCGCTCGGCTTGTGTAGTTAGCGGGCGCGGCGCGTGAATTCCATGCTGGGCAAGTGATGCAGGGGTGCGCGGAATGTGGACAAGATTCTGTGCCTCTCGCAGTACTTTCCTCTTGCAGGAGTAAATCTTTTGCAGGGGAAGTTGTTTGAGGGTCAGCAGCCACCTCGCCGGCGCCGGTAGGGGACGCGGTCGAATGATTACAGCATTCATCGGCAGACATGTGTGTTCTCTGCTGGTTGGCTTCGTCGACGTCCAGACAGAGAGTACGCAGGCGCTGCTCCGATACGACAGAGTGCACATCGTCTGCAACAGAGCCCCCGGATGCCGATGCGGATGACAACAGATTCGGCGACGAAAATGGTGTAAAAAGACCCGGAGATAACGCATACACGTGCGAATCGTGCATCGCACCCGCTGCTCCACGAAACAACCAACCAGGGACAAAGCTATCTCCTATGTATCTTCCTTGCAAGTGTTCTCCTCCAGACGTTTGCCCGTCGTTTGAACTGCGTGCCCCGGAACCAACCTCGTTGCCTCCGGAGCCGGAAGACGACGCAGCTTGATGGCCGGACAGCAGCTGCGTCCCAGCGGTTCTTTCAGCTGCAACGCCGTCCACCCCCGCCGCTGCCCTCAACTCCTGTCTTCCTCGTTGTGCATCTTGTTGTAAGCCTTGAGCATCATCGCCGACGCCAATAGCCGGCTTCGGACCCCCGGGCAACGCCGCGACATTCTTTGCCATCGATCTGACAGCGAAAACGCCTGCAGCTGCACGAGGATTTTGTTCAAGCGCGATATGCTTTGGCATGACATGAAAGCCAAATGGCGGTGGTGTAAGCGCATTAGTTTCCCCGTGAAACAAGTAGTCGGCCCCATGGAGGCTCCGACCCGGTGGTTCCGGAGTTGCTAGCGACGAGGCTGTACTAGTCGCATAAACTTGCCGCTGACCTTGCGGCACTAGTGCAGCTTCTTGTTGTCCGGGTCGGGGTGGCTGCATCGGTGCAAGTAGATTTGATTCTTGCGCTTGTACTGCTCCGCCTGAGGCCTGCGCGTATGAATCGGTAGGTCCAGCAGTTCCAATTTGAGCACTTCGATGCGCAGCACTTTCTGGATGATTGTTCCCAGGGTTGTGGTTGTCCATGATCCTCGCTGCAGGTGACAAAGCTTCTGTGTTGACCGCGTCAACGCGAACCATTTGTGGAGAAACGTCCTCATACGCAGGCGCGGGTCGTCCTGATAGGCGCTCCCGCAGAAAGCTACGAGCGTTACTCCAGGCACTTAGTCGTGCAGAAGTGTCTGCTCGATGTTCGGCACTGGATTGAGCAGGCTGTGGACCCGTCGTATGCTGCCACGCGCTCAGGAATGTGTTGGCACGCTCGAGATTGCTGATGGTACTGGGCGAATCTCCAGTCACCACTCCTCGTATATCTAGGCCTTCACCACTTCCTGCTACAAGAGCAGCGGATCCTCCAACTTGGTAAGGATACTCACGACGGCGATGTTCTTGAACTCCTTCTGCTTGTGGGGTTCCATCCGCGACAGGAACATGTGGATGTGCTGGGATTACGCCCGTCGGCTGCTGTCCGCGCCTAGGCGCAGGAGGGTTTATATCGAAAATTCGTGAGAGCGCCAGTATACCGGCTTCTTCCGTACTGGTCACGGTTCCCCTAATAGCCAATCGTGGTCCGTCGTCCGCTTGGGGTGCGGCTCCTGAACTCCCTTGCACGATACTTTCATCACGATCACGATCTCCTCGTCGTTCATCTGCTTCATCGTCAGCGGAATTCTCCTTAGAAATGATGCAGACACACGCTTATTTTCATTCAGATAGTAATTAGTACTACATCAAAAATATCAAAATTATACTTCACCTTCACATTGTTCACTGCTGGTTGTTGTGATAGAAAGTCTTACTACTAGCAAATCTGGAACCGGCATTACAGAATAGAAGGACCTCCACAACACTTTTTAGCGAAACATAGGAAGGCGAAACTACTTTTGAAACATAAAATTCCTGCTTGCTAAAACCAAAAAGAGTTAGTTCTTAGCACTACGATGAATCATGAATGATACATAACACGACTATGGAGGATGCGAGAGCCGCTGCCGCTTTCGCCGGCCCGCAGAAACCACCTGACAAAAAAGCTCCAGAGAGAAGAAGATTGCAGGAAAAAAGTGTCAGCGAATTCCTGCGCGTCCTGCGGAACGTGGTCCCCTGCATGGCAACGTGGGTATAACGGTCGCCAGTACTCCCCAGAGCCGAGACAGATCAAGCATCCTCGAGTTTCGTTAAACCTTGTGGGAGTGTAGCCTCTGCAAGCTGGAGCGTGACACTGATGTACTGCAGACGCATCTGGTAGCGTCTGCTGCTCTTGTTGGGTCGTTGCATTTGCTGGCTGCAGTTCCGGTGTCGTGTCCTGAACCGCACCAGATGAAGATGCGACTGCGTGTTCTTGGCACTCAGAATTCGTCACTAGAGCAGGAAGACAAGAATCGCGACTTCCTGTTCTTAAATATTGGACTCCCTCAGCACGCCGCAGGACGCCGTAGCGCTTCATTAGTTTTCGACTTTCCCGAAGCTGCTGTAGGGCTTGCTGACTCACTCCGCCCTGCGCACTCGGCGCAGATCTTGCGCGCCCTCTGTCGCGGACATCGAATCCAAACGCGTCTACATCGGGAGCATCTCTCGTCGGCACAGCAGCGGCTCCACTGACACTCCGCGGAAATCGGAGTAAAGCCTCGCGCGACGAGGATTGCGAACCCTCATGATCATTGGACGAGTTCGTCTTACCACGTGTAGCTCCCGATCGATTTGCTGGTAGCGTACTCGTAGGATCATCAGATGCTGCATCTGCTCGGCCAGGAGCTTGACTGCTTGATACTCGCCTTGAATGCATTTCAAAGACTGAAGATGTCAGGAGAAGGAGCAAGATACTTGAGAAAAGTTCTTTTAGACGGACAGTCGATCGACGGCTGCTGCTGGAGTGTCTGTCACGTCCCCCATTTCTGGAAGCACACAATCGAAACAACAGCCGAGAGATATGCGTGTCTCTTTCCAAGAAATGCGGCTGACGCGAACCTCCCGCCCTTGACCTAAACACTTTATTCAATGTCTTCATTCTATGTTTGTCTTTGATGCCTAAGCCAAATAATAATAGAATTAAGTAACTCAATTTAGACTAGTTGTCGTGTTTCTGTTTGTTCAATAGAAACACGGACCTGCACATTGCATCCGGCTTGGCCTTAGGTACGCGATCCCGAAATTATCTTGATGTTTAGGATGATCCTCGTGATCAGACTGATAAGATAGAAATTCTAGCACGACTTCGATTCTTCTTTAGATAGATGAAGTTCAGCTACTAGTACTGCTACTGGGGCCTCCTCGTATGGTGTATTAAGTGTGGACCGTAGTTGTACTTGGCATGGCATGAGTGTCACGTACTTCTAGATTGATGTTGTTCTTGAGCTCTTTCACTTCGTTCTTGTCCTCTTTTTTTTTTGCCTTGATTGATGTAAGTACTTCTACCTGTTCATCTTGTACTACGACTCGAAATCGATATATTAATTTGCGATAGAATGTTCTTGATGTTTCCTCATAGCGTTTGACTTTTTTAGCCTCCTCCTGGATACATCCATGTAGTTGTTAATGCTGATGAGGCTTAGACGAACACAAAAAGAAGAGATAGATTGATTAGATTTCATATAATAAAAATTCTCAGACCCATAAATATCATGTTACTGAAACACATGCGTCAATAACGAAGGTTAAATTATTTCAAGTCGATCGCTTCACAAGATACAACTTTATGGAAAGAGCTTCGAAATCTAGCACCGGTCTCTTTTTTTATAAATCCATAGATTACCTGATTGAACAGTTCTCCTCTAGTATCAACCCATGCTTTCGACCTTGTTCTTTTGTTATCGATCGTATGAGCTCTAGTTCAATTGTACTCAATAGAGATGATTTTTTGAAGGAGGGAGGGGAACGGTCGTCGTCATTCTCATCAGTAATAATGGAATGGAGTTTCACCCTGGCCAGTGTTCCGAAACTGTCGATGGGACTGTTTAATGCCGTGCTTCACTCCCGAAGAAGGGCACCATATTAATTTGATTGAATGAGTTCGCTATTGAATGAAACGTCTCCCCGAGGGGGCGAAGCATTCGACGCGGGGCGCGAGCGGTATCTTATTTATCGATATCGGGCCACACGTCCAGGCATTCATTGCGATCTAGGATACGAGCCTGGACAGCGCTGCCTTCGCAGCTTGTTGTGCCAATGGCATCTTTTTAGTCGAGAACGATCATGCACCTTGAACCAGCAAGCTTCGCGAATGGCTCAGCTGATCACTGTTGGGCTATTTTTCGTCTCTTTTGGGAGTTTCTTTCGATTTTCGAGAGCGATCGAGTGCCTTGAATCAGCAAGCTTCACGCATGGCCCAGCTGGTCACTGTTGGGCTTTCACGCTTGAAAACCAAAATGCTCCTCCCTTGTTTCTGCCGTTGTCTTCGGGATTTCTGGCGTTGTCTCGTGTTGTTGCCGTGTGCTCGGGTTTCTAGCATTGTCTCGCGTTTTCTGTTGCATCATGTGCGCAGACAGTTTATCGCTGCTTTCATTTGGTATCTGGCGTGTGTTTAGTGCGGTGGACTCTTCTTTTTTTTTTTTTCTTTTTTAAAGTTTGCCACGTCCTTGCTTTTGCTGTGTGCCTTAAGTGGTAAGTATCTGAGACCTTTCTTCATCTTTCTTGATCAATGTGATTAAAAAAAGGTGAACAATAATAGTCAACTTCTAACATGCTCCCAAGATGTGAGTCTAAAAATAATTTGAACAGTAATTAAGTCTAGCGTGGAGTTGAGCTATTTTTCTTTCTATGCTGGTATGTCTAGCATGTTTGTCTGTCTTGATCTAGGAGCGTTGTACTATAATGCTTTATATTTTACTCATGTCATGGCAGAAATAGTCCTCCTGCGCTTCGTTCCAGTTTTTCTTCCTCAGCCTTTTTATGCTCGTCTAGGACTTTCTTTATCTGTCCCCGGATTTTTGCGGGTGTGGCTTTTTCTCCTCGCATCTGGTCAATGCACGACTTTAAGGCTTCTGGGAGTGGCCCACAATTCTTCTTGATCTTGAGAGGAGACTCATCCACCCACAGCCAAGCATCGCCCTGCGGCTCCACAGTGATGGCCTCGACCTGCCCACTGTGCGTTCGTGTCTGTGATAGGTCTCGCATCCATCTGGGGGCAGCAGAGTAAAAGATGACTCTTCATTCGAGACGTTACATCCTCATCACGAGATGAAAAAGTTCATTGACAACGACGAGTACACATCTTCATTTGATAGACACTAGTGCAGCTGATGAAGGATTAAGATGTATGCGCTCGATTTCGTTGTGTTGAGCAGTTCTATCATTCTATAGAAATAATAGAATGAACGATAGGAAAATGAAACTACCGCTGCGTCGAGCTGTTATAACTATTGTCTATTTGTTCTTCTCCGGTCACCTTATAGTAGTTTCTCGACGTTGCCACACTACGATTACTTAGGATCAAGTTCTTAGTTAAGTTAGAAATTCAAGAGTAGCTTGCTTCGGCGATACAAAAATATTCACATGTATAAGTTAGAAATTATATACGATAACAATAGTCTGCTTGTAGGCGCCATCGACGTCGTCAAGCTTCCATCCCTGTGACAAGAGAGTGAAATGCGTTTTATTGGGTCCGTCCTTAGGGTAGAAGGTAGTCAATCACCAATATGAAGGAGTTTTGGTCGTTTTGAGCCAGAGCTAGTTCCAAAGGCACAAACTCATTTGCATTTCTTTTTGCATATCGCTTCTAAGTAGACTGTAAGCAATCTCAGAGCCCGCGTGCTGTTATAGAAAACGCACCCGATTGACCGTGACCAATGATTATTAGACTTTAGCCCGGAGCGAAGGCCTCGAAGGAATGTTGGACCGTTTGGAGGAGGACACAAAAGCTTCTCACAAGAATGTCGATGTCCTCTGCTGGTGGAGCGCCATCTAAATTTTTGATTTGATTTTCTATCGCTGTGAGTGTGAGACACGCAGGATGATGAGCCTCGCAACTGCTTTCGTAGCATGAGGGTCGTACCACAGAAGAACTCGACAGAAGATAATGTGAAGAAGAATCGTGAAAATTCTATTCACCCGTCTGGATCGGGCAGGGCGTCGATTTCCCGATTTACAAGAGCAAAATCATAATTTCGCGCTATGCGGTACGCACTTTCTACCATATTCTCAATAAATTCGCGATCTGCTATGTCCTCAGCTTCATTGTTGGCGTAAAATGAAGATGATTTTTCTTGTGATGAACTATGACTTTCATCTTTTGGTGAGCTTGACGAAGTTTGATGAAACAATCGCTTCACCCATCTTGCTAGCTGAACTAGTTCGTCCATGGTGTCGAAATAAAGAAAATGCTTCCCTGCCTCGAAGTAGTCCTCGAGCAAGCCCCAGTGATCACGGCGAACCAGATTTAAGCACTTGCCAAGTGCGGCTTCGATTCCTCGCGCTTTTAGCTGCGGAAACACCACTACTGGTAGCCCGGAAGGGTAGCCACCCTTGGCGGCGGGACTTAGAACAACAAGTAGAGGGTGGGAAAAAGTGTTGTCATCTATCAATGATGCAGTTGATCTTGATGAGATGGTCGCCTATAAAAAGCTCACTTCTAACCATCTAACCAAGCATAACGACAAGTCTCGCAATCGAAAACGTTGCTTCCACTCGGAAAAGGACAAGGCTTCGTAGGCCAGGCGTTCTGCTTTCGCCGGTTGTTGTTTCGTCTTGTCTCGAAGATATTGCAGGATACTCGTATTCTCCTCAATGTCGGATGGTGGGGCGGATCCTGATGTAGATGTCGGTCTTGTCCCAGCTTCATGTTCTGGGACTTCTTTTCTCCTTTCGTGCTGTTGCACTGGAGACGGAGTCACTTCCTCGAAGAAGTCGCGAAAGACAGGATTCATTACTTGCGTGTTTCTCTTTTCTATCTGTGCTTTGAGCCATCGCGGTACGAAGGACTTGTTATGCTTGCGCATGTGGATCTGCAGCACGTTGTGCGTGTAACAGATTCGCGCACGACCGTAAATCGCAAGCTTCTCGTCGTTGGTGATGGTTTCGCTCCCAGGGACGAAGTGGAGACGCACTCCTGAGGCTCTGTACTCAGACTCGTATTCTGGGCCAAGATAAACCTTGCTTAAACGCTCTTGGCTATTACCTAGCACGTGGAAATTCACCATGGGCATGCCACCCGCATCCTCTCCTTCGAGCTCGTCGTCTCCACCATTCTTTTTTGACAACGAGGAGCTACTTTTTACGACACTCATTCCCCCTGGGACCACGAACTTTTGCTTCGCGGTCGCTGTGGGCATAAACATTTCTCGCTGATGCTCCATCATGCAGTTACCTGCATAAAACAAGTCTATGTGCTTCCGATCTCTGAATGGGGTGTGCTTTGCGACCATAACCAGTGCGCCTCTACTGTCCCGTGACCTCAGTCGTTGTTGTTGATCATCCCCAAGCAGAGACTCGTCTAAATCTCTTGCCTGCGCATTAGATAGAGCTTGTGCTTCCGGCATGTTGCGCGTTTCCATTTCCATGTCGTGTCGTGCTGCAAAATAAGCCTCGTCGTCCGGAAAGCGTTCTTCGTCAAGCTCGAAGACATTCTTCGTCGGGTAGGGCATTTGCAAAAACGTCAATTTCTTCTCCCAGTCTTCTTCCGGACATGTCGTGCCTGGTGTTGATGATGTGTCTTCTTGCTTTTCAAGCTCGTCGCGGCCGTTCTTGTCAACATGCTCGCGTCGGCGCAGCAGCTTGTGTGTGAACGGGCATAGATACAAAACATGCGTCGGATAGAACTGTCGGCGGTGCAGGACGCGATTGAAGTCGACATGCATCGTCCTATGAAACTGTCGCCAAAAGGTCGCGTGGGGAATGTTCAATACCGTGTATAGTGGATCGATTCGCATGTGTCGCACTCGCATATTGTCCTCCGCGAGTGCATTGAAAGTGTGCGGCGTCGTAGGCTTGACGGTCGCCATATGATCAAGATCACCTTTATTAGGTGCGGGAATGCCAATTATGTCAGCAAGCTCACGGCTGAAAACTTCCCCTGGCGGAACGTCGTTCTCCGAAGACAACACTTCTGCACTCACGGAGGCTTGCTGAGCCGTCTCTTGAAGGCGATGATGCTCATCACTCTTCAGTTCATCAGCTTCACCTAGACCTTGTACTTCTGTTTTGTCGACCCTCATTTTCCCTTCTCTTTGCTTCTTTTTGTCATCAAGCCAGAGCGCTCGATGCCACTTGCGCCCAATCGCACGGCCGTCGTAAAAGTTTAGGTGCTCCAGTCGTCCTTTATGTCGCTTCGGCTTGGTGTCGTCAACACTGAAGCCAACACCCGCACCTAACAGCTTCATTGCAGCTTCCCTGTCCATGTGCTTCGATTCCAAGTCCATTTTCTTGCGCGTGCGCGCGCCTCGTTTCTCTTCGTTATGTGAGGCTTGGTACTCGCGCGGCAGATAGATGTCATGATCTAGAAAATCCACTGAACACGAACTATCCCTATCGTCCCCACCTTCACCAGCCGTCTTATCTGCCCTACTTGCAATTTCTCCTTCATCTGCTTTCTTCTCACCACCTGCTGCAATCAATGTCGAATCGTGATCGTCATGACCATCACTCTTAATATTGTCCCATCTGATAAACGGATTTCGGTTCTCCCAATTCCAAGTGACGAAGCCTCCATAGTCTTCAATTTTCTCATCACCTCCACTGAACTCGTCAATTCGATAATCATCGTCAAGTGGATCTCCGTATCTCATCCAAACGAGTTCATCATTTTGTTTTGATGCCATGTTTTTAGAAGTTGCAGTGGATGCCTTTTGCTTCATCGCATCATCTTCTCCGTGTGCGACTAGATGATACGAATCTCCATCATCTTCTAGCATCGCTGCTAAGCTCTTTTTTTCTTCTTTTCCGTTGCGAAAGGGATAGCGCAGGCCTCTGGTGCTGAAAGACCAAAGATCGAATTGCGGGATTTCGTAGTCCACCACGACTCGAGTGTGGAAAAGCGGGTTTCGTTTGAGCATATCCTCCATGTACACCAAATCCTGTTGTGTTGGTCCTGGTTTCGTATTGATGTCAGTCATAGCAACGAGTGCGAAGATCTCCTGGACACAGTATTGCCACGCGAAGTTCCCCAAGACGATGAGCGTGCCTGTCTTGTGTGCTGCCGGGCAGCGCAGAGCTTCTTTCGCAAGCGCATAGTCTGGCGCGTACGGATGATTCTCACTGAGATACACGCACACGATACTGAGCTGGCCAGCGCGTTTAGTAAGAAAGTCATTAACTTGCTCGCCGCCAACGATGTCCCGGTCTGCTGAATCGATTTCGTCCGTGACACCGATCTCTTGGCGCTGATATCGCGGCTTAGTAAGCCACCAATAGGTGGATGCAGAAGTATCTTCAGCACGAAATCCCCGCGTCACGAATTTTAGGCGATAAAAATGGCCGACGTTCTACTCACTGCAACGAACCAAAATCCTGCAAGCAGCACTAACAACTTCAGGTATATTGAAGGCGTATTGTGTAGCAAGTATATATGTCACAGGATCAAGGCCCCCCGATCTAACTTTTTGAGGGGGGGCCTCCAGGCGCCCACCTCCGGCCCGTTGCCGTTCCCGCTTCTTGACTGGACCCGGCAAGGCTTCCATCCCTGAGGCCGTTGAAGCACCGAAGGCCGGGGGTGGAAGGCTTCCGAAGGTGGCAAAGGTGGCAAAGCTGGACCCCCTTGCCGTGTTGCATGTACCCTACAGACCTGGCTAAGCTGCCGCGCTGCGTGTACCCTAAAGACCTGGCAAAGGTGGCAAGGCTGGACCCCCTTGCTTGCCGTGTTGCCTGTACGCTAGAGACCTCCCAGGGGCGGGCTCCTCACTGGGGGAGCTTCCTCGGGGGATGAGCGCCAAAGAGGCCAAGCCTCGCGACCGTGGCCGCCTTCGGCAGCCTTCTTCCCCCGGAGGCCGTCCCCCTGATAAGGCCCCAGAGCCAGGACGCCTGTGGGGCACACGCGGAGAGCCACCAGGGGACTCCGGCGCCGCCTTTTGAGGCCTTCGCCCCCGGGGGTCCTTACATGTCACCACCGCGGAAAAAAGGGAGCGCGGACGCCGCCACCGCTCCATCCACAAGGGGGGCCTCCCTCCCTGGTGCCTCTATATATGTACCAGGGAGGGAGGCCCCCCCCTGTGGTATGGTCTGTGGTGCAGCACAGTGGTGGAAGAGCGACGAGAGCAGAACGAGCGTGGAGAGAAGAACGAGGGACGAGAGCAGAACGAGCGCGGAGAGAAGAACGAGGAACGAGAGCAGAACGAGGGACAAGAGCAGAACGAGCGACGAGAGCAGAACGAGCGACGAGAAGCGCCCACCCGTGGCGTGGTGGCCCCTGGCGTATCACAGTGGGGGAAGAGGACGGCAAAAAGAGCCGAAAGAAAGAAGGCGCGCCAAGCTCTGGCGGGTACATGCAACACACCAAGGGGGCCCCGCCTTGCCACCTTCGCCAGGTCTGTAGGGTACACGCAACACGCCAAGGGGGTCCAGCCTTCCGACCTTCGGCAGGTCTGTAGGGTAGGGGTACACGCAACACGCCAAAGGGGTCCAGCCTTGAGGGTACAGGCAACACGCCAAGGGGGTCCAGCCTTGCCACCTTTGCCACATTCGGAAGCCTTGCAAGTCCGCCCTTCAGTGCTTCAACGGCCTCCGGAATGGTGGCGCTGTAGGGGCCAGGCAAGAAACGGGAAGGGGTCAGAGGTGGGCGCTTCGAGGCATTCCCGCCCGGCAGCCCCTCGAAAAAAGGGTCCGGGGCTGGAGGTCCTCCCCTCAAAAAGTTAGATCGGGGGCGGGGCCTTCAGCCCTGAGCCCTGGAACCTATATAGCTATCTATCTGTAGGTCGTCGGGTATAAGAGCGCCTGGGCATCATGATCATCAGGAGTAGATCTTTGTCAGCTCATTACCCGACCATCATTTGCGAGCCATAAAACACGTTTTTGCGAGCTCGTGAAGACTTCTCGTCCACGGTCGCACCACTTCAACTGCGGAGATACCCGGTAGTGGCTTACTAAAATACCACTACAGTCTCGCATTGAGAACATCCGCCTTGCCGGAGTCCATCCAGACCGCATGCGCTTCCCACGTTCCTCGTCTGTCATAAAAAGGGCTGTCACTTCTCGTCTGTCGCGACAATCCATCGTATGCAACAGCGCCTCGGCCGTTGCGTTCCACGAAGAGGCGCTGCTCGTCTCACTACTTGCGGAGGTACCAGAGGCTCCACCTCCGGATAGGCTATCTGGTGGGTAGAAGTGGAACCCTAAACAATCTCCGGGTCGTAACGCCTTATTCATCCGAATAAACATGCTGTCGCCATGGCTCCAGCTGACCAGGCTTGCCTGCTTTTCTTCGATCAGAGATACCGAATCGTGAAAATTCACGAACAAAACTGTAAACAAGGCTCGAGCGTGAAACTTGACCTGCAACGACTCGATCATCTGCTGAGCATGCCCATTGTAACAGAAGTCGGAATTCCAGAGGGTCAATCCGGAATACCCGTTCTCCTCCGCCAACGTCGAGTACATTTTTTCTGCTCGTGCTGGTTCTCGTGGCTATACAAGTACGTAGCAGTGTGATCATCTAGGGGGTGTTGTAGGACGCGGCCACGTTAATAGCAAGGCGTCGTAGTGGAGCGACACGATCCGGTGGGGGTGGGGCACATGAATCATTATCCTGTAAATCATCCACGGGGAACGTTAACGAAAGAAAGATGAGGCTGCCTAGCAGCAGCTAGATTGGAAGAGGATCTACTGTCTACCTATAGACGTGAGGGAGTAAGTTGTCTGTCGTGGTCCCTGATTGTTAGCCCAAGTAGATGAGCAAGGCGCTGAGGGCTAAGATAGACGTGCTCTCGCGCTCACTCTCACCACTCATAGTACCGGTCGGAAGGAAAGCAAGGACGAGCTCGCGCGTGCATAAAGAATCATCTTGAAGTTAACTATATAGTTAAATTATTTAGCGTTTGGATGCTTCAGCCCTTGGCGTCCCAACCCCTGGGTCCATGGTGGAGGACACAGTAGGGGATGGGTGCTCCCACTGACTCTAGACCATCGTATCTGACAAGACCAAGGGTACCGGTGCACCATGCCAGAATCTAGAGCCAGTCGCATCCAGAATAAGCTATAACGCTCATGTGCATAATTAATAAATAAGGAATTCCGCGGAAAGAAGCGAAGATACCTATAGATACGTAAAACGACAAACATAATAGCTTCGACGCAACAAGCACAGCTTCTGCTTCTATTTCCCACGTCCACATCATCCGGCTTGATGACAGGAGTCACAGTCCTGCTCCTGCATAACCATAGCACGAGATATAAACTGTTGCTCTACAACTAGACTCACATTTTGTAACAACAGCTGTTGTTTCGCAAAAAAGTGCCATCATCGATTCTGTTTGCTCCCCTGCTGATTGTAACTACAATGAGCTTGATGTTCTTGTGCTACTTCAAACTTAGACTTGTGATCAACCCCTCCCCGCTCCATGCACTTCGACATACTGAGCCGCTATACCTAAGTATCTTGGATGTTACTCAGACACTACAGTTGTCTATGTTGATTGTTGAGTTGGAGACGAATGAGCCGGATCTTCAGGCACAATGAATTATAAATAGAGTATCATTTTCATTATCACAATATTAGATTGGAGTTGTAGACCCAGTTGTAGCTGATCTAACAATAAACAAATATATAATATTCCGAATATTTGCACGAATAAAAAAAAACATTTGTGCCAAAGAAAAGCCATGACTACAATGCCAACTACCTCCCTACGGTGCCCATGCTCCAACATTTCTACAAGTCCTGGACTAGGACTTGAAGTCCAAACATAAGGAGCTAGAACTTCAATCTAAACAAAGTTTCCAGCTTTCTGTAGAACCTTATTCAGATGTTGTCTTGGGGTTTCAAGCCAAAATTGCTGTGAAGTATCGAAGCACTCCCACGCGAACATGAACCCAACAAGCTTGGTCATGAAGAGAAAAATTCCCTCCGCGGTGAGCCCCTCTGCGGCATTGTCGAACTCCCGCACCCCACTAAATCCAAACCAATAGAGTGCTGACAAGCTCTCGGCAATCCAAAACCACAAGACCGGTTCACGCAATACCGTATCAACTACGACTACGGATTCAAGAAGAAAATATGTCTTACCTGATGAAGAAGTGGGGGGATGGTGGAGTTTTTGCGAGACATCTACATTTGCAAAATGATCTCAAAAATGTTGATGTTAATCGTGTTTTTCTAGCCATGATTCAGTCTATTTTGTCGTGTTAAAATTCCAGACGTAAGTAAAACGTAGGTGGTAAGGGTTTTTCATTTTCCTTGTTTGTACTAAATTTCCGGGCCAGGGTGACTTGCGTCATAAGTGCTGCTGCTTCAAGTGCTTGTGAGGTCATCCATAGCGAATCATAGAAAATGCGATTATCGAGATCTGCCGCGAAGCCCAATCCAAGAAAAAAGCACCAGAAAATGGTCCGTCCCATGCGCTGTGAGTCCTCAGGATTATTGTAGTATTAGAACGTGTAGTCCACTAAACTGCCGTAAACCAATACACTACAACTGCAGAATAAGTATCCGAAACCGGCCTTGTTCGAGTGCTCAATTATACCTTGTGGTTCTTCTGAATTTGTGGTTGAGTGCCCTCATAGCATGTCGCGCAGGAAAGTAGTAAGTCAGTAGACCTAGACTGTCGTATTAGTACCACGGTAAGAGTACGCGAGTGCCATAATAGTTCATGAAGGTAAAGCTCGGCATTTGAATTCCGCAACAGGAAAACCGTCTTCGTTTCTTCTGTGAAGACTCTTCTTTGTCGCTTGCAGAGTTGTACTGTTCTATGCTGCTTTCGACTTGATTTACCATCGTCTCCAGCTCCTGATTTTTTCAGAATTCTCGCAGTTGCGTGTTGTGTGAACTACACAAGACATATGTGTATGAGAACGAGTGAGCGAGTTAGTGAGTGAGTGAGTGAGTGAGTGAGTGAGTGAGTGAATGAGTGAATGAGTGAATGAGTGAATGAGTGAATGAGTGAATGAGTGAATGAGTGAATGAGTGAATGAGTGAATGAGTGAATGAGTGAATGAGTGAGTGAGTGAGTGAATGAGTGAATGAGTGAGTGAGTGAGTGAATGAATGAATGAATGAATGTGCCTAGCAAGAGGTGTTTGCATTGCCTTCCATGAAGGTCTTGCTTTATTTTTTGACTGTTATACACTGGTTAACATTAATATGTTATGAGACTTGCTAGAAACGTCTAAATGAAGGTTAGTTGAGTGCTCCATGCTGGTAGTCCCTGATCAGTATAATTTGAGCTTGAAGGGGATGCGTTGTGCACGAGGAATAGAACTAAGGACGCTTCTCTCACCCTCACCGCTCGTCAGGAGCTGTCAAGAGAAAAGGCAAAGACGAACTCGCATAAGATCGAATAGTGAGATGGCCTAATATGAGTAGTCGACGGGATGCCTCCGCCCTTGGCGTACCACACCCCAGGCTCCAAAGGTGGAAGAGACAGGGGGGGTGCTCGCACCTCCAATAGGCCTCCGTGTTAGGTAAGAAACGTCTAAATGAAAAAACGTCAAATTTAGGGTCAAAGCAAACGCAAAGTGAAAGGCAGCTCTTAGATTAATAGACTTGTACCTCTTGCGTTGGCTCGGGTGCTCCTTCACTCTCTGATCGCACGTGCACCTGCCTTGTCTTCAGTTGTTCCGGCGTCACCAAAGTTTCTCGCTTCTGCTTCTGCAGCTTCCTTTTCAAAGCAGCGATATCAGGCCAGTTTCGCAGCGCTTTGAATGAGCAGATTACGAAGACTATCTCTGTCAATTGGTACGGACCGTCGCCCGTGAAATCTGCGGGAAGGTATCCTTGATATTGAAGCGTCGATGCTAGGCGCAAGCAGACAGCCAATGTGCGAAGTCCGACAGCTTTAGCGGATACACACAGAAATCCCGTTCCCTCGCACTAGAATTTTTGAAAAAAGAAGCGGTATTGGCATTGACTTAGAAATTGATTTTGAAGAAGACAAAAATTACACGAGACCTTCTAGCGGCAAGTGTTGATGACACTAACAACTACTTGGTGGGATGATAGCCAAACGACGAAAACGAAAAAGGAGCATAGAGTCTAGGAGGGTTTGTTCGATACACAGATTAGATTAAACAAAAAAACACCACGAGGTAGTACCTCTCCACTTGAGACCCGGTATGTGGACCGCAGCAGTGCAATCGAACCGCGCATGTGGATGAACGCCGCTATACTTATTCCCGCACTGAACCCGATCACGCCAAACATGTATAGGACAGTGAGCACGCTTACGAAATCTAAACACACCCACCATTTTGAGGGAGACTTTCCCGGTGTTCTCACAGGAACTGGCAATTTTGTCGTGTGTAGCGCTTCTTCTCTGTTCTTTTCACCTGGGGTTCTGTTGGTAAGTTCTACCTCTTGCTTCGTCATTGTCATGGCGGGCTCTGTTAGGCGGTGTCTCGCTTTGCGTTGTCCTACCAGTGTCGTATTTTCGCGTCCTGTAGAATGCGCCTCATCGAATAATCGATTCTTCGTAGGAAGCGCGGAATTGAAAGAGCCGGAGACGCTGCTGCACGAAACGGGAGTGCGGAGTTCGAGATTCTCGGCGACCTTCTTTTCTTCTTAACCATGCAGTACGTATTGCGTCACAGTCCTCCCCCTCTCAGGACCTGAGAAATTTTCGCACACGCAAGCAGAAACGCATGTTGCTCTTTATGGTCATGTTGTAAGGCTTTTACTAGTACTGTCTGCTTTGAGACGAAGGCCTCTTGAAAAACTCGTCGACGTGCCCGCTATCGCAATAAATGCTTTTCTCCCTCTCTAAATCTTCTATGAATCTGTACTTATCGTAATCGGTTATAGTGCTGTTACGTCTTTAAAAATGGCTTCCTGAAAACCTCCTGCATTTCCCTAGTACTTTCCAATCAAGCGGGGGCTCTATTCTTTCTGCGCTCCGCTCATGTGCAAAAACGACTTCGTATCGCCAGAAAGAACTCCATATCATCATCGTCCTCTAGGGGTATATCTTATAGCTCAATCTCAATTCCCTCGGCAACGTTTTCTCTCGTGCCACAAAATCAGTGTCGGTCGTGTTTCCTGGATTTTCAACCGACAGTAAGTGGGGTACACCTAAAGACAAAGTATCGCCCTACTAGCGGCTCTCGACGTTTCTCAGTGACTCGTTTTAGCGGTCTCTCAATACACAATACCGGGATATGTTGTTCAACCTTAGCGCGTCTCCGGGTCATATTCCTGCGCTGTAAATTGCTCACTACACTAAGCACAAGCAGCGTATTGCGCAAGAGGTGGCTTCCTGTTGTTGGCGTGAGTCTTTTTCTACAATGTTCAAGACTTGGAAGCTGCACACGAAGTGGCCTTGTCTTCAGCTAGCGAAAGAGAGAACAACTCGTTCCTCCTCATCATCGATCACACGATCATCCCTAGGTGAGTTCATCGGTCCATTAACGCTAAATAACACACTTTTTGTTCCCCAAGTAGCATAACGCTGATTCTCATCGACACGAAGGAAGCTCAAAGCGAGGCGCATATATTTCTCGGGCGATGAGTCGGTGATAGACAATGACGAGCAAAAGCGCCCTCAAATTCCAACACTGCTCAAGGCCCACACTACAACTCCTCGTGTTGGGACGAAGCAAAAGAGTCCACTGTCTATTTCATGGTGCAAGTCTGTTACTTCCCCAGAGGAGCACCTCCTCGATTCTATCTACTACCTGTGAAATTTGGTTTCTTCTGACCTTCCCTACTACCAATTTGCCCTGAGAGTATTAGAAAGGCCGACAGCTCAGAAGTAACCTTCTGTCATATCGGTCCTTCGTTGACTTCCCTGCAGATAATCCTTGAACATCGAGCACAACAACGAGCAACAAAAAAAGAAAAATTTATCTAAAAATATACAGATAAAAATGGGATGACCTCCAGCACCTTCTCCGTTCGTGACCATGAAATAAAGCGCTGTCAAAGACGTAATTATACTGAAAACTGTCTGAAGATCATGTTAAGTAACAGAGTTTTGAATCCAATTCAGATAAGTTTACTTTATATGATGACTACGATGCGTAAAAACAAGCAAAGATGTGAAATATAAGTAAGCAGATCTCACCTTTCAAGAAGAAGACGTTACGAAGTGGCTACTACACAACTTCTAGTTCTACCAATTCTTTAATCAACAACTTGAAAAAATCATCTGCTTGACTCCAATGGCGGTTGAAGAGCTTCAAAAAAATTTAACCACTGTATGGGGTGCAGAGGCCCGTTGCGTTGCCGGCACCTGAGGCAACTACGAGGCCGATAATCAGCCCGTAAAGTCCGAGCGCCTCGGCGAAGATCAGAATCAGGATCATCCCAACGAAGAGACGGGTCTGAGAAAGATGTTCAATTTCAAGATGAGCCTTCTGGTTCGTTGACAAATGCAAGGCCCATCGGGTCGTGCATGTATCTCGACCTACTGTCACTTCGCTAACGCTAACATCAACAAAATGCAATGGAACGAAGCTGAATTTCATTTGCAGGTGAATCTTGCGTAAATAATCTGGTTCTGCGGATCGCAACATTTCAATTAAAATACATACTGGACTAAAACCTGTTGGGCGTTCGCTCGGACACCTGCATCGCCGACAATGCCGATTGCGAGACCAGCGGCTAATGAGCTCATTCCGACTGTAAGGCCAGCTCCGAGGTGGGCGAATCTGGAAATACATCAGAGTATCATAGTATTTGGGAAAAATAAGGGTGCCAGTTCCTCGTGAAGATGCACTGCTGACGTGACCAGTATTAATACAACATTATCGTGAGCTTGACATCACACACCAGTACTTTACGTACTACAAAATAATCAAAAAAGTACCCCTGGTATGCGGAGTACTTCGCTGGCTCGTTAAGCTTTTCGTTGATAATCACGGACGTGATCAGCCCGTAGATACCTGATTTCAGGATAGTGTATCATTGGGTGCTCCGGGTCGTCAACAAGAAAAGGTACAAAAAGATTCAACTTTGTAAAAATTTTGCCTATCGGCTTGTAGAAATGCTCGTAGGTAATACAGGAGGCGCAAACAATAAAAAGAAAATTCATAGTGAAATTTATAGTACCCAAGACACCCGCCATAACAACCGGGATAATTGACTTCATCATCAGCTCAGGCCTAAGAACGCCCATGCTCATGATTCCGACGCCACTCTTTGCGGTTCCATATGCGGCACCTAGTAGGAGTTGTAGAAAAAAATCCATCAACGCTATATTCATTGATTCATCATCGAAGGGGGCTTTTCCTTGAAATTCAGAGAAGTTTAAACAAAAGCATTGACTGCTTCCAGAATTTTCTTTCCGGCGGACGAGCTTTCTCAATTACCTTTACCTCATCAACACGCTCACCACCATCATTAACATATAAATATGAATCATTTCTGTTATAACTACCGAGGTTTGCGAAGACAATTGCTGATGTGACTCCCATGAAGCCAAAAAAGCTGCTTGTCGGATCGCAGGCGACGACAGTCATTTTCGTTTTTTGGTGTTGGTCTACGGAACCAAAAGAACTGCAACTACGCCCTTATGAGGGATACTTGATACCTTAGTGAGATATCACCTAGAATATATTTAATACACACGACCAAGAATTATTTTTTCTTAGAAGAAGCAGAGGACGTACATCGCGGGATGGTCATCTTCCATCTTGACAGTATTCGAAATAAAGACCAATTGTTACATATACATCTCGTCTCGCTCTCGCCGTACTACTACTAGTGCAATGCCAAAAAACATCCTCCGTCGTCTCGGAGGCAGATTGTTCTTTAGGCTAACACATTCGCTCGAATATTTCTGTCAGGAGACTGGACCCGACGAGAGACAGTCAACACCTCCAAAAAAATGACCATCGTCGCCAAAAATCGGAAAGTGACCTTGAACACCAACACCACAATTATGCAGACACTTCGCGACAATTGATTCACAGTCGCTCCGTTTTCGCAGCATGGAAGAAATGCTTGCATGCAAGAAAAAAGATAGAGTCCTCTTACACGGTTCCACGTCGTTTCTTATAATTGGCTCATGCTCAAGGACACAAAATCAGTTTCCGATGACATCGACCAACCTTTTTCCCACGTTGCCCCACGAGAGGTAGAAAGTAGCGAAAAAAGTTCCTTAGATTTTCGATCTTTCTTTGGTTTCCAGTAAAAAATACTGACAACCGAGGCACGCGCGAACTTTTCGAACTTGCGTCGCTAAATGTATTTGTATTTGGTAACGCTACCCTATTTTTTCTTCTTCCCTCCACCAGCTTTCTTTTTCTCTTTCTTTGGCTCTTTCGCAGCTAGCATCATCGCTAGGACGTCAGCCCCAGTGAAAAATCGAGGCACTGACTTGAAAGTGTCTCGCAGAAAATCCAGACAGTCACGAACCCCAAACTCCCGTGCCCAATACGCTGCATTGTGCCCGTCAGCATCTATCGAATCCACCAGTTCAATGGCCTTTTTGTGTTTCGCGAGAGCTTGCAACAATCGAAGGGATGCAGAGCCACGGCCTGCAAGAAGTTAGTTAGTTTTCAGATTAAGTACTTGATTACGAAGATGGATTTGGATCCGCATCCGCTAGTACTAGTTCTGATTAAAAAACACAAATCGAAACAAGCTGCCTGGCGCAATGGAAATGATATTTGTGACAATCTTTATTTGAGCATGTATTCAAAATTCTGAACAAGTACACTGAGTGATACCCGCGAAGCTTTCTTGTACTGCACCACCGCCACTTCTACTCGCACTACTGCCACCGCCACCACTGGCTGCGGAGTGCGCAGTCGAAAGGTCAGTTGGCATGACCGCGAGGTGCCACACAGTTTGCTCCGATCGATTTCGGAACCCGACGTCGATGCCTGGTTGCGCCAGGAGGAAAGCCACCATTGCTATATTTTTCTGCTGCACAGCCAGCTGTAGACAGCTTTGTCGTGCACACTTATCAGTGGAGTTCACATCCGCTCGGTACTTCAACAAAACTCGAACCATCTCCATCAGAAGCTCCTCGCTGCTTCCTCCATCTAGATGTTTTTGTTCGCGGCGTGGTGAACCATGATCCCGAGACATGGTTGTACTGTAAAGCGAACCCCCTCTTCCTCCACCCAGCATCTGTGACGACGAGGAGCATGAGTTCCCATGGTCTTCGGTCCAGACACTAGCGTTGTAAAGTCCTTCGCCACTCGCGCCAAACAGCGTTCTGCTAGTCCAAGTTGAGTGCTCTGCGTAACATCGGGAAGACATAGGCTGTCGCTCGAATCGGGAAGAACAAGACTGACGTCCGTTATCCCAATGCAGAATGCGCTCATACAGCACCCCCGAGCCAGTAGCCGTCTTCGCATCTATACTCGCCTGTCGATCCTCTAACAGAGATTCCACGATTTCCAGCGACTCTACCGTGGCAGGCTGTGTTACCCAATGGAGAAGGAGCTGATCCCCCATGTTCTTTTTTGTGTCACGCGAGTTGACAAGCGACTGCTGACTCCCGCCACTTACACGGTGTTTAGATCACCAGTACTACTGAAAACCCTGCTGAATGCTGTTTTCCTACAAGAAATTTGATATTTTCGAAGGTCGAAGATTCGAGCAAATTTTCGAGCATCTTCTGGTTCTTGAAAAACGAATATTAATTACGCAACTTTTGCCACACTTCTTGCCGTTTCGATAGAGTCAAATTTTCTAGCTGTAGCTTCTTTTCCGCGAAACGAAGGCTTTCAGCTTACTTGACATTCTGATTTTGTACGTAGAGTCCTTTTGTGGTCGATATTGACGCCGAAGTCTCGGATGTTGACATCGCTGTCTCCGACTGCGACGAGTTGTTCGTCAATATCGATGGAAGACACTCCAGAAGGTCCATCATGCATGGAGGCGACACGGGCGATAAGTCGTAAAATGGGTGGTGGTCTTGTTTAGCCGCAATGTGCGATGATGTTGCAAATGCAGGAACGAATCTGAGATGTGCGATACTATCGCATGACACTGTTTTCGAAATAGCTGCGCATCTGCTTGTGGTTCCGAGCGCATGCAAAAATGAAATACAAAGGAAGTAGAATGAAGAAGTCTTTGCTTCCGTCTATGGGAAAATCAAAATCGACATCGAAATCAACACAACAAATTGCTACCCGAAATTACTTTTGCAAAAAATACTACTCACAACATCCCCTTTCCGCGTCGCAAGATTTTACCTTATCCCAATGTATGTTGCTTCGCTCTTGCAGAGTCCACGCCTGAAGCTTTCTGCTACGGACTTTTCAGCGCGACTATTTGTTGTTGATTCGCCGTTTGCATTCGAGTTACGCTACCGGGTTCGTGTGCTGCCATTGAATTTACAGCTGCAGCGGTAGTCCGCCGCTGCGCACTGCTCGGCCGAGTTGTATTGCGCTTTTTGACGGTCGATCTTCTACCACCCCTCGCCGCCGCTTTCTTGCCTTCGTCATCCTCACGCTCGAGTCGTTGGAGTGCAGCCATAATTACCGAACTGTCACATAAATTTCCCGACAGATGAAATCCTTCGCCGTTTCGACGAACTAGCTTTTTCAACAAGTCAATCCGGTTCTTCGCCTCATACTCGATCAAAAACGGGTGACCCAATGCCTGTATACGTATTAGAGTTTTTATGAGGACGCGCTTGTCAAGTATATCCACATTGACCATTTTGACTTTTCATCTTGATACCACAAAAATCATGCCTGTTGCGCTAAAAATTTTTGTACAAACCCAAATCGACAAAAAATGAACAAAGAGTTGTCGCTGTGGGGAAAAATTGAAAAGAAAAGGTGCCTCATCTAAGCTATTCATCGTGTGTAGCGTCCTCCTGAAATCTTGCAGAGACTTGTGTTGGAGAAGCGTTGGCGCCTGCTGACCGGCGTCACTCGCCCCTTCCTCTGCAATTGTGGATGGTGGTGAACTCTGATGATATCCTTCATAGTTGTTGTAGCCTCCATCATACTGAGCAAAGTGTGGGTCTGTCATCTCAGCGCCCTGTCCGTACCCATATTCGTAATCTTGCCATCCGTCACCAGCGTTCGGGTATCCTGGATATTGTCGGTCGCAGTATCCTCCTTCGGCATGTTGCTGATCAGCGCCTTGATTGTACATCTGCGGGTCGTACCCGTGGTACAGATCTTGAGTGTGAACGCGCTGTTCTCCGTCACCGCCCCCAGGTTCATTGTACAACTGGTGCTGGGTTGCCGCGCCGTCTGGGGCATTGTTGTAGTGGCAACCAGGAGCCCCTCGGTCGTAGTACTGACCTGGATCTTGAAAGTTCTCTCCATAGTTTGCGTCGTTCACATCCTGCGTTATCATGATGGAAGCACTGGGCATCATCGGATCCAATTGTGGCGTCTTGACGCTGCGCTTTATCTTAATCGGACTTGATTGTGGTGAATGAAACACCGAGGATGGGCGTCCAGCTGGGTCCGACCCTCCAACTGCACTGTCACTGTTGTAGTATTCCAACAGCGTGGCGGCTGCAGGTGGCGCTCCCATACTCACTGCTGCAGTGGACAGCCCTCCAATCGGCGAGTTCCCCAGCGTCTTAATTCCTGGCTTTCCTGGTCGTGGACTCGCACCCATCGACTGTGGCGGAGGTCCCAAGCCACTCAATCTAGTGGTGGGTGAGCCGCCACTTGTTCTACTGGTTTGTTCGTCTGCGGACTGATACGCTTGTCCTGCTGCACCTACTTCCGTGTCTATGCCTAATATGCGATCAAGCACGAGAGCACTTTGCAAGTAGTCGTCTTTTATCTTCTGTTGTCGCGTTCGGTTCGTGTCGTGGCGGAAGCCTAGATGAAAAAACTTGAGATTTTCAAACCCTGCTTCGACAAACAAGGTTTGATAGTCGAACCAGCCCATGCAGCCTTCATCATGCGTTAGCCGCATGAACGCGAATAGTCTTGCAAAAATCCGTGCCAAAATGCGACAGCGCAACTCTGTTTGCGAGAGGCGCCCAAACTCAGTGACAAAGTCGGAAAGCGAGATCCACGTTGGATAGCACGGCTCCAATATAATCGCGTATGAACAATCGTTGTCATCCATGAAGTCACACCTGAGCGAAAGGTTGTAGAACGAAATGCATGTAGCACACGCGCAATTAAAACAATTCCTTTTCAACAACATCTCTTAGCAATCGCAACATTTTAATTAATGCTTCGCTTTCTTGTTCAGGAAACTACAAACTATGTTACCCGAATTGCGGCAAGAATGCTGCGAACTTTGAGTTGTACATGGTCGATAGCAGCGAGTATACGTCCATCCCGCGAGGAACGGCTTGTGGGTATACCTTCAACAGACTGCAGTCGCACCCTAACGGAATGTATTGCGCATGGTAAAGACGACTGACACCCGCTACTGTCGAAAGGACGAACTGAACGTCGTAGTCTTCAGTGCTATAACCTGAGGATGAAGATGAAATAATAATCAGGTTTGAGTTTGGCGATCATACACTTAAAATAAGTGATAAATCGTGGCTTCTTCTTCTGCCTAGTATTAGACTTAGAGCCTCCTCGTGATAAACATAAACAGTATTCGTACGTCGGTGGATCGATAAGGCAGGCTAAAAACATGCATATTTAGTCACTCTATTGTTATATATGTTTGTTCGGCTCTTCCTCTTCATACGGTTCGAAAAACAAATGTTTAGGTTCAGTCTTCAGAACTACCTTCGGGAACTTCGCGCTCTTGCCCCTGCGCGAATTCCGAATTGCCACGAAGATTGAGAAACTGGTTTCTGATGAAGTACGTGCCTCTGGCGATAGCATTCTGTCCCATCGAGACGAGAGCCTGGCCCCTGCCCAGATCGGATTCTTGCGCCGTCACGAGAAGATCGAGATTCGGGTCTCCTTCAGCCGTTGTACCTTGCATGGACATGCCACCCCCATGCTGTCCACCAGGCGTTGAGCCATCTGCGGTGCTTTTTGAAAAAGTCATCTTTTCAACAACAGCTACTATTAAAGAGCTCCTCCCAACAAATGAATGGGCAAGATGAAGCAAGACGAAATGGTAAGTACAGAATGAATAGAGTCTTCAGGTAGCACGTGACTGACTCCTTGCCTCTTTTCTTTTGCCGCTCACCACTTTAGTCTTAGTGGACACCTTGTTTTCGAACTCTTGTAGTAGGTTTGAATACACAGCCAGCGAGTTTATGAAAGCGTAATTACGCTGCTTCCCAATCGTTGACGGTGGCTTCATTTCGCGAAAAGTTTGTTCGAGCGCAGATTTCAATTGTCGTGATTATAGCTTCCCTTTTAAGGCTTGAAATCCTTCATACGTGGTTATGGAGTGTAAGCGGAACTAGACGTCTCAACAGAAGTATCAAAGTATCTACCTATACAGGAGAAATCATGTGTAGCTTTAGCTTACTGTTGCTAGTTTGAATGGATTCCTTAACATGCTATCGCCACGCCTGATAATATGCACAAGTTGCTGGACATGTGGTCTCTAATTATCACAGAAAAGAAATTTGAAAGGACTTATTGGTTACCGGAGCGATTCCATGGCAACCGTGAGAAGGATCCTCCTATACAACGTATACTTGAATGTATTATTCCTATAAAAATATGCGTCTAAAAGAACCAACGATATCGACATGTATCGAAGACATTAGTCTACTGTGCTTAAGCTGATATGCGTTGAATTTCACTATGAAATGGATGCTATTAAGAAAAATATCGGAAGAACGATCTTTTATATCTACTTAATATGGAAGTTGTTGCTGAAGTTGTATCGTCAATTACTTACGTCTTTATGTGCAAGAGCTATTTCTTATGATCAGAATCTCTACAACTACCTTTGCAAAAGAAGACTCATTTGCTAATGCCAATTCATGATCATTTCCAATGAGTGTTTTTTTCTGACGTCGTGTGTCGCGGTCGCCACAGCGACAATATCTTTCATTATATGATCACTAATTATCTTCAGTACAACTAGAAGGAGTCACTATCTTGGCTAATCACGGATGTAAGTATTTCTATTTTGATCCCTTACTGTTGCTCCATCTCATGTTACTTTTTTGCGTCCTGCATCTGGAAGCATTTCGCTTGCACGGACTGCATGAGGACGTGAAATTCGCGGTCCGAAGCCGCAGCTAGGCCAAGTACTGTTTGGCCATCGGTATTCGGCGCGTCCCAGTCGGCGAACATGCGGTAGCGCACAAAGAAGGAGATAAGCCAGCGTCTGCCGACTTTGGACGAAAACACTTCTCGGTACAGCGGGGAACGAACATACGCGACCACGAGAGCCAAAAAGACGCTGCTTCGATCCCCAGAGACCATACGGTTGGCAATTACGTTGTAGCTCCAGTCAACGATGGGCTGCAATCGGTTCTGCTGAAACTCTAGGACGAAGGATTGAGACGCGTCGACGTAAGACTGGAAAAATGGCACTACTTCCTTTTTCTCTTCCAGCTCCGACGGGGGGATGTTCGATTCGTCGCCGTACCTCAGCTTTAACTGTTTCTGCCGGCTCTTTTTCTTCCTCTCCTCCTCCAGTCGCTCGTCCTTGGTGCGCGTCGGGGCGGCCAGTTTGAGGTCGTACATCATTTCCACAGCACACTCACCTGTGAGCGCAATCGTCTTGTCGTACACAGTTCCAACGCGGAGAAGCTTGTGTATCGTCACGTTGTTGCCGTCCAAAACGTCAGGGTAGGTCATCAGCATGTGCACATCCACGCCCGTCTCATGGTACAAATCATGCAGCAGAATGCCCCAGCTTTTCTGGATGTCTATCGCAATGCTGCGGGCCAAAAAGGAATGAAACGCGCGCAAAATCACCTGCTTCCTGCGGATGCGTCGAAATGTCGAGTTCTTAATGAAGTCGATCATCTGCAGTCCGTCGAAGCGCGTGTCTTGGTCTCGCGCGCGTGCATTGTGCACGTCCAGCACGTCCCAACTCAACGAAACGCCCAAAGCATCGACAAACTTGTAGTTCTTCAACAAGCGGGCCTCTCGAACTCGGAACTCCATCTCTTCATCGACGTCGATCGCATCACGTCGGGTACGAAAATCCTTCTCGTTTCGGCGGTTACGGAAGCATTTCAAGTAAGGCTTTGGTTTTACTGGTCGCATCTTCGAGTCTCGAATCCAGAAAGGCTCAAACAGCTCATGCATTATGGTGTGTCGCAGATATTTGCGCTCTGGTCCAATCACCTTTGTCCGCTGGATCTCGCGCAGGAACTGAAATAAAATTGTTGAGAATAAAATATTTAGTTTTTCTTCCGAGTCAGAGTTTCGTTTTGAAGCCAGCTCAACGAGAATAGCTCGTAAAAAAAAACTTAAGACGAGCACGCAATATGCTCTTGCGTATGCAGATCCTCCTGGAAAATAGAAATCATGTTGTTTGAATAGACGTCGTGATCATCTTGTGTAAGGAAGTCACTGCCATTGAGAGTTCGTTGCCGAGTCAGAGTAACTATGACAAAAGTTATGTCGTCTTTTATTCCGAATGCAGCGGTCAGAAATACTCGGATTGCAGCAAAGCGAGGGAATTCCGACAACAGAAGTGTTCTCATCATGCGTAGTCTAATTTCGCGGACTGAGACAAAGTCTGATTATCTTTTTTGACACTGATAATTCCAACGACTGAACCTACCATAATAGATCATAATCTTTAAAATCCGTTGGAAGAAAATCACGAAAGTCAAAGCCGTTTTTTCATCGTCGTTGAAACAGAAGATAACAGAAGTTGTATCAAATACCCTTGTTTCTTCTGGGAATCCGCCACCGGGTTTTGCTTGGAAGTCGGAATTTGCGCTAATTTGTCCCCAATAGATGTCTAACGCAAAATCCATGACGGTTTTTCCGTACTCTAGCTCGCGCGTTTCCAAGTTTATGTAGGGATGCTGAACGAGTGCAGAGAAAATTTCCGCCATGCTGTCTTCGGCGTCGTCGCGCCCGCGCAGTAAGAACTTCAACAGCACTTTGTGCGCCGCTGAGTAGCCGTCTGCTTCCGAGAGCGCATTGATGTTGGTGAACTTGCGGTTGAAAGAGAGCAATGCAAGCACGCAATTCTTTAATGAGCGCGTCTTCTTGATGGTTTTGCCGTCCGTGACATAGGGGCTCTGCGTCTGGGCAATCAGGCGATCCAACTTGTCGAGGCAACGCAGCAAAGGGGTGTCGTAGAACTTGCTCAAGTGTGTCGGGTACTTAACATGGCCGATTTCCCTGAGACCACGGGGAAACTCGATGCTATCTTTGTTCTTCTGCCGGCGTGCGTCCTCTTCGTCACTATCTTCTTCTTTCTCCGGCAAAGGTGGAAGGCCGCGAGCTTCGCGGGCCTTTTTCTCTGCTTCTTTTGCGGTCGCCTCTTGCATTTCCTTGGCCTTTTGAATCTGTTCCTCCTTCACGCGCCTTCGGTGTAGTTCACCGGGTGTCATCAACTCATCCTCCGTTCGTGTCTTACCATCCAAAATTCGAGGGCATTGCTTAACCTGTGGCCAATAAGAAGTAGAACGGCCCGAATTTCTAAACTTCCGTCGAGATCGAGATCATGCAAGTGAATTCATAATCATAGCGCGTAGCGGGTTGCAGAACATCAAAGACCTCCTTCTTTATGTGCTCCGAACAATATCTACCCCATGCCAGAATATCATCTGACTGGTGGAGCCGTTTCGGAATCACTTCCGACCATCCAGCTTCCCATCCACCAACCGACCGCGGAGACTATTGCCCCAGAGAGCAGCCAACACGACCGGCACAGCCAAGGAGACGCTATTAAGCGCTGAAGCAGAGGGGATCTACTAAGGTGCTTGGGTTGTTTTTCTTTTCTTGTCTCTTTTGTTTTCCTAATCCTATCTAATCTACTACATCGCTTTAGTAGAAGCTATATCAAGAAAATCGATATCGCCGCAAAAATGGCTGGATATATCTAGAATATGTATATGCACAATACCGGAATCATGTATATCGCAGTCTCCCACTCCTCTTGCGTGTAAATGCCATTCTGGTTTTCCAGCATCTCGTTGAATGTCAGTACGCGGCCACCACTACCCGAATGATCGCCCTGATATAGATATTTCATTTAGATCTGATCCTTACAACATGCGCCACGGTGTGTTCTTCTTTTTTCTGTTTAGTAGCCGAGAACAAAGTCTGGTGATCGTCACGCGTACTACTCGTTCTTGCCGATGCATGACGAAGTGAAAGAACTACTAACTAATTGATGTCATATCTTTATCTTCACGACTACATCGAAAATCGAGCTTAGTCAAAGATGATTTAGTAGTATATTGCCGAAATTCGGTGTTCGTGTTGTTCGTATGATCGCTAAAACTAAAGAGATAATATAAATATCAAAAACTACGTACCTCTGGTTTCACGAAAGTCTCGATTTCAATCAGGTTGTCCGTTTTGTGGTCCTCAAAATCCTCGAAATCGTTGAAATAGTCTCGAAGCTGCCAGTTGTCGGACATGACGCAGTGAGAGTCGTACATAGGGCCTGCGGAATGTATTAGACCTTGCGCAAATTCAAATTCATCTTAAAGGTCATTTTTGACATGTTTCGCCCTTTTTGGAGACGGGGTCAAAGATGCTTGTTCTCACGATAAATTACGGCGCCAAGTGTCTTAAGAGTATTCCGGTCGGGATTTCGAGAAATTTGTTCGGGTTTGCCGCAGCGGCCTTGCTTTTTTCTTCCTTTGCTCGATCCTCTTTGGCGCGGCTGTCGTCATCGTCCTCATTTTGTCTTTGGATAGCCATTCTCAGAGAGCCATTCACCACTGCGTCTACGGTTGTTGTGCCATCTAACGCCCAAATGGCGTTTTCGATGCTGCTCTTCTGCGACTTGGTCTTACCAGCACCACCAGCCGCCGTCGACCCGCCTCCACTTTCTGCCATGAAGCTAGGCGACTCGGTCACAAGGTTTACCTGTCCCAATGCCGTGTAGAGCACGCTGTAGGCGTCCTTCGCCTCATTGTGCGGACGAAAAACGATCTTAACGCACTGCAAGGGGAGGTAATCGAGTTTGTCGTATTCCATAACCGCCCTTTGCACGTCCCGACGAAACATTGCACCGTTGTACGCATTCTTGTTCGCGCGCCAGTCCATAGGCACCAGAATCTTTTCGTGGCAAGCCGGGTAATCATCCATGCGCCGAATGACATACACCGCATCCTGACCTGCCGGCACATGAAATTTCGCAAGATCCTGAGCAGCACGCGCCATCTTATCCAAATCGATATAGTTCTTGTTCTGCTTAAGAACTACAGTCAATGTCACGCCTTGGACGAGACGAAGAAAGAGGAACTTACAGAGCACGATAGATACGACCGCAATATTGTAAGCGAAGAGTCTAATCTGAATCTGAGTGGGATCCTAGGTGGAAAGCGCGAGCCCACGCCCAGGTGGAATAATCATAGGGGACAACATAGAAAAACCGAGATGGGAGTAAACTGGAACAAAAGCAAATGGCGTGAATAAGATAAAGATGTCCTGAAAGAATACAGAAAAAGTCGACACGGCCGATAGTTGTTGAGGTTGACACACCAACTACCTAGAATCAGAAATTATACTAGTTTCTCTCATGATTAACAGAGATTCGTTGCGTAGAAATCGCCTATAACTCGACAACAGACGCGTCACACACTCGACAGAGACCTCCACACTCAGTACAACAGACATGGACCTTGATTCCGAGCATATTGTGGAAAAGGATACTTAATATGTCACAAGAAGATAACTCAGCTCTACTACCTTATGTGAAAAAAGATAACCTGGAATTCACACAGCACTCAGGAACAGACTTCAGGAGAGCATCAATTTACGTGAACGCGCATGAGCAGTGCTCCTTGTGCTTGTCTAGAAGATACAGATGTCAACAAGAACCTACGTCAACGTCGCTCTCGAATGATTTATTCCTCTTCCTTGATGGATGATCATGATCATCAGCAAACACATTTTTTACAATCTGTTCGTCTCTTGAAGCAATGCTGCTGTTAATTGGACTCACTTGAACTTGCTGTAGCTAAGTGCTCTACATGCACCTACAAGTCGGCCTTTTTGCCTTAGTCATCTCCGTCACACCAAGTTCCGTCAGAGTAGTTAATGTAGAGAAACCTGTTGCATACATGGCTAAGCATGCGAACGCTCGGCTCAGTGAGCCAACTTTCTGACAATGTCTCCACTACATCAACCACCGCCATTAAAAGTGATGACGCTTCCCACAGGTCCTGCCGCTGCGCGGCCCAATAGAGGAAAAAAAGAGGGTCGAAGGCGACAGGTTGTCGTGTGCTGGGCTGTGATTCCTCTACGGCGGCCGCGGGGGTAATCAATACGTGGCTCTCCTTGTTTTCCCTTTTCCCCGAGGATTGGGGTTGCAAAACGGAAAATCTCGACAGCAAGTACTCGAGGAACTGCGTACTGACACCACGACCTGTGAGGGCGACTTCGGTTCTTTCCTCCTGATCATTCTGCATGAATGCTGATGCAATCATCTGATAGTCAAAGCGCAGATCCTCACCGGTGGTACGTCCAGAGCGCGCGTCTGCGCGCCGTAAGCTCATGCTGAGGACTGCGCTACTGTGCCTAAGGTCTTCGTCTGAACTCGTCTCTGCACCAAAAGGAGGCTCTCCTTCTTTTATTGTGCGACTGTAGTGCATATTTTTGAGCTCGCTGACGAGGTGCGATGAAAAATCGTTTGCAAAGGTCAATAAAGATCCCGCCAGGTTTGCTCGGCATGGTGACTCTGAAGATACAGCTGACTTTCTTGCCACTTTAAGCATCGTAGTCGACGTTGCCTGTTCGTCGACGGCCGAAAGAGGATCCACCTGTCTTGTAGTTGAAGAAACACACCAGGTTTGCATAGACTGTCGTGTGTGCTCCTCCGCTAGTGCAAGGTGACTCTCTAATTTGCGTGTGAACTGCTCATAGAGTGCACGGGCCTGCGGAGGCGGCTGGGGCTGAGCAGCATAGAGTTCCGGAAGCCGTTGCAGTATGCGAAAAAGAGGAAAACCGCTTAAGCACCATTTCGACCACGGCCAAAGTTTCGCATGATCTACTACACCTTGTGCGGTCGCGAGTGGATAAAAGAAACTGCGCCCAGGTGACAGGCGAACTCCAACGATTGGGTCAGTTACTACAAGAAGTTCATCTGAAGAAATTGATGCAGGATCTTCTCTTGCGCTGTCGACGAAGTCCGCCATATCCGCCACCGGATAATCCGGCAGGATCCACGGCAGGTCATTGAAGTGATCTTCAGCGAACAGCGAACAAATACTGGGACCATCAACGGTCTTCATCAAGCGCGCTGCGGCTAGACCAATGCCGCACTCTCGTTCAAATCGCGCTGGTCCAAAATGCGCCGTGAGCATGCCTTGCAAGTCATGGTAAAGAATGCAGCGAAGGCCTTCGCGGTCCGTCTTAATATTCGGGTTTTTGCATCCGAACTCTTCGCCATCCACGACTCGAGCTGTCAGTCTTGACCGTAATGCCACGAAGTACATGTTATCCTGGCACTCTGACGCCCGTGGCAGCAAATTCTCGTCTAAAACTGGCAGGCGTGCTATTTCTTCAAAAGAACTTAGTGCGATGTTATTTTCAACAAGGCCATGATCATGCCGTTGTTCTGTAGAATAAGTACTAGAAGTAGTAGACCTTTTCAGCGTGGTGTCGCCTGCAAGAGTATACTCTTTTGGCACAGGCAATGCAGTTGCGACACCGCCTGGCGGGTACAAGAGAAGATCTTGGTTAGCGCCAAATCCGCCCTTACCGTGTGCTACGGGGTAATGATGCTTTTGCAAATACCGAGCTAGCACACTCTTGTACTGGCTGTTTTTCACTTCCGGAGTGAGCCACAGGAATTCCTGCACTACCTCGAAGTCCAAAAAGGGATAGCGTCCTTCAATACCATGAAAACCAGCGATAATTTCGTCCTTCATCAAATAATCCCGCATTGTGCCAAGGAAAAAGCTCTGCCAGGGAAAGACGTCAGCCAGGTAAGATATGAAAGTGGATATCGCAATCAGAGGCTGAGGCACCGCATGCGGATGTAAAGACTTGAAATTTAATCTGATGCTCTGCAGTCGCATGTGCTTCGCACGAGCTACAACGTATACGGGGCTATAGTTCTTGAATCAAATTAATACGAACTCGATCTTCTCAAGGCGAAAAACACGGTAAAAACAAGACCCATCATAATATCTGGGAACAGACCGCCAAAGCAACTGTGAGGAAAGATTCGGGTTCCGTTGAAGCCGTAATCTGAGATAATCTCATCAGCTCCGCTGCCAGAAAGATACACTCTCCGGCCATCGTCCTTTCCACGTCGAGTCAGCATTGAAATCCCTTGCGCTGCAGAGTAATCCAATTGAAGTGTCTTCCCGGCCCAATTTTCAGAGGAATACTGATAGGGCTCCGTCCTGCTCTTCACCTCCTTCACTTCGTTGCGAAAACCACGCCACGTAGTTGAACAAGAGTTGGGACATTCATCATTCTTGAAGACGAGAAGAATTTGTTTTGGGAGTGCCGGGTTAATATGATTCAACTAGAGCTAACAAGTAGGTGTAACGCAAGAACTTGATGTATCAGAGTGATTCAGTAGATGATTTTCACTTTATTGTTGATTTATTTTCCCCGCTTTTCATTTTCATACAGTTTTTCTAACCGGAATGACTTTGACATTATTGTAGTGAATTCGTTGCTCCAAGACCTCGCGATCGCGGCCGTCAACAACGACGTACGCTAGAAAGTCATCGCCTAGGAGTCGCTCGCGTACGGAATTCGGAAAGATGCGACCAACCAACTGCATTGATTCTCGCGCTAAGCCGGCTGAGTCCGTCGTAATCTTTCCGTCTGTTACGAGGTCAGACTCAGGGGATGTTTCTGTGTTGCTTGGAATTTGCCTGTATATCCCGTCGCCTTCCTGGTGAAACTGAAAGCCTTCCACTCGCTGTAGTTTGCCAAGCGCGAGATGAATGGCACCTGAGTCGTATCCGGTAGAGAGGCCCATGAACACTCGTGCAAACTGCGATCCAGGCGGACCGTGGACACGCTTATACACCGCGGTCTCAAATGCTGCATCGAAATCAGCCGCATCTTTCTTGAACTGCCTGATATCGAATTCACGGATCGTATGCGAGGCGCAAGAACCTTCAATAGATTTTCCAGTCAAAACCCATGATGATGCTTTTACTCGGTGCAACGGATGTGTAGACGTCCTTTCTTGGGTACTATCCTCTGCTCTGTCAACGACGAACTCTAGTGGGCATACCAGGTACGTGTTCGGGATTGCGTGATGGATTTCTGGTCTTTCATCGTGATCTTTGGCATTGTCATCTCCATCGTCAGCGTTCTTGGTGGAATTTATCATGGAAAAAAGTCCTTGCAAGACGCTTTTATAGGTAGCGATGTGGAGCCCATGCTTCGCATCTAGCGAGTACCACAGAGGCTTTGTCCCAAACACATCGGTGGAAAGCAAGAGTTGCGATTCGCGAAAATCTACCAACGCCAGAGCGAATTCGCCGTCCAGAAAACTGATGAATCGCGGTCCGAGCCTTCGGTATAAACGCACCAAAGTCTCTCCCTCGTTGAGAGCACCATTCTTTTTTTGAGCGTTGTTGAGAGGATCCTGCAGTTCATCTTCATCATATGTGCCAGAATTTCGTGTGGTGAATAAACTTGCTAATCCGTGCTCGTGCAATAGCTCCCGGTAATTGTATATCTCACCGTTAAACAGCAGAGCGACGTCGTCGTAGAAAAATGGTTGCGCGTTGGCAGTCGAGAATGACGCGTCGATACTATTCGCGGCGGCATTGGCACGACGCAGAAGAAGCTTCGGAGCTGCTGTTCGCGAAGGTGCTGAAGCCTCGTACTGCTCGGAAGATGATGATCCAGAAGCATGCGCACTTGGCGTCCCATCTACTTCTGCTTCTTGATGCAACTCGTTGAGGGCACCCGACTCTAGTGGCGATCTCCCGGCGTGGGAAAATTCTTGCGTTTCTGGACTCGAAAGAGGCGTTGATGACACGTCTGTCACTGCCGAGGTAGTAATCGCCAATAAGTTATGCACGAAAGAAAAGCCATGATAGTCCACGGCAACAGTTAGGTCAGGTCCACGAGAAACCGCAAAACGATTTACCTCATCCAGTTGAGAACGCAGCGTCAGCAAGAACGTCGTCAGCCAGAAAGAGCACATTTTATTCTGATCTACTTTTTGTGGGGAAATTATACCACTTCGATTAGAAACTAGGAGCACCGCTAGTACACTATCTAGTAGGACGAGAGTAAAAAAGCTGTGACTTGGACTTGCTTTGCATTATTGCGACCGCTACGTTTTTTCCTTGGGGTTGATGGCTGACCGCTAGCCGCATATTGCCCGCGCGTCTTTTCTCCTTCTGTTGGTCATGACCTGAACCCTGGAAATTGCGGAAAGATCCACAAAGATCCGAAGGATGAAGATCATCAAAATGACCAAGATCACCAGGCGAATAAGGTAACCCATCGGCACCATTCTCAGCGCAGGCGCCGCGTCGGTGGTTCTCAGACCTCTAGCAAACTCAACGAACCAGAGCACTACCCAAACGCCTGACGGGTTTACCGTTGCGCGAGCGCCTTCTGGCTTCTCCTCTCTCTCCTTCGTTGTTTCAAATCTCTCAGTTCAATCAAGGACAAAGCACCAGCAGAAACAAAGACCGCGAGGAAACTCATAGACCTGCACGCTTCTGGTTCTGGTAGGTTCCAAAGTCAACGACCAACAGGCAGAGGACCCTCAACATTTCCAGACAGAAGAGATAGCGCACGCCCATAGCAGTAGCGGGGTCCGTTTCGCCCTGTCAGTTCTGATCTGTTGGAAGTGCATAAAGATCGTCGTAAGGCATTCCCGTAAGGGGTTCCGTAGGTATGGCCCGACGCGTATCCATTCAGTAAGCCCATTCAAATTCAGCCGAGTACCGGCGTAGATGATCATACGAAGTCGATGGCGATAGCGTAACGATATCCATACGAACGCGCGAAGCTTTCCCTATCATGATACCCCCGGAAGATGTAGGGGCTCCCTGCTCTACAACCCCAACGAATACCCACAGGGATCAAACCAGCCAGAGGCCATTTGTCTCAGGCTGTGGGTCCAATTGCATCAACTCAAGCAAGCGCTTCGCCTAACGTTTCTCCCCGAAAAACTTGCCAAGACTTAGCAGTCTGCGTTCTTGTGGTCCAACAACTTCGGTTGCGAGCTCTCCCTCTCCTTCTCAACAAATGGAGCTAGTTACTCTTTTCCGAGTACGCGGAGACAACATCAAGGGGGCAAACACGTGGACATGCGCTCTTTGGACTTGGTGGCGATTGCCGGCCTTTTGTCGAGCCATACCGTCTTAATGTTCAAGGCAAAATTCATTGTCTCTGCATCAACGCGCGCGATGAGAGATTGATACGTATACAGGTCCACACTTCATGCCTTTAGTTCTCGTACTAGTACTTGGTTAGTGCGTGTTCTCTAATATGGTCGTGGCTTTCCGTATTTGTATTTTTCACGTTCGGAGAATATCAACTACGGGACAAGGGGAAAGACAGGCAGAACGGGGCCGGAGATCATGTGTACTGCGACTACATAACAGGTGCAGATGGGGACTAGTGCAGATTATGCTTCATTAGATGTAATAGTGCTTGCAATTTAGGTGGTGACGCCTACCCTTCCTTAATGTCACCCTAATATGAGTTGATCACTCAATTATCCTTCTCTAGTGCTATCAAACGCTGTAACCACAATTTTCTACAAGAAGCATCCTTGTCCTTGTGCATCATCATTGTTTATGACGAAACCTGTTCACCTCGTGTATACGCTGAAGTTGAAGTCCAACTATAGAAACATGGATTAAACTACGTTCCATCACAAACTTTCGAGCGTGAAATGTACATCAATGGAATATATTTATAACCCAATTAGTCGATTGATTTGTACTTAGACGTACAAGATGTACAACTCTAGCAATCCTGAGTAAGTAGAACATCACGATCGTACGACAACCGTAAAAATATGTTAAATAATCATTACACGGAAAACCCAAGGGTGACTTAGCGCATCCTTTTGAGTATTTTTGGTCTTGGAAATATTTCCGGGACATTCACAGCGCGAGGATGAGGAAAATTACAACATCGGACATTCTCGTCGGGAACGTCGTCAGCGCCCTGGGATCTTGAGGAAGATGAAGATGCGTTACCACTTTCTCCGGCACAGAAAAAGTCTCGTCCATGCGAAGAGCCCAATCCTATCCTATTCGACGATGATACTATTGCTTCTCGTCCAACGAAGTCTGAAGCTGCAGTGCTAGCCGACGAAATCAGTACTGGAGGGTGGCATGTGCTTTTCCGATTTACAGACGCCCCCCGGTAGATCGTACTGCAACTGCTGCTGCTACAAGATATTGTCGGCGCCGACGGAAAGAAATCAGCTTGCATCCTCGTCGTTGCAAATTCCGGTACCGCAAGATTAGTGCCATGGTTCACTGGCGTCGGAGCCGGGCTAGCGGTACTAGGAGAAAACGCATTTAGCGCTCCTGCCGTGGTCGAGGTGTTGATGTAGTGGTGGTCGCGGGACAAATTATACGAAGATGGATCTGCTCCATTGGATGGGTTGATCGAAGTCGCCGTAGCAGGTCCGAGGATGCTGACACCAGCTGCTGTGGGAAAAGGAATAAATCGGTCCGCAATACTATTCGCGGATCTTCTGTTCATATTGATGTTGATATTTGCCATTGCCGTTTTGCCACCGTCCGAATTTAAGTTCGATGCGGAAACTGGGCTGTCACTGTAGACTTTGTTGTAGATCCGAACGCCTCCGCCTTGTGACTGTGGGGTTCCCTCATCGTCGTCTCTTTTTGCGTACCATGGTTCTAGCAGACCGGTAAAAAGCTGGGAAATTCCGCTTCCACCACCAGAAGCTTCTTGTTCCGATATATTTCCACCACCTCCTCGATCTGAAGAAGAGAAGGATGATGAGCCTCCTTGTTGTTCTACGGCTACTTCTTCTTCCTCGTCACCAGTTGCACTTCCATCGTCGAGGATGTTAGCACCGCTGTCGAGAAAGTTGGCGCCCTGTCTCGCTAGCGCGTTTACGTGTGGCGGCAACTCAAAACTTGAATCCAAGTTGCGCAACAACGCCTGACTAAAATGGTGACAATTTCGCCGCAGCATGTGGTAGCCGCCACCTAGCCACTCAGTTTTCATCTGCTGCAAGAGCTGATGCAACTTGTATTCGGAGTAATTTTAGCGGTCTTCTGAGAACTGTAAGTGATATTTAATCTTCAACAATATAATCAGTCATTTCATTGTTTTTGTAGGGTCTTCAACGAGCGCATCTCGATCTCCAAGTTGCCAAGTCTGTGATCACTATGAAGGATGACCATGACCATGAGGACGATGATAGAATCAAAATCAATACATAAATTTCAACTTCCCCGAGAAAAAAGGCCTCAGCGAAAGTGTGGTCCCGATGCTGCCGCGGTTCGTCCCAGGTAACACCACTGGCAGTTCGATCGTGCGTCATCCCGAAGCTGTACTCGCGCCCTAGCAGCTCCACACCGCTGTGGAAGACTCCGGATCCACTACCGAGCATGCTATTCAGGCTTTGAACCATTCGGCTCTGGCCTAGGTGATAAACGTTTACCCAAACAGGGACTCGCCGAAGCTCGAACATGCGTCGCTGCGCCACCCGCCGGTCGACAAACAAGCCCGCAAGTGGGTAAAAGATGTCGTCGGCCTGGTCGTCATGATCTTCAGGGTCAGGGCGTAGCTGGTTGTTATTTCGTGTTCCACCATAAGCATTGCTTGTTTGTTGTCTGCCATGCTGAAGCTGTTGTTCTCGGCGATCTCGATTGGGATTGAGGGTAGCATTTTCGCGAAGACTTGTTCTAGAGCCTGACGGTGCCCCGGATTCGCGGCGGGTCCCGTACAGGTTGGGCGGTAGTCGGTCGATGGAAACTGGTTGCCTGTCACGATAGCGCGCCCCTGACGGCGACGCGACATCCGCATCTGCTCTCGTCATGCGCAAAGAGGAGGAGTTGACCATACTTTTTCCTCCGTCATCGACTCTGTATTTATCTGCAGTCGATAGCCTGTACTAGTGTCCCAGGTACCAAAAAAAAAGTAACAGCTCTAACGAGTGAGTGGGTGAGTGAGTGAATGAGTGAGTGAGTGAGTGAGTGAATGAGTGAATGAGTGAGTGAGTGAGGGAGTGAGTGAATGAGTGAGTGAATAAGTGAGTGAGTGAATGCATTCACCGACTCCAGGGGTAGAAAAGACGTCTACACACTACTTCCTTGTCCTTCTACAGCGTCTAATGATGTCAACATTAGATATTGATGCTCGCCGTGACCAAACTGTGCTGTCATGTAAGTCTGAACTTTCGAAATTCCAGCTTTTTATAAAAACAAGAAGAGTCATGTAAGTATATGTATTTGATACTCGTCTGGACAACTTCAAGCGCTACATTAATCTAGAATGAACTAAGTAGGTGTGATGTTCCGTGTAGTATTAATATCAGATCAACACTCGACTCATATGGGTAAGAAGCCGGAGCACAACAAAAAATGGATCTGGATGCTAGCGGGTGGCTCCCAACGTAAAACTTCGCCTGGTGGTGTAGATGAGCAGGAGAGCGAGAGGATAGAAAAATCGGCCGCATCACATCAGTCATCGAAACCCTGGTTATTCTTTCGCGCTGACGCGGTGGCTGTAGTGCTACAGCACAACATGATTGATTGGAATTCATCCATATCTGGACGAGTATCGGTATTTCATTTGGTCTTGTAGTTAAGATGGTCATGTGGTTGCACTCGTTGGACGATTCATCTGTGAGCAGCACCTGAAATGCAGAATCTGTTTTTTAGTTCAGAACTGAGCACCCGATCATTACTAGACACGCATTCTTCTTCTCAATCTGGTTGGAGTGACAGAGATCCCGTATTTGTTCATCCTTTGCCTTCTAAGCCGCTCAAAATCGTAATTTGCTTGCCGTTTGGATTGGTGGAGTTCTTGCTGTTGCTGACATACCATTTGAAGTTTTTTCCCTGCTAGTCATTTTCCAATCATAACTTTAGTTAGTGTTTTTTTCCAGTCTTTCGAGTATTTTTGACAATCGTAGTGTTACATTTCGGCAGCGACCAGCGTATTCGATGCCGGTGCAATGTGCTGACGGTACCCCTTGGAAACTAAAGAGACCACCATACCACGAAAGAGCGATGCTGCCGGTGGAATCGGAGTCACCTCGGTGCAGTGCCGCTCTCTGTACCACTACCAAAGTCTTATAGACAGCGCTGCGTTTTTCTGGTTTCTGAGGCAGTTTCTCCGTCGGAGAAGGTTGTGGATAACCGGCGTAGGCAATCATCACAGCGGAAAGGCCACAGCTGCCAGGAAATTTGCCGCTTGTGTTGAACGAATTTTTCGCGATTTCAGCATACAACTTATCCATAGTTGCAATCTTATCGAGCTCTGCATCCAGGCGAATTCGATGTGAAGTTGCAGAAGTTGTTTCCGAACAAGAAGACATATCTGCTTCTTGTACTTGCGATGCGCTATTTGCTTTCGTCGCTCCTGGCAGTTGACGCATCTCCATGTCCATTTAAGAAGGAAATCATTACCGGTTTTGCTGGTGAAAGCGGCCTCAGCATCCTTCACATGCCGTGATCGCGGTCCCTCGCCGTCCGCTATGTATCCCCGCACAGAGGGAATGCCGCCTTGCAGGAGGCATCGGGGTCAGTTTGCCACCGGCACACCACGTAGGGCAAGGGCTGTAAAAAATGCTGCCGTGAAGCCTCCCGAAAAACCAGTTGGATGAGTCTTCGACATTCGCGACGCCTCTATCGATAGGGCGAGTGCCATCCGCTCGGGAGCTCGGAGGTAACTATCATGCGCAGACGAGGACGAGGATGAGGCCGTTGTGCATCCGGGTCTCGATGAAGAAAATACGTCGGTGACTGTCTGCGTCTCATCTAGAGGAGCAGTAGAAGCCGGTGGAGTTGACTTTTGACGTTGATGTGTACGAGAACCAGAGGTTTACTGTCCTTGTGCAATATCGTCTCCTGTTCGCGAACAGGCTGCAAGAAGGCCAAATACGGAGGTCCGCATTGCAGCACCACATCCGCCACTGCGGGAATCGCGCGGCTTTCTTAGTTCGAACCGTCCGCTTTAAGCAATTTCAGTCCTTGTTGCTCGCCTTTGCCTGGTGCTCTGGCCGTGAAATCGTCCCCGCACTTCTTACACTCAACGGCGATCGCCTGCAAAATGCGGTCGAGAACCAAGTTGCTGTGCACCTTCTCTGCATAAAAAATTCATTGAAACTGACTAACCGACGCAAGCTAGTAAGGAAAAGTAGGAAAATAGATGCTTCATGTTCATTTTGCCAGTTCAGGAGAACAATTCTTTAAGTTTCATGCTAAGAAACTTATCCATTGTCTTGCTGCAGTGCTCTAGAACATGAAGATTGTGACAGACCACTGGAAGATGGCGCTTCTCAAATTGCTATGCAAAAATGATTTTGTAATTTCGTAGTACCTCTCTGCAAAGTGCCGTCTGCGAAGCAGGCTTCCAGTCCTTTTGCGAGGCCCTCCGCCATCGCCAAGTGCTCCACAGTGTCGTCACTGACTGGCCAATTCTTTATATCCAGGGCAAGCATACCGCCTAGTGCCTCACAGTCATTGCGGATTTTCGAGGTGGATGCACAAAACTCCCACTCTCCACCTTTGTAGCCCAGCGCGTCTCCGACCACATGGAGTAGAATAGTTGCAGCGAAGCGTTCCGTCATTGGCGCTGTCTTTTCTTGAATGGTTGCGGTCGAGGCATCAGCTCCTGCTGCTGCAACAGAGTTGTCAGACATGTTCTTCATGTTTGATCAGGTTGAGATCGAGTGGTCAAGTGATAGGATTTTCTTCAAGGACTCCGCGCAATAAATAGGAAGAATCAAAAACATGATAATAGGTCAAGGACGAGATATGAACTACCACAATGAGAAGATATTACCAAAAAAAATGCTCACCCTCAGCTAACTCAAAATTTTTCTTCTTGGTAAACTAGGCACTTTAAATAGCTAGTTAATTAAGTCGTTGACGGAGGAGTTTTGCAGCCGGAGGCAAGAGGGCCAGGACTCGGTGACGCAGACGAAGCTCGTTGGCCATTCATACAGGCCAAACGCACGAGAATGCGACATGGCTGAAGGTAGATCTAGAAGGAAATGCGTGCCGTATTGGCCTCGTGGATCCACATTCTGAACTTTGGGTCTTCGATGTCGCGAAGTGAGTCATCAAAGAGAGGGCTACGGTGTCGCTTACTGCGTCACTGAACTGCCCTTTTCGATGTCGCCAATTTGACCCACTGACGTAGTCTTTCCACCCCCGGCATCATGTGGAAAAACTACCTCAGTGATTTAGCCGCATGGTATGACGTAGGCCAAGTGAGTTTTTGACTTCCAGGCCAGCAAAGTGATTGGATCCTAGTGGGTCCACAGCCACAGAAGGAGGGCCAAAGTGGCGACTTCCCACGTCGCGAACTTGAGCAAAATTGTGCAGCGAACTCGGCGCCTAACTTGACGCCAAAATTGCGCTCTTCTTCACAGCGAGCCCTGCTTTGACTCGTGTCGTTCGGATGGTGGACCCACGCGGCCACAAGGTCACTACTTCCTAGACACCTTCAACCATGACCATTTTCTTGTGGGATTAGCCTGCACATTTGGCCAACTCCGCTCGTCTGCGTCTCCGAGGCCCACTCTTGTTGCTGCCAGCTGCAGAGATCCTGATCCTCCGTCTATTATCTAGTACTTAGCTACTAGCTAGTAGGCCTAGGCATCTCAAGGCGATGAAAAGTTTTGAGTTCGCTGAGGGTGAGTGTTGTTTTTTCGGTAAAGTTTCAGAAACAGAAGTAGGCGAAAGAACGAGACCTACAGCAAGTGTAGGAGGGGCCCCATCTAGTACATTCATTCTAGAGTCGCTACGAGCATCACTTCTCTTTGTGTGGTATCTGGGTGCACGTTTCTCGTGTCTCTTCCATGCGTGGTAGCAGATCTCACACACTGTGCATTATTTTTTACCGGTATTGCAATGCAATTCTTCCTCATGGAATCACTCGTGCGATGTCGCTGCCCCACACTTCGTCGCGTTTCGCTCGCGAGTAGAATTCAGACGGTACAGGAGGAGGGACAACGTTGATGAGCGAAGCACTGGAGGTGGCTTCTCGTGGCCGTCTGATGAATGAGTCATATATTTCCAGCAACATAAAGCAGAATACTTTTTGCTTCATATTTCTGATATCTTGAATCAGAATCTCAATGATCCGACTGACATTTCTACTTCTACCTCCTTTATACGGAAATGATTTATTAGGACCGAATAAGTATTCGTTGTTCTGGAACTTGCTGATGCACAGGGCCGATGTATTTAATCACGAAGTCAGAAAATCCTTCTGCGTTCAATTTCAATAGCCGATTATGAAATTCATCTATTCAATAGGATTCAACATTCTTTAGTGAAGATAGCTTTTGTTTCGCATGCCTGTAACTGTATCCGAGTGAATCCTTCCTAACCGACCCGAAAGGGAAAAATAATCTGAATCTGTCTCATTTGTGAATAAATGTTGTTGATGTTATTGGGACTTCATACTACAAATATGACTAACAGCGATAAATCATGGCTATACATGAGAAGTGCAGGACTTGAATTATTAGTTATCCAATCATGCCACTATCCAGAATGCGCTCCCGACAGAAAAGCACTCACAGCAGCTTCTATATTTTGGCCGTGCCGGTCCAGAAGCTTCGCTGCATCAGCGACGCTCAGAGAAGTGATCTCGCCTAAACGGATCGTATCCTCTCGATGCGCCGACAAAGCAACAAGCCCTGCTGGGAAAGCGCTGTGCCTGCTGCTGCTGCTGGATGGAATTCCAAAAGGGTCTGCGTCTGCAGCCAACATTTCAATGTCGCGCGAAACAAAACTAGTCGTCGCTCCCTCATCTAGTTCCCCTGCTATTTTTTCTTTCTTGCCTGTTGGACGTTGTTCATGATAAAGTAATTCTTGTATGAGAGGTGTATCGTTAGAAGAAGATGAAGTAGCAAATGTAAAGCTGTTGCTGGTGCTGATGTTAAAATAACTAGTGCTGGTCGTGGTCTCTCGGACTTCTAGTAGCGGTTCGTCATCGGAGTCATCATCAAGCAAAGGCAGTCGCGGACGGTGCTGCGGAATAGGATTACAAGAAGATTCTTGACTAGCTCGCATTTCTGCGCGCTCTTCGGACTCTTGGAGATGCGCGTGGATGCACAAATCCAAGTCACTCCCATGCTTCTGCGCGAGTTTATGCGCTTGGGCCGTTGGTAACCTGGGGAACATTTGGCGCAGGTTCTCAACGCATTGCCATTCCATGTAAGCAGCACAAACTGCTATGAAGTCGCCACAATGCTCGCGCGTCAATTGTTCAGCCTTTGCAGGGTTGTACATCGAATGAAGAGATTGAAGATTAGAATTGTTCGAGTTGTTCGTCGAGGAGGATGCTGATGACCTCGCAGGAGCAAAATTTCGACGCATCTCTTCTAGACAGTCCTTCTCGCGTTGGGTGAGCGCGTGTGCGATTGATGAGAAGGAGCCTGCAACTACGCCTGAGCACTGTCTACTTGTGGTAGAATTGTGGTGCTGGTCGTAGTTCCTCGTCACTGCTCCACCTTGGTGAAGATGAAGCAAACGGTCATGATGTGTTGAATAACTAGTACTTCTTGATGAAAATGAAGACGCTGCTCCTGGTGCTCCAGCAGTATGAGCAGCCCCAGAGGTTGATGACTTCCCTCCTTTCGGAGCGCCAGGACGTCGTAGGAGCACATTGAGTATCGGCTCATCGTCATCCATAATTAGTGGTATCGCGGCAGTCGAATCCTTGTACTAGCTGGAAACTTTCTATCAATGCGTCCATAATGAGGCGCTCGTAGTTCTTGAACCAAAAACACAAGTACTAGAACTACTTCTACCCACTTCCACAATTAAAGAACATAGGATGAGAAAAAATAAGGAAGCGACTGTCTGGTACTAGGCTCAATAAAGACTCGCTTTCGTCTGGGACCTCGCACATGCGATTCTCCTCCATCACCTGGACCGCTTGTTCGACATCGCCCTTGAACTCCTCCAAAATGTCGTACGCGAGGTCCACGTCCATATTGAAGATATCGCTTAAAAAAAACGCCTTCTTCTTCATTTCATGACTCTGATTCTTCGACACCGTTGCGGACGGATCTTGGGAATATACACTTCTAATTGGTGTAGAAGAACCATTCATCGTCTTGTCAGAGTGCTTTTTAGGACCTGGATGGCGAAGGCGGTGCCGGTGGAGATGGAGATGGAGTCGGAGACTTTATTAATATTGAGAGCAACAAAATTCAGAAAACACTTCCCCTCCGAAACCTCAACCTCCAACACCCGAACCTCCAACACCCAAACCCTCAACCTCCGACACAAAAACTCCCAAGCCTCAAACCTTGGAGACACAAACCAGGAACCCATGAACCCACGAACCCAGGAACTCACGAACTCCTAAACTCCTGAGAAACTGCTTAAAATCAAAAATTTTGGGGTTTGAAATATTCAAACCCAGCGAATTCAATCCCAAAGCGACAAAATAACACGGAAAGCCTCGAAATTTGAGAAATTCAAATCCAGGAAGTTGAATCGCAAAAAAAAAACGTAAAGGCAAAAATTGTGGGATTTGAGATATCGAAATCCAGCGAATTCCACCATCCCCAAGGGGCAAAATAATAGGGAAAGCTTCGAAATTTGAGAGATTTAAATCCAGGGCATTAATTTCAGAAAAAAAAGGCGTAAAATCAAAAATTTTGGGACTTGAGAAATCCAAACCCAACGAATTTAATCCCTAAGGAGCAAAATAATGACGAAAGCTGCGAAATTTGAGAAATTCGAAGCCAGGAAATTGAGCGGCAGAGAAAATGCTTAAAGTCGACAAGTTTCGGGATTGGAGAAATTCAAATCCAGCGAATTTAATCCGTCCCGAAGCGACAAAATTACGCGGAAAGCTTCGAAATTTGAGAAATTCAAATCCAAGAGATTGAATCTCAGCGAAACCGTTTAAGATTAAATCGCTGCCTTGCCTGTTCCCTGGGTTACCTCGGGAGGAGGGGGATCCTAGTGCGAGGGGTTGTTATCGGGCGCTCCAAGCTAGTAAGGTAGAAGCATCATGCCATGGTGCGCAGTTTCGCATCGATGTTACCGCGACTACCCGGAGGAGTAAGAATGAAAGAAGTACTAGGACAGTGGACTGTAAAAATTCTCCTTCGAAGAAGTACTTGCATCAGAAATGTCTAGAATACCTTGATGTGAAGATGCAGCTGCATTTGACGGAAATTCGGATTCTCTTTCATCGATTCGACGTCGCTTTGTAGCTGACCCCTCGTCGAGTATGTTCTCGACACCTGGTGACCCTCCGCCCACATCCTGCGCGCCCGCGGGCTGGTTGTAACTTGTGCTACTGGTGGCGGGTGCAGCGCTGGCTTTGATGAAGAGCGCAGTATTTGACCCTGCGCCGCCCGCTGTGCGGTCTTTTCCATCTTTTTCAGCCGCACGAATTTTCTCGAAATTCTCCTTCACTTGTTTGTACCGTTCAAGATCGGGTCCCCGATAGGTGTGTGAGTAGGTCCTTCGGCTTCGACCCTTCGTAGGTGGTGGCGCAGCAACCACGGACTCGGAGCCCTTCCGCGGTCTCCCAGGTTTTCGCTTCGCAGGTGAAGCACCTGTTTCGCCTGCGTCCTCAACGCGCTGTCTCTCCTTGAGCCTCCGTTCTTTTACCTTCTGCGCCATGCTTTTCTTGTCGTGTTGGACTTTGCCATGCGTGTATGAATTGGTCACTACCCACAGCCCGCCAGTAGCACTCTGACGGTCCCGGTACGCAGCGAGCCGTGGATGCGCGGTTACAGAGCTGTATATGCGGTCGGAATCCAAAAAAGCCTGCGCGACCGCATTGGAGAGTCGTGGGCCTAAGCCAAAACCTTGCCACTGAGGCAACACTACCAAGCGATTTTCCCGAAATTTCCATTTGCACGTTGCTTGGCTGGTTCCGAAAAAGTGACACGAAGAGACAAAGCCCACTGCGCGCTGCGACCGCCGCTCCCGGCACAGAAAGTAGAGCCCATTACTTTGTAAGCTTCCGGACATAAATTAGAACTGCTAAGACACTTCGTGCAGACAGGTCGTGGCAAATAGTGCTCGTCGGAACTCAATTAACGCTGATAGTTGTAGCATGATGTCATGACTTGTCGCTGTAGGAACTCGATTAAAAGACTATGTTGCCTGGTGATGATGTGGTATTTGAATTTGTGCGTATCGGCATAAATGTAGTGGTGCTGCTCGAAAATTTTCGCCCAAACATTACGCCCGACTTCGCGGTCTTCGATGAAGTTCACCACGAATTCCATTTCAGGTTCCTTCAAAAGCTTCTTCAGATCCTCCTTCTCGTGATGGGGACGAATTGCAACTTTCGGGTATTGGTCGATATTTCTTGCACATGCATCTATTCCTGTAGATGAACATCTTGTAGGAATGTTGTTCGTCTTCGGCAGGACAGAAATGTCACCGGTTTCTGAATGTAGACACCAGTCGGGCCGCAATGGCGCCAGAATGTCCTCAAAAAGTCCCGCGACGATGAGCGATAGACCTCCGGCGTTAGGGGACGCGAGCTCATCGGCCACTACAGCAGGTGCAGGCCGAACTTGTGAGCTCAAGCTGCGCAGAAAAGAGCCAATCGAGGATGCAAACATGTGCGCAGCTTCACGATCCATGCTACTGGTGAACTCGTCAACGATGACAAGAACGTTTCTCGCTGTTGCAGCAGATGTGTGGGACCTCATGATCGCGCCGCGTGCACGCCACAGGAGTCGGGCAACGGTGGCTCGGTGTTGTTCGCTCGTTGACAGTGTTTCGAAGCTTCGAGATTTGCATAATCGCGGCAAGCCACAGACGCCGAAGAGGAGGCTTTGTATTTCTTCATCAGCACAGAGGGGAACACGATGATCCAGGACGAACTGCAGCTCCACAGGCACCCCTCTTTTCCATGACGTCTCAAGATCGCTTTCCTGTAGGATGAGGTACCGCGGCCCGGTGTACCCGCCTCCCTTTTGTGCGTCGCTGTTTGAAAAAAGTAAACAACCGTTGGCATTCGTATTCTCGATCTCGCTCCAGCTACGAAAATGGTTCACGAATTCGTTGAGGATTGTTGTTTTACCAGTTCCACTTGGGCCAAGCACCGCTCCTATTTTTGCAGCATTGGACGCGTTGTACAATGGATGCGAGGCGCGCGGCAGGTTCGTCAGCTGTTTGCAGGTGCCGTCATGGTCAAAATCGAAAACCTCACAAACTCTTTCGGTTGCCTCGTCGGGATCGATCTCACAAGTGAGAGTCTTGGTGAACGTTGCGGAACTCCCCGAGTGAAGACGACGGCCACAGCGCTGCAACAGCAGCGCAAGGTCGCCCCTGAGGATGTCAGCACAATCGTCGGGATCACCATTGAACGCCGCTCCTCTTAGGTTACCGCCAAGACCTGCCATGTAGTGCCCCGCTTCAAATTAGCGCGTGGATAAAAGAAAGCTAGAGGACAACCCGACTGCTAATGCATAACAAAGACGAGCCGGGTCACCAATATAAACACAGCTTGACGTTTCGTTTTCTCAACTAACAGACGACTTCGAAACCAGAAAGCCACTAAATTTACGCTATCGACTTAGTGAAAGACTACTCTGCCCGCGCTCCAGTTTCCGCCCCATCGTTCAGGCTGCTCCTGCCTCTTGGTGTTCCAGAGAAGTGTCGCGGAGTCAACGTGATAAACGAAATCAGGCTGAAGATGTGCCAGGATTTTCGGCTTTCCGGTCGCGAGCAGGACGCGCCTGTATCCTTTTTGATGGATTAGACGCCGCATTCATTAGATAAAGCCGGTCTATCATTTTTCACGCAGGGCGTTTCTTTGTATGTTGATGCACTTCTCCGACTGTAGGGATGAAGGTGAGTCTTGAAAGCTAACGGCTTGCTTCGGTCTAGCTACTCGCTTGGAACCCTTTTTTGCTCGATTGCGATCCACATAAAATCAATAATATAAATATCAAGAGATCGAAAGAAGATGCGACGCGCTCTATCCGCAAGACGCGTTTGCTTTTACTCAACAACGCCAGCCACTAACTATACTACGCGAAGCGTTAGAGTGAATAATACTGCGTGAAAGCATAAACAGAAGCGGCCATGCTCGTGGCAGTTGTTTCGTCCACCAGCAGACCGAAGTCATCGAGATCCGCGTCGTGGTTCAGACATAAGGCCGCGCGAACTCTTTCCCTTTCACCGTTCGAGAGAACGTGATAAGGGCGCATCCAGTTCGGTATTTTGTTGAAGCCGACCGAGCTCAGCCGGTCAATGCCTTCACCATTCCAAGCGTCATGAGAGATTACAGCTTTGTCGGGGTCGAAACGGACCGAGGCGGATGTTGTGTCTCCACTTCCCACTTGTTTCGCAATACTACTTTGCGCTTCCGCTCGGTTGATGAACGCGACACACGTATCATCTCGATTACATCTGCTGTTGAGCTGCTGCCGAAATGCGCGGAGCGCACGCGTCTTCCCAGATGACCCGACGACGCAACCGATTGAAAAGTCGTCGGCAATATTCGGCACCGTGACAAGTTCCCGTGTAGCCCGATCCATCATGGGGGTCCAACCCTCTGTCGCAGATGAGGGGCAGGTGCTCGCCATTTAAATCAGGTGCCATCCTTCATGTTTTCTCCATCATACGTATAACGCAGTGTGCGTCTCATTGAGAGAGAGAGAGAGAGACAGAGAGGAGTGACGCAACAGGAAATAATTGCACCAAGAATACCATTACTAGTGTCCGAGCCACCACTTTGTTTATCTAGTTCTCAGTCGTGTGGGTTTCTTGCTCTGTTTTTAAGGTGGTAGAAATATATAATTTGGTACACCTCTACTGCAAGACCACTTTTACTCCTTGATTGAAGGTCATCAAAATACACATCGTAGTTGCCGACCTTCGAAGTTCTCGTGGTGATGAGACTCGTGCGCGTGCCTCATTTACTATCGTTTTGACGTCGTTTGAGATATATTCTTCATGCCTCATGTTCATCTGCGCCGGGACCTCCAGACCTTGTTTGCAGGCTCAGGAAAAGGTGCGTCGAAGCGAAGCCGCGGATTTGTTGGATAAAGCCAATATGATGTCTTCCTCTTCAAATAGTAAAGCCGTTCCATTTTTGTCAAACAGCAGTTACAGTGGAGATCGTACTCCCGTTGGTGCGGGTAGCTTGTACGCTTCGAACAGTACAAGCGTTTTCCTTCCTTGTAGGTAGAAACGTTTCAATCATTCCTTAGTTGCTTAAGTGAGCCTTAGGAGATTAGGTCGAGTTGACGCGCTTAGAGGATGCTCAAGACAGCCTTTGAGTGACCTCAACTAGCTAGTTGGTTCTTGAAGTCGATCCATGCCGTGTGCAGCCGTCTTACACCTTCTTTGAGCTCGTGCGGCTCGTAGAAAGACCATGCAAGACGCAAGTAGCTGTCGAAACGGCTGGGGCGGTCTACGGTCCCTGTGCTGCCGCTTTGAGCCCCCGCCACGGCGCAGCGAGGCCCCGGTAGGAAACTGAAACCGTATCTATTGTCAACGGCAAACTTTTGAAGCTTCGTTGTACTTGTTCCATCGAGAAATCGGACCCAAACAAAGTAGCCTCCTTCGGGGTCTACAAATTCAATAAGGTCGGACTTTCAAGTATTAGAGAAGGACTCACGACGACTTCCTTTTCCTAGCGTCGTTTACTAGAAAAGCAGAGCACGAGCAATAACGGAGAACAACATCAAAATTAGTTATGCAATTTTTGCGATCTTTACTGTTCAACTTATCTATACATCGTCAACGGAGTTGCAGCTTAGGATACAACATGATAGGGATGGTCTGGGTAGAATGCTTTTTGTTGACGTATCCTAGCTTCTTTGTTGAAGACGCTCCGCAATTCTCGAAAAAGCGTGTGCGCGCGTGTTGTATACTCCTGCTCGAGGAGGCTCAAATGTGCGTCCAATTGACCATTGCGGATCATCTGAGAAACGGCATAACTAGCTACCGGGTTCATGCTGCCACCGGAAAGCAAAACCGGATCACGCCGGAGACTCTGAATCACGGACGGCGCTGCGTGGATCCAACCTAAGCGCAAGCCTGGGGCGACAATTTTAGAGAAGGATCCCATCGCTAGTACGCGCCCATGATCATCAAACCTTCGCAACGAGCCCCCTATGCCTTCTTGCTGCTTTGTTAACTTCTTCTTCATCCTGCTGCTTGATGAAGAAATATTGTTTTCGACCACTTCCCCTTCCTTCTCCACCTCTACTTTGTGGTTCCCCTCATCGCCTTCTAGAAAATGCAGAAGCGCGTAGGGCTCATCGGACAATATGTAGAAATCGTACTCCTCTGCAAGCCTCACCAACTTCCGTGCTCCGGCTTCGGAAAGCGAGCCACCGGTTGGATTGTGGTGGACTGGTATCAAGTACACGCCTTCTGGTCGAATGCGACCATGCTGTTTATCATTTTCATCTTGGCCGTTGTTGATGAGCCAACTCTCGATGCGGTCCACAAAACTGTCCAGGCCAGCGGTGAGGGTACTAGCACCGTCCGTGCCCATGCCCATGCTGCTGCTTTTTTCTTCCGCATCAATATGAACGCCGCTCCGTTATTCAATCTATGTCAAAGAAAGGAGAACAATTTATTATATATTGTAGTTGGAATGCTAATTCAATCAGGACATGATCTCAATATGCTGTCTAGTAGTTGAAGAGGGTCTACTTTTTCTTTCTTTCATAGATGGAAGACGAGCACGGAATCAAATGGACGCGAAACCCAGCTTCGAGGACGATGTCGCCAACCAGGAAGTAGGTAGGATCGTCCATTACGATCACAGGCGATTTCGATGAATGATGGCACTGATCCAGAAAATCTCTATACGCCTAGGGCACCCTCTAAAAACAAGATGAAGGAAAGTGTCAGCCCGTCTCCTTCTTCCCCTGTCAGTTGTAGGTACCCTTCAATGTTGAGGCTAAACAGTGAGAGTTCAGCCCTAGTACGTAGTAAAGTCCGTTCTCAAAAATCAGTGGTGCCATACATGGTAGCTATCCCCGGCAGAGGCCTCCTCCCGCTTCCCTTGAGCCCTATGAGGCTTCCCCTCGGTCTGGTTCTGTCGAATTCGCTTGAGATTTTGCAATGCAAAGCGAACTGCGTGGCTGTTTCCGCTCGTGAAAATGAGTTCTTCCGGTTGGACCCGACTGCCTGTGCGTGAAGTGAGCCAATCCGCCAAGGTAGCAAGCTCGTTCGGCGGTGCCACAGCTCCATACTGCAGCATTAATGAGTCGGCCCCATTTGCGGCAAAGCGTTCCGCACAAGCCGCTCCAAAGGCACGCAGCGGTAAAAGTCGTGGAGACGGCTGCCCAACAGCAAAATTTACAAAATTTTTCTCGATCTTTGATTGTGCCAACTCCGACGTTTGGCAGGTCTCTACGACAACTTGTTCGTGGGAACCTCCGTTTGACAGCGTGGAGCCGCCAACAGCTGAAGAAGTCGTGGCCATCTTATTACGGCAATTGTTACGGTTACCACACCAAATATATTGCTTTCTTCGCAATAAGCTGTCCTGCGCCTTCTTTATTATAGCGCTGAAGTGATCGTAAATCCTCGTAAACGAGTGCTCACGAAAAGAAGGTTTAACGCGACAAGTCAAACCAAGATGCAAATGCACTCTCGATGAGGACGCTGTCCAGAACGGTGGTCGTTTCCGTTTGTGGATACAACAATTTTTAATCGTCGTAGAAGGCAGAGGCAAAACGGTCGGACTTCTCGCGTAAGAATCTTTACACAACGATCTAGCTGTGCCGTTTTTCAACATAGTTGTTAGTCAACGAGGATACCATCGTTTATTTCAAAAATGAAGTAAAGGAAAAAATTCATTTTGAAAAATCCTCTACATCATCAACCTGTGATTTGTAACATATCTCGATGAGCGTCGTTTATGACGCGACCGAAGGTGAGTCTTGCTATCATAATCAGAAACTTTGATTACCATCTTTAGGATCCGCTACACTCTTCTCACTCACTCGTTTTGTAGAACCGATACGACTTGATCAAGCAGCCTTGTGGAAACTTTTTTAGAGCCACCGATATGGATATCAACATCATGACAGGGAAAGCAATCTTAGCCCAGCGTTACAATACGTTTCCATCGGCGTTGACCCGCCAGGCTCAGGAGCGGTTTTGGCAATAGAAGCCGTCACTTTAGCGGCGCAGGCGACGTTGAAATTCTTTCATTTTTATGACAGAAAAATCATGCCAATAAGTCATGATACATTTGCTTCAACAATGAACCTGAACGACGACGTGCGCTTTTTGTCATTGATTTCGTCCCTTGAGCATGCATCTGTATAATATGAAGAACAGCAAATGTCCGAATTTATGTCTAGATAGAGCTATCCCCAAGATGTTTGGTGATAGGTGTTGCCTGTTATTTTAGGTTCGCAACAAATCGGAGCATGGTGAGACTGAATCCTAAGAGGCATATATATAATTTTGTTAAACTAGTAATAGTATAATTTTCACGCCATATGTGTACGGTGTATAGACACAAGGAATAACTGTGGAATCATTGATATGTTCTGCTCAACTAAAAAAATTTCTGCTCATGGCTAAAAGAATCCATGATACGTTCTCAGTACCGAGAAACAGCTTGCAATCTGGAATAAACAATTCTCCAACGCATCTCCAGGATATGGAGATGATTCAGTAATGAGATTTACAAAATTGCGCTCTATCGGTGCAATAATCAGGTATAGATATCGATCTGGTTGGAGTTTGTCTTTATTGTTCGTACGACTCGTAGTCTTTGAGACATGGAAACGCAGGGAATATGCCATCAAGGTATTGACGATTCACCTCCAATCATCACCTGTAGGATGAAGATTATTGCACAATCCTCGGAGGAGGCCATTGCATCTACCAAATACCATATAAAATTGTCAGAGAAAATGGTCAAGGTGAGCAATGCTTTTTCTCAGCAAATGTTGAAGAAGACCACAAGTCCTCTAAATGTCATTGTCATTAAGAACGAAAGGAATATATCAAAGTCCTGTGATCACACTGGGTCTAGGTTTAGCTCTAGAAAGATTGATGTATAACAAAGGTATTCATGTTAAGAAAGCGGAAGCGCTCAGTGCCCACCGATACCTCTGATAGCACCGCAGCGCGAAACCTTTTCAGTTTCACTTTCATCTGGCTCCATCTATATCTTCAACTTCATGTACTTAGTTATGCTAATGCTCGCTTTGAGAAGAAGATGCACTCTGCAAGCTTGTCAGAGACTGTCTGCAAGCTCATCGATGGATAATCGGCGATCGCTTAGGAGAAAGACTTCATGGTTTAGAGGTTCTCTACCTCCTCCATCGCCAGGAGGAGAGAATTCCAAGCATAGTGCACTTGTTCCTCCATCTTCATGTCTTGACTGACGGAGGCAACCTGGCGATGGCGAAGCAGGATCACGTGCGATCAGCGCTTCCTCGTCGGTTGATTGGCTTTCATGTGGCCTCAAGACCAAGTGGTTACTATGTGCTGCCGTTCGTGCTGGTTGTTTACTGCGGTGCCTGCTAGCTGCGCTGCCGGGCGCCGACTTTTGCGGGAACACGAACAGAGCCGAAAAAGCACGCACGTTCCTCGCAGTGGTGGCAGTGTCGATGCGGTTAGCCCCCCTAGCACTGTTGTCATCGGAAGATAGGAGTGGGCACCCGTTTGGCGAAATAGAAAGCGGGGGCATTTGAATATCGGCTCGCCTGGGAAAATATCGGAACAATGTCGAGAACAACAAATTCGGATAGCGCAATAGTGGAGCTGCGGGTATGGAAAAGAAGTCGCAGTATTTTGAAGCCCCTTTGCTGTTTAAATCGCCATCTTAGAGCACTGTATGAGAAGGAGGTGGAGCGAAAGAAGTTGTAGATCCAGTCTATATCGAAATCAAGAACGAGGATCTTGGCCGTTATCGTGCTCGCATATTACTTTTTTGCACATATATGCTTTAGGGCTGGACGGTGCCCCCCCTGTGGTCTGGTCTCTGGTGGCGCGCGCGCGCGCGCTTTTCCGCGCGCATTTCCGCGGATTCTAGTGGTGGAAAGCTTTAAAACTTGGCGCGGGCCTCCCCTTGAGCGGGAATCATATAGGTTCCAGGGTTCAGGGGAGCGCCCCCCCGAGTGACGTGGGGGTTGCCGTGCGTCCCTGTATCATATATACGCCTCAAAGAGGACATCCGACGATAGAGATACCGTGTTCTCTAACGGAATAGATGCAGTTGGAGTTGCGCAACAATCCGTAACTACTATGTTCCGCCGGGTGCGGTCGATGTCTTGATCGGCGGGCCTCTTCGCGATCGAGAAGGTTAACATGCGCTTGCTTGTTCTCGGCGTCGGTTATCACATCTTGGCCGCACGAGGCCCACGAGAGCCAGGCACCGCAAATGGGAGTAGTGGAAGAGAGAAAGGCACAACCTCCGCAGCCCTTCAACCTGGGGATTGACGTCTTTTTCCCATGTAGTTGTTCTTGAGAAGTCTCGAAATACTTCTCATACGCAAACGGAACGAGATTTTTACCTCTCTGCAGACCAACTACACTGCATGGACCACAGTTAACTTTTTCGAGACGGACATAGATTAGAGACGACATCACTTGAAGTTTTTTGTTGAAAGTTTCTCCTGTTGCACCGTCTTCCTCATCATTTTGAATCTGCGCTACAACTACATCAAACAAAAATTCTTGATTTCACGCGAGCTGCTGAAAGTAAAAAACAGATACTTAATGACGCGAGATCGAACTTTTTTCTACTTATCATATATTTTCATATTCATATTTTCTCATTCATAAGCGAATGTCTCCGACAACGGTGCCACTTCCTGATCGCAACGTGAACCTTCCGCCTGCTGGCTCGAAGACGCGACCCAACGCCTCCACACGACCGCATGCCGCTACAGTGGTCGCTCGTCGTGTTCCGTGCCACGTAGGCTCCCTATGTATCGTTGTGGGAGGGTTGGTCCAGAAGTTAAAGGAAATCGAAATCGAATTTGGAAATAAAACGTGTCAATATAATCAATGAAGAAATGATCCCGAATCATGATAAGTGGATGTTGCCATCATCAGCTTGTGTTAATGGGCTTGGATGAAATAAAAATAGAAAGGATACTGGGTACCGAAGATAGTCTTTGTCTGGATCACTGCTGTATCCCTCCATTTGGTCGGCGTGGTTGCCCGCTATTCTAGATGCCTGTGACTGCGCAGTCGCCAGAGCTGAGAAGTCTAGTTCGAATTCATCGATTTTGAGCGTCTGCGCGACGCTAGTCCTAGTTGATGATCCTAAGCCCCCATCTTCCGAAAGAAGCTCCGGAGGAAACGTTGGATTGCTGTAGTCGGCCGGAAACTCAGAGCAATCCACTGGAAAAGACAGCCACTCTGTGATAGGTTAGAAGAGAAGAGTTGGTGCAGAATAATTGATTTGATCCTTCAACACTGCAGGAGCAAGATGCATCCCTATTTTTGTCCTAGTATTTTTCTCCCAAGAGAAGATCCGAGTCGTTGGTGCTTAAGAAATATGACATGGATGCTTGTTCTACTCAGTTGCAATGAAATGAAATCTATGAAATGGAAGAAGTTTTACTGTTCTTAAACAAAGTAGTGTTCAGACAAATGGGGCGATCGAGGTCTCGTACTAGGTTCCGAGGGGATGAAGTCGTCGCGTTGCTGCGTTAGAGCAGAAATTTCGTCTTGACGAGTTGCTGCCTGAGCATTACTTCTCGAGGCCGTACTCGATCGCTTTTTAGAGGTTTCAGGATGGAGGTACATACTTTGGCAACCGCAAGACAGCCATAACGCTTGTTTCATTCCCTCGTACTATGAATTTTTGTAGACCATGCAGATGCACCTGATCAATATGACGCAGTTCCGATTTTTTTTCCAATAAAGTTACAGCTAGTCCTAGTCCTGCTCGAGGGAACATTTAGATTGCAGCGAGGAAATATGATCTCGTTTGAATAGGTAAAGTCATATCATCTCTGTTGGCGAAGACGCCGGATCGTATTCGTGCAGCGAGAGCTCGCGCATGTGCAGCGTTTGAGGTCCCTGTTGTACAGACGTGATCCCGGCGCACCCAGTATTAGAGCTAAAACTAATGCAAGACGGGGTAGTTCCAAATTGGACTAGTATCTATAGCTTCAATATTACGAGCTAAATAAAAAAACAAACAACGACCCCGCCTAACTCTCACTCTTCCACTTCTGACTCATGAACTCATGACCTTAGGAACTTATAATATATGAGGATCTTAAGAACTGAAGAACTTACGAGCTTGGTTAGATTTCGCGCAGATGGGTACTAAGTTTAAAACTTACGCGATAAAATCAAAATTTTTACAATTTGAACTCAAAAAATTGAAACTCTTCGAAAATTGATGGCGATGGCAAGATCGTGCGACCTTATGGACTTAGTTAGATTTCGCGCAGGTGGGTAATGAACTTGGTTAGATTTCGCGCAAGTGGGTACTAAATCTAAAATCTACGCAATAAAATCAAAATTTTCACAATTTGAAATCAAAAAGTTGAAATTTTTCGAAAATTCAAGGCGATGCCAAGACCTTCCGAACTTATGGACTTGGTCAGATTTCACGCAGATGGGTGCTAAATTTAAAACCTACGCAATAAAAAGAGTGATGAAATGTTTAGATTGTAGGCGCTTGCATTAGTAAGCCATTAGTCCACTTCTTGCGTTGAAGCTCAAGTCTTCCTTTCTGTTCTCTCATCCTAAGAGGTTTTGGGAGGAAAGAGAAGGCAAGCCAGCAAAGATCTGGCTTCGATCTAACCGTAATTACTCTCAGTTATATTTAGGTAATTTCTAATTGTCTAATTAAAGTATAGGTGGTGGAGAGTGAGCGAGAGAGTCAGAGGAGGGGGATACTGATCGGAGGTAAAGATAATGAAAGAGAAACTAACAGAACAGAACAGACCGATGAGCATATCACACAACGTGATAGAGAGGGTCAGGGCTTAGGCCGTGAGCACCCCCTGCAGCCTATAGCTCCCGGCTTCTCATGAGACGAGGCGCCACCCCCAACTCAATCATAGAAGACCGCCAATCCTTGCAGGACTGTGCTCACCGATGCTCCGCAGAGACAGAACCAACATCCCAAGCCAAGTGATCGCTAATGAAACGAGATGTGGACGAGATGATGAAGCGAAGCGAGAACGACAACAAGAACAGATGTAGATGATCACTACGCAATAAAGTCAAAACCTTCACAATTTGAACTTAAAAAAAATGAAATTTTTCGAAAATTCATGGCGATGCCGAGAAGTTTATATTTATATAAATTTTATCACATTTCAACCGAAATCATAATGGGAAAGAGATAGGCAAAAAATCAACAACGACCCCTCCAACATCCAAACCCAACACACACCGAACCGAAAACACCCGAGCCGAAGACACTGGAACCGAAAACATGCGACCCCCATCGCAAATTTTTCCGCTCCTTTTCTAATCAACCAACAAACACAACACACGACCCTCCGGCACGCCGTCGAGCTTTTATTAAAATAGAGCACGCTGCGACTTAGTTTAATTCGTGGGCGCTAAAGTCACAAACTTTGTGTAAAACGCCTAGGCTGCAGACGGTTGCCGGGCGGGGGAAGTGCGTGCCGCGGGTGGATGATCCTAGTGGAAGGAGTGCTACCGGGCGCTCAAGTCTAGTAACTTTCTTGATTTCCTATACCAACTTGTTTGAATTTGAGAAAAATCTGAATCTTCGATTGTTGTCCGGTTTAGTATCTATGGAAATAGTTGGCTTAACACTGCAACATTTCCACGGTGCGGGTGAGTCGCATAGCGTTCTTTACTTGGATTGCCGAGCCAAACACGTCGTCCGTCAAAACATCCCCCGTCTCACTCTCCCCGGTGACGTAAACCAATCGTCCCTCGTTGACGGGATGCACACGTCCATCCTCAACGCTTTTCATGAAGCTCTTCATTGAAGTTCCAGTCTGAGTTTGTTGAAGATAAATATTGTTTCGCGTTTACGTACTATACTAATATTCAATTACGAAAAGGGAATAAAGCATATGGAGAGGCGAACTTTTAATCTTTAAGACTGGTTCCTGTCATAAACTTGACAGCATTTGAGGCCGATGCTCCTCCTCCAAGTTTCAATTTACACCGTATTTCGGATTTCATGAAGAGCAGCTCCGAGCCGCTAGGACTAGGTTGCTGTGTCAGATTTTTCTTCTCGTCGGCAGCCCCAACTGCAACTTCAATTACCTCCAGACCTTCTTCGTTGTCGATATTACGTCTTCCATCAACTGCAGCACTTCTACTGAAGTCGTCGCTGATGGTGACAACATGGTTGATACCACGAGGAGCGCTAGTTGTCGGGCAATTGGGATTGAGGCCACCTGTACTTATTGAGGTGGACGAGGACGCGGACGACCCGAAGATGTTCATTTTGCGTGCGCAGACGAATACGTAGGCGAGGACAAGGAGCATCACTGCGGGGAGGTAGAATGATGTAGAAGAGATGAGCTGGAGTAAAGGAGCGACGGTCTCCGCCAGAAAGAGTGGACCCGCAAAGACTATGTTCCGCAGGAACGATGTGGAAGTGGAAAACAAGCTGGACTCTATGGCAGCTGCTGTTTCTGTCTTCGTTGAGGAGATGGCAATTAATGCAGTCGGAGATTTTTTCCAGAAACGAGCATGATCTGGCTCCGTGTCCTCTGCCGAAAGCCCGCCGAGTTGCACAGGAATTTGCCTGCTTTGCTGCAGCGACGTCGAGGAAGCTAATGTACTACTTCGCGTTCTTTCTGTTCGCGACGTAGCATCGATATTATTGCTCATGCGCTGTGACAGTGACTGCCGCGTCGGTGCTTCATCGCTCTCGGTTTTTATCAACAGACCAGTACTGGGTGTGCGTCCTCGAGAGTCTTCTCTTATAGCCGCTGCCGAGGTCGCAGGCGTCCTACCGCTACTTTCTTTTGCAACAAGAGTTTGAGTTGTACTAGATACCTTTACCTGTTGTTGAATCGTGTTGCCTTCGTAATCGCTTTGGTCACGTGCTCCAAACGTAGACGATGCTGCCGACGTGGTCCTTGAGGCTGCAGAGCGTGCTTGCGGCGAGAAAGGCCGGGATCCACTGCTCCATCTGAACGTTGGTTGTTCGGAGGATTCATCTGCGTTGAGGAGAGGATCTTTCGTTGGGTAAAAGAGTCCTTCAACGAAGGTACCGCAAAGCTGCATTGAAACTGCAGCTCCCAAAAGAGTCAGTCGATGCAATCTTCGTCCTCCGATTTTCGTCCGCGTAATGCGAGGGTGATAGCGGATAATTCGGTCGCACTGAGAGCGCAAGAGCTGTTTCGCTCGTCCCCTCAGTTGGCAATGCGTTCTCATCCCGACCAGGTGCGCCTTCATTTTCGCAGAGGGGAGAATCGCGGCCATCCCATTGCTCTCTAGTGTCCTCATGGTGGTCAACCTGCGAAAATCAAGAAACTCCAGCCCGCTACCATTACTTTACCCTTTCAGTATTCTCATCTTGCATATAATTTTTTGACAAGATATTTTCGCCAAAAGGAAAAGTTCCGATGGATTCATTCTTCATGATTCGCCAGTAGTTTTTCTTCGAGTCGATTTGTAACTTTTTACATTTGATGCATCACATCGATCAATGAACCATATTTAACTCTGACTTTTCGCTGGAGGTGATGCAATTTTTACTTTCGAGATCATGGTGAGGTCAAGGTGATAAAAAGTATAAGCAGATTAGCCAATCTCAACGTCTACAATTTTAGGTATCTCTATGGGCTGTCTTCTCTCTCATCAGTGACTACCTTGTAGTTTCCACAAGACTCCCTTTCCACTCTTTTAATTTTCGAACTAACTCCTTGTGACAGTGTTCCATCGAAGCGGCGAATGGCCGCCCTTATGTCACTACAGCCCCTCTTTGTGTTCGACTTTCTCCAGCTCGACCTAAGAAAGGTCTTAACAGCTCATGGTTCTGGTTTCTACGCGGAAGAAATCGACACGCTTGCTCATGAAATCTCATGTTGTACTTGTACTACCGACTCTCATCTCACAGGTACACACTAACGCAGGAGATATTCATCATCAGATATCATAGGAGGGTCTCCGTTTGTCTGTTCTGTGGGATGAACGAGGAAAGGGCAAGGGCTACCTACTTGTAGTTGCAATGGTTTTTCGGGGTGGTTTTTGTGCTGTCGCAACAGTTACACGTTGTTCATGAAACGTTCACGAAGTGCGAGAATCTAGCTGTTTCCGCAATCGAAGTCTGTAGTGGAGCCACCAGATTACACCTAGGCGCACTGCATGCGGCATTGCATTCTCGTGTAGGCTTCCTGCATGCACAGTAAAGCGCACACCACGCCAAGCACGAAGGCGACCAGCACTTGGGTGACCTGCTGTTTCACGTAGTTGCCATTCATCGTGGCCTCTAATATTCTCGCGATCATCTTCTCTTGTTGGAGCAGCGCCAAGCTATCTACTTCGTCTCCAATGCCTGCACCAGCAGTGTTCGTTGCGTGGCTAGTCTTCATCAAACAAGAAGAATCGTGACCTGGCACGGCGACTGCCTGAATACCACAATCTGTGTTTAGCGGTTTTCGAGCATTCATCTCATCTTCGTGCTGGGGAGCAGATTCTCGAGAGGCTTCGGTGGGTTCAGAGGCCTTGTTTTGAACAGATGTACCCTGGACCTGGTCCTCGACCATTTTGGTCACTTTGGCTTCAATGTTTTTCTGAAATTTGGCACGCTCTTCTTGGAGCTCTTCGTGCAATTCACGGACGCACTGGGAGCTCAAGCGCAAGGCGCGCTCCTCTTGCTCCTGTAGGCATCTTACAAATGCCTCCTGCTGAGCCTCAAGATGTTCGCGAAGCATGTCCTTCATCAAAATTAAGTCCGCCTCTCTGTCCTCGGAGGCTCCCTTCTGTTGTATCCGTTCCTCTTGGCTATTTTTCGGATTGACCTTCTCGGACCCTTCAACAGTAACTGGATCTTTCTCATCTTCCAGTTCTATACCTTGTGCTGCTGACTCTGGCAATTTAGGGTCCACCTTGTCCTGCGATTGATGCGATGGGTTCAACACGCTTTCACTAAGCACACCCGCCGTCGGTTCTGTCGTTTCGCTAGAAGACGCTAATGGCGTTTCCGTTGAGGCTGACAACGTCTTATCTTCAGTTTCAGATGTAGTTTTGTACGATTTTCTTTTGTCAAGTTCCTCAGCCGCTGGCCGAGCAATGACCTCATCGTCTTCAAGATTCAGCCTCACGGTTTTGTTAGCACCTCCATCAGCCTCAGAATAACTAGCTCCCAAGGCCTTCTCCCGCGCTTCCTTGAATGGATCGAGTCCCATGTGCATACGCAAATCTCCGTCATTTGTAGTGCCTCCGGAGTCGCTAGTCGTCTTTGCATCTTCTACTACGCCTTTAGTGTTCGCGCCGGGCGCTCCTGTGTTTGGCCCGGACTTGTCTCTGTTAATCAGAAAGCCTCGCTTCAACGTTTTTTTAGGAACTGCGGGCGAAGCGCTATTTTCTTTGTTATCGCCAACTGCGCCACTCCTGCTAGCCTCTGCTGTAGCTGAAGAGCGTTTAGACGAGGTACTCGAGGAGGAGCCAAGGCTGCTACCCGGTTTTCGATGTAGAATTTTACGTGCCTCTACCTCCTCATCTTCGTCCTCCATCAATGCCAAGCTTTCGTCGTACGCGTTATCTTCTTCTACAGACAATACACCTGCCTCCCGTGTGCGGCGAAGCATAGCTTTGTTGAGATATTAGAAACGAATTCCTAACAATGAGAGATAGAGAAGAACAAGATTCAAAATTTCTTGGTAGAGGTAAGATGAAAACTCTGCAGCTGACGCATAAGAAATCATCATGCCGCGGTCGACACTCGAGAACAGATGAAAGAAAAAGTAGTACTTGTTAACATCGAAGAGTGTGAGTGATGTGTTCAGTCATAAGCATTCTGTTTGTGCATCATGTCCTTCTTTCCTTTGTCTTCATCGCCGAGCTGTATTGTCACGCCATCGCCTGCGATGTCCTCGGTCTGCGAGAGTGGTGTGAGTGAGCGCACATCTTCTTCGCTGTCATCTACTTCTTCGATTGTACACCCCACCTCGGGCAGTCCTGCTTTTCCTTGTCTGGGCTCACCCAACTCGTCTTGTTCGGCAATATCGGACTCGCCGCTGCAGGTGTAGTCATGACTAGTATAGTCGTCTTCGCTCTCGGCGGGTAGCAATCGCTCTTTTTGTGCGAACGACACCGTCTTCCTTTGCGACGCGCGTGCAGGAGCTTTAGGATCAGCTTTCGTTAGCGTTTCACTGCCTAAGGGTTTTTGCGCTCCTCCTGGTGCAGGTCGAGCTCCGAATGCTTCTGGAAACTGCATCCTAATCTGTTCGGAGTACGCTGCCAATTGTCCCTGCCAGACATCCTTTGATTAGAGCTTTTCATCTACCACACGACGAGAAACATAATCCCATTTCCACCAGAGCCACACACGCCTATCCGATGTTCAGAATCCACCTACCCACAACTCAAAGAAACTTCAGAAACTTCCGTCTCTCGGTGGAATGAATGAAAGTTAAACAAGCTTATCCTTAACGTAAACGAGTAGATGAGCCATAATTTTCAGGGAGATTCAGTTGTGTGGCCAATGCTGCACCAGTTGTCAGATGTTTCATCGCCATCTTGTAGTCTGACCCGAATTTCAAAAGCGCCATTCCCTTCATCCAGTGCGCGTGTGCGTTTCCTTGGTCGTGGCATAGTACCTGGAAGGTTGCACATTGGTTGCTGTAAGTGGTGGGCGTAAAAAAAACATCAATACAATTACGCATACGATGCTACAATGGGGTCCCAAAATCAAATCTTCTTCAACTGCGACTCTTCTCTTCAATTACCTGGTCTAAACTCTTGAGTCCTTGTTCAGTCATTTTCCCTACGCGCATCGCCTCAACCACAGAGTGGAGCTTCAGTTCGAGAAATACTGAGAGTTCGGGAGAGTCCAACGAATTTAGATGCCCGTCCAGCTGTGCATCTAGGATACGTTGCATCCCTTCGATGACATCCTCGAGGCCCTTTGGCATCTCGATAGCAGTCCCTGCGCCCCGTCCTCCTGCAGAACTGCCGCTTGCGTTAGATGATTAGGTAGAAGACGAAGACGATGAGTAATAATTGTATCAGATCATGAGAGGAACAACAAGTACATCCCGGCTCGCACGAGTAAGTGTTCATGTAAATTTCTTTGCAACGACTACTCCTATTTCCCAATCTCACCTTCAAAATAAAAAACAAGTCTGCCATAATCATTGCCGTGAATCCACTTCCAGCTGGAAAATTGAGCCCACCATCGCGTTTTGCCTGCAGTTCTTTGACAAGGTCCAGGTAATCGCGACCACGCTGAAAGGCTGCTTCACGCTCTGCCTCTTCATCGTCAACATAGTCCCACTTGGAACGGGAAAGAGAAGCACAAGCCGGCATTTTCAATGCTTTCGGACAGTGGATGAAACCTATGCTAGTTATGGATGTGGATTTTACATGACGTCCAAGATGACTAACCACGTCAGTGTTCGTATTTTGAAGCAAATCCAAATTGCAAGCGCATATATGGGATAAGTACTAGAAATAAAACCAAAAATATTTCCGTCGTGACATCAACTTCCACAATCCGGAGTAAGCCCTGATAAGAATTCGCAAGCATTGCTCAACATAGAATGCATTAACGATGATCTTGCGGCAGCACAGAATCGGCGGGGGTCATGCAGCTCAGACACGCTATCTCTAAACTGATTCTACGTCCTGTCGTCATTCCTCAGCCTCGCATCTCTCCAGATGTTGAAAAATAAGGGAATTTGTATTCATTGATCTCACCATTCTATTTGAAAAACAGACGAGCAGTAATTTCATTCACAATCCACAAGGCTCGGCCTCGTCTGCACAAATAGACCCAGTCGATTTTCCCCTGAAGAACAGTAAACAAAGGCTGCTGCTGCACGAGAATCGTGATTTTTGACACGAAACCAAGTCTGGTTTGTTTTCTGGGGTGGTTCGTTTAGGTGCAGACGCTTTGGCCCGATCTAAGTAAAAACGAGTTGAAATTTGAAAAGCTTCCTGAGAAAGTAAGGAGCTCACTTCTCGTGAGTCGCGCCTGCTGCATAGAAAATGAGTCGAAGAGCTATATGCTTGTGCCGCGATCGCCGTCCTCGGGTGGATGGGTACTTCAAGAACAAGAATTGGAACAATGGAGATAGAGTTCGACTGGGTAGGTGCTTGGTAAGGCTAGAAACAACACTTGTGCTTTTGGGTAGTTACTGGTTAGTACATCAGCAAGAACGGGACTAGTGGAACTCAATACTTGATGTTTAATTTGTTTGACGAAGATGGAATTGCCTTTACGGGCATAAACAGAAACATATCACACGATTGGGATTTGCATAATATATAAATAAATAAGATCGACGCGGTTGATTTTCTGGGTGTAGACTTCCTTGTGCCAAAAAAAAGGCGAAGGATTGAAATTGGTGGTAGCTGATTTTCTTTATTAATCATTGGAATACTTCAAAGGTAGCAGCGCTAGGACGTAATGAGAAGACCAACATCGAACGGGCTCGCATGGTCTTTCAAACAGATCGCCAGTCAAAACAATTCCACACACTTACAGCCTACTTAGCTATTTTCATACATGTAGATCCTCGCTTTCTCCTTCTTCTTTTTACCCCCTTTGTTATTCTGCCACGTTTCATCTTCATCACTCTCCTTGTCCTTCTCCCTTTTCTTTCCGCCGTTACTTCTTCAAGCGCTGAAGAGTTTTTACCGTCTGCACGGCAGACGCCTTTTTTGAGACAACCTTCCCATTAGGTTGCAACTGCGCAAGATGAAAGGGGAGGGCGGATGGGACGGATGCATGCAAAAAAAAATGATCACCAAGCAAGGAGGCTTTGGGTTTGGCTTGCTCAATGAAGCAAACAGAGAATAAACAAAGATCCTGGCCTGGCGGAGCAAGAATTTTGCAGACCGAGGATTGGATATGAATAAAATGAATTGAGTATAAATAAGTATGCGAAAAAAGAACTGCCACACTGTGCGCGCGTAGCCCTTTAGCCTTGGCCAGTCTCATCGACGTTGGGGATGTGCTAGGTACTACTTAATTAGAAAAGTGCGCGGCTTCGTTTTCATAAAGATCAGCTTTCGTGAGCCCTCCCACCGTCTTGGTATAACCAAACTTATTATGGTAGACCTGGACGAAGAGAAGTTGCTGGAGGATGATTGTAAACACTTTCGAAGCATCAACTTTAGACTTGGATCCTGCGCACATAAGAAAAAGCGACTCCCCAAATGACATCACTAGCATAACAAGAAACGCCAAACGCAAACAATAAGAACAGCGACGCATAGGCGTAGGCAAAAAAATGGGAAAAGTAGGAAGTAGGTACGTAGTAGCGAGCGTCGCGATTGCGACAGAGGCCGCCTTCTTTCTGGCCGATCAGTTTTTTTGTCAACTTCTGCACCATTTTGAGAGGCTTTTCGAGGCGAACCGGGGGGCGAGTTATGTTGTTCGTTGTGCGTTGCCGCTTCGTGGATGATGTGTTTATTTTCGGAAGGTGATCGCTGTAACTATGATGTTACCGAAGAACAGTGGCGAATACTTGATGAGTGGCAATATGTTGAACCAGGGAAGATAGTAGGTAAAAGCGAAGCGCTGAAAGTAATATGTTGCGACTGGGATTGCGAAAGTAAAACGAGTTTCCTATTCTTGGAGAGAAAGAGTTGTAGATGTAGCTGGAGTGGGAGCTGGCAACTTCATTTGCGTATTAAGGCCTAATTCTTGACTTTGCGAAAAACCAACACGACTGAAATGATCATTTCCGTGAATTATTTGACAATGAATAAGTCCTCATGTAGTGGAAATTTCCGCCACGGCCATGTCCTTGTCCATCTCTTATCCTATGAAGTAATAATTTACTCATACGTTCTTGCATTTTTTGATTTTTGCTTCTAGGCAGTTAATTCAGTGGCGACGTTATGGGGATGGTTTGGAGGTGGTACGCGAAAGCGACAACACGTTTTTGTCCGTTTTGACATTAAGCGAGTCTCTCTCGTTCCTTTTCGACGACGCTTTCTAAATCCGATGCTGTATCTTGTCTGCTCTCGTTCCCTCGTCGCTGTAATATCCTTCGAAAGTACACTTGTAAAAACAGACAAACCGAAGTTCTTACGATGTCCTGGATAATTCGCAAAACGACATGTTCGCAAAACGACATGCATCAAAACAGAACACAGGCACAGAACCACTAAGCTGCAACTTCTAACTCTACGTCGGTCCACACTCATGAAAAACAAATGCAAATACCAAAATCCGAGACACGCTCGTATGCGTGGAGGATCAGAGGAAAAAGCATGCCTCAGTAAGATTTGGATTCTCACACGACAAGATGGGTAAATCTTCAAGATGGGATGTCACAGGAGCATGCTTCACTGTTAAGCACGAAATATTCTAGGAGCTTGTCGATGCTAGGGATAAAGAAGAGCAAATGGGTGACTCAGTTTCTTCAACATCAACATTAACATGAATGTATCTATATTATTGAAAAAGTGCCACTTCGCTGCAGTGCAGCACCTGAGTGTCATCGTTCGGACTAATTGCTTTATGACGCTTGTCTTGCTGAATGTTGTATGATGTCGGCCTTTTCTTTCTACTTCCGGCGGCCCGTTATCGGCGGAAGCGCGCCCACCTTTCCACCTGCTCGCTTGCGAAGCACACATCGGAAAAGCGGCCCGAACTTGTGCGGCTCATCCGGTAGAAACATTTGCTCTGACTCGACTGCAATGTCGCAGCCTCCCTTTGTGCGCGCCAGCTCGATAAAACGCTCGACGATTTTCGTGTTTTCGATGTCCGAAAGCGCACAAGTGGAGTAGACGATCCGTGAACCCGCACCGGGACGCAGAAGTGACAACGCGGTCCACAATAGTTGGAGTTGCCTGTCTGCGTTCGCTGCGACCGACTTTTCGCTCCAACGCGCCATCTCCACCGCGTTCGAAAGAAGATGACGGTCTGTGCTGCACGGTGCATCCACAAGTATGACGTCGAAAGGTCCTAGTCGATAAAGCTCCCCAGCGCCACTGCGAGACGCGCATGCCGCACCCGTGGCATCCAAATTAGTTACGCGGACGCGATTTCGTTCGAATAACTCCAGAGGAAGAAAGCTTCGGAGCACGCCTTCGAGACGAGCAGCCCGGGATTTCGAATATTCGTTACTGACCAAAAGTGGGCCACGAGTCGCGGCTTCCACAGCTGCTGAGCCCTTATTTTCATCAGGATGCGAATTATCTTCACGATGCGGGTACATTTTCGATGCAGGCACTCCTGTGTTGCGGTCGAAGTAGTTCTTGAAGAGACTGCAAGCTAATACTAAACTTTTCCCACCGGGCGCAGCGCAGAGATCGAGGATTCTCTCGTCACCTTTCAGGTCAACTTTGCTAGCACACAATGCGGATGCACCGTCCAAAAAGTAGTGTGTAAGCACATCTTCAGGCAACTCCGCAGCACGGCGTGACCAGAGGCAACCACCGGAAGATATGACAGGTTGCTCCGAGGCATTTCGTCGACCGTCTTCAGCGGGCGCGAGGAGAGTGTCGTTTAAAAGTGTACATGGCCTCACACTTGGAAGTACTTCTTCATCTGAAGATGCAGTACAACTCGGACTTTTCGTACGATGGCGCTCATTCGTTGAAGGAGACTCTTCCTTGGTTGCCTGGGAAGACTTGCTAGGAGTTCGCAGGCTTTCGTCGTAACAGACAGCTGCATTTGTGTCGCACTCCCCAGCACTACATGGCTGCTGGTATTCATACTTTCCCACGGCCGCCACGAGCACTCTATCGCCGCCTTCCGTTTTTCCGTCGCCACCAACTGTCTTTTCGGCTTCCTCCACGACTTCTGCTGTGGCTTCAGTCTTTTTCTTCCGTTTCGCGCGTCGCCAAAAGCCTGGAGCTCGCTCGTCCTGTTCTACTTGGTTGCTCTTGAGCGCGTGCCGCAAAGCGTCAGCTTGCTCTTCCGGCGCGAGGAAGGGATTGACAAGGCACACGTGATCTGTTGGACCAGTGAGCGCTTTCAGCAAGTGCTTCCATCGCTTTACTCCAAACTGACGTGCCTGAGAGGCATGCCAACCCTTCTCTCCTCGAAGAGCAACTTGTGTCGCCATTTTGTTGTAGTATATTTTTCTAAATCAAATAATGGCGATGTACTTGAGATACTGGAAAACACAATCGACTTCGAATTATGAGAATGAAACAATGTTGTAAGTATCCAAGAAAGCGCAAAAGGCATAAACAGGAGTAGGGTATGATCTGATAGAGCTCTTCGCGGTTCCTGCGATTGAATCCAAACTACAATGTAAAGACTCAAAAAGATCATGAAATTAACTGTTTGGTAAAGTAACATGACTATTGATATTGGTATTGGAGTCCTGCTGAGTAAATGACTTCATCCTTGTGAAAGTGGCCCACCCAGAGGTTTTTCGTTTTTACTTTTAGTACGACGAAGCTACACTACTTCTTGATTCTGAATGCGAAAACTACATGTAATCAATTTATTTTTTAATGAAACACAACCTTTTAATCATCGTCATCTTTGCTCAAGCAGCGATCTTGATGCTTGTTTGGATCAGTTACAGTTGCTCCGGTGTCAAAGAAGGACCTTCTACTAAGTCGAGAAAAGTCAATCGACGACTGACAGATAAAGATCGACTGATCCAGTGAAGCTTGATCCCAGCATCGTTCCTTTTTTAGGTCAAAAAATGATCCATATTATAAGGAGCAAGATGCAATAAACACGAAGATCCCGAGATCCCGAGATCAAGGTCTGGTGCTGATACACGTTTTTCAGCCGGTACAACATGTAGAAGAACATACAATTTTTCATAGCGAAGAAAGCCCACGCACGGCGTGACATATTCTGTAGGAGCTCAAGATCAAGACTGTGTAGCTTTCGCACGGGGGCACGACCACAAGTAGAGGTAAGGCGGGGTAATGAACAACGCATCCTGTAAAAAGAAGCAGTTATAGCTCATCTGAAGATACAGGTCGATGAAGGTTATTCTTGTGCTTCCTGCATGTCACTGAGTAAGCTGCAACGGACAACCCTGTTGACATGATCGCTCAGTTCATACTCAAAGAGATAATCGGCAAAGCGGAGTGTGCCTCGGAAGTCAGACTCTTCATGCTTTTTCTTCTGGAATTTGCTTCGTATGTCGTTGGCTAATATCTCCTCCACACACTGCTTAATCCGTGCTACCTCTTCGCTATCGTGAAAAGACAAGGACTCGCGGCCACTGCCGCCACCGCCAGACATTGCAGCAGCGGGGGAAGATGGGAATTTTTGTGAGGCCTCATCTCCAATTCCAGCTATTGATGCTTCTTCTTCTGTCGGTTGTGAAATTGTGGCATGAGTGGTCGCTGCTATGGTTACGCCCATGTGTTGTGCGAGAAAAGCTTCGCATTTTGGTCTCCAGTGCGTCTCGAATCTCTCGACGGCGTAGCTTGCTCTTACCCAATCTGGTACGACTGCTTCTGGATGGCATTCTGTCTGCGGTAGATAGGGTTTCATGTCGACCACTGGCGTGCCGTCCACTACATCTAGGCCCGAAAGAGTCAGGACTCCTGCTTGATGGTCGATAGACTCGATTTTCGCTAACGAAAGGCCTAGGGGATTCGGCCGATGCGGTGTGCGGCACGCAAAGATTCCGACTTTTTTATGTCCTCTCGGAGGCAAGATTTTCGTAACCAGACCCTGGAAGTCAGGCGCTTTTACTTGTTCCTGCAGAGAAAGTGGAGGATTATTTGGGGAGTCCTGTGAGTCATCTTCGTCAACTACATCTGCTTCCCCCGATTTCGTTCCGGTTTTTGCTTTGTTGGTCTCTGCTCCAGCTCCAGAACATCGATTCCGCAAAGCGCGCTGCTCTTTGCTGAGGTTGGTGTTCTTGTGGAAAATGTAGGAGACCCACAGATGCGAGTAGGCTTCGAGACCATCGAGACAGCTTGCGGCATTCAAGCAGGAAACTAGTCGTAGCTCGCTTCGCACGGACGGACATAGCCCTGATTGTCGTGGAGTGCCACATCGTTGTCGAAAAGGGGATTGCAAGAAACCGATCGCGCGGATTTGATAAGAAGAACTCGAATTATTTTTCGTATTTGATGCGCCAGAGTTGGTTTTAGCTTCTGTTGTCTCTGCAAGAAGGCGCTCTGCGGAGGTTCTGCCTTTGCGCTCTGCTGCCACTCGCGCCTCGAGCTCCTTACTTGCTACTTCGAGTCGCTCCGCTTTGGCGTAGAGGTACGCTAGCGCAAAAATGAGTGCTAAACAAACGATCTCACGAGCGTCCACGAACTGCGAGGCGAGGAACGATACTCCCAATGCCAAAAAGAGCGCCGGCACAGCACCTTGACGGGTTGCCCACAAAAGGCCGGCGTTCGTCGTGGACGCTTGGCCAATCAACTTCTTCGTAGACTTCAGTCGCTCAGCGGCCGCTTGGGCGCGCTGTTCGTGAGGATTCATGTTTTTCTCCATCTTCAATTTTCATCCAATAGAAGTAGAGAAGGGTCTTCTATGAGTACTACCTTCTTCTACTTGGCCATTCTATCTTGCTGTACATGAACATGAGACGAAACGAAACCAAGTATCGGGAATCAACGTTGTTGGGATTGCTTTCGAAATTCAGCGGGAAGCTGAAAGGATGCTACCTAAGACAATGGCACTTTCTCTTTCCATATCACTGCTAGCTTTAACTGCTCAGTCCATTGATGTTATCTATGATGATCAAAGTTTGCGGTTGCGGAAACAGGGTTCTTAATACCTCATAGAGACGATTTCATCCCAGAACCTGTTACAAGATTTATATATTAGAACGGAGGACAGAACATTGCCTACAGGTAATCGTGGGAGCAATCTTCACAGATATTTGCACAAGCTAATGGATCTGTGATCTTTTAGGTAGCAGGAGCTCGACTTCTAGTCAGCCAGAACTAACTGTGAAAAGTATCGAACGGTGCGGTAGAGCTAGAGAGGGTGGATGATCCAATCAGTATTCGATGAGTCGCGTCGTCGCGTACTAGAAGAACTCCACATAATGCACGACAAACAGTAACATGATCTCCTCTAAATCTATATCAATGATCCGAACAACTTCTACTCCTGAAGTAGATGGTCACATAATCATACTAGGGGAATAACACAAGTTTATGCGGCTAAAAATCAAACAACATCGTCTTGCTGCCGCTCCACGAAACTTCTTGGAAGTGGGATATTTTCGATTTTGTCGTGTGACAGGGGTACTTACGAGCAAGAATCTTATTCGTCGAATAGGGAACCTTTTACGTGGCATGCTGAATCTAAACCTTTTCTGGATCAGTGGCGTTCGACCTTGTTCAGCATTTTCTGATCCTTGCATCGCTTGATCAGTACAAGACATCAGTCTTCGTTGAAGCCTATCTCGACAAAATTTTATCTTCAGTCCTTCCCTTGAAAATCTTCTTCGAGGGTTGCTTCTTACTCGAGTTCTGGCAGCAGAAGCTTCTCTCGCATTTCTTCGTTCACCGGTGGGTGAATATTTCTGCTCCCCCACTGCTTGCTGGCGATGACCTCAGCGGGTTCTCGTTTGAGAAAGCTGCCCTTGCCGTCGCGGTGTTTCAATCGGAAAGGCCCCTGCAGATGCTTTGGGACTACTTGGAGTGGCCATTCTGTCTCATGCTGAAAATGAGCTATTGTATCTGTCCAATTACGTGGTAAAGGAATTCGCACAATCGAGTCATCTTCTCCTTCGACAACATCACGAACATTGCCACTCTCGGGACGAAGGATGTGCTTACATGAAGGAGGGGAGTTGTTATCCAAGCCAAGGTGATGAACCGTCGACTTGCTTCTTTCATCATTGTAAACTCATCGTCTTCGTCACGCGAACCCACATGTTGAAGTTGAATTTGCAGCTCGCCAAACAAATTAAGAATAAGTAAAGTAATTAGTTACATACAACAAAAACTATCCTCCATAATGTGAGCCGCAAGCCAACGATGGTAACCCGTTCCCTGTTTTGGCTCTTGAGGACGCGACAATAGGTCGCAAATGCAACGTCTGCTGATTTGCCACTCAAAGTTGCGCCGCAACTCGTGCCCTCCTCAAAAGATAAAGCTGCTCGTCGAGTTTCCATACGCTCCAAAAGGGGATTGGGACGAGCAGAAAAAAACCCGCGCGACTCCCACCCTCCTTGATTTTCTCTCCTATGATAGTGGTCACATTGCAGCATGACATAGACATAGGGTTATCAACAATATCTATCAATTCATCGAAAGGTAAAAAATTTTCATCTATCAGCTTTATGAACAGACCAAATGAATCCAACAATTATTAACTGGTGAAGTCGGATCTATTTTCTGTTCAAGGTACCAATAATGGAGTCCAAGTCCAACGAAAATGCAGAAGCACTACAGCTCAAACCCTGTAGTTAACAGGTAAGTACCAGCGACCTGACTGTCTTGCACTAGCGGCATGGCAGCATCCTATGTCGTTAGCTTCCATATATCGATTCACGATAGGCAAACTCATGTTGATGTTGGTGCTTATTTCTCCTGAGAGCGGCAGTCGCGTCTGGTCATCCGGTGGGCTCGGAAAAGTTTCGCTCGATTGCAGTCTGTGCACAGGATAGTGTCTGCGCGAGTGCGCTGCATCGCACGCTGGCTGGTCGTAAACTTTCTCACCACGCGGGCATACACTCAAGCAGTCGTTCTGCTGGCGCTTCAAGGCCATCAGGATCACACGTTCAAGAATCGTTGTTTTTTCCATGTACGCTGCATGTGCAGCTTGACGTACCTGCCGCAACTCCTGATTTGCGGCTTGCTTCGTCGCTTCGGAGGCGCCTGCAGCGGCAACCTGCCGCTCGTAGTTGTCGTAAATTTGGTAGGCAGCACGCGTTTTTTCAATCAGGTATTTGTCAAAAAAAGCGAGTAGTGACGACATAGCGTACTGTGGCTTCTTCATCTCTGTAAACTTGTCACTCGAACAAAACTTAGCGCCGTTGTTGTCATTAGGGTTCCTATCTTCCGGCTTTTTCTGGTGGCCATACTTTCGATCCAAAGGCACTGCGATTCCCATTCCGCGACCGAAATACTTCCCTAACCGGTAGACGTATTGCGGACTCAGGTCGTTGATGTTGACTACGTTCATTCCTGTGGCAAGAGCCGTAGCAGCGCGCTTTGTCCCATAGAAGCGGCCGCGATCCAATGCGACTTGGCAGCATGAGATGTCGCAAGACTGAAGAAGCTGGCTGACAGAGGAATACCATCCAACTATTTGAATGGGTATCATGTCCTCCACACATTTTTCAGAACATTGCCGGCTCACGTAGAATGTGATGGCGAATTCTGAGCGCTGAATGCACTGAAGGTAGAGTCGATCCCCAAGCGGAATGTCTGGATCTGTGCGGTCCTGTATCTCGGAATATACGCGCTCGATGGCTAACTGACAGCATTCATGAACTTCGAGTTCTTGTTTTTCAGGCGGTAGAGAGAGAATATGTGGCAAGATAAGGAAAAGGTCGTAGTCCCTGAATGTGGCTTCTGCGCTGGCTTTGGCTGTTTCCCCTGGCCTTAGGTGCGGCCTCTGAGATGCTGTTAGCGCGTTGTGAACGCTACCGCCGGCAAGCACGAATCGCATACCAGGGTCACGAGATGCAAATGGGCGCTTCTCTACGAGTTTGTCGATGAGCGTACCTATGGCCCAGTTATCTCTAAATCCATTTTTGTGTCGCTTTCCTGTCGAATCAAGAAGGCCAATTGTATATCGTGCGTTGTCAAGGCTCCTGACCGGTTCTTTTTGCTTGAGTTCCAGCTGGTACGGATGAAGAGTCAAGACATCGTCAGGCCACATCAAATCCACTGGATTACGGACGCGCGAAACTCCCGCATTGTCGTGTAGATCGATGATGGATGGCTCGTCACGAGTACACGTCTCAGATGAATTCATCAGAGAAATCAGCTCCATCGCCGGTTTTTCCGGGAAAGGTGTTAAAACCGACTTCAAATTCTGTCGGAAATAGAGCTCAATGAACTTGGGATCGACGCGAGGAACCCAGAAGAAGTCGAGAACGTCGTAGATATTTCGCATTGGCGGTGCAAAATAGCTGCGCAATGGTCGAGCTACCGTGGCAACGTGGTGGGTACCGACTGCGTCCAGCAACATTGAACTCGCGTTGTTAGGCACATTATCACCTTCCGCCATCGCCATGCCATCTCCCTCCCCGGCTTCGGCGACCAGTTCGTGCCCGGTTCCGGTATCCGTGCGAGGACGTTTAGTTCCTGCGCTTTTGGCGGTCGACGCGCCATCTAAAAGACCGCCGATCGCAGCGTCGGAAGCCTGATCATCAATGGTCATGGCGTCGTGCAGCCCATCGGCGCCGGCTGCTGCCGCAGCTGGTGGAGCTTGCACCGGGCCGTCCGCATCGTTAGTTGCATCCAATGCTGATGACCGCTTTCTGCTCAGCGCGTGGCCCGACGCCGACCCTCGTCCAACCCCTGCAGACGCATCGGAAGCGAGATCAGCGTCGTTCCTGCGCTCATTTCCCTGTGGTGCTACAAGCCAATCTCCCTCAATTTGATCTTTCACTTGTTCCGACGACTCCTGTCCAAGGATTGCATCGTCCAGCGCGAGCAGTCCGCATTTTTTTCGCAAATTCCACTCCTCTTCTGGAGTCAGAATCGGCATCGGGAAAACGCGGTGCAAAACGAGCACGAACTCGTCGTAAGACACGCCCAACTTAGACATGTCGACCACGCGGCGATTCTGACAACTCTTCATTGTCGTGCTCAAGAATCGTTTAAATGCCGGAAGGTTCTGGCATAGCGTTTTTTGACTGAGCTTTATTTTCTTGCCGCATTCAAATTGCAGCTCGACTGGTCCGTTCGATGCGACGTTTCCAGCCGCATGAACGGCAGGTGCAGTGGAAGATAATGACGGCATTTTGATCGTCGTAGGAAATTTTCGATACAACTAAACCAATAGTGATACAGAACGTGAACGAGTGTGATTGTGGCCAGCGTCGGTACTAGTGGTGCGTGGTTTTCGAACTGGGACGGTTTCACCACACGATGTCTCATCAAAATCGAAGATATACTTCACTAAGATTTTTTTTTGTAAGTAGCCAATACACAGAAACTGTCAACATCCTACTTGTAGTTTCCAAACAATTTTGAAACAAAGGTTAGTCACAGACCAACACAGGAAGAACGCAGATTGAACAGTTCTTGTGCTTGTACCAGTCGAATACGAGAAACTCAACGCCGCGTAGACTGGGGTTTTGCATCGTGATCATCCCATGGCATTCTCCAATGCGTAATGAACACTCGAGCATTGTTGTAGAGGTAGTCTGCTATATTCACAGCCTTGGAGGCGAATGTTGTAAAGGAACATCTAAGTAGATAATTGAGATGGGCTGGAGAAAGGGTCGAAGTTTTTCAGGTTCTCGCTCACGCGAGGTGCGTGGTAGGTAAAGAGTAGGGGTACCTTCGAGACTTCATCATAGTTCCCCAAAGTTTCCATGCGCACGATTCGGGAGTTTCAGTTTTCCTGTCGGGTCACCTGCAACTCCAGCTGCTCTATTGCCTGGGAGTCCGGCACCGGCACCGAGTTCAGTTCCAAAAACAGCGGACACCAAGGCATCCCAAAGCATGTAGAGGCTTTCCTCAAGCCCGACTTGTGTCGCCAGAAACGCTATGAGCTCCCACGCCGCCTCTGAAAAAGGCTGGAAAACTGAAAACAGCAAGAGGTAGCCAACGTAGTAGAGTTTCAGTCGTCGCAGAATGATGTGAACGCTGACCGCCACTAGGAAGTAAAATGAAGCCCAGACGTAGCGTGCATCCGCCGCGGATTTTGCTTTCAACGCTTGCATAGCGCGCCCAGCACCTTGAAGTGAGAATTCAAAGTTTGAAAACAGTTCTTCCATATCCGACAGCTTCTCTGCTTGTTTCTCTAGTTGCGCCCTTGTCGCTTCCATCTGCTCTGTCGTAGCAAACGTCTTCATGCGAAGTTGCGCAAGTTCATCCCGCTCGCTCATTTCCGCCCCACCACCAGCCTTTTTTCGCTGATCGGTAGAGGAGCCCGCAACATCAGCATCGTCGCTCTTGCGTCCGCCAAGTAGCGCTGCTCGTTTTTGTGTCTCGATGCACTCGGCCACGCGCTGGCTCACGATCTTCCACCGCTGCTGTATTTGTCCATGCTCCGCTGCACCTTGATCTAATCGCGAGAACTCGTGTCGCATAGCTCGTAACCATTGCTCTAGTTGTGGAATCGGCGGAGGCGCTTCCGCGTCCCACCTCACGGAAGGGTCCGACAGTTCAGTCAGAAAGGAACGCCCACCTAACGGGCTGGTGGAAGAGGACGCCGGCGAGTGGGATGATTGCACATCCATCTGTTTTACCGGGAAACTGGTGGAAGACGAAGCCGACATTTTACTGTCTCTATATGAAGTTGAAACAGAAGGAAGTCACGTGGGGCTAAGACCAACTGGAACTGTGTTGTAAACTCATAACATTCAAATATTGATGCTGTGACTCGTCGTCAATTTCACCTTAGTACTCTGTTCATGTCAAAACTACCTCCTAACTCAATAGGATCGAATTTTCTACATCTAGTACCTCCACCTGTAAGTGTATCTGTATGAATTGTTTAGAAAGTTAAGTTATTTTCTATTTTACTAGCCGCTGAAATCGCCAGGAACCCGTATGGATTTGAATAGACAGCTACTTAGGTGCGCTCATACGCCTGCGTCTCTCAGAGAGTGAAACGCATATCTTCCGTGTAGTCCTTACTTAAGTAATATCATACCACCACCCCACCTACAAATACAATGTAATCGGTAATCAGAGTTCATCATATGTTTTGAACGAGTAGTTTCAGTTTTTCCTTTTCAGCATCATAGGATTCGCGATGTATTACAGTCTGAACAGGTACAGGTGGCGGAAGCACGTGCGTATGTGTAGCCAAGGGGGGTGGAACAATCGTCTCGTCGAGTTGTGCGTCAACAGAGTTCTTTTCTTCTAGGATCTTCTGACGAAATACATGAATAAAAACTAAATACCATAGTCGTTGTTGTTCAGTACCTGTAAACGAATTTGCTTCGATTACGTGTGAAAACGTTCAATCCATACTTGAAATCAAACTCTACTCCAAAAAATAAGTTTTTTTGCCAGATTGGTGACAGGATGAATCAAAGTCCTTTACTTTTTTCGCTTCTTCTTCTTTCTTTCATCGTCCGAAATGTCATCACGAAGGTTGTTAAGGTATGTCTGCGGTGCTTGCGGTTGGAATATTTGGGGTGCGACTTCTGAAAGCCAGGAAGATTCCACCGGGGTAACGCCAGACATGTGGGCATCTGCGCCGTTTGAGGATATTGCCGACAAGAAAACGATGTGCGGAGGGCCGCCGAGGGTTGCGTCACTAGTTGGTTCGTGGAGGAACGACGAGGGACCTAATCGAAGTGCCGGTGCGTCATCTGTCGACTGCAATGTGCCGCTTGAAAAACCATTTCCGAGAGCCGGAGACGAAGAACTCGGTGCCAAACGCGTGTAAGTACCGTCTCCGTTTTTGGCCGCGGCGTTGACAAAGAGGGCCGCGCAAGCGCATTTTTGAAGCAGGGTGACACGATGACGGTCCGAGCCCGGAGGAAACGCTATGAGGAGAGACAAGTTCTCGTCCGCGATTATCCGGGCGATTTCCTGGAGTGCCTTCTTCTGTTTCGAAGCGTTTGCCGCATTCACAGCTTTCAATGCCGCAGCTGGGCCGGCAGATCCTCCGGATATGGAAGCTGCAGTAGAAGCAGCTTGGGCGGAAATCTGATTTCCTCCTGATCCTAACGCCATTGTCGGAGATGTTCTTATCCTATTCCGAATATCTCCGAAGCGCAGCTGCGCATCTTTGTTTCGAAAGTTTTTCGATGAGAACAACTCCTGTCGTAGGATTTTTCGCACAAAGAAGACAATGAGCTGCCGCCGAATATCTCGAGCTTTCACAAGGCTGCTCCGATTCAACATGTAGCGCTTGCACCAGTCTCGATCTTCTTGGTGCTCTTCCCACTGCGAGTACACGTTCAGAAGGGACACAAAGTCGCCTTCCCGCACTCCCAAAGACTGCTTGCAGACGTGAAGTCTGGCTTTGTTCCGCCCACTCTCTTGAAACGGCGATCTTACTTGGCACATGGCCGCAATCGTGATCGCTTGGTTCAAGATGCCTCCCGTGCTCACAGCAGCAGTCTCCAGACGGTCCAATTGTGCTTGCGGCGTTGTTTTCTGATTCAGTGCCTTGAACAGGGCTTTTCGATGCTTCTCCTCTGATAGTGATTCCTCAGAGACGACCCCCCCGGTTCCGTCGTCCAGAAAGTCCAATCCACCGGTTCCATCATTCCCTGCCTCACCGGCGCCGCCCTTTGGCCGTAGCAGAAACCCTTGCTTGTCATATTTTTTGCCCGATTTGTGCGAAGCAACTCGAGTCGTCTTCCCTAGCGCATCTGCCACATCCTCCTCATCCTCGCCGTCTGAAACCGTGTCAGCGACTTGTATCATGTATTCGAGGTCGTCGATTTGCGCATCCAGGGCAACGAAAAGGAACTTGAGTAAGAGGACATTATCCAGCAGCGTGACACTCTGGGCCATTAAAGAGCCTAAAGGACGGGATAGAGCAGCGGCCTCGTCTAAGGCACCTATCGAATGCAGCTGTGCCACTGAAGTCTGCAAGGCGCATGCCGTAGGAGGCGTGAGGAAGCGAAAGTTCTCGCAAATGCGGTCTAACCCTAGACATTTCAACAAGAAAAGCGAGCGAGAGAAATCTTCTCGCACGATTTGAGGCACGCTGTGCTCGGGTAACTGTGAGTCGTAGTACTCCTTGGTGCACAACCGGTAGCAGAAACCACCTCCGTCAACACGACCCGCGCGGCCCGCTCGTTGCTCACAACTAGCTTTCGAGCAGGCAATCGTGATGCGCCGCTCAATACTCGGCTCGGAGCCAACGATCGCCGCGCCGTGCATTACGGTCTTCGCCAGGCAACAGTCAATCACGAACCGTACGCCAGGAACCGTTACTCCAGTTTCGGCCAGATTTGTGGATGCTAAGATCTTGCGCACTCCCGTCGCTGCACCACGCGGCCTCGCGAACGCCTCCAGTTGCTGCTGAAAGCTCATGCTAGCAAAGAGACCGGCCACCTGCAAGCTTTTTTGCTCGATCTCCTCGCTGAAATAATCTTTCAAAACTTCTACACAGGCTTGCACCTCCTCTGCACCCGTGAGAAAGATCAAAATGTCGCCGTAATGACGTGTGTCCGTCGCGAGAATGTGCTCGCAAACCTCCACTGCCTTCTCGATGTAGTTCGCACAGGGTTGAGACAGATACTTAATGCGCACGGGAAAGCACCGACCTTCGCACGTAACAACTGTATACTTCAGTCTCGATGCTGGTTCTCCTGGCGCGGCTTCCTCCAGCTCTTTGGAGTTTGTGTCTTTTTTAAGTTTTTCTCCAGATCCGCCTCTTCGCTCGGCACCAGCCTGTCGCACCTTGTCCCAAGCATCCTTCTTCGCTTGTTCCTCGTCGTCATCATCGTCTTCCCGGGTGGTGTCAACGCCCGACCTGCCGCTCCCATTTCTTGTCATTTTACTGTTTGCGTCCCCGTCTTCTATCATCTTCGTGTTCATATCTTCTGGTAGCTTTTCCTGATCCTGCTTCTCCTGCTTAGCCAGGTCCAGAGAAGCGCGCGCGAAGTACTCGAGATACGCTTCCACATCCAGTGTTGCGCTGGTAACGACGATTTTCAGGTCCCGCCTATACCGTTTCACACGCATCAGCAACCCCAAGAGTAGATCTTGAAAGGTGCTTCGCTCATGGACGTCGTCCAGAATGATGACAGAATAATCCAGAAGTAGTGGATCTGCTCCCATCGCCTGGACCAGCACTTCATCCGTTAAAAAGACAATCTGCGCGCCTTCCTCCAGACTTGGTGATGCCTCTCCGCGAATGTGGTACCCGACTAGGTCTGGCTTGGCGGTCTCCTCCACGACGCGCTCAAACAGTTGCAACGCCGCTAGACGCCGTGTCACTGCTACGCCGATTTTCATGGGTCGCTCGTTTTCCGGCTGCGGTCCGGCTCTGCTGCCAGCCGAGGATGACGTCGCGCCACCCAACGTGAATGATCCATAACCCGCTTCATACAGGAATTGCGGCAACTGCGTGCTTTTGCCACAACCAGTGCTGCCGAGTAACAGAGTCACGTCGTGTTCCTCGATGGCCTTTAGAAACGTTTGCTTCTTGTTGGCTATCGGCAAACGCTGACGTTGCTGATGGATTGGCAAGTTGCGATTTGGGTTCCAAGCTGCAAACTCCGCGTGCTGCTCATTTTCTTGTTCCACAGAGCTTTTGCCAGGCATCAATGGGCCCGGCGTGCGATCACTCGAGCCATCTTGAAAATATTGCGTCATTTTTATGGTGGGCGAACTACGCGGTAGACACGGATAGCGAAGTAGGTATACGTGTAGGTTAAGTAGTACTCATATGACAAAAGCTTACTCTGTCTCTGACTGTAACCTCGAGGGTAAGGACGGAAACAATAGGACTGGCATATCAATCGTGATTTCACATTAGCAAAGCCGGTCTCCTACTACTTACTTAATCAAAACGGCACAAAATATCACTGGCAATTCTTTTAAGAAGTTTACAGTGTTGGAAAAAAATCTTTAGAAGGTCGTATGCGTTGATGGTGTCGATGTGAAGTACGATAAAAATCATGGATGAAGGAAAAAAGACTGAGATCGTGGACGACGCTAACAGACTTCAAAACCAGAATTGTTCTCCGTAGGCGGCGAAGCAGTATCTATCGAGCACCATTCTGCTACTTTGTGTTTGTGGCCTGGTGAAAAAGAGCACCACAATCACCACCATGAACGGGGGATCCTCGAAGTCGAACAACCGAAAATTTATAGCTCAACCCGTCTTCATCTCCTGGCGTTGATTCGCATTTTTGCCCAACTACATCATCATCTTCAGGATTCATCAAATAAGCATTTGAATTCGCGTTGAAAAACTTTATCCAGAAGTCCGAAATATGATTCATCATATGTTAACGTGGTAAACACCTTTTAGACAAGGATTGGACTCGGCGGAACGCAGCATGCTTGATAGGAAAAATGTCCATCCCAACAACTTCGATTTCCTTCAGGACCGAATTTCGGATCACAGCACGTATCATAATCGAAACCGTCGATCCAACATGCGCCGTTGCCCATATCTAATTCACGCGCATCCTCGTGCATGCAAACCTAATGCAGAGAGATGAAGATACTTTACTTAGCATGAGTCAGGTAATGGCTGGTCTTGCGGATTGACGAATGTTGATTCATAAAGTACAGGCATCACGACCTAGAAGCAAAAGAGCAAAGATAGGAAAAAGGGCACACCTTCGCCCCCGTAATGAATCCTTCTTGATGTTCTCTGCCGTCGTCTGCTACTCGAATCCAACACTTGGATTGGCCGTCTTCCTGTCCAAATGACCACCACGAGCACTCAGGGATAGTATAACAAACATTGATACAACTTTCGTAGGACTTTGCTGCAAATTTATCCGTCATACTGCAGTCATCGTTGTAACCTGCCAGTATGATTACATATAATCGGCGAGGTGCTGCAGCTGCATGGTTTTGCTTTGTATTGTGAAATAGAAATGACTCATTGAAAGACGAAAAATGGTAGTACAACTCGTACTATCGTTGTATGTAAGAAGTACATCTAAATGTGCAAGTACAAATCAGAATGTTGGACGAAAATGCCATAATTACTGAAACAAAGACGTGATAATTTGTACATCCCTCGGTAGCTCCGAATGCGCCCATATTCAGAAATAGGGCGCGTCCTGCATTCCGTACTACGGTATCCTTTTCGAGACAATCCGGCCAAGAGAATCTAGATGCCTTGGTAAGTTCTGCACCACACCTGAAGAGCAGGAAGAGAAGAGGCATGGTCCCGTTTAGTTTTTTCCCTCTACCACGACCAAAAGGTCGACGTCTTTTGCAATCACCTTGCATTTCGGGGTCGGTCTGCTGGGAGGCAACGCAGTATCAACGCACTGATGGCACGAGTCGGAACAGGCTTTGCTTTCGGATAAATCCACTTTGGTAAGCCCACTCGTCAGCTACTTCGCGAACCCAAAGGCAGCAGCACGAAGAACGCAAAAAACACGATAAATTACCAAAAAACGGAATCAAGCACCCGTGCTTGCAGAGTTTAGGTTCGCTAGGGACAAATCCCCCTTAATTCACTTCGGCTCAACAAGAGTACTGTCGCTCAAGTTCATTCATCCAGTAGTGCCAGTCTGGCATTATTACGATACGTCTCATCATCTTCCTTTTTTCTCTGGCAAGGTTGGACAGATTCTGTCTAGTACGACCCAACCACGCAGACAAGCGGTGGCGCGAGAACACGAAGAAGTTGTTTGCCGGAAAAGTTTTGTCTCATGGACGTCTCTCTGCCATTCTGCTAGGCGTCTTGTCTTTCTTTCTTTTGTAGTGATAGACGCGGGCGATTCAATTGTGAATTTTTTGCTTTTGGCCTCACATCATATTTATAATTGTTTACCATGAAAATAGACTCAATCAACAGCTCAGCGGCACCACTAATTGGCGTCTGCAACAAGTTGCACATCCACATGGGCGAGGATTACAAATAGTTATGATCCCGATCCCAAATGCTAATGCTTGCCTTCGAAACAAGTTATGACAATTGACAGAAGAAACAAAAAGAGGAGTAATTGAATTGAGCAAATGCGGGCGTTCTGTTTGGGCGGGGAGAGCTGCGCGTTGTATGATAGATGATATATCACGTGGGATACACACATTTTCATAAATGCGAGGGGACAACACTGTGCGCAATATCGTGTAGTTCTTGGACATGGTGCTTTTTAGCACAAGTGAAAAGCGACAGTAGAATCATTGACAAACAACATCATTTGCAGAGGCTGCCATGCGACCTAACCTAACGGCATGTTCTCGATCGGCGAGCAACTACAAGAAATATATTTACTAGGCATAGGCTGTTGGTGCTTCCGAAGGCGCGGCTTGTCCACTTGCGGGTGATATGTCTGCTGGCTGTGGGGCGCCAAATTTCCCTGCTGCAAATGGATCAAGCGCGAAACCCTTACCCGGAAAAGCTAGGCCTTTCGGTATCGCTCCCGCTGGTGGTGGTGGAAATGCAGGCCCATAGGCAGGCTTTCCTGCAAACTCCATTTTGCCAAAGCCACTAATATCGAACTCGCCCTTTCCAAATGGATCCTTTTTGCCGAAAAATTTCCCCTTCTTTCCCGCAAAAAATCCCTTGTCGGGTGGTGGTATGAAGTCGTATGGACCTTTGAGTCCGCCTCCGAAGTCTTTTCCTATTGGACCCTTCTTGCCGGCCATCTCTGCTGGTATTGCCAATGCACTGGGTGGAAGACCTTTACCTGATCACAAAAATCGAATTTGATATATAAGGTCATTTCCATTTCGAGGAACATTTTGCACAAGAAGAAGAAGTTGTTGTACTAGAATCCCATACCGATTATAGAAGGATCATCATCAAGTAGTGCAATTGCCTACTTGCCGCCTTGTGCTTGTGCACTTCAATGACCGAGGTGGAACTCCAAGGGGATCTGTTCATCAAGTAACAAAGTATACTGAAACTGCAAGTACCTAGAGGGTCCTTGCCAGCCGGCTTGCCTTTTCCTTTGCCTATCATTGGATCGAATATTTTGCCTTTGCCCTTCACGCCAACGCCTGGCGGTGCTATAACTGGTGGTGGGTGTGGCGCATTGGCTCGCGCTTCTATATGCCTCCTCCATTTACTAGGATGGACCATCCATTCAGCACCTGAGAAGTTTGGGTTATGGCATGGCGTGAGTCTCACATTACTTGAACAAGATGATTCTTGAAAGGAACTAATCTGATCATCACAAGAAATTTCATATCAAATAGTGCACCCAAAATTCACGTGCCCACGATGAACCTCGCAATATCACGAACACGATCATGATTTCAATTGCGAAATATGAAAAGGTACCCATATCCACAAAGAGGTGTGAGTTGTCGCTTTTGTAGATGTAGTCCTTTGTAATAATATCGACAGCTTTTGCCATTGCCCTCTCTTCGCCACGTATGAGAATTGTTGAGTACCTGATCGGATTTGCGTGTGTGAGATTACTGGCTGTTGTAGTGAATATTAGTACAAGGAGGGTTGCATTTGCTAGTACTTGCACCGTAATTTGTTGGTGTTAGTTCATGCGCGACAAAACGAAGCACAAATAAGAAGCGATAGATATTACCCGAGGTTCCCTGTTGTCTGGTCAATCTCGATTTCCGCGCCCGACTCTTCTTCAAGTGTCTTCAAATTCTCTGCACCAGTGTGGTTACTGCTAATCTTTGACTGCGCATAGAGATTGTGCTCCTGGTTGTACTCCGTAGCTGACAACTTCAATAGCTTCGGTACATGGTGGAGAGAAACCTCCATCTTCTTACCTGAAAATGCGCGATACAAGTCGACATCGTTTTTACAGGCACAATGCAACACGTTGGGTTGCAACCTGCATCTCAACATCTTCATATTATGCAACGTACTGAAACTGAGCATACTCTATGATATCTTGTGCCACAACACGGTTCGTGCCACTGGTGAACGACATTTTTTATATGAAGAAAATCAAAGTCAAAATCAAAAAGTTCGCACCTGCTTCTTCTCGTGGATGCGCAGCTGCCCATGCTAGGATTTCTTCTAATATCGTCACTGCTTTTGCAACTTTCCCCTCTTCCCCCGTGACACGTACTCGCGTTACGGGTGGCTCACTTCTGTAGTCTGTTGGCTCTATTAGCACTTCCGCACCTAAAAAAAGAGTGAAATACATAGAAGAGAATTTTTGTTGCGAAAAAATCAAAGTTGCTACGCACAACAAGAACCAAGACTGTAAATGTATCTCGTCGAAGACCTAATCATGTAGGCATATATCTGCTTAGACAAGTATTTCGGGTTCGGGATCAGTACCTGTCGATTCTTGAATTTCTCGCACCTTGCTGCCGCCTCTCCCGATAAGCAGACCTATTTTGTCGACACTGACTGTCAGCACTTTCATTGCCCTGCCCTTCCCTGTTTGCTGCAGGCCTAACTCATTTCTATCCCATTCTCTGTGATGTGTTTGGATTAACCATCATGAAAGCTAGGAGATGAAACTAACTAAACTGAAGACTGCTAACTACAGAAGCTACTTATGGTAAATGTGATGATCCGAAAAAAACAGCATACTCTTGTCTATTACAGAGGCTCCTTCGTTCTGCTTCTGTTCACCATCTACTAGCAGGCATATCAAATTAGCAGGTAATGTACGAAAGGCCTTGCTCGGATGATCCTGCTGCGTCAGTGTTCTCGTCGTAAATTTGTCCTGGCCGCCTTTCGTCCTTTAGTGTGACGAATTCAACTTCGCCATTCGCGTTTTTCTTCCTCTGTGCGGCGAATATCACATGCGGTAGTATAACATCTAGTGCTAGAGCGTACAAATCTCGTGGTACGTTTTCCAGAATCATCTTTCGATGCTTCCTGAATTGAGCAGTGAGGATATTGAAGAATAACGAAGAAGTTACGTAATGCTGATCCCGGTAGCAGGTGTGAAATGGAATTAAGTAGTACAAACAATCATGAAGATTGGTGGAGTGAAAGTTTGAAGTTTTCTTCATCAAGGATTAGACCATATTAAACTCTTCTTGTTTGTTATCTTTACAATAAATTCTTACCCGTCCTGACTGCTTTTTGGCACGAGGATCTCTATGTCCTCGTCTACTTGATGCCCCAATTCGCGAATCTTATTTGAGATCTCTTGCGCTAGTTGCGTGAGCCCGGCTGCTTGTTCGCCGCCGATTAATCTTACGGCTTCGTGCTCAAGGACCATAATCGTGAGCGCCGCATCGAGCTTTGCTCTTCTAGCCTTTTTTCGGGCCGCCTCATCCTCCGCAGCCTGATCCGCAGGTGGCCCGTGCGCCGGCGGCTGCTGCTCTCCCGGTTGCACTTCCATCTTCTCGTCGCGAGGTAAAAACAAGAGTCAACTGTCTTCGACGGCGATCTAGATCTTATCAAAATCAATGAAGGACAGCGGCTGGGGTTCCCCCTTCCTCGATTTCCGGACGCGTTGTTGTGACGTATTCTGCTAGAGGGTTCCGCTGCGATCCCCAGTGGTCCTGGTACTTCGTCAGGGAGGCGCTAGTACCCACTTCTCGAGCCTACTAGCAGGATCTTGCTAGGGCCCGCCAAATTAGGTTTCCAACTGGAATCGTGTGGGTCTCTCGTGTTTGCCTGCTGTCCACGCATGCTGAGCTTTTTCTGATGGCCTGAAATCGACCGTCGTGCATGTCACATTCCACGATGTCACTAAAACGTTCGTAGCTCGATCCTTTCAAGCCACCCAGTCTTGCTTGAACGCCTGAAAATGCGGCGTCCCCGTTTGCAAAGTTGTGCGGTCATCCAGCGTGGATGCCTACAAGTAGCACGTGCTTTATTCTTGTCTCTGCGAGCATGTTGTTGATTCTTACCAGTGTCTACCTCAAAATACTTTGCCTTTGATGCATTTGCATTACTCGCACATTCAATAACGTGTTCATCATGTTAGCAAGCGGATACTAAAATTGTCCGCACAGTGCATCGTCCCGAAACGCTGAGGCTCTCAGACTCAGTCCTGTTGAGAACCAACTTAATCAAAAATGATCGGAAGCTCCAAACAAAACTTCAAAATCAATAATTTGTTGAGAAAAATTTCGGATCTAAACATCTTCCCTAGAGGTTATCATGTACAACGAACTAGATCGATCGTTCCCTTCAGCGGCTTTCATAGAATTCAACCTATTTATTATCGATGAACATGCGTACGAGTAGGCAATTCTGATGAATCTGAGATGAAGAACTCGTGAGCAAGAACGTGTAAAAGCAAGAGCAAGGCGGGAAAGCTTCTCCGTGTGAGGAGACATTCAAAAAGTGATCGCTCTCAGCTGCTCACAGAATTTTTCATTTCTGAGACACGATCATGAAGAACCAGCTGCCGACAACAGACATGAGACCGTGCTTGATCATCAGGAGATCTACTTATCGATTCTCAACCTTGCTTTCCGCTTTACTCGAAAATCCTACGCAAGGAGCGCGTTCATCGTTCTCCATCACTTAGGGAAATATAAAATTCTCAATCACGACGGAGGAAAACTCATGGATCTGATGCGGGCTTAGTAGAGTGGATCCTAACTTGATCACAAAACAGTGATTCTGCTTTAGGGACATCAAGCCGGAAAGCACGCAATAGTTACAGACAGAAAGGATGCTAGAACAAACACGATCACCGCGTGGATCACATGGTCCGACTGTATTTATTCCGAGCATCTCCCGAGAAGAAAAACTCGACTCATTGATTTCGTAAGTTCTTGGAAGCTTATCGTTCAATGAAGCGTCAGAATCAAGGGGTCTGATTCGGATCCATTTAAAGATCATCTACTCGCCGCGCTCCTGCATGAGGATGTTATTTCGAAAATCTTTGATCATCCTGTTTCGTCAAGGTGAATCTTCGTAAAGTTACAAGGCATTCTTGGAATGACGATGAACATGAGCGTTCATGAACAACGATCTTCACCAAGGTAGGATTCTCGGTCACGACAACTGTGATCGAACAATATTCATAGTTCTTGTGCTGCACTCAAAGTAAGTCGTGACTGGTGCTGCTCCGGAAACTACTTCTCCCTCTGCGACGCCTCATCTCCTAGCGCCATCGCGATGTACTGCAACTGCGATCTTTCTACTTATATCTCTTACTACTTCTTTTTGAACGACCTTCATTTCTTTGTCGTATTTCTTTGTGCAGTCACCTCCAGTACCACCCGAAAAATGATCATTAGCGTCTTGTTTTTTGGAATAAGGGGAACTTCACCAAAAAGTCACTTTTCTTGGCGAGAAGATGTGATCGGGCTGGCGGAGACGATTCAGCAAAGAATGACGTTTTTGGGGAAATTAATCGATATTCGGGGAATCGGGGATGGGCTCGCGAAGACGACGAGTTTGGTTCCTCTTAGATAATTCGTGCATTCAAGCGCGAGGATTACGTCGCACACGCGCTGAAACTTTGGAGCCAACTAAAATTGTTCTGTGGTCAACAGCATCTTCGGCTTCCTTTGGTAGAGGCCACTGCTTCTGCTCACACAGCTGCCGGTGGTGGTGGAGGCGCGTGCGACAAAGGAGACGAGATGGCCTGCCCTCTACGCTGTGCATCGGTCTCGCGTCTCAACTCCTCGCACCACTCTTCCAAATCGCGTGGCTTCCGCGTTCCGCCATATCGCGGAAGGCCCGCTTCGAGCTGTCCCAACAAATTCCGGAGAGATATAGCTCGCTCACTAGCAGGACCACGACTTTCTGTGCCATCACCATTGGCCATGACTGCTTCTCTACGACGTTCTTGGGAACCCGATGGACGACCTCCGAAATACCAATCGCTGTAACCGCCACCTTGTTCTTCATCTTGATACCAAGCGCCCGGCCGCTGGTACATCGGGTGCTCTCGTAGATACAGGGCTTCGTCAAGGAGGTTCGTAACCCGACTTTCGTAACTTGGATGTGTTGAAAACCATTCAGTCGGAACTGTCGCGAAGGAGGGAGTAGAGGATTTGGAAATACGTGCACGCCCACACGATAGACCTGTTGATGTCGATGGTCCGTAACATCCGCATGGCTGTGGCGACGGTCCGGAACCGGATGAGGAGCTACTGGAAGACGAGGTAGAGGAGGTTGAAATGCCGGGTGGGTGTAATTGAGATTGCGGTACTCTGAGTCGTAGTCGAAGGTCTGCGCCATAATTTATTTCAGTGTCTTCTGTCAAGAGGCCCACGTCCGTCAGGAAAGCAGTCGTGAAATGCGGATGCAAAAGGCGTAAAGCGTCTACAACTGCACGCCGATTCGGTCTAGATGAAGGGACGGCATCATCTGTTTCTCTAGTAGAAGACCTTGATATTGCTGACGCCGAAGAAGGGAAAAACGTCAAGCCACGCAAGGCCGTATCATTTTCAGACCCAGCAGAAGTTTTTCTTCTCGTCGACTCTGTCCTGCCATGATTTGTTGACGCAACAACCGGGCTCGATCCGAAGTCGTAAAAACTCGCCTGGGATGCGCCGTCCCCTCCTGATCCTGAATGACCCATGTACATCTGGCCTCGGCTCGGAAAGACAAAACCCAACAGGCCTGGCACAGAACCAGAAACCGAAGAGCTCTGATCAGGCAATATAGCCTTGCTCGTGAAAGTGCATGCTCCTTTTTGGGTCTCGACTTGCGCTAGGCGGTCTTTGACGTAGTCCCGCAGCTCATTGTTCTTCCCGCGTTTTCTTGAGGCCTCCTCGTCTGTCGCCAGAGGGCTAGCGCTATCACCCATCCGGGCCCAAAGCTTTGGCGCAGCAAGGGGATCGTAGCCCGCCAGCGTCGATATACGCAATCCCAGCTCGTCGGCTTCTTGCTCGCAGAAGCGCGACTGCGGGAGTTCTAGCAACAAGCCGCCAACCATGTTTTGTACAGAGCTACTCAACAAAACATAGGACAAACCCCCGGCCAACAGGGAACAGACCTGCAGAAAATGACCCGGCACAGAAAGCACTTCCGCACTCGAGAGCTGCTCAGCACCATGCCGTAAAAGGACATGAGAAATCTCATGCCCCAACACAGTGGCAACCTCATCTTCACTATAGCATCGCTCGAGCAATCCAGTGTAGACAAAAATGCTGCCGTCTGGTAGAACCATAGCGTTGCAAATATCTGGATCCTTGACTACGTGGACACGCCATACTGGTGCAGGTTCCTGGAAATAACGAATCAACGAAGTAAGTGAAGTTAATCAACAACTATGCTTGTTATTCACCATCCATCATTCAACAGCAGAGACAAATGACTTTCAGCTCCATTTCTCCTCGTTGTAAAAGGATGAGCGAGTGTGTATTTACAAATACAAGAAATGCGAATTCTTGGGGGCACTATGTACTAGCATAAACACAATATTAGAGAGTACTTTCCAGCTGTTCCTAGGCAGACAGTTTTGATGCAAAAGCTTGCGGACCAATATCTCGATTTCCTTGTGCAAAGGGTGCGTGTAGGGCAGGAGGGTTGCGCTGTGATTCTGCCGCAAAATCGATGCGCCCTCACTTCCTAATTCGCGCTCTTGCTCGGGTGAGACTAGACACAGACGCCACCTGCGTGTCTGATCTGGAAACTTTTCCTCCTGCTCTTCTAGTGCGCTGACGACAACCAAGCCCACGAGTGCACCAGGGAAAAGCAGAGACGCGTAGTAAATGTTGGCCCAGAACCGACCCAGCCGCTCTAAGCCCCGTGGGTCAGTATCCGGCACCTCGTTCATATTGAATGGATTCGCCTCTCGACCGCGTCGCCCGACGCCGCGAACCAACATGCGTGTAAGCCAGTTGTCCTGATGCGGATCCCCAGCACGCACACCGCCTCGCGAGGCAGAGGCGTATCCGGACCGCGCGGGTAGCCGCGCAACGCTGTAAACTGGAGACACGTAATCGCGCGCAGCCTTGTTGATCCAGCGGCGCACCGAAAGAAGAGACTTCTCCACCTCACTCGACGCACTCCCCGTGACGCCATTTTGTTCGGGCAGATATCGGGCTAGGATAAACTCGTTGTATTTCGCCAAGGAATCAAGAGTGACGCCACTTCGTCGCAACACCCTATCCGTATCTGTGTCTGAGAAAGCCGCAGATATTCTTCGCTTCGCCTCTAACCGCATCTCATCGATGGGGTCAACGAGATCGGTGCTGCTTTTCGTTCTGGCTTCATGTCCCAGGTCATTTCTTGTAGAACCTAATATTCCGTTACCGGATACCCCCGCTCGCCCAGCCGCGTTCGTCCTAGGTCCTCTGCTTGAACGCGATGGCGCTCCGGCTCCAAGTACACTTTGTTCGCGCTCTGCAATGAGTCGCCGGCGTTCGTAGTCTAAAAGACCGCTGCGGACATCCCTAGCGTTTAGGAAGACTCGCTCCCTTGCTTGCTCCGCGATTACCAGAGCACTTCGACGGAAAAGTGGCGCCAGCCGCGCTGAGACCCGCGCAAGAGCTACAGCCGACACGCGATTGACTCCAAAACGCGTGAGCGCCGGTCCAATGAATCGCGAGGCTATCGGGCCCACAAGTTTGCCCACTGTAGCGAAAAAAGGAGGAAGCGGTAGAGGTGCCATGCTCGATTAATGCCACGGCTTCTAAGTCAAGAAGCGCAGGATGGACTCGCTTAGGTTAACTTTTGTCCCCAAGGTGAGTATCAAAGTGCATCTTTGCAAAGTAAGCATTATTGCCACAAAAACGATCGGATAGATAAGTGCAAGTGCATGGTAGGTGTGCGTACATATTTGATAAACTCTAACAACTTATAACACGCTGCAACAACAAGCGCACGTCTGCGACAAAGGGACAACTGTTGTAAGAATAATACGATATTTGCTGTATTCACATTACCATTACGAGTATGTTGATCTTGGGGACATATCGACACGGATAAAATGGACATGCGTATGGGATGGGGAAAAAATGAGGAATTATTGCATGCATAGGGAAAAACTGCTGATGCTCTTCCACAACGAAATAAAATATCAAAGTACTTATGTTGAAGATCGATAAGTAACTCTGTGACGCACAGGCATGAAGCGAGAAACAAATCAATTACAATTCACCACCAACAAATGCAAAGTCGTGAACATCTTCATCGTCATTCTGTGTTGTTGCAGGATAATCAATTCTTGAACCCAAGAACGTCAGAGAGGAAGAGCATGTGAACATCAACAGTGTGCGTTCTCTCATCTCAAATAAAGGAAGTTATTCTTATTCAATGTGTAAGTCACACTGCCCAATCGGTTCTTATCGTTTCTCATTCTCGTCTCGTAAGTACATGCACTTTCCTGCATCTTCGCGAAATCGCTGCGGCAACAGCCCAAGCACTGCAGTTATTTAATCCACCGATGTACTTTTCTCGAATCATACAGATGCTTTTGCTTACTAGTAGAAGCGGAAAATTACTTACTAACATTGAACGCTCATCACTCCCAACATTGAACGCTGAAGAGTCTTATTACAAAACGCGTTCAATTAGACATTGCTCAGCGTCGTGCCCTAATTCTTGCAACCGACAACATCGAGGAGATGCGCCAACAGACATAGAAAACTTCGCAGCATCTGAGCAGTGAGCACTCCAAAATTGCCTTTCAAACAGAACGAAATAAAGCTTGAGATCGTCACCTCATTATGTTTTGTCTATTTCATTATACGTGGGTGGAGGTCCGATGGAACACGCGTTGGTTCTTCTACCTGGCTGTTAATCTGCAGAAACAAATAGATCGAAATTCAAATTCATCTAAAGAAATATGCAAAACAAAGAAAGGGCCACCGCCAGGTCCTGCGAACAAAAACAGCTAGATTCAAGCTCAAGCAACTAGAAGAAAGTGTCGTGTCGTGGTCGTCCAACATCACAACGCCGGACCTCCGCCAGCAGCACTGCTGCTAGCATCATTCTCGCGCTGTGACCGTCTATTCTCCTGTGCCTGTTCAATAGCGCCCATTCTTTGCTCGAGCGCTGCCACGCGTCTATCCACGTCCACCTCCACGCCTGCTTGAGCATTATGATCCCCATGCTTCCCTGCTGCTTCTTGTGGAGGTAGTCGCCGTTGTTCCTCATCTTCGGATGTGCCGTGTTGGTGAACGATTGGTACTATGACAGGATTATCTGTACTGTCGTGATCCACTTCTGTAAGTCGCACATCTGAAGTATGCCGTTCTGCAGTGACGTCTCCTGTAACAACGGATCGTTGCGGGATGCCTCTTCTGGTGAACTCAGTACCGGCGGAGTCTGCAGCACGATTTGCATTTTCTTCTTCACCAGCATGTTGAGTTCTACTCTCGTCGGCCGCAGATTTGAAGTAGAGGCCAAGACCTGTGAAAGTGAGGGCGAAGCCGCCTGCCTGAATCGCCGACACAGGGTTGCGGAACACGAGCAACCCCGTACCGATTGCTCCAACTCGATTCATATTGGCCACGATCGACGTAAAGACTGCTCCTTTTTCTTCCTTGATTAGAAAGTCTACCTCTCTCTCAGCTTGAGCTACAACATGCACGTTTCCGTACCCCTCGTAGTGACATCATCAGAACAATTTGTATAAATATCAAATTCGAAACAAAGTTTGCGCAGAAGTGTAACAACATATAAGGAACAGCATGGTTAGTAGAAGTAGTAGTTTATAGTGTAACTATATGTTGTTCGACAAAATGAAACATGCGAGTAACTACTTAAAATAAGGGAGATAGTGAAAAAAGAGGAATGTAGTCAAAACTCTTCTTTGTCAGTCAGTAACTCGCTTATTTTCATCAGCTTTCGAGTATAAGTATATCCATGCATAAGATGAGAATAAACTCGGTCACGTACCAGCATGCAGCAGACATCCCTTTGACGAGAATAAGGGCTCTCTCCCGCATCCCGATGCCCCATAAGAACGCCCGCCATGGCGCAGCCCCCTCGATCAAAAACGAAGCAGTCAGAAGGACTGCCGCATTGAGAGGCATTGCCGCACGCGCGAGATTCAGTGCTATTGGCTTTTTCTCATTTGCACTGTTGGCGGCCGTCGAAGATGTGGAAGATTGCCTGAGGTAGTCGTTTCCATCCGCTTGTGCTTCAACCGACAGCGTGAACCTTGTCCCTGACATCGTTCCATCACCTTCTTCAAGCGCATTTCCTACAACGCAAACACTCGCCGCTTGTTTCTCTTTCTTCTGGTGATTTACTACAATGACAGAGGTGTAGAGCATTCGTCCAGCGCGAAAAAATAACGAGCCCATCGCAAGCATAATCCCGAATTTATGAAAATTGATCTCTCCTACAGCGGATAGGATACCACCGAGCGAAAGCGGCACCAAAGCGAGCAACGCTAGCGTTGACACCGTTGTCCGCTGAAAGACGTAGCCAAGAGGGACCTCAATCTTAGAACTTGACACACCTTGTTGTTGCTTTCAATAACTTTGGCCTTTCATCTCATGATTTTGTCAACATAAACATCTAACTACTTCTACCGAGTGAACGACTACTTAGCCCTGCACAACCATGCGCGTCGTAAGTCTTTTACGAGATTCTCAATGCGAACCAGTCAAATGCTTTGAAGAATCCAAAAGGATTTATTAGCCATAAGTATAACCGGGCCAGTCATCTGTATCGCCTCTGTGAAAGATGGAAAGAGAAACAGGTTTGCGGCAATACCGCAGGCGCCCGTTCCGACGTTTAGAATACTCAGCGGCACGAGCTCGGAAAGGAAATCGAAGTCTCCCAGTGAGTTCCTCCCGAACTGATACACAGCGTCAACACAGGACGCAAAGGACCCGTACGGTCCAACTGCAGCTGTATTTTGCTCCGGATTGACGTCAGACTCATTTCCGGCATCAGTCCTCTGCGACTGCGATTGTTCTCGAGGGTCAATTACACAAGCATCCGCACGGCCAACTCCACGGATAGCTGTCGAGATGGTTGTATTTAACCTTAACTAGATGGCGTAACTGATCTGAGGCGTGACGTAGTTGTCGAGACATTGGGGACGCATTGACAACGAGTAACCAATTTCAATGAATACACACCAGAGCCGTTTTGTGGTGTGATGGTCTGTAAGTACCTGCTATCGCCGCACTGCAGACAATCTGATCGGTGAAAATGAGAAACAGCGGATACGGCATGTTCTGCTCGAACAGGATTTTTCCGATGATGATCATTCCGATGTAGCCGCATGTATGGATACCGGTTTCGAAAAAGGTTACTAGGGAAATGTCGGCAAGCGCAATGTTAATATTCTCCAGCGTCCCAGTTCCAGCCCTGTCAGATGATGTGCTGCGAGCATTTTCAGAGTCCGCAACTAGCAGTACTCTTGTCCCTTGCCCGCTGACTTTCTTGGAACGGCCAGCATTGCTCATGCTCGGTGCTTTTTCTGAACGACCGAACAAAAAGGGTTCGAACAACATTCGGCTTCGGGCTTTCGCATCGACGGCTGCATGACTTCCTCCTTCCTTTACAGCCATAACAGGCTCCACTGTTGTAGCAGATAGCAAGTTATTCTGCTGTATTTCGATTTGCATCTGATTTCTTGGAATTTGATCCGTAGTCGTCTCTATCACATACGGCGAGCAAACACTTTTCGCTGACAGGCCCGCAGAGCCAACTTGCGCCTGCGCCTGTCTGCCGCTCGGTATGATTTCGCGGACACCTCCTCGAGGAGGAGTTGGCGCCGATGCCCTTGGCGCCGCCCTCGTCTGGTTGCTGCAAGAAGCAACATCGGCGGTCCTATCTGTCGGCTCTTCCGTCGAGGCCAGAAAAGTGTAGTAGAGTTTGGACAAGGCCGACGAAGCAGAAGACGTTGCTGCAGCTGTTGACATCTTCTACAACCTTTTCCAGTTGTTGCGTGCTGTTCTTCGGTGTCGGTCCAGCTGCAGTGGAAACTGGTAACCGCATGTATTGTGGCGAGACGTTTCCTTTTTCCTTCATGGTGATCTCGCAGCAGTGGAAGAGAATCGTAGTTTCTCGAAGCTTAAAAGTAGCTTTGGCTTGTCGTATGAAGAACTTTCTGAAAGCTACTTTTCATACATAAGAACGAGATGATGGATTTAAGCACTTGGATGCTGATAGAGCTAGCATAATTTTTACAGAGACAGACAGGAAACCGACCAGCTTCGATCGGAAGTCTGTCGACCGAGTTCCTCTTTTGTCCACGCGGTAAATTCTCGCAACAGAAGCAACTGCAACTTCGCATGCGAATAGGAACAAAAACATCAAGCAATATCCAACGAAATTCAAGATATTCAATAAACCGATAGCGACACGAAGCCAAGAGTCATCACTTCTAGTACCGATTTTTACAACTTGACAATATCGCAAGAGTAAATGGATTTCGCTCATTTGGGGCCTTTATCTCTATCCTTGCTATCGATCGACTGGTCATCTCATCCATTGACGCGGCACGTGCGGACTATTACAGCGAAGGACGCTGGGAAAACAGTCGACTCGTGAAAGTGAAAATTCGCGGAAATGAAGTCTCAACATTCTTGTCTTGATGTTGAAACTCTTTCCTGGAACCATGATGGGCGGGTGCCTTGTTTTACTACCTGTTTTTTTGAATCTGCTTGCGCTGCCTAAGTCATTGTTTGACTACCAGGACAGCCTCCACGGTGCTTGATGATCGGATACGGTAAAAAAATAGACGTAGCTACGAGCAGGATTTCTTATATATAGCTCTCGCATAGCGTTGTGATATACAGTGACTTGTCGTTGTGATATATTGCGATACTAGCCGTGTGCGTTGTCTCGTGGTCGTGATATTTTTATTTGTGAACTAACGACATAATATGGAGATGAGATGTAGATGATCATTTACATGATCTCGTATGTGGGTAGAGCAAACGGAAGCCCTAGTGTGCGTCTCGGGATCGTATATCTTCATAGCTCAAGCAGCTGGCGCGGCTGCAGGGGCGGCACCCTCTTCTTTTTTCTCCTTTGAAACCTCAGGTTTTTTCTGTGCCTTTCCGAAGGGCACCATCTGTCTAAAATCCTCCAGCGTTATTCTCCCATCCTGAAAATTTTGAAGATGACTCGCGTTGGTTTTGCAGAAACGTAGTCAAATCGAGTGCAAGAAGGAGTCGCATTGATGAAGTCGGCGTGCTCATCATTGATTAGACGAATAAAGACACAATCAATATCAACCAAATATCAAACCCTACATTAACGAGTTGTAGGCCGTGGTTACCCCATCCGCGTCTGCCATTTCTTTGATGAGCTGTGCGTCTTCGTCTGATATTTCGCCGAATCCCAGACCCTGAAATAGCTCTTGGACTACTGCCATATCTATTGCTCCCGTGTCATTCGGATCATAGACTTTGAAAGCATCCTTCACCGGATCGAAATTCTTCAAAGTATTATCCTTCAGGAGGTCTCGCCTGGGGAAGAGATAAAGGAAGAATAAATGGAAGATACAACTAGTAACTACATCTTGGCTGTCTTATTATTCATCTGGTGCAATCTTGATGTTTATGCTAACCGCGGATGATCCTTATGAATGTTGATATCCAGCCTCTACTAGTCGTCAACGTGTCGTGATGTAAAATAACAGGTTTCGGCTCATCAAAGAAAGCATAGATCATGAGCCACTGCAAGTACTAGACGAAGAAGTACAATTCGTCGAATGTGATCTCGGACTGATTGTTGAGGAGGTATCGTATCTCTTTCACGGAGACGTTCTTGTAGAAGACTGATAGTCGTTTTTTTATCTCATGTGCGGATATCTTTCCGGTGCCTTTGGCGTCGAAGAAATCCCATGCTACTCGCAGCTCCTTGTCCCCTATGAGAATGCCTCCATTTTCGTTGCGTGGCAGCTGCACCGTCTTTTCGGACGAGCCTTTCTCCTTGCCCCGTTCTTTGCTCATCTTGCTTTTTCTCTCGAAGTCCACTGTCAATGTCTCCTTAACTTACGAATTTAACGTGGGATTATGGCGACACATGTTCGCGAATTTAACGTGGGGAATCGCGAAAGCTAAGTTACTGGTGTGGATGATTGGTTAACGAGTACTTTCGCCTCGAATCTGATGTTTGAGTTTTGAACTAAAGAACGATACTCAATGAACGCTTGCAATTCTCATTACGTAGATGACACTCATCCAATGTATAAACCAGTTGACATCGTTAATATTCATGAGATGTTCATTGCTTTATCTTGGCAAATAACAATTACTGCGAATACTGCAACAACACCAAAATAACGACTTCAAGGCTGAAACGAGTCGAAAATATGCAGGGATGAGGGAGGAGAAGGAGTTCTAGGTAGGAAGGGGCGGGACGAGATAGTGAGCATCCATGGGAATACGAATACCGAAAGGGTCATACGAAATAATTACCCGAAACCAAGGACGTCCTGCTTCATGACACAGATCTGTTGAATTGTACTTCGAGTGACTGTCGATGTCACTATATCCATTCGCTCAATCGCGACGGTTTCAACTCATTTTCTAGAGCTTCTTTCCTCGTTCCATGCCTTCACAGCTAACTTCGATTTGCGATTGCGTCGTCTTCCGTCGTTGTAACTTTTTATTGAACAGATCAGTTTTCGGCACTACTCCAGCTGGTGCTCTTGAAGAGACAACTCCGCATCCATTGACTCATAACGGTTATGGAAAAAGTATCAGCTTCGTGATGACTAGAAACGATTTCTATGCGTGGCGTTTCCCCGTACATCTTCACAATGGTGGAATCCAAAAGGTGGCGTCAGCGATTTATTTGATTCTCTTTTTCACATTCTAACCAGACAAAACTGCACAGACATGCTCAAGATCCATTTTTTATATATATACTCTTCACATACGGAATGTATGAGACATATCTTCGTGTGACAAAGTACTAAATAATTGCGAAGGATAACTAGACTGACAAACATTTTCACAATAAATCGTAGAAGAAATGAGTCTTCTAGGGCACTTCCACTTCTAAGTCAAGGTTCAAGGTTCAAGGTCCGCGGCTCTACGGCCAGGCCGTGCCGTCCGGGACGAAACAGGCTCGAGTAGAGCCAGAAAAGACCACTTCTAAGTCAATTAGATTTAATATATCATATATAAATTTAAATAGGCAAACCTTGTCTACCTTTTTCAACCCCTGAAGGTACTAAGTAGATGAGCTGCTGCAGCCTATAAAATGGTTTATCTTCATAGCACGCCATGATACAGACGAGAGCATGCCGCACAAGAATCCACACCAAGTCACCAGTGGCGCCAGAAAATGACCCAGCGTTTGCTCATCAAGATAGAAAAATACCCAATAGTGCGTCCTTACCTACTTAGTGACCCCCAGAGGCTGGTGGATAGCCAAGGAGTAGATAGAAAACAGGAAAGAGAGGAATGCGCCTCCTAATTATTCAGGAAAATTAGTACCCAGACCGACGAACCACGAAGACTACATGTACATACGTTCATCTCGGTTACAACTAATACGCTGAAATATGGAGGACAGAGGCCGAAGCATTATATTTTCAAAGATCATATAATTCAACCTCTGCTTACTTACTTTTGATGCCGTTGATGACCAAGTAATAGAGGCTAAAGTCAAGAACAAAACTCGAAAATATGAAAGAAAACCTGTGACGCAGTACCGGAGATGCGCTGACCGGCACGACAACTCCTTTCGTCGTCATCTAAGGGCTAAGAGGCGACACAAAATTTCAGTCGTTGGAATCTCATTTGTTCCAACAAATCATACTGGCGCAGCTTCGTCAGCCTCAAAAATCCTAGCTGCTTCGGGGTGAAATGAGTCTTACAGAAAGGAGAACGCGTTGACGAGAAAGGACGGGGGAAAAAGAAAAGGATAAGCCGGCGAGCACGACTGAATATTGCAGTCATGTGTGCAGCAATCTTACAACAAGTAGGTACGGAAAGAAATGCACCTCGAAATTAGATCTTACTCGCACCACCGACTGGAAAGTTGAGCTCTGTGAGCTTCTTGAAAACCGCACCAAAGTCGTCTTTCAGCTTCCCACCGTCTTTCGCGTACTGTTCTATGAAACTTTTAAATGTGAGATCCCAAATGAGCGCCATGTCCGTATAAAGCATCATAAGGTCTCCCTCACCGCCTTTGTTTACGTACCTGGCCAGGAGCAAAGAGAGAAGACGAGACATCCTGGATCTCTGACTTACTCCAACTCATGCGTCTACAACTTCATCACGTCTCGAATGATGCAGTTGTTCTAGACGATAGTGGAATAGTTAATCTTTATTAGGTCCATAACTAACACTAATCTAATACACCCGAACATTCCTAATTTTTGAATGAATCTAATTTAATGAATCTAATTTAAACAAGATAGGAATCAATCAACATGATCGTTGGAATACATGTTAGGTAAAGAAAAAAGTAGGTGTAGAAATCAATTGATTGGTACTGCTTGTTGCCCAATATCGGCGCGATGGGGCACTTGCTCTGCTTCACGTTTGCGGCACCTTCGACAGGGGTCCACGACTTGTCTCGGATTAGAAAAGATACAAAAGGGCTCACAGAGGCGAACCTTATGGACTTGGAGTAACATGCTTCTACTTGTGATTTCGGTCTTCTATTTCATTTTCAGTGCTTTGACGAGATGCTCCAACTATCTACCATAGAGAGGTGCTAAACTGAAGGACGTCCTGACTATTCATTTCTGGGTTTTATTTGGAATTTCAATTTTTTTTCATTTTGTTCAGTATCATAACTTGGACAAGCGAACGCAATAGATATTTGTGAAACTTGTTGGGCGGTTTGTCCAGGGTCCATTAAAACCTGACCGATCTCGATGACAGCGTCCATACGCATGACCGCCTGCTATCAGCGCTACCGTTTCTTGATCCGAGAACCCCATCTGCGTAGTGAACACCTAGTTGTGGCGATGATTGTCCTCGCTTCTAGAGATGTAATACATTCAGGATAATGTGATCGTGATTATATAACAGAAATTTACAGTTACAGACCACGTGAAAGCACTAGCAAGTGAGTACCTAAAAGCAAAATGTCAAAAGTAATAGCAATACCTGCCTAACGTGATCGATGACATTCTTTTTGTCGTAAATAGCAGCGTCTGGTAGCCGACCGTTCGGGGGTATTGACGCTTCTTTTTCGGAGGGAACCTGCATGATAATGAGGCAAAGTTCGTAAAAGAGTAAGATTACAGCTCTACTGATGATCAAAACTAATCGACAAAGATGAAAAATGCTCCACCAAACACAAACACGTAGACTACGACTAGAGAGCCTAGTAAGGGTAAGGCTATGCAGACGAGAAACTACTTAAATATAGCTGCAATAAGCACGTCCGTCCTTCCTGGCCTAAACGGAATGACTGGACCGTTGCTGCATTCAATCGCAACGTAAGAAGCAAGGATCCAGAGATCCGCCAGGGATATCCAGGAGTGCTTTGGCTTGATGTTGTCGCTCAATAGCTTTCGAGCTAGGTCTAAACCAGCGTTCGCACCATCAGTACACTCTGGTGCAAACCTGGAAAACCATTGCGATCAGGTGAAAGCCAATTCCATTTGTTAGCGGTTCTTGAAGTTAAGTGGTCATTATAAAGTCGCGTTATTCCATGAAATTGAAATTCATTTTATTTCGAGCACCTGAACGTGAACCTTCTCTGTAAGTATGCAACTGTTGTACTACCTCATAGTAGCGCCATTGCTACCTCCATTCCTACTTGTTTGGTCGTAGGTGCCAGAGGCGTGCCATGCAAGACGGATGAACAGGGGGCCGTACGAACCATCGTCGTAACTCGGATCCGATGTGAGGAAGGTACGGATTAGAAAAATAAGAGAATTATGTTTGCACAATTGTCACGTCATGCTTTCTGTGTTATCACATGATGTAGATTTAGATTTAGCAGGACTTCCGCGCTAACTCTTATACATATGTCAACGAGTAGTTCATCATGAAAAACGCTGTGATTATCATGTTCTTCGTGCAGTAAGACTAAGATGCCATAACTTAAGGTCCTCAGCAACCGCCGCATAGCGGGGATCGATACCGGCAACACAACCCAGCGGCATTCTGCTGTAAATCAAAAAATACGCTCGTGGCCGACGCTCTTGTAGATACAAATTGAAAGATTATGATTAGTTCTTCTTGATGTCGATGAACAAACCTCCTCGTCGAGCGAATATACAAATTTTCTACTTCTAGGTAGATGTAGTGTCTAAAGGTAAGTACTTCTATAACAAGGTTTGCATCGACCAAGTAGAACATGTATCATACAATTGGTAGAATAAATAGATATCGCAACGAATTATAATCTGTAGATCCGATAAAGCATCATAATGGGAAAAACCAACCACATCATCTGCATGATAGACCGAAAACGATTAAAAATGCGTTCACACAACAAGCACTGCGCCATCAATGAATTGATGTGTTTAGAGAAGACCTATCACAACAGAAGATTTTGTACGACAAGAGGTACGAGTACAAGTACTTCAACGTCGAAAGGAGACAATTGACGAATGAATGAAAGAGATTTGTTCTTGCTCAAGAAAAAAAAATCTTGCAGAGTAAATGGGATGTCTCTCGATCCAATCAAATGAAGAAGGGTAATAAGATCATTGCCTGTAAATGCTCGTTTACCGAAATTTGATCCCGACAGTGAAGAAAAGTCGAGTAAACAGAATGATGTAAATATAAAGCGGTCCTTAGTCTCTCGGGGCAATCTCAAACAATGCTTGCACTAAGGTCCTCGTCGTCGCCAAAAGTCAAGGAATCAATAGAAAGTGGGGATCACAATCACATTGAAGAACATGCACGTCAGCCTTAGTCCGTAATTATATTGGGGTTTACCACAAAGTTCTCTCATCTGTCTTGTTCGCTCTATGTCACTCGGCATGACAACCGATGCGCCTCGTCTCCACATGCTGGGGCTACAACCACGTTCAGACCTTCAACCGCTGCATCTGAATTTTTCCAAGCTTGGAAAGTAGAGGGACCAATCGATAATTTTTCTTCACCCATCATGAATGTATAATGCTATTTTTGTTGTAACTTGATGTTTCACTTTCTCCTTTATCTCGTTGATCAGAGTAGCGGTAGCTCTATACGGCACCACTACAAAATCGGAAGCAATATGTAGTAACACGTAGGGAGGTATGGAGGAATCATTTTCATTCTTCTTCGACTTAATATAGCAAGAACAACAAGAACTGCTTTTATCATCATAATTACACTACCAGTATTTGTATCTATCATGAATCTTCCCCAACCCAGAGAATTGCTCGTGGCGCAAGAAGATCAACAGCTCTACTGAATTTTCTCGACGTTATTGCGCAATTTTACTCGATGTACGATATCTTGGATAGTTTTTCTATCTTCTAGTGCTTTGCCAAAATCGTCCAAGATCGTCCAGCGACACATCATTAAGGTGATCATCATCAGGGTAATGCAATACTAGTGCTCGTCAATATCAATCGATAATGACAATGTATGTTGACTGAATGGAGTCACTCCAAATCCACAGGTGGTTTGTTACTTTTTAAGTAAGTGTTCAACTGTACAAGTACGGGTGCATAAACCTTGAACACGTCGCACGATCATTCACTCGCGACGCCACCAGCTAACTCCGCTTTCTTGACATCCATTTCGGTCTCGTCCTCCAATTTCTTAGACATTGGTTCCAACCTCTACGTTTTTGTCCGACTAACTTTGGAATCTAGAAGTACTTTTCCAATTTTTTGATGGATGGACACGAGGATCATCAAAACTTCTAAGATTCATTAGTAGGCTTTCATGATGATGCCTGACTCAGGAGCATAACTTTGATTACGTCGTGCGGGTCGAGGTATTTCTGTACACGCGCGGTCTCCTCAACCGCCTGCATCGCCGCATCAGCGGCCTCTTTCGCTGCGTCCTGAGCCTTCCGCGCGTGCACCCAAGCTTCATGAATCGCTCTCTTCTCCGCACTGTTTGCGAGCTGCACGGGACAATACGAAAACAAGGATGAGATAAATCAATGTCTTTTTCGATCCTAAACCCAACAAGCATCTGCCTGCACATTTTTTCAACAAAACCAAGGATGTCATGAATGATAACTTCGTTTTCGTGTATCTAAAAATAAGATGAAGATCGTCTGCATTATGAGAAAAGTGGAGTTTTTAGCTAAACGTTTTTGTTACCTCACTCGCGCCTGTTTCATCGAATTCGGATTCGGCACCTTGCTTTGCAAGTCTCATTCTCTCATTACAGACATCTGCTGCGCATTCCTTTGCTCCGAAACCACAAATGCCAGAGATCTTCATCGGTATCAACCGTTCAGCAAGAAGCTGGCCTCTTCTAGACGCAGGTATGGATGTTGACGATGTTATTGCTGCCCCACGCCCTGGACCACGTGCATGCTGAAACTGAATGCCTCCTCGCTTGGTTATAATTGTCCCTGACGATGCGGAAGAAACTCCTGCACCGAATGATTCATCGTTTAAAAGCAGCGCTGAGGCGGGCCTCGTGGTCGTGCCAGGAGCAGCGGTGACAAGAAAACTCGAAGCAGTTGCTTTACCACCGAGTGGCCGCAGCTCTCCTCCTGCACCGGAAGAACAACTGGATGAAGAAGACGAGGACCCTCCGAAAGTACTACTAGTTTTGGCCCGTTTGGCCTGTGAAAGGCCTGCGGGGCCACAGGCCGCGTCCTCCGGATTAGTCGCTGAAGATGCAGCGGCGCCGTACACCCGCACCCTTGGCAAACACGGGACGAAACCAGCGTGGTCAGTGTCGTGTCTTGATACGAAGCCTGTCGCTCCTGATCTTACTGGATGGCGTGGCACCGCGGTAAGCTCTGGCGCCACCCCTTCGCTTCTCTCGTAGAAGGATGCATGCTCTCCCGCTCTATGATGGTCCACAGCGCGGTGATGGACGGGGTCGTAATAGTGTCCGCTAAACAGCTTCCCGTAGATCGATTCTGCAGCGTCACCGAACGCATCAGTAATCGATGTCGAACCCACTAAAGGCATCTTTATTGATGTATCTAGAGATCCTCTTGAACGATAGCTTTCTCTCTTTTTACCACCATTTGAATTCTATACTAGCCTCTTCGTTTGACCACTGAATGTTCATGAAGGCCGCGCTATGGTGCGAACCTTACTTTCAACCTGTCTCAACTGCCCGAGACATTTCGTAGCAAGAAAAGCCAGGTTGCTTCTAAAAACGGGTAAGAAAGGATGGGACCTTCCCGGTTTGTGCTGTTGGGAGTAGCGAAGCGAATGTTTCCTCGGCAGCAGCAACGAGACAACGATCGTCCCTCGATACAGAATAAAAATACGGCTCAGTTCATCCTCTAGCACCATGTTACGCTGAGAAGTGAATTGTCGAATAATTCATGATTGATTTTTAATCTACCGATTTTTTGATCTTTAGCACCAGGCCACAATCACTGTAGGCATCACACGAAGCTGAGAGGGTCAGGCTTTTTAGTTCCGGTGCCGGCGACAGCGGTAAAGAATGCATGATAATAAATCATGAAAATATCGTCACGGTGGTGTCACAGGAGAGGACGTCCTGATACTTTCTGAGTTACAGTTAGTCACTAAGCTGTGGTGGGATCAAGCTCAGTAGTTTAGTCAAATTTCGTGCAAGTTCTGCTAGTATAAAAAGTGGTTCTGTTTATGGTGGATGCGCCTGTTACATTTCTTTGAAATAAGGGATATATATTGTCAAAGTAGTTCATTTAGTGACGAGGGGATCTGAAGAAGTGCCTAAACGGCCACTCACCATGCTGCGAATCCTAAAAAACGGCTGTCATCCTTCTCTTTACAACAAGGCTAGAAACTTTGCATGTACAACATGAGCATCTACAGCGTTCGCGCTTTAGAAAAATGCTGCGGCAATTTTCTTTCCTTCTGCAGCTGCGTGTGCGTCCTCTGCTGACCCAATACCATCGTTTTCCGCACATTTAGTAGAAGTACTGGAGCTATGCAAGCCGTGAATCTGTATTCCCATCTTTCTTTTTTCTACGCCTACAAGCGGTTTCGCCTCTTTATTTGCGTCCTGCTCCTGTCGGCCATTCTCAGCATGCTCGTCTCGCTCCTTTGAATCGCCTGTTGCTGATTCGCCGCCGTCCTCTGCAGCTATTGGGTCGTAAAACTCTTCTCCATCATCCCCTTGATTCTCCTCCGACCCCTTTCCGCTCTTCATGTAGGAGTACATCGCAGCAGCACCGGCTCCGACAGCAAGCACTGGGGCTGCAGTCGTAAGTAGCGCACCGCCTCCTAGTGCAGTTGCAGCAGCCGCCGCCGCTCCTGCGCAGCCCGGTGCACACATTCCCGCCGCTATTGGTATTAAAGGAAGCGCCATCTTGTTGTTCTACTTACCTTCACACAGCATGAGAAAAACTTGGTTCTAGACTGCGTTTCGATACCGATTTTTAGTTACTCATCATCTAAGCATTCAATAATTCTAGTACGCCTGCAGCTGCGTTTCACTTGGATCAACTCTTTCTGGGCAAGAATCCCTCACTCCGTCGATCTGTTCTTTAAACAGACTCAAAACTAGGAAGACACTCCACCACGAAGAAACTGAGAACCAAGAAAATCCTACGATTCTCATCTGTTGCTATTTCTATTGATTTCGATGTCCTTCCATGATATTTTTTCTTCCTCTAAACGAATTGATCGAATATTCCTACATCGCGCGAAGGAAGATTGAAGATGAAAGCGATTGTGATTTCTATCGAATTCGACACACGACAAAAAATCACTATCACAAGCATCACAATGATTTGTCGTATTTCCTGAAGACCGCGTTTTCGTTTCGTACTGTCCTTAGCAAGGTCATTTCCATTCACATTTATCGCGACTACTAGGTTTTTCTAGGATAACTTGTTCCTAGTGTTTTGGCTTTCACTCTCTTTCAGTCAAGCAACTTGTCAAGCAACAGAAAGCATTCCATCCTTCGTGGAAAAAAAGTTCACATGAATTTGGCTAAGATTTCATCTTTCGAGTTCGCCGAGGCTAACGCAGTGTCGAATCTCTGGAGAAAACGACCGTCCATGTCTGCCGGTGTCGAGAGCGGAATTTCTCCTGGACCTGCTGGGTGCGAGTAGTCTGTTGGAAACTCCGTCGGGCGCAACCCCTTGGATCGAGCGACATCCTCCATCAAATACGGTGGCAAAAACGTGTTCAGTCCACTCTTTCCGAACATTCGACGACCCTCCGCCAGTGCCACTGTTGAACCTGTCGGACTCGGATAGGCTGTGTATTGCTGAGGAGAGACGCTCGTATCAGAATCCAGGGCTTTCACGAACGGATCTGCGTCGGCTCTCTTAGACGCGAAAAAGGGTGAAGAACTAGAGCAACAGAAAGGGGGGGAGCTTCCACTCCGGGAGCATATATCTTGATGATGCTGGTAGAACGAGTTCTTCTACTTACCTCTAGAATGTCAATGTTCATGTATTGTAAGTTTGCTCATCATAACAATAGTGTCAACGTCGGTTCCGATTACGTATTTTTCAACTGCGCGTCTTGCTCGGTCTAGCTCTGTTGCGTTACGTTGAGCGTGGTTCGCTAATTCCATCATATATGACGCGGCTTTAGTTGCCACAGTACTAGCTATCTTCACCGACGCCAGAGCTTCATGACCAACTGCACCGTTTCCCCAATCGCGCGTCAGAGATGATAACAAGTAGTCCTTCGCTGTCCCCGCCATGGATCTTCAATGGCCTGGAGTAGATAAGCGGAAGCGTGAGTTTCATCATGTGTCAAATGATCTCAAGGCCCCAGCTCCACAATGTCATGTCCATGATCTTAAGTATTCATCACCATTGCTTTTGCTAGGTCATTAGATTTTCCTATCCCTATGATTCACGGTACTAAGATCAATTTTGTCATCGTAGTTAGGTTCCACGTATGGATTGCGATTGACGTAGTAATTCTCGAAGGGAAAGGGTACACGTATACCTGGTGCGGACTGATTCCGATACACATTGCCACTGTATTTTGCGATGCCAGTGGCGCGACAGACTGATGCACTCCTTGCGACCCAACGTTAGATAGACGAAAAGGAGCGACTTCTTGTGTGTGGAAGACGAACCGATGATCTTCATTTCATCTCTGCTGCATATAGATTACCGAAAGCGACCACCTACCGATACCGAACTACAACACATAGTCAAGCACAGAATGCAAATCATTGAAGTTGTCTCTTCGAGTTCGGGGTTTGAATAAGAACGCGTGTCGCATCCGGCGCGAAAAATTCTTGCGCACCGTCCGCAAAATAACTCAATACTAAAGAGACCAGGAAGCGTGTTCGTGATGAAGAGTCCATTTTGGTCAGAAGAACGAGCAAGCAGTTTGTCCAGGGATTTCTTGTCTTGGAGGCAAGGGTGGTTGATATTGGGTCGGGGTCATTTAAGGAAGTGGGATTATGAGATTTTCTGATCACACTTGTAACTTCGCCTTTTCTGCCTGAATCTGTTTGATCAACGCCGCGAGCCGCTCCACCGAAGGGACCTCAGGCAGCTCCTGTAGAAGTGTGGCTAGCCTTTTCTTATCCTCTTTTGTATCTAAGATCCCCAGCACTTTGTCGTAAAGGTCCTTCCGTGTCGCGACGGTGATAGAAGGAAGACGGGCCAAACACAAATGCCCTAGGGCCACGCAACCATGGCTCGAGCCGTGTAACCGTAAGTAAATCTCTAGACTCCGCTGATACGCGTCTCGCGCGGATTCCATCTCCCCGCTGGCGCGATAAATCCTGTAGTTTTTTAAAGGACAAAGTAGCGAGGATAGATGAGACAGCGACTGATACAAGTACAAGAAAGTTGATGTAAATCTTTAGCTCCTACTTCAAGTAAATCGAGAAATTTAGATGCGAAACCTTCGAAAATAATCGGTTGAGAGCAGACAATGACGAATGGAATGCGAATGAGGCAGGTACCATTAGTCGAGATAAAGTACTGTCCGAGATTCTGGAGTATTTGTGCGCAGAGCGGCGTACTGAGGCTCTGCTCATTTCCCTTCGTTGTTGTATTGAGTGCGTTTTTGAGTGCCTCTACTGCTTCGGGCAGGTTTCCGCTCTGCTTCGCTGCGATTCCCAGGTTGCTGTATATTTCAGCGATCTCGTCTCTACATTTTTGCGTCTGGTCTTCGATCTTTAGTCTCAGCGCAAGTTGTGCCTTGAAAACGTCGTATGCCTCTTTTGGGCGCCGCATGCGCATGAAGCTTTTGGCCATCCACTCATGTGCTTCCAGATCTGGTCGTAGGTCCATGATGAGATTTTCCTCGACCAATGGTTGTCCAGGTCGTGAACGCTCTGATGAACTCGACGCTGCAGGATTACTAGAAGCACTAGTCTTCGTAGCTCCAAAGGGATTCAGACGAAGCGCTTGCTCGAACTCCGAAATCGCCCCCGTGAGATCGCCGGTACTGTAAAGGCGTCGGCCTTCTGCTACGAACTTCCGTTTTTCCGCATTTTGTGGGAGCTTCGCTATGTCCTCCTTATCCAAAGCGTCGACGGTGTCCTGGAGTTGTGCCTTCAGCTTGGATTGCGCTTTCTGGAGGTGCTCGGTCAGCAGTTTTATCACAGAAGCACGCTCAGCAGGCGTTATCTGTGTAACAGAAGAGGTACTGGCCCCCGCTGTTTGATCGTCAGAGAATACAGCTAACCCTTTTTGAGCCAACGTTTGGCAATCGGCAAACTCACGCATTGAAAAGAGCGCTTTACAGCCTTGATAGTATGCTTTTCCGTTACTTGCATCTACAGTTAATGCAAGACGAGCATCATCAGCGGCCTTTCGATATTCCTCTCTCGCATTGAAGCACATTGCGCGGTTAGAATACAATTTCGAGTTGTGCCCATCATCCAGCTCGATCGCCTTTGTGAAGTGGCTGATTGCTTTTTCGAAACGTTTCTTCTTGAAGAAGAAGTTACCAGCTTCACGCAACGTCTCCGCGTCGGAGCCACCCGATTCATCTGATGACCAATATTCCTTCTTTTTCACCACACACGGTCCCGCAGAGCTACTGGAAGAGGACACAGCAGGCACACTGGACGACGCCAACGGTGGAGCTACGGAAGCCGTCATTTTTTCTGCATAGTTAGAGAGTCAATTCCTACTTGACCTTGAATGGTGATCTACTTACGTACAACTAGCTAATAATGGCTCTTTATTTCGGAAATTCAAGTCGTCGTAGATTTTTCTTCTGTACACATGTAAGCGGTGTCGCCCTCGCCCCTGGAATAAAAGGAATAACGACACACTCATTTATAATAAGATATACCGAGGACTTTTCAAAGTCAGTATTTCTATTTAGAGTAAAAACTGTGTAGAGCAGGACTCTCGCTCAAGTGTGCACTACAGCTGCCGCAAACGTGACGTCGGTACCTTCTAAGGTGTGACTGGTGTTGTTGTTTTAAGAAGGGAAAAGTAATTTAGAGAGTCTGGTGCATGATTTTCAGAAAGAGCGCACTCCGATAGAATTCGAGACGACGATAACGATGCAAATGCGAAGAAATCCAATTCTAAGTCAGGTAAACAATATGATCAAATCACTCAAAGTGCACTTTAGTTAACGCCTCACTTCGGCCAGCAGAGGTCTCATCTGAGCAGAAGGAGGAAAGGTGAGCGCTCGCACATAAAGAGGTAAGGCTAGACCCCCTAACTCTGAGGCGCATGCTCACCCATGGGTGGATCCTGTAAATGTCGTGTGGCTTGACTAGAATCTTAATCCTCCTTTAGGTTTCGTTTTGTTTTGTCGTGTTAGGCATATTGAATATGATTTCAACAGAGGAACATGAAAAACGTCTTTGCCTTCAATAGAGTCGGATATTGTCGATGTGGTACTTGGAACAACTCTCACTCAGGAAATGGATCACCAAAAGTAAGTATGCGATTATAGATCACCCGCATCTTGTCGACCCGTTCCGTCTATTTGCATTCTACATGTCTACTTACACGTACAACATCCATATAATTTTGGAATATCATTCATGGAATGGAACACAGGTGCTGCACTAGATGACTTTTACCTTTTCGGATCAGTTCATGATATACACGTGCTTGATGATTGCGTAGCTACGGAGCATGACAGAGCAAAACTATTTGACTTCATCCCTATAATGATGGCATCAGCATTGAAACATTCCCATTGGATTCTGGCAAAGATGAAATTTCAAGAGATGAAAATTAATAAACTTGACATGTTGACCTTGACGGGTACTACCAAGACTAACGAGGAGGAGGAGGAGGAGGAGGAGGAGGTAACTAACAGGGGCGATACTAGAAGAGGGGTTTATCCATACAATTGCAATTCCTATTCCTCTATGTAATTTGTTACTTAATTAAACGCGGCCAACGCGATTGCAGCGTTTGATTTTGAATTTAACCCGCTTCTAAGGCGTATAGTCACAGATGCACAAAATAGAACATGGATGAAACACATTTACCTTTACGTGTCATTGTGGGATAATTTGTGATCAAGCATGAAAATGCAGAAGGTAAACAGCATCGATGAATGGCGTTGAATATTTTCAAGGCAGCAGCACATGGACTCGGGCGCGCCACCGCGAGTAGGACATCATGGTCGAGGGCGACTCACTACCTAGTCCCTGACGCTGTAAAAGTTAGAGTAGAAGTCTGAAATACGAAATGCCCGTGTATGTTGTGCTACTGATATCTACATCTTCTAAATTTGCGTAGTTAGTCCTTGTACAAACCCTTGGTGTCCCTGCTATCGTTTTCCACTGGAAGGCCCGAAGTCGAGCGCCGCTGTATACCCCAGGAGAAAGACAAGAACCCAGCTGCACCACAAGACCAACAACTTGGTGCGCGTGCTCAGATTATTCCAAATGATCGCTGGTACATCAACGATGAAGCCCGTCGTTGAAGTCAGAGCCGCGCTGAGGAGTTGAGAGAATGATGAGTTTCTCTCACGCTGCGGCTCGGTGACTCCATTCGCAGCACTTTGCGTTTGCGCGGTTCCGTCGAGAGCAGTTGCTGCTACAAGAAGAGCGGTTCCGCAATCTCCATTACCACATGGATTCCCCGAAGCCATGTTAGAAGTTCTTTGACCACCAAATAAGGCATGATCGATGATTGCTCTCAAATTCTTCTTCCTCTAGCTTGCTACTCAAACTCATGGTCTTCGTCTTGTTGATGTCGAAGAGAGTACGTAGATTTAAACCTAAAGTATGAAAAAAAAACAAAAACGAATGGAACTGTCAGTTGAGGCTGTACGACTGATTTCTGTTATAATATATGATCCACCATCTTAAACACACTACTTGCTGTCGCGAGAGCACCCGTGGGTGGTATCGCAATGCTGCGCAGCATCTTGTTTTGATCGGATGGCGCTCCTTGCGCGAGATTTCCGACATTCCTACCACTGGTGCTATCCGGCTGTTGTTCACGTTCAGCGGCGCTGCTGTCTTTCTTGTTGGCCCCGGAAGATACTTGCTCTGCCGCTCTGAGGACGGTCTCGTAATTACGCCGCAGTGTTTCAGGGTCAAACTGAGCATCATACTTTTCTCCACCAGTATCCCTGAGAAGGGACTTCGAGACAACAGTGTTTCGGGTCGTGTCACTTATCGAACGCACCGGTTCCTCCCCACTTACGTCAGGAGGTCCGCTTGTTGACCTCTGCAACGGGGCCGCGCCGTTCTTACTTGTTATCGCGCCCACGGCCGAACCACTAGTACGACGTAGAGGACTCATTGCGGCTCCGGAGCCTTCGTCCGCTGTAGCACGACTGGACGGGGTCTTGAGGTCTACCTGATCCTGGGAAATAGACTGTGGGCCTTGCAAAAGTGGAGTTTTCATGGCGGAATAAGAGCTACGTTGAAAATAATGCGGCAACAATCCGCCACCGCTTGCACGCCTAGGCCGCGAAAGACCGCGAATCTTAGAGCAGAAAGGAGCTTTTACATGTAGGGAATATCCTGCGTGGTCATGATGGTCTACTTCCAGTTGGTAAGTTGTGGTAGTTCAACAAATTTTCACTCGCTCTAGCTCTTTTCTTTCCTGTCTTAATACTAGATGCTCCTCCCTCCTGTAACAATCCTGAGAAGGGTGAGTCCCTGCTCCTCACCGCGCTGGCATCGGTCGTAGGGTCTTTCACAGGTGTGTTTCTTGCGGAGTAGGTCTTCACACGCGGAAGCTCTTCAGCGGAAACTCGATCGATGACGGGCAATATCTTGGATACCTCTGGGGCGTAGTCGCTCTCGGTGTCCGCGCAAAGCACACGCCCTGACGATTGTAGTAATGAAGCAAAGTAAGTAGCATAATTCCTGATTTCCTCGTCTTTATTTTTCCCCAGTACAACTATCACAAGAGTGAAAACTATTTCGTTTTGTTCTTCCTCTATAATCTATTTCTTCGAGATCTAGTGCAAAGATTAAGACTGCGGGAGCTGACGAAGTTGCTGTCTTCAGTTTCAAGAAATACTAAAGGAGTGCCTCCTGCTCCCACCGCAGCGTCGGCCACCGAGCGATCGGCATCTTTGCAGGCACTAGCCTTTTCCCCTTCCGGAAAGCTCCATCGCCGGACTGCACCACGCGCGTTTGCTTTCTTCATCGGTGTCGCCCAAATTAGCGGTTCCATATCAAAGTTTGTCAATTGATGACGAACCGTTGCACCTACGTAATCCGGCGCACAAGCAAGTAGTACTGACTTCAAAGTAGGGTGGCTCACGGCTATCTCATCAACAATCTGACAGTGTCAACAATTCGCCGTAAAAGGCCGATATGATGCAACTCGGACTTCCCGTTTTTCAAATGGGATGTGAAGGTCATCGTCGGTAAAGTATCCTGCGCACTGTTCATTTCCATACTGTCCTCGTATATATTACCGGAATCCGTAACCATCTCACCAAAATCCGATTGAAGACCTGGAAAATTACACCAGGTGTGGTTGTCATTGGACGAGGAATATAATGCATTTGGATCAGGTATACTAAATCTAAAGTCCCCTTTTGATGCCGAAGCCGTAGCTCACGTGTTGAATCTTACCTGTCGTTTCTGTCAACATACATTGTTGTGAAAAGAGGAAGTCGTACTGCCGATTTCAGACGGTGCTTCACGCTCGTCCTGGATTTCGTTCGCACTACTCGCGGGTGCCGACAATTCTTCATACTGAGAGAGCCTGCGCTTGTAGTAATCCCGCTGCATACTTCTGCGTCTTGTCTCCCGCTCTAGTCGCTTTCTTAGAAGTGTAGATGAGAAGTTAATAGTTGTGTTGGTGAAATAGTTTTTTTAGCTTTTTCAAATTCAACTTGTTAATGGTATATAGTTTGATTGATGTGTTTCGCTTTCGTGGGCGATTATTCTAGAAGACGTGTTTTTGTGTACCGGGAATCAGAATAACCCTACTCCATCGCTAAGCCTTGGAGGGTGGAGACGTAACTTTATCACCGATTGGTCCAGCGTCAGCTCTGTTTGGATGACGCGTTTCTCATTCTCGTCGATTGCACGAAGAAGACCACGCTTTTCTGCCCTGGAGAGTGGCCAGTCCCGGGCCGGGCTAGCCGTACCGTGTGTCAACTTCTCTGGCATGGTCTGATGTTTCTTTCACAATGCTGAGACTGTGAAGAAGCGAACACGAAAGGTATTTTTGCTTCTTCTGACTCTGACTGGATTACCAGCGTAGAGTCATCAGCTTCCGACGCACAGCAACGAATGCGATGCGTCTTTGCTGTGCTTGTCTGCTTCGAAGAAATAGAGAAAACTAAGGTTGCAGTCCTGTCTGCGTCACGAACCGCAAGTGGCGTCCACGACAAGATGAGGTTTTTGCAAAAGACTGCAGTGGGTCGCCACAACCCTCGCGCGGTACATGCTCGGCGCAGCTTCGGACATACCGACGTTGACCATTTTTTGCCAATTATCGCAAAGATGCTAAGGATATAAGCGCCTTGAAGATATAAGCTACAAGCCGTTTCAACACCAATGTGACATTTATATGAGTCCTAACAGAGTACGAGTTACTCGATGCGTATCCACATTTGTCGCTATGCACGTAGCAAACCGCGCGGACACTTCCCGCCGCTCACTTTGTATTTGCTTTTCCTTCTATACCATATTGCAGCTTCATCTTCGAAAAGCTAGCACTGCTCTACTACTCATAGAAAGATGCTTACTAAATGGGAGGGTCGCCCTGTATGATCAAGTGAGTGTACGTAGGAAGAAAATGACAATCCATGATCATGTGAGTAACTAGACTGTGCACATCAACGGACGAGTCGTGCCTTCCCAAACCATGATCCATGATGGTATCCGATGCATCCAACTTCCTCTGCAGAAGAATTTACAACTGCATCGCACGGTTGCTGCAACATCTTGTGTGGCACGAAAATCAAAATGCAAAAGTTTTGGCTTTTCTCGACAAGTAAGGCGCTTATTAATGGGGTCTATTGGTGGTCCATATGAAGAGGTGCGGTGTGCGCTCAGCGCTCTACTTCCCTCTCGTGGTAGTACTGTGATTGCCTCTAATTACGTCCAGTGGTTCTCCAGGCTAATTAGATGTAGACACGACATATCAGGAGTTGAGAGACACCGAGTTCGAGAACAATGAAGAACAAGATCCATTCACGTGCCTAAGCGTCCAGCATAAGAGCGGACATTTGATTCGCGAAAGGTAGGGTCAGATCGCGACGCCAGGGTCAGAGCACACAGTTGTTAAGTAACCCTAACATGTTGCGTAGTTTTTGGAAACGGCTGATTTCTATCATTTCCATGAACAAAGTCGATCGCAGGGGATGCTTTCAGAGTCAAAAATGTAGGTAAGAGTTCAGCTGTTCAACTCCATGCGGTTGTATGCTCATACCCGCCTCTGTTGCCTAAACAGCCGGAGCAAGATTAGAGAGAACGAATTTACAACATCATTATGCATCTTCCGGTTCAGCAGGACAAACGTTGATAAGTAGAGTAGGACAACAAGGACTTGCAGCTCATTATATATAAATATAACAAATGACAGGGGCGGATATTTCAAAGATCAACATGTAGGTGTCTACTTCTGCTTAGTAGGGATTGTTCGGACCACATGATCCTGTCCATAAAAAAGAGCTCACCACTGGAATAACGCGAGTAGGTGTCGCTAGTTTCTGGAGTTTTCAGCTTGCCGGTTCCTCTTATCTTGGAGCTGGAAGGAGGTTAAAATATAATCTATTGCCTCTTTACACTCCGGAGACGCTAGCTAGGAAACTGGAAAATGACCTTCAGCCAAATAGGTTTTCGCGAACAAAACCTGGGTCATCTTCTTCTACGTGGATTGAGTCTGAGCTAGCATCTAGACGCGACAAATTGAAAGGTCAATGCAAATGTAATTTACAAACCTTAACGATGATGCAGAATGCAACAACGTGTCCGTTCTCAATCGCTCCTTTGAAAACGATTTTGTCCCCAATTTTCGCGTAGGTTACTTGACAGTCTTCCATCCGAAAAAGAGGTTAGCGGATCCGTCGAAGAATATTACATGCAAGTGTATGCTCATGATGTTGTAGAAATTGACGAATAGCAGCTTTTACGTTTACGTATAGCCATGACGACGTTAACACTACGTGTTGACTTAGTGTTGACTGAGGAATCGATGAGTTCATCAATTTAACATACATGTGGCGTTCCCTGTAATTTCGCCTGCCTTCTTCGGAGAAAGTGTCAGCTTCTTCTGCGAACGCAACGTGCTCGATAGTTCGCTGCATGAACGAAGAGCCGAGCGAATGTAGAGAAAGATGCATATGCATCTTTGTACTTAGACTTAGTCGTGCTGGCTATGACGTTCTCGTGCACCGTGGGTTGCTACTACAGAAGAGCGTCTCATTCATCAATGCATGTTATGCAAATGCATTCATCTCAATCCTTCACGTTCAGCCTCAGTCTTAACAAATTCTCCACGATGTCCGCATATCTCTGTTATAGTACCATGGAAAAGCGTGGGCTTTGTGTCTCGACCGGCACCACCACGTGGGTGGCCTCGTCTATTGTGGGTGTGCTCATGTGGAGCAGACTTTTTCTGATTTTAACATTAGCAAGGTGCAATTTCCTTTCTCTTCATGACTAGCAACTACTTACCAATACCTCTTGCGAAGCAGTAGCGCAGCCTATCTTCATTATTTTCATGATCATCAAGATTACCTTCAACAGACAAAGATTATAAAGCGTAGGCGTAATCAAACCTATTATCATGATATCAATAATGCCAGATTCAAATTGACAAGAAGGAGAAAGCATAACACATCGAGACGGCAATAAAAATAATCTTGTTGTTGACTTTCGTTATTTACTCGTTTCTTCAATCTATAGTACGGATGTTTCCCGGTCTGTGGTAAGTAGTTCTACGAAGAAAGGAGTCGCACTTTACTCTCGTACCTCGAGTTCTGGGGGACAGACGCAGAAGAAAGAGACTGCTCGCTCTCTTTTACATCCAGGTAAACGTTCGCGGCAGATGTTCGTCTAACCTTCGCCGAAGTCATCGCTCTGCCAGGTGCAGACGAAGAAAGAGACCTCGATGCTGCCGCGGCCCTTTCTTCATCTTCTGTTGAGAAAACTTATGAAAAAAGGCTCTATCATGCTTAAAAAGAGGGACGATGTTGATCGGTCTAATTCTAAGTGCGATATGTTGTCCGCCACCCTCAACATGCAGAACTAGACCTGCAATCGATTTTTTAAGTTGTAATATGAAGAACTTTATGTAGCCAAACATAAAAATCGCCTACGCAGGGACCCGCAAGCAAGGAGCAGTGAACAATTGGCACTGGCAGCTGTACATATTACAGCTGATGCCAGTTGTATCCTTTGTCCTCGAGGCAGCCCTGATGCACAGGCTGAGGAAAAAGCTGGAGGGACGGCACGCAGCATCTTCTCGAATATTGCTTTATTTTCGTTAGCAAGTCACTTAGTTATCTGACTTTGTCGCCCACTTCTGTGTCTTTTGTTGTTTCTCTCCTTGTTCATGTTCGACTTTGTTGCTTCTCTCCTCGTTGGCTTTTCATGAGAATATCATGTGACATGTTATGTTCGCATGCCAGTGAGCCTCTTCTGCCTGTACGACTATGCGAATACGATCTTACATCGGGCCTCTTATTCTTGCGCTCATCTTCGGCCCGCACACATGGGAAATCCGGAGGCAGCGAACACCTCGTCCTAGGACAGACACCTCAGGAGGCATCGGTAGGTTGCGAGAGGTTTTCTTCATATTTTCGTCTGCCTTCAACATTGTGGACATAGATACAACTCAATCAACATTTTTTACTTGTTAGTTCTCACGATTCAGATTTTCAACTCATCAACATATTTTTTGTCGTACAATCAGATATCAATTTGTCATGCATTCTTTTAAAACGATAACGGATTTGGAATAGGATAAATTCAATCACTCTTGGTTGTAATATTGCGTGATTCGTAAGTACGTTTGAGAATAGTCCACAAGCAGCTCATCGGATATAGGAGTATGATAGATTGTATGTTCATGAGGACTTGCAGTATCCTAAGTTGAACTATTGAAGTAGATTGTGCGCAAAGTAATGAAGTACTGTAATCGTGTGATGCTAATATTACAGCATCTATGCATGTTGCACAACCAAAACAACTAACATTTGACTTTGCTCATTAGAAGAATCTCCTAAACGAAGATCACGATGGGGATCAATGTTTGATATGTTGCAGTAGGAATGGGGCGGGTGTGAATGTTATGGACCGATTTCTTTGTAATAACTAGAAGAAGTATGACATTATAGAGCCTCCAGCTAACGTTATCATGACTGTATGGTCTCATGGTCGATGTCCATGCGTCACAGGATACCACCCTGCTCCTGGTTGCGTCTGATTGAAAACTCGCGGAAATGGCTGAAGTTTTCGATCAAACCAGAAGCTTCCATATTGAAAATTCGAGGTGCAAAAATGCGTGCTCTGGTGAGTGTACCTGCAATAGAGGGATTGTTGCGGAATTCTGTTAGGGCTTACTCAACAATTTCAAACGATGACATAAGAATCTGACTGATTCCTTCACATCCATCTCAACAAATTTGAGAGAAACGCCTCTAGTACTAAAAATTGTAAGCGAAGTACGAGTTATCCCATCCAGCAACTCCCTCTGCAGGATGTTCGAAAGCGGTATAAGAGCGGTTTTGCCGCGGCACCCACATGTAGCTCTCATCTCCATTTCGCCATCGATAAGGATACGTTGATAGTGAAGCATGGGTACGAAAATCGGAGCTCTTGTTGTGGCATAGCGGTGCGTTCGGTCGACCTGATGTTCTTGCAGTTGCAGGATACACATAGTATACATAGAAAGATTAAGATGGATAGAATAGATTGATTAAAGACTTGCTGGGAGTGATTTTTTAAAACAACAGTATGAAATCCAATTTCTATTGCTATGGTTATCTACAAACCATCACATCCAAAATCAGACAGTGTTAGAGTACTTGGATGGTCCACCAATGGGCGATTTAACGGTTTCAAGCTGTAACTGACGAGCGGCCTGTCAGTGCAGCCTCGTGGCCCATTTTTCCAAAACCTGTATTTTAAACACACAATTATCACCATCGAGACAGAAAGATCATCTTCACGTGGTTCATCACATCATACATCATTATGAACATGATAACATCATGACTCACGACTAAGGCTTAGAAATGAAAAATATTAGAAGTACGTTGGATTGCTTGACCGCGATCGCTTTACTTCGTTACTCTTAAAGCCTTTCGTTCTGAGGGACTCACGGGTCCCCTCACCGACCCAAAAGCCATTCATCGCGGGCTTCTCACTCGCTATGGTACTAAGTGGATATTGCTGCAGCGATAGGAAGGAGCATCTTCTTCTTACTTTCTGTCCAGTTCGCCTTGCAAGTAATCAATCCTTCCACTGAGTCTAAAAATGAGTTCTAGAAAAGCGATAGGAATAGAATGTGCACGAATTATACATAGTATCGACCTTTTCCTTTTGTTTTTGACAGTGACATGTAAGTACTTAACAGCTGTCCCTGTGGTCTGATCACACCTGCTTTCGACTTCTGAAGTTGATTCTGTTCTACCTGTGATACATAAGCGACACGAAAAAATTTCAGCGTCCCTCAATTGCGCGCTTCCCGTCTTAATCTGGGCATCAACATGTACCTCTACCTCTCAGTCTCTCTCCTTGGGCTTTACTCAAAAATTGGGTCCTCACGTAGCTCCTGTTCCGAGTGAGATGCGAGTCTGCATCTTTCGAAGTAAGCTGAATATCGATTTCGATTTATGACCGTCCGGCACACTGACAAGACTCAATACGGTGAGCATTCTTCTTCCCCGCTGAGAAGAAGAAATGTGATGCAAAATTTCGATGGGCATGGGACTGATCTAGTATACAAGTGGTGGCAGTGCTCAGCTATTGTTCTCAATCAGGAGGGGGGGCATCATCTATCGCGACGGTCAGGTGGGGATCTCGAGAGGGACGAAACCAAATTGTTGCATTATATCTTTTACTTTTTAGGAAGCGAAGCCAAATAATTGTATCTATACTTTTTATTAGGAACAAGCGAAAAGTTTGAAGCAAAATTATGAACGGTTACTCTGGCGAGAATTAAGACTTAACTTGAGTCTTTCCATTGTGAACATGATGAAGGACTGATGAATATCCAAACGAGATGAGAAGAATGCAGCAACAAATTTTGGGGACGTTTATGGTGAGTCTCTGTCAGCTCCAGCATTTATGAGCACCTGTGAAGCAGGCAGATGCGTCCGCAGGACAGGGAAACCAGATTCCGCTCGAAGGTTGGAGCACGACGGACTATGCACACCGGTTTCATCGCTTCCTGCGAAGATTATGTAGTTCTTGTTCCCTCCCCAAGAATATTTTTTGCATACCGCAATACACAACGAACTCGCTGAACGATGACAAATGCAGCTCTACATCTACGTAGTAATACCTGGGTTGCCAAGGCGGTTCTTCAAAATTATGAGCGACATGGAAGTAAGTGATTATGACAGCAGAACCGCAGGGGCGGGAGGGGAAAATATATTCACTGAATCCCAATGGATGCAGATGTATAATAAATATAAAACAGAGTCGATTCATCTGAACATTCTACCCCCCTGTTTGTAAGCCGTCCTCTTCTTCTTGAGTTCTGCGATGCTAATTCTAGTGCTGATAAAGGCCTGAATCAGGTCAGTCCATTGCATCTCTGTCATGACATCTTTGCTACTGCTGAAATGTGAACGTGGATGACCACGCGTTTGATTATCTACTGTGACGAGGCGGGCACTCCCTTCTCCACTTTCATGGAGTCTGATTGTGGTTGTGATATTGCACACTGAAGATTTAGATTGTCTAGTGATTTTGCAGATTCGTGATTAGCATATGTTGAAATGGTCGGTTATTTGTGGTCACTAATGAGTGTTCGAAAAATACACACTTCTTATTCCTGGTTAGCTGCATTATTACTCATATTCAGTTGTTGGACTACTTATGACTTCTGGTGCTCAGCTATTTGGCTTACTACAAGCGCAACATCAACATGCACGACAACACGTCGTGCTATTCTACAGCTTCGCTATTGCGTGGTTCCCATCGCTTTCTGGAGAATCTGTCGACCTTTCTCGCGAGTCTGCATGCGACCGCCACCGCTACGCATATTGGATCGGATGTCCAATTTTCGAATAGAATTCACTACATGCCTCCGCTCTCGGTCCATCACCTCACCCCAAGGAGTCGTTTCCGAACGATGCGTTTGGTAGCTGATGTAGTTGGATGGATCGGTTTTTTAGATGTGGTCATTGTGGTTAACTTCTAAGAACAATTCAGACATTCACCATAATTGATATGAATGTGAACGTTCAAGTGACAACCCTAGAAATTTTCTTGGAGAACCCCATAATTGGCAATTCCAAAGAAACTGGATACGTAATAAGCTCAGAAGTTAGTACAATGACTTTCCTGTCGTCGAGGCTCGACTCATGGTGCGGTCAAACTCGTTAGTTGTGAGAGTGTCAGGAAAAAAGAAAGATTGATCGCGCTGCAGGCCATGACCCATCGTGGCTCCAAGCATCTGGAAGAATGGAAGAGGGCGCGGATATGTATAATGTTTAAACGGACTTGGAAAAAACAAGTGCCTTCAACTCGACCATGCACTCAGCTGCGTGTTTCATCCCTACATGACATGCAATTTAACATATGTTTTGTTTGTTTGTTTTGATGCGCTCCGGGCGACGCGTACGATCCCGCCGGATTTCTTTGTGCTCTGTGTGTGTAGTGCTATGGTCGTCATTGCGATCGACTATGGTATGTCTGGTCGCCACAGTCCCCGCCAGCTGCGGCTTTTGTGGCATGCCAGGCGCGGCGTGACGATATGTCCAGTCAGAAAACGGGTGATGATCCACCTAATCATTAAAAGAAGTCAAAAGACTAAGATTAGTAGTACCGGTTGCGGCAGACACCTAGCAAACCCTCCTGAAGCTGCTGTTCCTAGTGTGTTTACGTGGTGCCGTGGGAAGCGCCCGAGATTGCCTATCGCGTCTCTCTTCAGACGCCAATCCTTTGTTGTTTGCGGTGCTGAGAGTGGAAACCCTGCGTCCCCAGCGCCAGCGCCGCCCGCTTCACTACCTCTCGCCGAGCTTGCTACCGACCCAGCAGTCATCTTTGGTAAGTCCGCAGGAGACACCTCCAAAGGTGGCAATTCGGATGGCGTCTTCGTGCCCGGGCAAGGATGAAAGGTATTGGGTTTGGGGAGTTATTAACCGAGTTCGTTAACGTAACAGGTGGAACTTCTAAAAATGAGTAGCACCAAGGTGTTGATATGATAGGACTCTTTTTCGAAACCACTTTCACCAAAAAACTGCTCTTTCATTAGTTTCGGTCTTGGTTGATGTTGTACAACAACAACGACGACTTATCAAGTTCCCCATAAAGAGTTGCACCAAATGCAAAACCGGTGGCATTTCTGTAAAATGTGTGGCGCGTGTTCGTGAGCTTGATGCTATTACGATTACGAGAAGGATAGACGGCCACCCACAGATCTACAGACGGCCCACAGGCTGAGTCTGACGCACAGCGACGCGCCAGGCAAAAGCAGGAGAGCCCTAACAAAAGGCGCCGCGGTCCGGGTGCGTTTGCCAGTGCTGTCATACATGGCGAAACAGAGGCCACGAAGGTGGCGAGTGCTGTAGCCTGGCTAACACTGAAAAAGAGTGAGCAGGCGCAGCGGTAAAAGTAGCAAGCAGAACATCCTCAGAGGCATCTAGTCCCCAAGCGCCGGACCTCCCCGCGGCGAGCTGCATCGTAGTCCGGAGCGCATGCTCAACGATGGCAACGCGCCCGCGCTAAGTGCGCGAGAAGGGAGCGGCAGCACGCCTGCACGGTGCCGCAGCTGTTTTCGAAAAGCCAACACATCGCCGACCGCAACCACAACCCCCGAAATAAAATCGCCCCACGTTGAGCCACTGCGCCAGCCGCAGGCAAGAAACACGTACTTACAACCACCCACGCCAGGGGTGGACTTGTTCCATCGCCGCGGATGCGGCCCCTAATACTCGCCAGGCGGCGGCGGGGCGCGCGAATAGATGCCCTGCTGGGCCCCGGTGTCCCACCGGGCTCCATTCGTATAATGCAGAACCAAGAGCCAAGCCCCGGACCTCGCCCGAGGGCGCCGAGGCGCGGAGGTCATCCTTCGACGTTTCGCGCGGTAGTGCTGCCCCATTGGGCCCCGGTGACCAGCCGGGGTGAGCTTGATGTTGATACAATGATCTAAATTAATCTAATAAAACAAAGAACTTCTCTAAAGTCAAATACAGCATCAACCCATCTAGTTGTGAGATTCATTGATTCAGTTTTTGACATTGATGACTGTGATTGCGTTTGAACTCGCTAAGGTCTAACAGAGAAAAAGAATGAACAAGCAGATCTAAATCATGAGAATAAAATCAAACCCTGACTGCTCGGCTTCGAGAAACTGCGCATACTTCGCTCTTGACATGCGCTCGTCGTCCTTCGGCGCTCCTTTTCGCATTTGCCCCTTCGCCATTAATGTGACACCAGCGCGAACGCTCATCGTTTCTGTTATTGGTGGCTGCTCCGACTGCAGACGCGTGAAACCATCGGTAAATTGCGGCTGTAATTTTGAGATAAGGATCTGAAATATAACCCTAACCAGTGCAGTTTCGGCAACAAAACTACTGGATGCAGTTTGTAAGATCATATTCTAGAAATAAACGAGCAGCAGCAGACATTTGTTATTCATAGGTAGTCACTCATTTCATGATGTCTACGTCTATCTACAACTAGATCGAAAATTTACCTTCTTGTCTTTCTTCTTGCCACCCCCTGGAGATCTAGATTTTGGGGACTTTTGGCTCTTATTGTCGGGTGATGGACTATCGTCGTTGCTTGTTTTTTTCGCCGATTTCTTTCCAACTGCCTCTCCCTTGGAAGTTATCTCTGATATCACCTTCGGCAACCTAGGATAGCAGTAAATCAAAAGATCACTTTTTGTCTTACGAGACAAATCATGATGGCCTTTCCCTATGTATCCGAGTAGTGGACCAATAAATTCGCCAATTGCATACTCTTGGGAACTTTCAACAACCTGCAACACCAACAGCTGCGAAAGCAATTAGTTGTAAAAGCAGGAGTACTTGTTTCCGTCCATTTGCTCGACCCACATAAGGCGACCGCTTGTGTCGAATGTCCATGACTGCTGTGTCATCTGCTCTAGAAGTCGGTCTGCCCTTCTCTTCTGCTCCTCTCCAGCTTTTTTCTCGTCAGCCGCTTTCTGTATTGCATCGGTTTTTGCTTTCTCCTCCCGCTCCTTTACTATTATTAGCAAAATGTGAAGAAAGCGTGACTCACTGACCGTGCGGTTGACGTCGATGCGTCAACAGCCAAGAAGAACAGTCGTGTTAGAACCTAGCAAAGTCAAGAAAACTGTAACTGCTACTACTTTGCATCTATGAAAATCCAGGTTGAAACTCAAACTACTACCTCTACCGAGACCCCTAAGCCATAATTGTCGATATTTATTTTCCTCGTCGTCTTCGTGTGCTTCCTCCACGATCTTCGTTTTTCGATCTCTATCATCATGTTTTGGACTAGCATCTATGCTGCTCTTGTCACCAGCACTCTTCTTGCTCCGGCCGCCTGAAGTACATATCAAGGAATAATTGATGTAGGAGTAGAATTCGTTGTAAGGAACATTGATCCATCAGGAACACTATGATCAACATGCAGGAGTCACAGGTATGACATAGAAGGATTACTAGGATATAAACTGTATACCTGGAGACGATTTCGCTGTTGCATTACTAGGTGATCCTGGCGGATGATTTTGCTCCCGCAACCGCCTCTCGTGTTCGTCTACTGGCATGACAGGTCGTATCATTCTGCCCCAAAAATCGGACGGATTTGGCACAATTGGAGGTATTTTCTGGATATTGATGGAGGTTCGGAAAAAATACGATCAATGCTGGTTTATGTTGATCAAAAGCTTCACCTTCATGCATAATCATACATAGGTAGATTTCTACTGCTGCAGCAAGAAGTATGCCCTTCAATTTCATCCAACTTCTAGTTATACCGATGAAGTATATATTTATAAGTAATGGCATTGAAGCACATGTCATCTGTTATTCAAGTACCTCTAGATGGAATGTGTCGTCGACTAATGATTCGTGCTTCACGAAGCACATGCCAACGTGGCTGAGTATCGATTTTGTCACGGCTTTGGCCGCAAAAGGGGTACTTTTTTCCGCGAGTCGATGAAAGTGAATCTTGGATCCACCTTCTGCTACTATCTCGTCGAGTGTTTCCTTCGCGCACTCTTCCGCGAGCTCGCAGGGGAAGTTGAGCCACGGTGCCAAAGTCACCGCCGCCGCTTCATCGTCCGGCAAGCTGCTCTCAGGAATTTCATCACTCATTATGCTTTCCTCTTGCAGCGAAAATTACTTCTAATTGTAACAGCTACACTGGAGTGGTGGAACAAGCACCAAAATATATAATGTTTTCGGAGACCAAAAATCGTGTTTGTGCTGCTATCAACGTCGCCGCTCCTGTCGGTCGTCTGCGCTTCAATTGGGGCGTCACGAAAGAGGAGCGATTGAGATGAGGGTGAACAGGGTCGAATGTCGAGTGGACACTGAATGATCTTCACTGTAGCGCTACCTCGAAGCACGCAAGTATTTACTTACTTTAAGTGGATTTTTGTCGCTTGTACAAGCCGGAAAGGCAGAAGAAGAAAGTGGATCTCAATTCTCATCGTGCAGCGTTGTGCCGGTATTGCAAGTTGAAACTATTTCACTTCCTCAGCTGCTTCCTGGTAATGAGCACGGTGCCCCCGAACGTTTGGACTCGTCTTGCCACGAAACCGTCCCACGTGTTGGTGTTCGTAGAAGTTGCGCGAGACAAAAAGTCCAACGCGCAACGCAAGAGCTATGTATAATATTAAGCGTGCCGTAACCACTTCGCGTCACACTGAAAACACAGCACCGCGCTTGCGGAGCGCTGTGGCTGCGCTCAGCTACAGGTGACTAGGTGGATTCTCCATGCTGAAGTCCTGTCAGCGCTTGTCCATACTCTCTATTAACCTCCTCACTGGTCTTGTTGACGAATCGTGCCGCGTCAATCACTAAAAAAATCAAGACTCGGAAGCTAGTACAATTTTGTTGTTATGGTCGTATAAATAAGTAAATCAAAATCAACCTAGGACAGCACGAAGGTCATATCGTGATGGTAAGTACTACCTAGCAGCAGATAGATATTGAAGTACTAAATATCTCCACGGGGATTCCGTCACACTACAACGAAGGGCTCGGCGGAAATCAAGCCGATGACATCAGGCTTCCAAAGTTTGATCGTCGGACAGGCACAACCCCAACTTACAGACGCTCAATCCATTCTGATACCTTATCCGATTCGAAAGAGCGCAAACACCGATACCGACCCCGCTACCAATCCTCACATCTGCACAGGATCATACTCATTAAGAATGAAAGCACCGATTTCCGTCAAGCCGAAACTCTGAATATTGTGCTTAAACGGATGCAGTCGTCAGAACGAATTTCAATTTGATCTGTTGACTCTTTGCACAACGAAAACAATAGATTCTTCGCACAACGAAAACATGTTTTAAGTACTTTGAAGAAAGTGTTGACACGTTCCAACCTACCTTTTCTGGATCACCGATCTTTCATCGGTCAGGTGCTATGGTCGTGGTTCTCGTTCTTTATCCTTCGAGTATATCATGATAGTGAAGCAAAACGGGGATTTTCTTAATCAGACTACATCATAGACATAGACGATGACACGCACAAGCCTAAGCCTTTTCATTCAATATCCATGCATTCGCATATCGCGTGAGTTAATGGCAATCAAACGTTCGGTGATGGTCAAAAAGTTAAAAGTCAAAGTTGGCAGTTGAAAGAGGAGGACACTCAGTTGTTTATAACGGGCGACAGTCGCAGCGCTTCATGTTGATTCGACGTTGCGATAACGACTCGCCGTTGCTACTTCTACTTCTTCTCTTCAGCAGCAGCCTCCTCGTCGCCACCTGGATTTTCCGGAATATCACGGCCATCCAACATCATAATCGTCGAGAACGGATCTATTCTGCTGTCTCCGATCTAATTTAGACGAGGCGTTGAGTCATCTTCATGCTACTACCTTTGTTTCTGTGATGACGCTCTTGGAACGAAGTCATTGAAGCAAAAGTATCTTCTACTTCTATGCCGAGGTTCAAGACTTGACGATTTGAATCTATTCGGCGAGCTGCCGAAGATTTCCCAGGCGAGTTCTACCCGCTAGTCTATCCTGTTGTTGGATTGTTAGTGGTTTCTCGGCTGTTCCTGTTGTTCCTGATGATGAGCTACGAAGCTCAGGCTTTTGCCTTGCTACTTGTGCCAAGAGGCTCCTGTCTTCTGCGTCACTTAGCTGCGCTCCTCTTGCTCTGAGGTCTGCCCCCGGCTGCTTCTTGTAAGCTGCGCGCGGTGCTCCCCTGCCCCTTAATCTTAATAAATTCGAATACTGGTAATGCAGTGCTTTTTCAACTCAAAAACTAGCCATAAGAGCTTGTCGTCGATCAAAGCTTCGCCTTTGTTTACCAACATCATATCCTTCGGAGGAATGCCGGTTTGCAGCTCGACCACTCTGAGAATTGTTGAGTTTTGAGAAGATTAAATCTAATCGTCAGTTTCATCCGAACTCGAGGGTACTTAATGGAATATTTCATCTCTCAACATCGTGGGCACTCAACTAAAAATGACAAAGACAACATGTTGATCATAATTTCCTACCTTTTCAACCTCGCAACGAGCACTTTTGTGCTGATTTCCGCCCAGACGGTAGCTCCTGTCTTCGCATTGATAACGAAGACTACGAGCGGCGGCACCGCCGCCGGGTGAACTTTCGCTTCTTTTGGTGGCATTCTTTCACGTGTTCTACCTTCGCCTACCCAACATAGTGATAGTACAACTAGTATTAAAGGACGTGGCAGTCCTCGTTCACTCGTGGTGGACTGCCAAACTTTTTTGCGGAGATGTTGCCCTTACCAAAATGAAAAGTTAGCGCCAAAGGAACTAATTTCTATTTCAGATAGTCATTTTTAAGTAAGAAGGGCAGACGCTTCAGATTTCGCCACGCTCCTCACATTGTAGGGTTCTTCTCGTGGAAAAAGGGGCTGTGTGGAGGAGTATCATCTCTCGAGCTCTCGACCATCCACGAAGGATTCTCCGAGAGAGGCAGCACCAATCATTCCAGACCGATACATATCAAGATGAAGGCCGTAGTCGCTATAAAGTTTAGACTCCTGAGAGCCACTCATAGAAAGTTTCTTTCATGAAGGTTTCCAGTCGAATTCTTTTGTCCAAGTTCCAAGTCATAACGTCTGACTCATTTCAGGATACCGATTCACGATTCCATGGAATCCTAGAGCACGCCACAGTTCAGAACGCTGCACGTCTGCCGTGTCCAGCCGCCGGTTCTTTTTCGGGCTTATGGTTTTCATGAATCTGCATCTGGTTCTATCACAAAGAACGAAACCCTATGCGCAAACTCAGCTGTAGCGAATTCGTCGACCAACTGCAACAAGCGGATTATACGAGTGATCTGGACTGCGAATGATGAGGAGGTGTATTGAAGCTCAAATCATGTCGACAACGTTCGTAATCATAAACATGCATCCGAGGTACAAACAACATGGGTATCCGTATATTCACAACGAGCCTGATGTTCCTGGCTGTTCCCGACCACCACGACCTACGTCCAACTTGAACATTATTTCATTCTTGCAGGAAAAACGACGCGTGAGCTACTTAAAAAGGATTCCTTTCAGCATCCGGCATGGCATGTGAAGCCCTGCCGGCATATTGCACTGGTTTCTGTGTGACATACGCTCGCTCGAGAAAGCTCCATTTTGTCCGTTCTTGCCCCGCTTCGCACCATCCGAGATCGAGTAGTTGTTCAAGCCGAGACGCGCTGAGCAGTTGCTTAAGAACGGTTCGTCTTACCGTCTCCGCGGCTAAGTTCTCAGCCACGACCAGTGACGTCTAGTACGGTCTCTTAGTACAATTCCGCGTTCAAGTGTTCGCATCCGTTTCTGGCCACTTTATCGCGAGGGCCTTAACGATGGACTGGCTGCGGTATTCCTTCCAGAACCGGGAACTTGGGGAAGAAGACTCCCTGCTGATGTCGCGACGGCACTTCGGACGTTCGGTTGCAAAGCTTCTTCTGCAAATCGCCGTTCCTGTCGTGGTCCGTTCGCCACGTTGTTGAACCATTAGAAGATGAAGAAAGGCCTCTAAAATTTACCGGAACGATAAGGTAAGTAACTAAATGTAGAAGCAGCACTAGTACAATTTTCAGATCAAATATTAGTCTTCTTTTGGACATTGAAGAATGGTCATAACTAGAGCTGTTTGTCGGTGAGGCTGCACATTCTTCCGCGGTGATCACTTTCACGCTAACTCCCAGAATTTCAGCACAGCTTTTAATCTTTCGCACGAAGAGAGCGTCCTCTGCTGCGTCTACGGACTCCTCAAATAGAAATTGGGTTCGCATTTTTACGACGCGGTCGAGAAATGTTGCCAGTTGCGCCACTACCTCTTGTGTTAGAGAGTGCTAAGCAATAAGACTTCATCCCAGTGGCCTGAGAGCCCAGTTTAATGATAATATCTATCATGGAAGACGAAGAAGATGAATAACCGAGCAACTTTTACTCTGTACTAAAAGTAAAAATAGATCTAGGACATTCAATTCAGACGTAACTTCGGCACGTCACCGGATTTTGGATCCACAGGCTTTTTCCTAAGGCCTATGACGGCAGCCGCGCGTCCTACCAAGTTTGAGGAGCCTCGCAGCTTAAATTCAAGTTTTTCGCATTCTCGTGTGGTGTCTCCTGTAGTAACCACGACTTTGCGGTACGACGGGTTTTGCGTCGCAAACGTCGTCGCGCATTGGTGCTGCTGCATGGCCAGCATGCTCAGAATCTCGCATGTTCGCAGCGCATCAGCAAGCGGAATCGGGAATACACTTGTCGCAGGAAGCATTTCGACGAATGGTGGAGAATAATTTTTCACATCAACATCTGGGGAAAAAGTTTCCACTTCTATGAAAGGTCGTCCACCTCCTCCTGTTGAAAATCCTGCTTGTTCTCCCACATTGCAGTTATTGCTACTCGTGGCAGTACTAGATATTGCTGGAACAGTAGATGAGGAGCCTCGTTGCTTTGCTGCTTTCTCGTTTTGCCGCGTTATGTCCGGGTCCTGGTGGCGGAAAGTTGACGTTTCCTGTGCGTTGGGTGTCAGCGAGAAACCGCCGACCGGTGCGCCTTTCAAATCGACTCCCGCCACAACGAAACTCCGCATTCTTAGAAAGAAGAGCTGCAAATGCGATGATAATCCATGAGAAAAAAGTAAGTATGAAAAAGAAAGCAGAGATGACCGATACATAGATTCATTGAGGACGGTTCATAGAATCGATTCTGACCATCAACGCAATACGCGAAACCCAGCTGCAGAGCAAAAGCAAATAACATCATGATCATCGTTTGAAACTGATTAAGTAGTGTGGCTGCCTTAACATGGGTGAGCCAGTCGAAAAAACACCACCTGGGACTTGTTGGAGCGCGTCTCTGCCTCCGGGTGCAGCGGCGTTCCCGTACACTGTACTGCTTGGAATTCCCTCGGCAACGTAATGATCTGGCGGTGGCACCACGTACGCAGCACTGCGGAACGGACCTTGTATCCCGTCGACGCCGACATGAATGTTTGAAGGTTCCCATGATGAATAGCCATCTTGCATATTACCATTTTGTCCTACATCTCCATATCCTCCTGTCATGTTTTTGTTATAATAGTCACTCATGCTTCCATTTCCTGCATACCCTTGATATCCTCCGGCACCCCGTCCTCGCTTTTGCGGCCGATGGTTTTGTTGCTTCAGAATCTCCACTGCTTGTGTGCGAGCACGCTGCTGCTGAGATTAGACCAATACGACTGGCTAGACTTCTATGTAGAAAAGTTGAAAACATAATTTCGATGAATCGACTCCATCGAAAGGGCAAAGGCAACCAGGCCGTGAGGCCTTCTTCCGGTTACCACGATAAATATGCAATTATAAGCCACAGGCAAAAATATGTTATAAATAGCCATAATCAGTTGCCCGTTCCTGCTCAATAAGACGCCAGGTTTCTTCCGACGCGTGCCCATCACGTGCCATTCGCTCTACTGTTTCGAGGAGCTCCTCGTGTCGGACGAGCAATTCTGCGTTCGTTTCTTGTTGCTGTAGCAAATCCTCCTTGTTTCGCAGTAGTTCGTCCTTATCCACTATGAGCTCAGCCTCCTGGCGCAAGAGGTCAGCGGCTTTCTCACGCAGCTCCAGTAGTTCTTCTTCGTCGTTCACAGCCGTTCCAAGAGCTTTGAGCAACTCCTCGTTTTCCGCCCGCAGCGTATGGGCGTCCTGACGAAGCCGCTCCATGGCCTGCTGCTGCTCGGGGCTGCCCGCAACGACGATTTCCGTGCCTGTGGTGGCGCTCACAACTCGGGGTCTCGCTGTAGGATTGCGGTCATCTACCGGGTTGGGCAAAGCAGTTGTGTCGGCAGCCATCTTCGAGGTCGGCCGCTGATGCCCCTCACTCGTGTCGCTTCCCCTCGCTGCCAATGGGACAAGCAGATCGCGGAGCGGTGGCATGCCTTGTGTCGTGGCAGCTGCGACCAAGGCTGCCGTTGCGGCATCGGCTGTCGTGCCTCCACCAAGAACAGAGTGTCTATCTACGTGACTATTCTTTGCTTCACTGGAGGAAAGTGCGCGCCCTTGCTCATCCAGGTCGCGTAGTCTCGTGAGCGCTGCAACGGCTTGGGCCTCCCATTCCCGGTTTTCCTCCTCCATACGGTCAAAGTGCGACTGGAGGATGGCCGCGCTGTTCTGCGCCTCTTCCGCGCGGCTCTCAGCATCCGCCGTGGCGCGCTCCGCAGACCGCAAAAGTGCTTTCAGCTTCGTCACCTCCGACCGCAGCATTTTAACAAGTGGCACCTCCTCCAAGTCCGGTGGGAGAGTGTTCTGCGCACGTGCGAGCTCTAGTTCGCGGGTCAGATCTTCAATGAGCCGGTCTTTGAGGTCTGAGTTTACGGTTGGCTTGTTTACAATAGCTTTCACGCGATTTGCGTACCGCAGCGTCTGCAACGTTTCCTCAGCGTTGTACGCACTTGGGCCTACGGTCGCAATCATTACGGTCTTCGCGTTGCCTCCGAGAGAACCCTCAAGGAGGCGGGTCAGCTTTGAATCCCTATACGGAATGTGGGATGGTCGCGGATTCGACGCGAGTGCAGAAATAACGGATCCAAGCGTCAAAAGTGACAAATTGATTTTTGCTGCCTTGTATTAGAGAGAGCAGTGAATTGGAACAAGTTGTGGATCGGTCGAACACGTAGGAGTACCTTTCGCAAAAAGAAAAAATTTGTATAACCACGCAAGAACTCATGCGATCGCGGTGCCAAAGGTATCCCTATAGTTAATCTTCACATCAAATGATAAATTGCATCTTCTATATGCTTCACCAGGCAGATGAAGCTCAATATCAATTCATTATTTACTTTTTTCTAAGACTGTCATTAGTCTTCGCAAGCCATAATCTTTCAACGTCACCCCCTGTGCCTCCGACTTGCTTTGCCGCTCCGATCCAGCCAGATCGACCAGATGAAGCTTACCACGCAGCATCCGACTCAAGTTTCCCTCGCCGCCTTCACGCCCGCCGCCGAAAAGGAATTGCTCTGAATTAGAAAAGACTCATTTTGGAGAGTTGTCGTTTACGACTCTGTCTTAATTCCTCGATCTAAAAAGAAACCGACAAGCAATAGAAAATCTTCTACTTCCCCTTTTTTGTGAGAGAGGAAGTAGAAGAAAAGCGAAAACTTATGCAAAAGTGACAACATATTTATGGATGTTGTAGGATCGATCATTCATAAGTGTTGTCTCGATCATCACGGAAAAAATTGCGTGCGATCTTGAACTCTGGGCGTTCATGGCAGTGACTCCGGTTGTCCGCCTTGCATTGCCCTGATTGAGGCGCGCTTTCATCTCATCCTCAGTGCGGCACACGTACGAAGTTAATCCCTTCACGTAGACGCCAGTTTCCGCGTGCTCCTTCAGCTCTAGATTGACTGGATTCCCTGGCGGCGCACTTGGCCGCTGAGGCGCTCCCATCCAACCGCCGTCCCGATCACCGGCGGCTGCCTGCAGATAGTTGCTGCCCTGATTGCTGCTGAATCCGCCGGGTCCAACCTCGCCGGATTTCTGATGCACTGAAACGAGCAAATCTCGAATATTCTCCATGTAGATTTCCACGAAGGTCACACGCACCGCGAAACTTCGCTCTTCATCAGCTTGAATCCGCGCGAAAATCTGACGTGGCTTAGAGCAGCAGGGGGCCTAATCGTAGTAGATGCTTTGCCTCTTAATTTCACTTAGTTGACGAATCCTCTCACAGGTGCATGATCTAAAGGAAAAGGCCCAGCGAATAAATTCGTGCTGAAATACTAGCTGTTGTAATCTTAACAAAAGCACGCGGAATAACGCCAGGGCTCTCCGCACTTCCTGACATTGTGTGGGTCTTACCCGAGCCGGTCTGACCGTAAGCAAAAACCGTTCCGTTGTAACCAGACAGAGTGCCCTGAATGAACATGTCGCAATATGTGTTTGGAGAGGATCTACGTGACATAAAGATAAACGTGATACCTGATACCGTTAATGAGACACAAGCCACATTACGGATGGCGCGTCAAAACAATCAAGTGTAATCCGTACGAAAATGCATGAAGCTAAACGTTATAAAAACTACGCGTATAATGTGAATCCACCACTTCTGTAGAAGCAGCCATCTGCGATTACGAGCATAATCATGCTACCTCGATGATATCCGTGAGATTGTCATCGTAGATTGAGCGTTGCTTTGCCTGAAGATCATAAGCACGGTCGAAGCGATACACATGATCTAGCACCTCGATCTGGCAGTCATCGTGAAATTTTACAGCCTGCTGGTAATTTCGTTCGTTGTCGTGCGCTGGCCGGCAGCGAACGACAACACGGATATTCTCTGCCATCTTGGCCGGCCTGGTTAGTGCTCTCGCATCAAGATCAAGTATTCTGAGAAACCAGCAGAACGGGTCGCAACAAGGAGAGCATGTCTATGTTCTTTGTACTTCTTAGCTATCTTTGCAATGTGATAGTGTGAGAAAAGATATGGAAAAGAAGGTGCATGCGACATGTCTAAAACGTAGCGGGTTATCTTTATCAAGTACACTTCTACAATCAAGTACATTATGCGGTACGACACTTTAGCCTTTGCAATAAAGTTACCTCTCATCTAAAGACTATGGTAGGTAGGACTTTGCGAAAAAACGTTTGATTTCCTTCAGTCCGGTGCGGAACTGTAAAAAGAGATGGGCGTTGGGATTTGCAACTTTTTACCAAGTAAGTACTTGTCAAGTTCATTGGCGAAGACTATTGTACCTAAGAAAAACTGTCATATCAATAACAGCAATATGTGCGTTGTAATTGACTCTTTCTCTTTCGTGTCTGGGGTGCGCGCAGCCTGTGTTTTTGAAGAAGTAAGACCGAACATTATGGTGGACTCAGATACTCCACTCCTCATGCTCATGGCCCGATTGGAATGACAAAAATACTCTCATGGTGAACTGGGCATAATCATAAGCAAGACGAACAACATCTTCATTTCCAAGGAAAAACCGCTCTAATTTTTACAAATCCTTAGATGTTACCTTGACCTTGAGCACAAAAACCGACTCTGTTAGCCACCTCGTCAATTAATGTTCCTCACTCGTCATTTCTCTTCTCGCTACTGCATGTCTCTCACTCTCTGCTCCAATCTCCGTCCAAGAGCAGTAGATCCTTTTCAGATCGGTGGCACTGGCAACTGCAAGCCGTCGTCGTGATGACATTTCTACATACACAGCTATGAAACAGATGATTGAGGAGGTGAACACTTCTGATCCAAGCTCGACAGCAGCTCGATCCATTATAATGATGAGATACAGTCATGTTCAAGGTACTTCTAAGTTTCGAACACAACTTAATAAAACCGGTTGCAGCGGGGATACTTATTGGCGTGCTTTTCATAACATAGTCATCACGACAAACCCTCAGTAGAGCCATTTCTTTTGTTGAGAACGAGAAAAACGAGGCTACCTAGGTCCCCCAACCATGACTAGCATATTTGAATAGCCCATCGGCTGCGAGCTCTGCATCGCATCGATCTGCTTCACACTAATAGCTGCCAGAAAACAAAGCAGCATGACGCGAAACACAGGAAAGACGTAGCCGTAGTCGGCCCGCGGCGAAACAAACAGCCAAATCCGCATCCGCATCTCCCACTCTTTCTTGTAGTAGTGCGCTGCCGAAATCACTCTAGATAAGGGTCGTGGTGAAACAAGAAAAGATCCACTTTTCGACGTTCCGCTTTCGGCAGATTTTTCATCGTCGTTGATCTGCTTATAATTGCGTAGTTTCGAAGTTGGTACAAAGGATTTCTGTTTATCGTCTCTTCGCCCCCCGCCTCTATGTAGTTTCGAGTTCTTTTCGAAAACGATCGCTCCGGCTCCTCCTCCCCCTTTGATAATCTTGCCGGTTTTCGCATAATACCAGCTCCGTGCGTGCATTGTGAACTTTCCTTCCTTCGATTTAGACTCAGAGCACGCTTTGTTCGATTCCCATCTCCTCTCGAGCTCCGGACGCCCGACGCATTCAATCAAGGCATCGACATCGTCGTCGGATGTTCCGAACAGTTAGGTACTCCGTCCCGAGAGACGCCGCACTTTCGCGGTAGTGTAGGTTAAAGCCAGGACGCATGAAAAACCGGAACCGCAGGAAATGCGGAGAAGACTGGAATAGGCGAGAAAAAGGTGCTCATTCGAAAATTCGCTTCCTCGTCTTAGAAAAGGATACAACGACTACTCGAGGCTATGTATTCTCACCTCTTTGAGTAATATTCCTGATGAGGATGACTGTTTGAATTCTTATCTTTTTCCTTCAGCTTAATCCTTGACATCATCAGGACCAAGGATGACTCCTGCCGTGTGTAGCAGGATCGGTTGTTGTAATGAAACCCCACAACTACATAAGTCTAGAGACAGGAGTTTCTCGAGAACGAGCGCGAGGAGGAAGCCGATCAGCATAGCAAAAGAATCTGCTGCTTGTACTTTCTGTTCCAAAATAGCCTCTCCAAGCCGCCCAAGCGCAAATTCCGATTTCAACCGATGGACCCTCGTATCCTCGCTTTCTGGTAGTGGCACTTCATCTTGTTTCGCCTGCTCTCTCGTGCCCAGACTCTGATCCTTATCATCGCGTTCTGCTTCTGATGTGGTTCCACCTGTGGTCGCGTTGCTATACTTGCGGGTTCGTCCATCTCTCTGCATTCCCATTATCAATCTTCTTGATGGCATCAGGGTTCTGTTCTGATGCTGGTGCATCTTTATTGTCGCCCACCACGGACTCGTCAGGAATGATTCCGAAATTGACGGTAGCTAGCTCTCGCGCATCGTTCGGGCTGAGCAGACTAAATGACTTCCCTCTCACCCTCTCTGTTTTTAACAAGTCATTGGCTCTCTCGGTCCGCTGCTCAGGCACCTTCGACATTCACGTCGCATCTGAGATCCAGATCCTTTTGGACCTCTACTTGATGTTAATGAAGTCTTTTTGAGAGGGCAAGGGCTGTCTTTTTTTGGATTTGCATGCGCGTGGACCGAGACACCGACAGCTTTTATTCTTTCTACGTCATAGGCAGCGAACATGCTCGCTATAAGTATAAGATCATCAGCCCCCAGTCAATACAAACGAAACGACTTGCACATTGACATTGACATTTAAATATAAAGCGGGTCACACCGCCGGGTCTCGCGTTTAATCCGCGCAGCCGTCTATATCATCCATCAGTCAACAGGACTCACAGAAGGAATCGCGTTGAAATCAAGCATCAGATGAACTTGTTTTCGTTCTGATGCCGTCACAAGAATCAACTCTATGCGAGAGTCACGATTTAATCGCGCCACCGTCAACCCTTTCGATGATAATACCCTTTGATGCGGATGCGAAGGTTACGCAGTTCTTTACGTGTGCATGGGTTTTGGGATTTGGGTAGCAGTATGCTGCGTTCTGAATAAGAACTCCCCCTTGCTGATGTTTTCCTCCAAATCTTCCTCCACTTCCAGCTCCATTATCTACTTTCGTTTGACTTTGATCGTCGCTCAGCACGATATTGTACCATATTTGTTCTCCACGAGCTCAGCGCCACCGCTTCCCCGAGGGCTTGAATTTCTTCTTCACGCAGTCTTCGACTGGAAAGTAGCGTCGTCCTGACGCGAAGCGTGTCCGAGAAGAATCTGCAAGAAGTTTTCGACCTCCACCTTGGTTCCCGCCCGCAGCATTTCCTATCATAGTTGTACAGCTGTACACACGGTATCTGCCCTCAGCAATCTCGTTCTGGTCTTCACCCGCCAAGGCGTGTTGTGTGGAAAGTCCTTCTTCCCCTTCTACCATGGGGTCCCGCTCGTGGTCGCTTTTCCGTGCTATCCACTCCTGCACGCGATCCTTGTGGTTGAACGCTACATCCATTCTCTTTGGTCGAGTGCTGGGATACAAGTCAAGAACAGAAAAGCGATGTCATATGATTTTCAGGCGAATGTTAATTTGTCCTTTGCTTTTCTGTGTCTATGTAGAAGTATGACTATGATCATAGAAGGTTGATACCGAATCACCTGTCATTACTTGCGAACTAACAAAGAGAGGCATCAAGAGCAAAAAATCACACCAGTACGAAACTCAATGTCCACAAGCACAATCAAAACTTACTCTTAACGTAGTTAAACGGCGAGTGCAAAGGGGGAGGTGTGGGGTCGCTTTCAATCCACTACTCACATCGTTGCAATAAAATCCTGTCATCAACAAAGAAAATGCCTCAACAAGCTTAGACTTCGCGAATGAGAGTACGAATACAACATTCCAGGGGGGAGAACACTAGACCGATGTTCATCAGCTGGAAAGCACTACCCTATAAACTTGGAAAAGGAAACATGCCTTGGTCCATAAGGAAGACCGATTATCATTCCTCTCCCGTGATCACTTTAGATTTATCATGTAAACTCTATGAGAAAAAGATGAAAGTAGACATCTCTGTCATGCCTCTTGAACACGTTTATTCTATGTCTAGGAGCAACTCGTGGGTGAATGAGAAACAAGCACGTAGTGCACTCAGCACCGTATGCAATTCTAGACGGACCAGAATTCATCTCGATACTTGTAAGTAGACAAACAATAAACTTCTCACGCACACGCTCATACGTCATAGTTCCTCTTCTTCCGTTTGGATTTTTTCGTAGAGTTCGAGTACAGGTTTGCATACAGAAGACTCGGATTCTTCTGCAGCAACTGCGTTTCCTTTTCTTTCAGACGGCGTCGGGTCTCTCTGTCTTCTTTTGTTGCCTGTCCATCTGAACTTGCTTTCCAGAGTTCTCGCTGCTTTGCATGTGACAGGAACGCGTAATTTTCATATAGCGGTTGTGGTTTCGGAGAGAATCTTTTATCTGCATATGCTCCATCTTGTGACCGCGATCTTTTGCTTTTCGTACGATCATTCCGTGCTGCACTACCAGAACTGCTTGCGTCATATGGTTTTGTCGATCGCGATGCATCTCTTGGTGAAGACGTCGAAAGATGTGGGTCATGTCGAGGACGAGAGAAGCTACTCCTTCCATAGCTCTCACGCTTACCCGCCGATCTGTCCATTCCATCTTCTGTGGAAGCAGTAGAATTTCGTCGCTCTGCTCGTTGCGCGTCTTCCATCTTTTTTCGTTGGATGTCTTCTCTCGGCCTCGATGTTTCATGTTGAGATCGTCGACTTTGTGATTCTGCAGGCTCTGACCTTTGCTTTCGGATCAGAGAGCCCTCTTCATCATCGTTCTCTTTATCTGTCTCGACGCCCAGGACCCCGGCTTTCAAACAGGCTAAAACCGCTCTCTTCATCTTTTTTTCCAGCAGCCATTTCTGATCATACACACTTCTCTTTTCGGGATCACGGAGCAAGGCATAGGCCGCTTGTATCTGCACGAACCTGGAGTGGTCCTCTGTGTGAACCACGTCAGGATGGCATGACTTGGCGAGCGCGAAGTACGCCGCTTTCACCTTTTGATCAATGGTCGTGGCCGCTATTGATTGTGCTCCAGCAGTGCCAGTGGTGCTGCTGCTCTCGCATGAGGTCGTCGAGGAAATATCATCCTGTTCTCCTGAATCTGCTTCATCTGGAGGCGGAAAATCTCCATTCTGAGCCGGTCCAGACAAACCCAAGATCGCATAATGATCCACGAAGGCTGCTCCACTAGCCGCCGACGATGAGGACGCAGCAAAGGTCCTTCTGCACTGATGAATTGTGGGATTTCGACGCCTTAGCAATAAAAATGATCTTCTTAGGATATCGCCATGGAGAAGAGACAAGGACAACGGTGTGTTGTTCCCATAGTGACACGGTCTTGTAACGAAGTTTTTCGCTCCTGTCGTCCTCCCACAAGAATATAAAAACGAGTCCGGAGGCTTGCACAGCTTGTTGTTACTCGTGCGCCCACAGAGCACGAGAATCAATTTCGAAGAAGAACCACTTTTCTTCGTTGAAAATTGACAGCACCCATCAAGAAGCTTCAAAAAATTGCAGGTACTTATAGTTCTTGTTGTAATGTTGACTAAATCTCTTCCTTGACAAAAACCACTCATGTCGGATAGATTACTGCTAACACAACCATGAAAAAGTTTCTAGCGCGCGCTTTCTCTTACACGGGGACTCGTCTTGTAATGATTCTCTTTTTGCAAACATGCAAAAAGGCTCAAGCTCGCCCACCTCCTGCGAAGATGGTCACTGAGATGCACTCGCACTTCCTTACTTGCGTTTTCTTATTCTTTGCCTGTCTGTTGACAGTACTAATTTGGAGGAGTTGATGGATGGTGGATACGAAGACGAACACCATTACTAAATTGATTAACAAGTCGTGAATGAGTGAGTGAATGAATGTGCCTAGTAGCGGGAGATGGTCGTGCAAGATGTGTTATATATCGCTAAACGATAAAATTGTACTGCTTCTTTCTGATATGACTAAGTTAGTAGAGCGGGTAATTCAACATTAAACAAAGAATAAGAAAGAGAAACCTTATAGAGAAACTAAAACTGAAGAAAGTTACTCAAGAGTAGCTGGGATTTTTTGCTACAAATACTTACATAGGGTTTAGTTTGCAGGTTTTAGTTGGGGAAGTTTACTCTGAAAAAAGTTACGCGGTGACAGATTGGATTTTGAGTAATTGTTGCTTAGTGCACGTTTTCAAGTGGGCAAGGAACTGTTGTGTTGCTAGTTAGGGAACAGTAGAATACAGAACGATAGTCATTGGGATTGATTGTAAAGAGAGTTAGATACCTATCAAAAAATATTCATAGTTCAGCTTCACCTTCTCCTCTTCCCTCAGATTTTAGAAGTATTGTCAATGTCAACGACTGGAAATTTCAGATGAGGTGACTTCCATTCTTCATCTTCATCTTGTAGAATGATGCATAATTTGTATCTATCTATGAAGATCATACACAATCTTTGTTGCATTTCGAGTATGCTCACGGCCATTCAACATTACGAAATTGTGTGTGTGTTTTTTGTCATTGCAACCGACTACGAAGTACCAGCTGATTTAGTGTAAATAGCAACCTCAGCTGTCCCCCTGATCGCAACAGGCGACAGCAACATCTGCCGTCGCAGTCACAGCACGAGACGCCTTCTTTGCTGTGCCTCGAAAATTAAAGTCCTCTACTGGTTTTGAGGCCTCTGAAAAGCAACTGCGACAATCCATGCTGTTGGCGGTCTTGTCGTGCCTTTCGGATAATTGCGGAGTGAGCTCCTCAGCGGTCTTGGCCGGGATCCCTGCCACCTCGAAAATTTCCAGTGCGTCGTCGCGACCGGGCCCGCCCAAAGGCGCGGCATAAATCTTGGATGCCTAATCAGAGAGCGGATGCTCCTGCATTCTTATTAGAAAGAATCAAAATATATCTTGTTTGAAGTGGTAATGCAGGGAAAGCAGGAAATGCCATGGTCCGTAAGAAGGAGAAATATAGAAGCCTCAGGCTCCTGACACGGACAAAAGAGCGTTCGTCGTGAGAACTCTCTTCGTCACATACTGAAATTATACACGAGGAGCCTTCTTCTCGATGAGTTAGCTTCTCAAGAAGGAAAAACGGCGCTTGTATGAAGTTCCCAAACAGTGTGTTGCTGATAGATTAGGCTTAAAAACTCTTTCGAGGGTGGCGGAGCATATGGCGCTTTGCCGTCAAAATGGAAAGCCTCATCGGACGAAAAAGCAGCGTCGGTTCCGACGTGCACAATGTAGCCCTTTTCTTTCGCGTGAAGGGATCCTTTGAGAATGCAGCGGTTGATCTGCGTCCCGACGACAGTGAGCCGCGTCTTTGCAGGGTCCTCGGAGAGGTTAAACCGCTCTCGCATATGCCACTCGAGTGGATGCCCCACTTCGTTTTCAGCGTGCTCCACATCGAATTGATCCTCGATTGGCCAGCAACCAACGTATTAGAAAAGGGGAATGGGAACAACCAAGACATCGTGGCTGTCGGACTTCTTTCACAAGATAGAGAGGAGAGGAACATAGTTGATAGAACCAAAGAAGAACAATGGTATTAGAGCTCGACAACTAAAACTATCTCCAATCAAAGCACTTACTCTATTACTTCCGTCCTGCTTATTCTGCGCATGAAGATTGCTCAGCTACGTCCTAGCTTACTCGCCGACTTACGACCTACTTGATGGTGACCCGGAGCCGTACGCATGATCTCTTTGTTAGTTACTAATTAGAACTAGTACTTACGTTGCTTTTAATTAAATATCGCTGTCGCGTAGCTATCGACTTCGCGATCACACGCCTCTTTTTCGGTCATCCAATCGTCGGTAGTTTTCGTGAATTCAAGCACGTTTTCCTGCCCGTGCCTCGCTATCGCAGACTCAAGCAGCCTGGGAATAATCTTGTCCTTACCTGGGATGTGGATTACGAGCGCCCGCTGCAGTACTTCTATCGAGTCAAATCACTTGATCAAAACCTTTGTTGAAGGGACGCTTCGTATTTTCAGAATAGAATGGTTATTCTCCTATAAGAAAGCCCTCGTCTTTTGAATAATGTATGTAGAAGAAGTGCTCCATAGAAGTCCCTGATGTTCATTTATCTTTGAGCTTGAAGGTCACGTTGAGAAGGGGGGAAGAGAACTATAGACGCTGCACTCACTCTCAGCACTCGTGATGGTACTAGTCAGGAGAGAAGCAAGGCCGAGCTCGAACCCGCAATATAAATAGTGGATTAGTTTTAGTTTAAACTTTGATAATAGTTAATTAGTTGAAACCCTGCCAGTAGCAGCACCTAAGGGTCGGGAAAACGGTAGACTTCAGAATACCTCGTTCTAAGGAGCACTCGTCCTGACCATCTGGGCACTTGAGGCTGTCTCGCGTGAACACTATCCCATCCCACGTTCCCATCGGCAATGCAGTGCATTAGGGGTGTCCAATCCACAATCACATCTTTGACCGTGACCTTCTGTGGACACTTAGTTTCCTCAGAATCAGATAATTCATGAGTGAGCCTGTTCTTCATCTTCTTCACGAGAATAAAGAGCATTGACTCGTTTGGTGGATAATCAGGGGAGGTATGGTGCTGCAGCATAAGGCTAACGCTTCTATTAATTTGATCATGTAGCTCTTAAACGTATTTGTTGTCGATGGCGTCAGCCGTATCGTCCACCTCCGGCACCGACCACAGTTTTCGCGGTGACAGCGAAAAGGTCCTGCTTTGCTTGGGACAGTACTTGCTCTTCTTCTCTGGAGTCTCCACATACTTGCAATAATCCTGCTGCATATCAACAACGTGACTTAGAGAAAACAAGACACGAACGACAACGCAGTGACTCGTCTTCTTTGAGAGTCTTGAACTCATGAATTGCGAGAATCGTGAGGGAGCGCTCGTTGAAGTTCTAGAAGAGGGAACGAAACTGGGGAAACATTGATCTATCTACTGTGTATCTGTATGGCGCGGCAAGCGGCCCCACCAGAGTTTATGTCATTGTCAGAAGCGCATAATTTGCATTCATAAAACAAGAATATCCTTGACTCCTGGGTCTTTCGTCGTCGTCACGCCAGGGGCTTGCAGAAAGGTCCTCATGAAAAACGGCGCGTAGTCGTAGTTGTCCTTCTCCATGCCTGCTCCTCGGATGTAGAAATTACGCAGCTGCTGCCCGAATTTCGTGACAGGGCCTACGTCTTCCCAGAAGAGAAAACCAACTGCGACTAAATGCCTCCACTTTCTGGGGCTGTCGAAGTGGGGCTGTCGATTTCCGGAATTTCGGTGTTGATTTTTAATGGCAGAAAAAATATGCCACCGTGCTATAATCATAACAGCATACGGATGCAACTGCAAGCGCCAGAAATTCGACAAATAAAAAGCCCCACAAAGACAACGGCAGAAAGTGGAGCTGAAATCAACTCGCGAAAGGCTCCACTTTCTGGGGCTGTTATTTTGGGGCGGCCGATCGCTGAATATATTCCAAAAGAGACGCCAAAAAACTCTCCGTCGTGTGATAATCATAACACCCCGAAGCCGCAGACGCTAGAATTGTCGAAATCGACAGCACCAAAGAAAAAGACATGACCAGAAAGTGGAAGCATATAGCGACCAGCCCCAAGAGAAATGCAACAGCGATCATACGCATACCTACTGCAACACGCGTCAAGCACTGGCATATATTTCCAGTACGGAACGACGGACAGGGCGCTTCGTCGCCCGCCTCATGCCGCACACATGTCCTCACGCCGGTGGGCGCAGACACGTCTTCGTCTATCAACCGAGATGCCTCCGATCGGAGCCCACCCCCCGGTTGGGCGCAATCGTCCCCACACTCCGACTCCACGACTTCGCGACGCATGTTAGCTGGGTTGAAATTCAGAATTAGATAGAGACTAAGACGCCCCTGCTACTGCTGCTGATCTAAAGCGACGCTCTCTCAAAGGAGAACCCCCCCTACTAAGAAAATTGAAGCAAAAAGAAAATAATGAAGATAAGAAACAAGTAGTAGAAGCATATCAATAGAAGTACCTCCCTGCTACTTCTATTCAATATTTTTACGGATGATAAAAACCGAGAGAATGACGGGAACGACAAGAACAACAATGAATGAAACGAACAAATCGAATACATAGTACCAGGCCACAAGGATTCTGAATTGATGAAGTTGTGGCGCAATAATCATGAAGTACCAATTTGTCCCCGTGATGATATTTTCTGTTTTTTTCTGGACAAGACTAAACCGATGACGAACGATAAGCCGGCCGAAAGAGATACTATTCTTCTACAGATGCTGGAAGATGACAAGACCTCAGACACGACACGCAAACATCAAGCAACGGAAATATAATATGGACCGATACCGAAAACGCATATTGAAACAAGCCTGATCTGGATACTATAGAACATGACAAGATGCTGGGGGCCACCGATACGATTTTACGTAGGTTTCGCAGTTGTTCGTTGTTTCGGGCCATCTGGTCCGGCAACTCCAGTTCGCTCTGCTTGTCGATGCCTTTCTTTTAGAATATGCGCTTTTTGCAATGATCACGTTTCCTGCAATTCAGAGGAGTTCCGTTTTTCCTGTTACTTCGCGTTCGTGTTTTTTCCAGTCACTGGCAATTGCCGGAGGAAGAAAAATAGTAAACTCCACCATATTCCATTGGAGGTATTTATAAAAGGAGCGGTTTTGGCTGCAAGGATTTCGCGCATTATCAGTATTTGCGTCTTGAAAGAAAAGGGCATAAAGGAGAAAATATTGTAGAGCACACTTCTCAAAGTTGAAAGTTAGTGTTAACGATTTCTTTACCTTGTGCACAGCGGTTGAAGCATAGGAGCGGTAATCTTTCTCATCACTGCTTCTAATTCTTAGGATTGTAATTGGAACGCACTATGGTCGTGTTAAGGGAGGCAACAAAAAGTTACCTTATGCGTTCATTCTTCTCAAGGCCTAGATTTAACGTACCACATGACGAATAGACATGTACTTGCAATCAGTATTTTCTTTAAAGATTACGGCAATCAAGTTAGTCGTCGTGGAGGCAAGTGGGGGTGCATCTTGGCTGAGGCAATTATGCCGCTGAGCTTTGCGAGTAAGAAGTCGCGTTGCTGCGATTCTTGTGTCGTCCGTTGTTTATCCGTCCCTGACGTCCTGTTGGCAGCACATGTTGTGTTATGATTGTAGACAAATGGGTAGGTGTCGATTGCCATCGCCGACACTCGAGTCTCTTTCTGCTTTCTACTCCTGCCTCGGCCTGGCGCCTTCGAAAGAAGGTCGGCAGGATCCGGATTGCCTGATGCATGATGTAGTTTTAGAAGAGGATATTCCACTGCAGTGTCCCGCCTACAACTGATAGTTTCCGGCGCGTCAGCCTCTTCTTCATCTTGCTCCTCCAGATCCGCCACGAATATGTCCTCTTGATCGGAAGCAGGCAAATCGAGCTCCTTTTCCTTGTAATCATTCTTACCGTTTCCTTGAGATCGTGAATTCCGCAAAGTTGACGGACGCAAGCCTGAACCTGAGATTGATGCAACATTTGTGGTGCGTGCTCTACCTGAAGGCTGCGACAAGCGCTCATACGTATCTTCACTTTCCTCGGCCTTCAACAGCGATTCGTCTTCTAGGGGAGGTTCGACTTGTAGTTCGTTCGCGTAGGCATATTCAGAATCAGAACCTTCATAATCTGTAGAAGGTACAGCTTGACCAAGTGTCTCATAGTGCCTCACCTCTACGTCTACCGTCTCCTCCGCTTCAGCAGTAGGTGAAGATTCCAGCACGATATTTCCTTCATCTTCGATCACAGGCGTTGATGGGTATCCGTCTACTTCTTGTTTTTGGACATGGCTTGGCTCGTTTTTAGTAGGAGCAATAGAAGACTTCCTTGCCTTTGTCTCCAACTGTTCAACAAAAGCCGGACATATCGCCGTTGATTCAGATGGAGAAGAGACAAGTCCCAGCTCTTCAATTTCTTGCTTCGCTGCCTTATCGATTTTCATCGGCACGCTTTCAACATCGGCCACAGCACACGGATTCGACTGTTGACTCGTTCTGAGCGAGGCATGGGACGGAGTGGAAGCCCTTGTTTCTTCAACATCGGCGACAGCACCGGGATTCGAATGTTGACTCGTTCTGCGCGAGGCATCGGACAGAGTCGAGGCCCTTGTTTCCATACTTTGCCCAGACTTCTGTTCTCTTTCCTGCTGCAGCTCTGGAGTATTCTTGTTCCCTTCTTGTAGATTGTTCTTGGACGTGCTTCTCTCTGGAATCGTTTCGATAATATCCAAATATATATCCTCATGTTTTTGTACTTCAGCCTGCTGGATATTTCTATCGATTTCCTTTTCGTCTTCGGTGACCAAGCCTCGTAGATCTGGCTCCGAGACTGCGGGAGTGGAAGTCCAAATTCCTTGTCCTTCCTTCTTTGAGCTCAAAATAATTTCGGGTTTTCCCACTGTCACGAATTCACTTCTCAAATTTGTTGTCGATGCGTCAATATCGGTATCTGACTCTGTTGGCGGTAGTGCGATGTACATATACTCGTCTGTCTCTAATATCACTTCCGATCCTCCACCACCCACGCCATCGTTAGGAGCCGCCTGCAGTATCTCAAGTTCTAGCTGCTCATGTTGATGTTTTTGTTTATTGTAGTTACTAAATACTTGCGCTTGATCATGGGCAAGAGATTCCTTCTCAGGCTCATCTTCACTCACCAGTTTGAGGTCACCAGAGCTAGGAACCGCATTATCAACTACCAGGTCTGTCTCTTCTGTTCTTGGAGACGAGGGAGCAGTGTCTTCTACTTGTTCGCTCTTTTGTCCTATTGTTTGAAGAGCGTCCGCGGTGTCAGTGTTGTCGGTCAGCAAAGTAGTCTCCTGATTATCATCTTGCATCGCTTGCGGTCGTTGAACAGCTGTTGGTGACGGTTCGGGTCCTCCAGCTATTGACGCCATGTACACAAAAAAAGCAACATCTAGAGCGGCATTGACCAAATCAGTACCGTCAACAATGTCACCTGCTTCTCCGTCTGGGTTTGCTGGTTCATAATCATAAGTCTCATCAGGATCCGGATCAGGAGTTGCTGGACCACAGTACCCTTCGTCGCCAATGTCCTCCTCTTCCTCGTCTGGAGTTCCTGAACTATAGCTTTCGTCGTCGACGTTTTCCTCCTCTTCTTCATCTGGAGTCGCTGAACTGTAGTTTGCGTCGTCCGGAGAAAAGTCTTCCTCTGTATTTTCAGCGAGTGGTGTGACGTCTGCCACATCACTGCCAGAATCACCCTGAACCTCGTCACCATCCTCGCCTTCAAAGTTGCCTGGCTCATCTTCTATGCTGAAGTCGCTTCCGTTCCCTTGGTCATCTTCTGGTCGTACTTCATCCGTTGATATATTTAGATTCTCTGTATTCATGCTGTTCTCAGGTCGTGGCTGCTCGTCTGTGTCGCTGTCAGAGTGGTCGCTGTGCTTGTTCACCACTTCATCATCGCCATCATCATCATCATCATCATCGCCATCTTCTTCGTCTTCATCATCATTTAGACCGGACTGACGTTGCCTATCCATGTTCAATGCTTTCTCGTCTTCATCTACTAGGATGTGCTGACGTTCAGTACTAGAAGCTTCTTCAGTCCTTCGTGGTCTTGGCACCACTGGATATTTTTCTTCGGCTTCCTTCATGAGAGCCTGCAATAATTGTTTTTCCGACAGCTTCTCTTCACCACCTTCCCTCAGCGATGTTGGCCCATGCGTCACGTCGTGTAGTTTCACTTTTGTATCACTTCGAACCGCACTATTCTCGTTCTCACCGGCTTCCTCGCCGCCACGAATTCTTGCAGTGGCCTCAATTTTTTCACGACGTGCTAGAGTTGGCGGCGCGCTTCTTTCGGAGTCTTCTTCTCCATTAGCATCGCTGGAGACTGACAGTCTCCATCTGCGATCCTCCAAGGTGAAACTTAGTTGTCGCTTCAAGAATGACGATGTTCTTGGTCGCCCTGAGGAGCGACGTCGCTTGTGCCTTCCCCGCGCCCGCGTAGTTCCGTACTCGTTTTCTTTTATTGTGCTTTTCTCATCTTTAATCTGGCTCGCCTGGTGAACACGTAGTTTCCCGTGTGCTGTCTTTTGAGACTGTGGCGTTGATTGAACGTCTTTATCGTCTCGAACAAAAACAACATCTCGTGAAATTTGTTTGAGCAATATCTGAGTATCCAGAGGCAAACGAGGCGCTAGCCGCTGCTGCCCCTTCGAAGGAGGCCGCGGCGGCTGCTCGAGAGAACCGTCGGAGACTACAGATGACATGATTGAAGAAGATCTATTTTCTAGTAGTCGACTTTCTTTGGAGGGATTATGGCTATCAAACAAGGAGCAGACTCAAAAGTTACAGAATTTGAAACATTTCCTGAACGTGCACATAGCATCCGCGGCGTAGCGGTACTAGTAACGAAAGAACTAGGAAAAAATGATAAACAAACGACGATGTCACAGTCAGAGGAAGTTCGCTCTTATTAACCCTAATGTTAGTCAAGAAATATTGAATCGTAAGTAACGTGCGTCTATTCTATGTGTACTTAGAAGAAGTCTTCAAGCGTATATTACATACTGAGCAATGGGGTTTTTCACTTTCCGACCGTCACCGTTCTACCAATAAAAATGATAGCTTAAGACCGCTGTAAATCATTAGGGCGAATGAAATGAAAAATATTTTGGGCTTCTATCTCCACGAACCAAGACTTACAATAACAAGTTCAAAACCAATCACTTAGGTTCGAATTACAGCTTATTTGGCTTCCCTCACCTGAAACAGATCAATGCTCTCTCCTCACAACAAGAATAAGACTTTCACTCTGATCGATGTATTGTGTTTTTTCTCACCATACGCATACATTTGTATATCTGACGCAGCGAAAAAGCACACATGATGTCGATGCCAGATCCTTCTCTTCCCACGATTGATAGGACAGATAGAGTTCTTCAAGACACAAGACAGAAATTGGGTTGCTCCTTTTATCTCTCGATGTCTACAACCTCATCATTCGTAACCATGTGGAACTTCGTGCACCCCAACTCTCTGTGTGCTGACAGGGTATGCATAGTAACTAGCCACCTCCAGCAAAGAGAAGCTGTAATTCATTGTGTATAATAAATTGTACTGACGAACGATAATAGGCTCTCTGTTTACTTGAATGCACACATTCCGGTCACATGATGACCAGAGGAACAATGCGCTGCAAGTAAAAAGAAACTGCCTTACCGCCCAGCATTTAGCGCTAAAGAATTCGGTATCAGTAACGAACAGGAAGAACGCATTAAAACTGCAAAGAAATAGCAAACTGTGGCGAGCAACCTTGAACGTAAGTTGTATCTTTCTCTTTCCCAATCTACTAAGTCCAAGAGATTTTTTCCATGAGAGATCCGGTCCAAAAGTATCACTTCAGAAAATATCCACCCACCATCTCTTTCCAGCAATCATACCGCTTTTGCCACCGTCCGTCTTCGTACTCCGGCTCTTGATGTCGGCAACAGTGCGCAACAAATCGCTCACTACTAGATGTCGATGACAGAACCGGAAGGTGAACGTTTTTTCATCGAATTGCATGAAGAGGGACCCATGATGGTGCATCTTTCGGAGGATGAGCTTCGGGTCCTCATCTAATTGAATGGGCTTTTGGCATACTAGAGGGCCCATTTTGCGCGGAAAGTGCTGCACTTTGACCCACGAGACGTGCTGCAACGTGACGGGAAGCTTCGAAGGAAGGCAGCAGCGTGCAAACAAAGCTGCCAACCAACGAAAAAACAACGCAACAAAAGCAAACACACTTTTGTTCGACGTGTCTTGTTTCCTCTTCTGACCGTCCTGGAGTAGTGGTGCCGCTAAAGATGAGCTGAAGTTGCCTCGACCATCGTCTGCAGCCGCAATTTTGTTTTTCGCGTGATTCTCCCAAGCCGACGCTTCACTCGAGTGCGCTAAGACGACCTTATCTCGGAGTGCCAGAAACAACAGTGGTTTAAAAAAGTCACTCCACCAGAACAGCGGGTCGTCAGGCCGGGATCGCACTGCAGTGCGGATTACGTCGCTGGGCCGCTCTGCTAGAGTCTTACTTGACAGTTTTGGATCTGCGTCGCTGATGTTGGCCCGCACAGTGGTCACTCCGTTTCCTAACATGCGTCCCAGCAGTCCTGGATGCACGCCGCGCGCGTCCATGGGAAACGCAATAGCGTTGTTGCACACGAAATCTGTAGCGTCCCCAGTGACCCGTGTCGCAAGTGCAAAAAGCGCAGAATGTTAGCATAGTCAAAATGGGTACTTATCTCAGAACGAAGGAGCTGAGCCACTGACACTGTCGCTCTAGGCAGCAATATTTATTACACGTCGGTATGACGTAAGAATCATTTCAAGAAGGCATTGCAGCACATATACATTTGAAGTCTGATGAATCCAATCACTCCATAATCATTGGTGCTCACGGCGCCGATTTCCGCTTTGATCGCCTTTAGCTCTATATCTGTCAAGGTAAGCAGCACACATCGATACTTATCTGGATCCCTCACCTGCGTCAAAGCGAAGTCAGCCAGTGGCTCCAATCCTTCCGGAAGAGCCGCAAAAGGTCGAGAAGGCGGACTGATGCTACTACTCGCAACGCGCGAAAATACCAGTTCCCCGACCGGATGACAGCTGAAAAAGTGTGCTTTTGGGTTTGCAAACGACGTGATCTTGGGCTGCTTCGCCAGGAGAAACCGTTGCTTATGAGCTGCGAAAATGTCGTCGAATTCCTTCAAAAGACGAAAATAGCTGCTACCGTCGGAGACGTAGTGGTTCACGAGGAGCGTCAAACCCCAAAAACCTTTGGTTTTACCAAGTACAACGTAGGTCAAGGGAATATCGTCTCGATCGAGGATATGAGAGAAGCAAGATTCACAAACACATAAGAAGTATTTGTTCTGTCTGTCGTTCATCTTTTTTCTTCAACATCGAAATTTTGAAATCCAAGTCTTGAAATCGAAACTTCAAAAACCAAAAATTTCAACCTAATCTGAAAATTTGGTTTTATCTCATTTTAATTGAATTAAATTCATAAATAATTTTGGTTCAAATTCAAAATTAACCAAAATTTTTGATTTTATGTTTTTTTTCATTCAAATTGAAGCACTCATGAGCTGTTTTCTAGTTAGTCGTTGAAATTCAAAATTAACTAAAAGTTTTGATTTTATGTTCTTTTATTCAAATTGAATCTCTGATGAGCTGTTTTCTAAATTTCGAAGTAAATTCGAAATTAACCAAAATTTATAAGGTATTTCATTCGGATTGAATTCCTGACGAAGTCTGTTCTGCTTTTCAAAAATATCTGTGGACTTTGTGACATTGAATCCCAACAATAACATAGAACGAAACCCACAAACTAGGTCAATCGAAGTTATTGATGATGATTGCATTAGATTGTAGGTCGTTTAATCCAGAATAAAATATCCTCACGATGAAAAACTAGAAGGAGCTGTCTTCTGTGTTCTCTTATCATACACCGCGTCTGCACTCTGGTAAGGAAAGAAGCCTCCTGGGTCTCTTGCGGAGCTAGTCGCTTTGAGAAATTCGGCCCTCGTAATTCCAGTTCGCGTATCCAGAGGGTCGGCCAGTGTTTGAGCATTGATCACCTTGCTATCAATGTCTGGAAATAAGAGGAACCCGAGTCCGCAGTTGTCAGGATCGACGCAGAGTTCGAGGTTCTCCGTCTTCAGCAATTTGCGTCGAACATACGAAAAAAGCGAATATTTCTGACCTGAAGTAACGGTGGCGTCGCTCCCTGAACGAATCCGACCAGCAAGAGTAGGATAACGCGCCGCGAGATCCGCACAACTCGCGCTAGCTATTTTGGTGAGACTATCTAGTCCTCTGTCAGCGCCCTCGTCCTTATACCAGTTGCAAATACCGACATAAGCCGATAAACCTTTCGCAGCATCGATCCGTGGAAGCTGGTAACAAGCTCGTGACGGGCGAACTCCTGGCGGAATCAGCTCGAGCCGACCTTTTGAATACGCTTCCGCAGGGGGACCCATGTTGATGGATATGGTGGTGGACACAGATGTCATGCTAACTCTACATATTGCCTAGTACTAGTATCTATCCGTGTTTCATCTACGTAAGTTTTTGTTCCGTGCGTGTGTTCATGTTTTTCTGGTTCATGATCATCGTGACGACTGCGTGTGCAGCGTCTTTAGTAGGTGCTGGCGGTTCTGCAGTAGCATCAGCGTCTGTACTCTTCATAAATTTAACCCTTTTTTGCCTCTTATTTGACAGCACAAAAATACTCGAACCTCAGAAACCTGGCTCAATTCATTGCACACCTCGCTGTCGCTCTTGCCTCGTTCTTTCATCTCCCATCATGCTGCCTGTCGCGCTTTATTCTATGACTCATCGAATTGCAACCGACGTGATATCACGGCAACGTCCTTGGCGAATCTTCCTAGCTATGTAGACGTCGTACACCGAGTTAACTGCATAACTTGCAAAGGCGTTGCGCTGATTCAACTAATATTGCTGTCTTTCATCAGCAACTTACAATTTAGCCCGCCAAGGAGGATGAGGTCAAACTGTATACTGCTATGATTCGCGTTGGTGCCCGTGTTCTTGAAGACGAGGCTCCCCCACAAGCAAAATTCATGAATACGCTTAGCGAATTGGTTGTCATTGAATCAAAGAACATAAACACGAAAATCAGTCGTTTGATCTTGATCCTATGATGAGGTCGTCTCTACCATTTTCGGATGCCCATGTTTTTCCATTAATTACACTTGTCATCGGCGCCAGCTTAAGAACTAAAGACAACTTCACACGTAGACGTTTAAGCGACCTCCAAGTCCTAGCTAGGACAGATAATCGTACTCGAATCAACACAGTCGAACGTTCCCCAACGAAGAAGCGCAATCGCTCTTTTTCATAAAAAATGTTTTTCAAAAAGTGAGTTGATGTGGTAGATAAGAATTACCAATCCAGAAATCACACCACTAAGACCTCTAATCTGGTCAATCAAACCAGGACTTCATTCATCTAGACACTCCTTGTTCGAGAACAAAGTTGTTCTTGTTGAATATCATCTGACTACGAGACTGGAAAGGAAATCGTTCATCCTTTCTTGGCAAAAGCATCGGCAGGCAGTTCTATTTTCTTCGATTCGTCAGCAATAGGTGCTGCGAAGTTTGCTTCATCAAAAGGATCGCGCAACCAACCATAGACGTCAGGGTAACTCTCGTCTTGAATACCCGTCACGATCTCACGAAGTCGTTTCGTAACGGGACCCTGAGAAGATAGATGACAGACGTTCCTAAGATCGCGCGTCGTTCTAGAATTACGAGACTCGATAAGTACGGTGCATCATCAATGAAAACAAATCGGTCATGCATAAACATTCAAACTGTGAACAACCCCAAGAAAGAATGCCTTCATCCATCGTACGTACCATTGGCTTGTAATCCCACGCGTTGGGACTTCCGCCTGTTTCGCCAATGTGTGATATTGGGCTAACGACTGTCGCTGTGCCGGTGCAAAAAGCTTCCTCTGCTTTGGCAAAGTTTTCCATCGTCAGATCTCCTTCATAGAGAGTTCGCCCACCAAGCTCCTCTGGAGGAAGGTCTCGCAGTAGTTGCAGTATCTGAATTTGAATGAACGAAAAGCTTCCATGAGAGAGATGGGGAACGCATAAATCTGAGCAACATCGTAATCGTAAAGGTAAAAAGTGCCTGCCTAGTATTTCTGTTCTTGAGTGTTACATGACAGTCGTCTGGACTCTGCCTGTTATTGTTTGCGTTCTTTAATAGTCGAAAATGCAAGAAAAACCGTCTAAACAGCATACACTCGCTCTTGTGACTCCAGGCAAGATTCGCCCAAGCGGTGGTGTGCAGATCCTGTCCTTTTCGACTAGAAAAAGGTTTGCGCAAGCGACCTCCTCCACCGTTTGGCCCGTCCAGTTATCCATGTAAATGATGTCTGTGTAACCCTCCTCCTTTGCGCCCTTCTGATACTTGAAACATGGCGCGTAGTTGCCTCCTGCCTTCACTGATCCGGAACCTGTGCAAGTGTATGAGAAAAATGCTTTTTGACACGATAAGAATAACTTGCTTCATAATTTTCCTCCTAAAAAGTGTACTATTCATTGCAAAAGCAAATTCTCGTCGAAAATTCAATAAAGAAGACCATCGCTGCATCTTCAATAATAAGATCGCGAGATTTTGAAGTTTTGCTTACCGTTCTTTGCTGCTCGCGAATGTGCTCGCTCGATCTTCATGCGCGCTCCTTGTGCCGCTGCTGCTCCCTTAAAATATTCTCCAACAGGACTCACGTAAGTAATAAAGTGGTAGTTTGTCGAAGGACCTAGACCGAGTGTCGCGCCACTTCCAAAAATGATGGGCCTAAGGTACAAAGCTCCCGTCCCGGCAGGTGGCACAAGGTCTGAATTGGCGCGCACTGCTGCACCAATCGCCTCCATGAATATCTCATGCGGGACTGGTGGCATACTCAATCTGGTAGTTTGAGAAATCTATTATTATAACTGGTCAGCAGCACAATCACAAAACAATACTTAATACAATAAAGAAATATTCTCTCATCAGACGAAGTTTCACAAAGACGGGACGGCAAGGAAGGGTGGGTGATGCTGAACAAAATAAAAAGATTCTTTCATGCTCCAAAACACAACATCATTAACATGACTGTAGGGTAGTTGTAAACATCTTCAATACGCCACAGAACCGTTCGATGCCCGTTGCCCGCCTTTGTCTCCTCGAAAGACGACTATCCTATCCTTCGTCGTCCTGTGAGCCTTGATTCCTTCGAAGAGGCCTTGACCGTAGTTCAAGATTGTTGCACTAGGTTCCAGTTGAAGTGGTGCGTAGGGTACAACCTCGATCTTGCTCTTGTCCCAGGTATTTGGGGTTGAAAGAACGACCATCTTTGAGAGCTCCTTGCAGTTGAGCGAAAATCCGAAATCCTTGAAATTTACATCGGTGCGTGGAGCTAGCGCCCGCTGCGCGCTCCGAAACATAGACACCCGCATCTTGATAGATGTTTCACCAGGTTTCGTTTCTACTAGTTCTCGTCGATCGATGACGTATATCAGCGTGTCTGTGGTCACCACAAGCAGTAGAAAACGTCGTAAAGGAACCTCAAAACACTCGAGGATGAGTGCACGCTGTACTTTCTCTTTATTCTTTTTGATTCTCCATGTCCATGACGTATGCCTTTACTATGTAAGTCTAGTTGATCATAATCCACCTATCGATCTTAGTCAAACTTCTGGGTTGTTCCGAAATCATGAAAATAAAATTCACAAGAAATGGAAATGAATTCTTTTCCTTTGAGCAAAAAAAATGTTGAAAGATGATCTTGTCCGGCAATGACTTATCTCGAATTTTGGTTTTTTCTAAATATGTTGCTCAGCCTTTAAAGGAAAATCAATGCGCTATCGTATCTGTGTTTTTCGTACACCTAACTCGTTTGTACTAGAAGATGCGCAGGTAGAATACTGATCGGAGAAAATCAAAATACAGAACTCTTCTGAAACAAAGTTTGTTGAAAAAAATATCGGGCGGGGGTATTAGAAGATTCAGCTTTAATAAACGAACCTCATAGTTGTAATCAGCTTGAGCAGCTGTATAAGTTGTATTCGTATTGTTTTTTCAAATCGCATGTGAGAAAACAGAATTAAGAATACTTAAAAATGGGGCTCATCTCTCGTACTCCTGCTCCGGTGTCGCCATTGAATGTACATAAGTAAGTACTTATGAGTGTGCTCTTGGACCGATCGTGGAACACTAATCACCATCTGCTAGGCCACGAGGAGAGAAGTCAAAGATACTGAACAGATGACATCGATACCGAAATCATCACATGATGGGACAAGAGATGCTACTGCCCAATGAATGTCTATGATGAAATGACCGCCTCAGGAACCTTCCATGACGCGTTCATCTTTTCGCTGATCTGCGGGTGCTCTCACTCGTTTCTGCTCGTTGCCGTTCTTGTTCTTGATGTAGCGAATAAAGATATTGCTGCACGGGATAAGCCTAAGGTTGTAGAGGTAAAAACTAACCGGCTGTTTTATTTAGTGCTTTGAGCGTCGCTGGACCTAAACCTTCGCCGTTTTAATGTCTGTTGATCATGATATCCTGCATCTGTATATTGAGGTGCTTTCTCGTTGTCAAGAATATCGTTGCCTGAAACGAACATCGGGTAATCCGAAGAGTGACCCCTCTTCCAGACTTCTTTGCCTGAAGACTCGTCTTAGCCTTGCCGAGTAGGATCGTTTCCTAGAAATCAATGCGCAGTTTCCCTTTCGCATTCGCGTGCACAACACAAAAAAGAGAAAGAGGGTTGGTTTCGTTAGCTTTAGATTGAGTGTCAATTAATATATGAGGGATGCGGCAAAGGAGAGGTAGTGTTGCGACAGTTTTTATCTCGTTACTAAAACTTTCAAGCAGCGTTGGTGCTTCATTATTTGGTGCTGCTCTCTCGTTTTTCTCTGATGAAATCGGACTCTAAGCGTGCAAGAAAATCGTCCGGATCACTTTCGCTACTTGCGTCACTGTCGTAATCAAATGCCATGTTAGTAGTTTGGCCAGGTTTGGTAGCAGCAGAATTCTTGCTCTCTACTTTCCTATTAGACACAGTGCCAGTGCTTTCTTGTTCCGTGCTTTCTTGCTCAGCAAGAGAAGCATGAGTCTCACGAATCATGATTGGTTCTCCGTCATGGTCAGCATCGTTGTTGTCAACTGGCAACTCCGACAGCCCTTCCTCAACGACTTCACCGTTGTGCTCGTCGGAGGAGAACGGATTGTGACAAGCAATTGAAGCCGCTGCTGCAGTGGGTGAGCTGTTGTCGTCAGCTTTTCCTCCATTGACATCCGTGGTTCCATCTGCGTCAAGTTCGTTCGATTCCTGAATAGCCTCTCCGTCGGCTGCGTGCGCATCCACTACTTCTGCTTGCTCCTGAAGACCGTGCGCATCTACTTCTGCGTTGTCGTTGACTTGCTCGCAACCTTCTTCGTTGAGAATTTCCTGCTGCGCATCGTTTTCCTGCTCTTCTGCAACGCCTTTGACTAACTCTTCCTGCGCGATATTTTCATCCTGCGGCACCTCGAGACCGTCTCCCTCCGCGGCACCAGCTTCAACATCATGTCCATCTTCGTCTACGTCCTCTGCGATCAGGTTTTCTGATACAAGGAGGTCGTCTTGCTCCTGCTGTTCGAGACCATCTACTTCATCCGCACCTTCTTGTCTTTTTTCAGGGGATGCTGTGCCGTTCACAGCGTGCTCCGTTTCGGCTGCTTCCTCTTCTTTCATCGCGAGGAACTCACTAAAAGGATCTTTTCTGTTCATTTCGAGTTTTTTTCTACGCCGCGCCAGCACTTCCTCTACCAGCGCTTCGGCTGCTGAAGAGCCAGATCCCTTTCTCGCAGAGGAGCTGCTTCCCTTATTCAACAACCTCGCCGCGCGTTCGCGTCGGTCGCGCTTCTTCCGCTGCTCAGTCTCTTCCGGCGTCTCGGCTGCTTCTGCCGTTGTACCATTAGTTGTCGTGAAACCGCCGCTGTCTTCTGCTGCTTCCAAGCGCTCCATTTCTTCGAGGGCTAGCAGCTGACGCTTCTGCTCGGCTCTCTGTTGCTCGCGCTCCTCCCGAAGGGTGTCCTCGTGAACCTTTTGCAAGAAGATTTGCGCCAATGGGCAAAGCTCGCGAGGCCCCTGTGTGAAGTCAAAGCTTGCGGAGGATCCACTCGTTGGTGAGCTGGCACCTCGTCCTGACTGGTTTCCTTGCGAGCCTCCACTCCCACCATTCTGTCGCTCGCGCTCACCTGCCCCTACTGTCTTGGATGAGTCCTCTGCCAATTTCTTCAAGACGACCCCGAGGACGTGGCGGTAGTAGGTGTTTTCAACTGTCTTCGGTTGCAAAAAGGTAAAGTTCTCGTCCACTACGTTCAAGGCCCGCTCCGCAAATTCGTGGTTACCGCGAAACATCAGCCCATGTGCGATATCTTGGATGGCGCGATCAGTCGACTTATCTAGAGTACGCCCCACGACGAGTTCAGCGCTCTGCCAATCGCCCTCATCCTCAGAATCTGATAAATCTCCGAACAACTCACTCGCACTTTCACTACCACCTGGGAGTTTATTTCAGTGTCGCGAAAAACATGAACTTTGCTTGCAATGAACAAGTAAATTCTGAAACTCCATGCCAATACGACGGCTTACGTAGTTTCAATATCTAGAGCTGTATTACCTGCAATGCTGTCCCGTTCGCTTGTGCCAAGGTCTTCACTGCCACCGATGCGGCGTCTTTTCACTGCAGGAACATGAGGTGCTGGAGCACGACCTGGGGGTAAGTCCCGATCCCGGACAATGTTTGTTCTCCCACCACTCAAGTTCAAAATGTTTCGAGGCGAAGACCCACGCGATGAGGCTTTGCTCTTTGCTCGACCACCACCGCTGCTACTCGATGCGCCACCTGCTAGGTTTCCATTCTCGCTGCGGCGCGAGTTTTGCTCGCTAGGACGCTGATAAACATTGGTAATGGAGTTCGATAGTTTCACTTTCCGCCATAGGTCCCAGCCGTCCGGAAGCAGATGTGGAGCTCTTTCCTCTAGTGTGGCACGCGTCGTCTTCAACCAGTCGTAGTATCGACGGAGTGGATGCTCCATCTCCAGGAAGGGATACTTTTGCAAAAGATTAGAGGTAGGAATAAGAAATCTTTGAAGAGAGTCTCTGGGTCTGCGTGGTAGGGGGCGTGCGAAGAGTTTTCATTTTATAGTACGTAGTGTCTTGCTATGCAGCACAGATTCAGAAACATATTTATGCGTCAAGAATTTTCTTTGTGAAAAAACGAAACAAACAACGAGTAAGCAGCAGGTCCCTACAGAAACTCCTTTAACAAATCGTCTCTGACAATTTGTAATCCAGAACCACGGCACCGAAAAGCGTCCCGGTTAAGGACATTCGGGAACCTTTTCGCTGTCGGCATCGACACCATCTCGGCAATCACCGCGAAAAAATGCTCCTTGTTGCTGCTTCTCGGCTGGTTTCTGATCGTCCCTACTAAAACATAATAGCTACATTCGTGTACGAGTATGTGTAAAGGAAAGGTCCATCATATCGAAGGGTTATTAAAACTAGCTATAGCTACTTAAAGGCTAGCATATCCTTTCATCACTAATTTCTCTAACTCTAACGACATCAGGAAAACGAGGTTTAGGAAAAACATAACATGAACAACTTACTAGATAAATCTAGTGTAACGTCGCTTGAACTCCAATTTTTTGCCATACTACACTCTGGATGTAAGCGCATTCGAAATTCCACAGCGTCCCCAAATTTGAGCACAAAGCCTGCTACGTGTTCTATGACCAAGTGATCTGCTAGTGTCTTCGGAGATGGTATCTCAGATCCTGGGTCATTTCCGGTCTTTTTGCTCCATGGCAATCGCAACGGAGGCACCGGTCTGCTACTAAAATGCTGTTGCTGAGGTGTTCCTCGAATGCTGGACGACGAGGCGACTTTTTCTGCTCTCGTACTTGTGCCAGCACTATGGTAGTCCCTAGAAGAAGACGAAGACCCTTGCTTGGCGCCGTTCTGCATCCCGCCTCTAGAAGAGCTGCTTGAGGTAGAGGAGTTTAAACCCAGAATCGATCGATGTTGGGACGAACTCATGCGATTCGTCCCCATACTCCCAGATGAAGAACCGCCACCACCGAGAAGGGAATTCATCATGCTATCTGCGCTGGGGTGAGGCATCAAATTCAAGACAATGATTGATGAGAGAACAAGCAACTCAAACAGTACCCACGTCAGCTGTATTCAAGCGTCAATGAAGCAGGACAACCCTGGCTAGTTTTATGAATTCCTGACACCCACGGGGCACATTTTTCGAATAATTTACCCACGTCTAAATAAAAACTATCATCAATTTCAACGAGTCAATGTCACTCACCTGCAGCAGAGCCAGTGAGATGAAGTTTTCCATCGTCCCACACCTCAAAATCGAGCAAGAAAAGATATAAACCAACGTGCTGACTTCTTGCTCAGATGATGAATTTTGGTACAATTTATCAGAGCATGATCTTCAGGGGCATAGATCGTGATCATACCTCATCATGCGAGATCTGCCTCGTGACTGCTTGTAAACCTTGTCAGACTTGGATGACAACAAGGCGCAAGAAAAAGCAAAACAAGGAAGACTGTTTGAGAGACTGAAACGAAGGATACGAATTCACAAAATTTGACCGACGTGCACAAGATATTGGATCGAAAGTCTATCCTAGAACTGAACACTGGCGAAGACAGAGAAAAGGAACTCTGTACGACGCATGGATTTTGTATCTTTTGTCTCCTCGCATGCTCGCTGTCAAGAAGGTGAAGGTGCGTGTTTCTCATAGGGAGCGTGATTGATTGCTTCGATGTTCTTACCCCCTGCCGCCTTATTGCAAGTAAACAAAAAAAACTAGTAAGTGATATGTTGGCCGATACATCTCAAATTTGCGCGTCTGATGTCAAAAATCGCGATCGCATTCGGAAACGTTCGAATTCAATAGCACAGGGTGCTGATGCATTCATCTGATGTCGACATTCATCAGTCCACTTTGAAATACAGTGCGTTGTTGTTTACCTCGACAAAAAACCAAGTCCAAAACCTGTTGCCAGCGCGTGTTCTATACTGTTCTCTCGAATGGAAATAGATGATATAGTACTCATATGATTTGATGGTGTTCGAAGTTGAAAATGATACGCGTAAGGCGACAATTCTGTTTACTCATTTGCTGCACGAGCAGCTCGTCCTAGCGCGTGTCCTGCGAGGGCTCGAATCGCTTGTACGCGGAATTCCACGCTAAGCTCGCTGCTTCTTAGACAATCAAGAGAGGTGAAATAACGGAACATCTTGTGAATGATGATGATGGAATTCGAAAACCACTCTACCTATTGATTTCAATTTGGTTAGTATGCTCTTTCCGTTAGTGTGAAAAAACCACAACCCTCCATAAGTCAGGTTCCGCAAAGCTGCTGGATCCATCTCCTGGGCACGCCTGAGATAGAATGCTGCAAACATGTGAGAGCTGGGGTGTTTAACTTGGTGGTGTCCTAGGTTTTCGAACTCTATGGCACCGAAAATTTTCCGCTTTTCCACCAGCTCGGTCGATACTTTCCTGGTACTCATGTGCAGCGAAACATCATGCTTGTAAACACGGACACGTATCTGGTAAATGTCATGATGTGAGTTGCTGCCTTTTCCTTTCCTTATCATTTTGTTCGTTGTCAAAACATCATGTTTATTGCGAGTTCCTCCTCATATCATTCTGCCTTTATGTTGTTGTGCATCGTGATACGAATAAGTCCTTTCTTACGACCACGAGAAAGAAAAAGAAGTGTAACCGGGAAGCGAAAGCAAAAAAAAAATACCAAGGATTTCCGCATGCATTCCAATGACTCCGTATCTAGTGCATCGAGCTTGACAAGGAATTAGAAATAGCTTTAGCTGATTTTAATGAAACGGTTTGTAAAAGTAAACTATTACATGAAGCATCGTGGTGTACTATAAGCATTCTTCTGGAAGAGGGGTAAAGTAACCGGGATGAGTACTCACTGCTGCTACAAACTAAACTTTCACTTCGATGCAAAGACAAGAGTCGATATATGTTGAGACGAACCTAGTACGTAGTACTAGGAGTACTGTTCAACAAAATTCTAGATACTATTCTCATTCGCAGTTCTGGCCTTAACAAAAGCGCAGCGACAAGGGACCGATGACTTGCCGCTCGAAGGTGTCGCCGATTTTCGGGCCTAATTTCAGCTGCGTCTGCACTTCCTCGATGTGTTCGCCGTCTAAAATGCTCACATTCACGTACCAACTCTCTCCTACAGTCCCTATGCCATGCAACGCTCTTAATTGACCCTCCAGGAAGAGTGGCTCTGCTAGTTGACTGCGACTCGCGGTTGTTGAATGAAAAGAGCACCTTGAGTGGATATGAAGGACTTTGACTTTGTTTCCAATCTTCGAGGACGAATGATACAGTAGTCTCGATATACAAAGACAAGACCTGGACCTTGCGATGCTTCGAAAGGGACCAACATGCTTGTGCATTATGTATCTTTACTCTTGTTAGCTAATGAAGAAGATTATCCACATCCAGTGATATTGTTCATGGCTGAGTAGCATTTTTCATAAGCTAGTGGCTCCATCATATGCAGTGAGTTTTGTCCTCGGCCTTCAGGCCCGCCCAAGTGTCCGCCGTCGTCAATGTCATGACCGTATTCGTCTTCCTCCTCCTCCTCTTCTAGGGCATTTACAAGATTCTCGTAGTGACTCAAGGTGCCTGTACTCGTTTTCTCGTGACTCGTGGTTTGGCTCCGCCTAGCATAATATCCCGCCGATGATGGAGGAACACCTGTGGAACTGCGCGAGTGTTCTGGTAGTACATTCGATGTTGAGGAGTGCCGCTTGCCAGCTTTGCTCGCTTCTGCTGCGGCGGGTACATGAACAAGAACATGAAGCTAGAAGTGCCACAAGCAAATCCAAAACACTCACGGATCAAAAATCAAAAAAAATCGTAGAATCAATCTAATGCTAACATACGCGTGACAATGAATCTAAGAGTAAAACTACGCGTGACAACGTAATAGTTTGAGACCACCTCCATGGCCGCACTGCCGGGTCTAGTTCGTGAGGTAGCAGAGGATAATCGACTATCCGGGGCACTACTCGATCCGAGTCTGCATTTCTTAGAAGTGCTGAGGTATCCCTACCGTCTATTTTAATGCTATGAGGTTTCTATAACTCAGCAGATTATACGAGCAGAGCCTGGCGGCAACTACTGGAGCTGCTGCTTCACAATTGTCTTCATATATGCATCAGGGAGGGAGGCCCGCCCCCCTGTGGATGGAGCGGTGGCGGCGGCGGCGCGCCTTTTTTTCCGCGGTGCTGACATGTAAGGATTCCCTGGGGCGAAGGCCTCAAAAGGCGGGCCGGATTCCCCTGGCGGCTCTCCGCGTGTACCCCACAGGCGTCCCGGCTCTTCCTTGGACCCTCTTAGGGGGACGGCCTCCGGGGGCAGAAGGCCGCCGAGGGCGGCCTCGGTCGCGAGGAATGGCCCCTTTGGCCCTCATCCCCCCAATTGGTAGCGCGGCGAAAGGGGTCAAGCCTTGCCACATGCTGCCCTCGGAGGCCTTCCACCCTCCAAGAAACTCCGCCAGTGAGGAGCCCGCACCCGGGAGATCCGTAGGGCCCACGCAACACGGCAAGGGGGTCAAGCCTTGCCACCTTTGCCGCCTTCGGAAGCCTTCCACCCCCGGCCGTCGGTGCTTGAACGGCCTCAGGGGTTTGGGTTCTGTAGGGTACCGGCAAGAAGGAGAGCGTGAAGATGGGCGCTTGGAGGCCTTCCCGCCTGGCAGTCCCTCGAGGAAAAGGGTCCGGGGCTGGAGGCCCCCACCTCAAAATTTTAGATCGGGGGGGGCTGCAGCCCTGAGCCCTGGAACATATGTACTTATAGTTATATTGGTTTTAGTATAGCCGCCTATGTATAGGATGATGAGGGACAGCTACAGCTTTACCCTTAATACTCGCACCGCCAGGCCGTCTGAGCGCTTCTTCTCGAGAGGCGATCCCTTCTTCTTCTTCGGGCTGTTCGGGAACGCTTCCTCTGAGCCGACTGGTAGCTGAAACTGGTCGTGCAGACAGGGGTCTTGCAGAAGCCGGTCGTCCTGCACTCACTCGCCCACTAGCAGGCTGTCCGCTTTCCACAGTTGCGCTCTGTGGTCGGCTCACTGCGCCCTGGCGGTTTGTGCTGCCTCTTCGCGAATAGTTCTTACTCGTACTGCTGCCTGTGTATACCTGGCGGTTGTCGGCATCTACGCCAGCGGCGTCTGGCCTTGCCGAAGTCGGGGGCACTTGCGCAGAGGTGGGCCGCGATGTGCTTGCGAAAAAACTGCTCACGTCGTCGGTTGAGCAGAAGCGACTAGTCGATTCAAAGCTACTGCCCGCAGGCATCACGAGCTCATCCGTGGGAGTTATCGCAGGCTTGTTGCTGTAGTGAAAGAATAGAAACCAATCGAAGAAGATATCATTCGCCACGATCATGATCTTGATGAAAAGATAGAACAAGAGAGATTAGAGCACAACCACGCACAAACACATACGAAAACCAATCTTTTTCTTTTAAGAAAGTTAGCATAATCTAGGATGTACATCTTTCCCGCCTTCCTTTCGTCTTCGTCATGGATCTTTTCGATGATTCGTTGCGACAGCGAGTCTGGTTGCAGTGGCTTATTTTTTGCTCGCAGAGTTGTTGCTGGGTCCATGTCATTCAAGAGCAACTCAATCCAGGCATCTGGCAACGGTTCTGGCACACTAAACTCTGCCGGAGGTATATAAACAAACCTCTCATGCAGAACTTTCGGAGTGTAAACTGCGTCAAAAACATCGCCACCAGTTATCTGCGATGAGCGAATTTTCAAAAAATTGTCGCCTGCCGAGCTCACAATTATATCAATAAATTACTACAAGATCCTGCTTTCATAACCTTTATTTGACTGAACAAGACCATGTTGTATGTTGAAAAAGCTAATCCAAATCCTATAAAACAAAGGACACAATAATACCCCAAGTGCCACATCAAGGTTCGTGTACCCGATCGGTCCCTGTTTGAACTGAAGGGAGTGATTCTTCATGAGCGACTTCTCCAAGGCAAGCTGGTGTATTGGTGCGTACACCTGTGTTCCGTTTGAAGATTCTCCAACATGAACATTTTATAGATACCAATGAGAACGATGTGGCTCGTCAAGTAGAAAGATGTCCGAGACAAAGTCAAAGTGAATAGAGATATTAGTACAGTAGATGTAGACATGAGAGAGAGAGTCTAAATCTACAAAAGGCACGACTTAGTCTTAGCACCGTGGCAACATTTCTGCCATTGGCTCTGAGAAATATCTGAAGTTTCTGCTTTTCTCTGGCCCACTGCACTAAACCTGCTGGCGTCCTCGTGAGCATCTGGAAAGCCTTGAAAGCCAGAGCTTTCCCGAGAAGTGCGCCTTCTGGGGCTTTGTAGCTCACTTGACTCTCTGGAACTGGAGGATTTCCAAGACAAGACATTAGTAGAGGCAAAGTGAAGGAAGAGTGAGTCACAGGACGACGCAGAGATGAAGTGGCTGAAATATCGTGGGAGAACGAGAAGGAACCCTTTCTTAGTGACTACTCAAGTCAACACAAAAATGAGTCGCGAACTACTACTACGTTAACGTTCAGCATAGTGCAACACAGAAATATGAAGCCATAAAGATGGGTCTTTGCATGGCACCAGTGGTATTGTGCAAATATTGTCGAAAAGCTCCATTTCCAGATCGAGGTCGCAATTCTTATACTTCTCTGGTACACCGGTCACTTGGCGGAAGTAGAATATTAACCTGTATCGCAACATCGGCTCCTTGAAATTGTACACCGCTTCAATAGACTTCAGGTCTGCGTTCGAACTCTTTAGAGCTGGAATTGCAAGTAAATCCCTATCATATCATGAAGATCAAGATCCTTCATCATTGTACCTGGCTATAGGGATCTTCATGGTCCTGAGGTTTTTCACACAAGTGGTAGTTGTGGGGGTCATAACCTAAAAGTGGTCAAATTTACTGGTTCGATCGGGCCATGCGCTTTCATCGCCTGCAGCATGTCCGGGTCTACCTGAAAGTCGTCCGGCATCTGGTGCGCATTCGCGTGGGCTTTTCGCATGCGCACGTTTGGAAAATACTGGGGCAACTTTGCGCAACTCCGCACAGGTCGAAAGTCGTCTTGGAAATAGGTTGCATACTTCTCTCCTATGGAGAAAAGCGACCGGAACTGCTCCAACAAGGCGTAACAGCCGCGACAAACCTTATGCCTCGTATAGTTTGACGCGTCCCTGATGGTGGCGTTAGTTTTGAAGGCTAGAATGTGGTGCGAGAGTGAGGGCAAGCTGATTGGCAGTCCTGCATGACTACAGTGACAGAACGATTTCCTAAAGTCTGAAATCTCAGGCTCAGGCACTACCTGGGAAACCTCACGACTAGTTGTATGAGGGCACAGGTAGAAACGGCTTTAGTAAATTTTTAGTAAATTGTAGAGCGTTCTGCTCTAGAAGTACCGCTTGCACGCGGTTAGCGTCGTCGTATTCCAACTAAAATGGAGGGCGAGCCGGTTTGCCTGCTCAAAGAATTCTTGGATGGCGAGTGTGTGTACCTCATTCGGCAGATCTTTCGGTAAGTAAGCGCAGTCGCATATGCCACACTTTGTGCTTAGAGGCAGGTCTCTTGTTCTGCAGTTCCTGATTGCTAGAGTGGGAAGTTGTAGGGTAAAAGATGTTGAAAACTTGTTGAGCTGATGGAGCTAGAACTTCTCTTCCCAGCAGTCAGGAAGATCCTTCCATAACATGTGCATGAGCTTTTCCGCAAATGCTTTGCCATCAAGCTTTCGTTCTATTTTCATGTTGAAGCCAAACCGCCTTGAGGGTCTGATCTTGAACGCGCGAACCTGCAACAGTTGTAGCATTTCCTTCTTGGCTTTCTTCTTTGGCGCTTTTGGTCCGAAAACTCCGGTCAGTTGGAACCCGCCACCGCTTCCCGCAGACCCAGGACGTGTCGAGAATTTGTCTCCATGCACGCTGCTGGAGGCTACACTGTACACCGAAGCCATGTGCTTGTTACTTCCAGCGGGTGGCGAATTCCCGGTGATGACGCGCCCGCTCGGTGATCGCGCCCCCGCAGCCCCACCGCTCGCTAGTGCCTCCTGCAGAGCATCCTTCACAAATGAACGCGATACAACTCTTTAAGTAGTTAGTACTGGTGAAAGATATATTTTACTCGAAAGGCTGTCCCACGGCGAGGTAGCTAACAGCCGTGCTCCTTATTGTAAGGCGATCCTTGTTCCACTGCTTCAACTATCAAATGACCACGTCATCTTTATTTACTCTCTATTCCTAATTATATGTATCGTATTCTACAACTTCTTTCATCCAGCTCTCGATTTGCCATATCCTTCGCTCCTCCACTACATCGTCCTCGTCAGCGTCGACGAAGTCGCATACAAATTGGTCGAACTCTAGACCAGCTTCGGTTCCCAGCCACGTCAAAAGCCGCCGCAGCATTAGAACGCACCCACGAAAAATCTCATTGTGGTTGATGAAGATGCAATCCCAATCCCGATATCTTTCCTGCTGATCATCTTAATGCTTTGGACTCAAAGCTGCCTGACACAGGCGAGGAGAACGAGGAAATAGGCTGAAGAACCGCCTTAACATAACATCATCGAGCGATGAATAAGCTTCTGCCCTCGTTGGCACAATGTCAAGCTCACCGTCCTCATCAACTTCGGGTTTCTTTTGCTGTGCTGCCTCTTTCTTAGGCTCGGGGCTCGCCTCAGCGCCCCCTGGAAGTATGTTAATGTTGAAAGGGAAATCTAAATGGACGTACTGAAAAAGCATGGACCTCCTAGTTTCCATGATCTTCTAGTTCTCATGAGTTCATACTTAGGAATATCATCAAATGAAATTGTGGTACTACCTGCTGGCCCTGCTCCCCCTTCCAGATCCATGTCCTCAGCTGATATCCTCCTTTTAGGACTCTTGGCACGAAGAATAGCTTCTTTCGATCTCTTTGGGACTGGAATCTTTTTCCGCTTCTTGTTTTTGTTCCCGCTGTACACCTTCGCATAAAAGACACCCTGTGACATAGGGACTTGATTCCGGATGATGTACTTCTGTAGGGGCATATCCCTTGTCCACACAACCCGCACTATGTGATTGTATCCTCCTCTCGCTTTCACGTATTTCTGGACAACCGTAGTGGGCATGTCAAAGCGCTGCTTCATAAACTCCTCAAAACCCTCCCGAAAATCGTGACCAAACATCAACTGCGTTAAAAATAAGGAGACGCTGTCTGATTGTCGTGCAGAGAGCTTTCATTTCTATCAGAACGCAAGCTATCAAGAATCTGTGGCTTTCCTGTGGCTTTCCTATGAGTGTTGATAAATATGAGGCGGTCTATTCATGTTGGCGCAAGAGCAGGACAAAATGCCGTAGTACTTTGAGGCTGTTGCATCGTCCCTGTGCGCTCTTCATTACTGCTACCGGTATGTCGATCATTTTCTTCGTGTCGACATCGTCCTGGTACGTTCTCAAAACCGCTTTTCGGTCGAGGTCGAAGAATTTGTAGATGTCTCCCACATCGAAGTCGGGTTTCTTCAGCAAGAGGCCGTCCTCGGTGTAGAGCCAGATCGGTTTCGATGAGTAGTTGTCGAACACGATGGTGTCCGGCACGTTGACAGGAAGCTGCAGCCGTCGATTCTCGATCAGGTCATGTCGCCGATCGCCTGTGCTGCGACGTGATAAAATCTTCCAAAAATCGGCCAAGGGCTTCACGTGCTCGTAGCTGTCGTCATAGTCCCGGTCCGTGAATGACAGCCTTTCTCGGAGCAACTCCAACATAGACACGGGTTCCCGCGCAACAGCACTTGCTGGCCTTGCTCTATTGTCCGGGTTCGATTCCGCCGCATTGAAATACGACTTCATCGTCTTACCCTTCCCCATCTTGTCGTATTTCTTGGCGATAGATGACTCTATCAAAGATGATTACTGGTTCTACTCAAGAAGATTATTTCATCAGCAATTCCAGTTGTGGTGCAATGACGTTCGCCTTCGCGTGAAACTGTACTAGTCTAGGCTTGTGGCACCGGAACGATTCTCTTGCTAATACTTTTCGTTGCTCGGTCTTCGCTCTAACATTATTCGTCGTCCTGACTCGTCCTTGACATTCGACGCGGAGAAGGTGGGCCATTGTCGAGTTGTGGCTTGTCTTATCTTTGTGGTCGCCGTCGTCGTCTAGCGGATTGCTCTTAGATTTGATGTAGAGAGTTGAACCCAAATTACTCCCGTGTCTGCGGCGGTGATATTCCGGTCAAGCCGAGCAGGACAGGTTTAGCTTCGTCTTTCTCCGATTTTCCTCGTGTCTGTCACCGATGTCTCTACTTGTCGCGCTTGAGTGGTATCGCTGCTCGCGTGAATTTCGCCTTTGCGGTCGAGCTCCTACACCATCACAGCATCTCTCGCCGGGACGTCATACGTGCCAGGTGTGTCACTTTTCGCGCACGGACATAGCGGCAAACAACGCTGTAAAGTGAACGAATTTCTTGTCTCGTACTGTTGGCCGCCTGTTTCAGAGGGTGGCCAGTCAACGGCTCAAAAAGCACTTTTTTATGGTTGCCGTTTTTCTTTTTGTCTTTGTTGTGTCGGGGTCTTACGGGAAGGGCTAAAGACGCTCGAAAAATGTTTTCAACATTGCACCGATTAGTTTTTCAATTCTAACTCCAACAGGTTATATTGCGCGTTTTCTGATCTCACGTCATGCATGCTCTTACAGCAATTGTTTCAGCTTAGTTTCATACAACACCATTTTCATATTGCAACCTAGACAAGACACTGAATTTCGCACAGATATGATAGGATCCGCTCACATCTCGCTCCTCTCCGATGCTTGAAAAAGGGCTCTTGGTTGGACAGCTGCAGGCGTCCAAAAATCCAGTCCGTTTTTCTAAGTAGTTCAATGAGTCACCGAGAAAGAGTTTGGCATAATTTGCAATTCAATCTAATCAGAACCCGTCTTTTTTTTTTTTTTGTAGTGCGAGCGAGTTCCGACACATCAAAACTTACCTGCGTGTTTTGCGAGCGAGTACCGTCGTACGATCTCCACAAGATCGACTCTACTACCGGGAAGAACTGCTCCTGCTACATCTAGTACAACTAGGAAGCTTCGCGCGAGAGATTCCGGAACTTAATTGAAGAAGTAGTTGCTTTTCACTACATGTCGTTCTCGTACGTAAAAGTCTCTTTTTGTAGTTGTCGAGCCCATCGTCCTGCGCACCAGACGTAGTCCAAAATGACAAGACCAAACACTGACTAACTTCACCAAAATGAAAAGATTCTCATTCCTTGTAAGGCCGTAGATGCCGCAGCACCTTCATCCTCATGACTACGATCACAACCCGCTGCATGTCTTGGAGCAACTAATTCACGCCGGTCAGATGCCTTCCGCTTCATCAGATTCTGATTGCAGTCGCCGATCAGAATGCATAGAGGCGTCCACGTCCGTACCGCCTGATGCACCAGTCATCGTCATCCGTGATGTCCCACATGCGGTTCATGAAGGGCTGCCACATCGGAGCGCACCAGATTGGATAATAGATGCTGTCGTTGAGACAAGATGGATCGAGATCGAAGCGACTATGAAATAACAATCTGAGGCAAAGAGTTGCGTGACTTAGTGAGGACAACAGACGAAGATATTGACAGAAGGACTCACATAGGGAAGATGATCAATAAAGTATTAAAGTAGTACACTGTCGCCAGCAGGAACCATATGACGTATTGCGAGACGAGCATCTTCTGCTTGTACAGCCTCTCCTGAGGAGGTGTGAGAAGGAAAAGAAGCTTGAGGTGACTGAATCCCGCTAATTCACAGTAAATTATTAGAGTTGTGGTAGCTAGTGGTTGTCTGCTTAGGTGTAGTAATAGTTTTGTGCTACTTGGAATTGAATATGAATAAAATTGATCATCTGTGGACGTGCTGCTACACGAGGTGCGCCTCTGCTGAATAGAGTCATCATCATACATACGATCTCTCTCCTTGTCATGTGAAGTACCTTAAGATTAAGTGGCAAGTAAGAAAAACTCACCTCGTCTTGCCTGATCCGGTGCAACGCTACGTCTTCTATTGTCATTTCGTCTCGCAAACCGTCCATTACGAAAGTATAGATGTCGTCTTGCTCTTCGGGCAATGGTATGGTCTCTCCATTTGGCGAAATATGCCATGCTAGTAGTTTTCGAGCATACGCATCGGTATAGCCGCCTGCACCCTGCATATTGGAGGAAGTAGAAAAGGAAAGTGAAACATCGATATGTATCACACTTATTCCCATGAAGACTGACAGATTAAAATCAAGGATCAAAAAATTCCATCTTTTCGCCAACAAGATTCATATCTTTTATGCATCACTTCATTTGACGTGGGAAGCAAAAGGTCTTAATAAATTACCCCAAGGAGCAGTTCCCTGATTTTTTTATCCGCCTCCTTGCCAGCTTCCGCACCCGTCTTGAATTGCGCCATAGTGTTATCATTTCCGCTTGGAGTCTTAGAAGAAGGAGGGATATTCATGCACCGTCTCCTTCATACGCCGGCTTTTTGAGTGCTGCCTTCGTAGAAAATGAGATTTATCTGGTGACTTCATCACAAGTAGATTAGCTAGCACGACGCGCGACGGTAGGTGAAAAATATAAGCATTTTGCTCATGACGATATTAAACGATGGTCCTGGACCTGCTCTTATCCTCGTCCATAATTTTTGAATCTTGCGTCAGGCCTGCCTTTGCTAGGGCATCAGTGACGAGAATATCCCTAGCCTGGTCCTCAAAAGACGATTTAGTGACTAGGCCATCGGGCTTTGGCATGCATGCTTTCAACTCCCCAAACGTTCCTGCCTTGCATTGAGTGTAATCGCCATGAACCTGGTATAATTCATTGGAGGATCATCTCAACTACGCTGAAGCGGAGAGCAGGACAGTACGAGAAGATGCAACATGATTCAAACTCTTCCATTCGTCAAGAGGAGTATAACATCCGTCCGATGTTGGAAGGCGAGGGGAGAAGCTCGAGCAAATACTTAGTTAGTTCTAGTTTTAGTTGGGTTCAAGAACAGTGCGAGTTGTGAAGCCACTTCTTCCAATACTAGCCCTCATTACGATGTGGATGTTGAAGTTACCAAAATGATACCATCAAGCATAATCTCAAAGTCGATCAAAAGCATTTTCTTTGGACATCAGTATGAAATGCAATGCAATGCAATACAATAAATCTCGCACAGAGTTCAGTGCAGACTGCCATAAGGGCGTCGTTGTAGTTGTACAAATTCTTCAAGAAATACTTGTCGTATTGGTTGACGCCATGGCATCATCATGTTGATGCCAGAGAAGGCTGTCTCCCGCATCCAGTCCGCATCCGAATGCCTCTCCGTGACATATTTACCATAGATGATTAGAACCATCCGATTCCCGATGACACCAACAAACAAACAAACAAACAAACACAAACACTAATGAAACTTGTCTAGTATCATTCGAGGATGAGCAAGAGCATGCGGCAAAATCTTTGTGAAGTGTGTTTAAAATGCTTTCAATCCTCGATGCCTCAGAAACTTCTGAAGAAAAAGGTCTAGGTTCGGAAGACGTGACATCTTCATGGCAAGGAGCGGTCTCAACGGACTTCCTCGACGGACAATCCGTCGAGGACAAAGATCGTCTGGTAATCGATAACCTGACTTCGATCTCAAGGGTCCTCTTTTTTCTTTCCCCTATCGTCGACATCGAAATCAGGTTATCAAATACCAGGAGCATGCATTGTTCGAAGAGCAAGATGAGAGAGCTTCTAATTGTAACGAAAACTACGTACTGCACTGTACAACTAAACGAGTACCCCTAACTACTGCAAAAGTGAATCCCGAGTCATAACGTCGGATATCTTGATGGTGCCTGCTTCAAACCTTGTTTCGGGGTGGTCTTGTACTTTGGAAAATAGCTTATTGGGTCTGATGTCTGGAGCACGCCTGCAGCTTAGAGTCCTTCCAGGCCTGTACAACACCTCACAGTACACATGTGGGATACTTACCACGACTCTCTTGCAAGGGAATGACGACGAGGATAAGGATAAGGATGTGAGTGACGATGGGGATGATAAAAACAAAGCCATATGCTGTGGGCCCAGTTACAACGCCAGCGCCACCCCTGCAGGCTGCAGACCTTCGCAAAAGCAGCATTTTCTAGGTTTGGCTCGATGGTGGCGTCCTAGATGATCGCGTTCCCCTGTGTTTGACGATGTCTACTCCTCTTTAGAAGTCTTCTCCTAGGACTGCTTCGATGACCGGGAGTTTCCTTCAGGCGATTCTCGTTAGAGAGGCTAGAAGTCCTAGTCGGAAGGCCAAACCTCCATTTTTCATCAAAAGAACAAAAAAAATAGAAAGGATCTATAAAGTAACTTCTTCCAGCAGTACCAGAACTCGCGACTTTAAAAGGAGCTAGGAGTTAGTCGACGAAACTACAACTCCCTTTTCAACCACACAAGCCACTACGAGGGCAGCCAAACAACTACAGCACGAACCGGTTTTGTAGGAGTGCAACCCATTATCCTCCAGAGCGGAAGAAGGTATGAGGAAAAGTACGAAAGTCCTGGTTTTTGATGCTGCGTCTCCTGTGATGCGGTACCCTTCAGCTTTAATAGCTTCTACAGTTACATTGTCTCTAAATTTCGCTTCAGTAGAATTGGCATGACAATGTAAAAGGAAGTCTGCAATTCTCATTTTCTCCTTGTCATCCCATCGGTTACAACTAGAAGACACAAGAGGAGCTTGCAGCTGCTTGTTTTTTAATACTAGAGACTGGTAAGTAAAAGTAATATCATCTACTAGCAGCTGAAGCTGGTGTTAGCTATAAAAGACATCTGGCCTTAAGTGCACAATCCTCTCTTCACGTTCACATCGGTACTACCTCAAGAACGTCACTCACATCGCTCATTTTCTCCACGACTCGGGGACGTTGAAGGTATGAATACTTTTTGGCAGTGTTGCTCGTTGGCCTCAGCTGCGTTGTGCCTGGATTGTAATATTATGTTGAGAAAAAGTAGGGATACACTTTTCTCTCGGTCCGATACCAATCTCAAAGTTCTCTCTCCTCGCACTACAACAGACTGTGTCACATCGGTCATATCGGATCTGTTTTGTCCCTGTCTGCATGCATACTTGGTGCTGACAGGCCTAATCTTCATATCGCCATTAAGCTTCTTGTGACAAGAATGTCAGACAGTTGCTCAAAAAAAGCAAGAGGAGGTGACAGTTGTAATACTTGAGGCAATCCACTGTGTTTTAGTGTGGTTGAAATAGGTACTTGGACTGAGGTGGCAAAAGAAACCTGGATGACATTTTATGACAGAACCAAAAGAACAACCAAATAAGAGCAATTTTTGATCATGATGAAGATGACTGTGAGCATAAGTTGTAACTCATGATGAAGTTGAACTGCTCGATTCCTTCTATTTAAACATACAATGGAACCGACGAGGACACGACCATTTTTCTTGATAGAATCTATAAAGCACAATGTTGAGATGCATCTTTCATTACTGTGATCGTAAAAGCGTTCATTCTCTGTGCACAAATCAAGCGGCCCGTCTTGCCTACTATAAATCAAATCATATCTTGTTCTGGAGCACCAGCAACTACTACAACGATGGATAGCGATAGTGATAGAAGGAAGCGACTAAAACAAACATATTTTATAATGACTTAACTTTCTGAGCCCGTACCTTCATTCACATTACCCATACCGAGGCTTGGATATTTTTTTTCTCCGAAAACGAATTCCTCTGATCAAAATGCCGATGCACATCATGGATCACATGGTGCTCGCAATCATAATAAATAAATGAGCAGCACAACGAAGAAAAGGCTAGCGCATCATACCTTATATCGCATGGCGTATTAGCTCGGTGGTCCCCACTAATCTGCCATATTCCTCGCAGTACTTCTTGGTATATATAGCCTCGGTACATGATAAACTACAGAGACAAAAAGCAACAAATATGCCTCGTTTGAGGAGAAACCAGGGTAAATCACAAGCACGAGCGGGCACGCGCTGTTTTTTCTTTTTCAGTCCAGAGCGCGCCCTTTCATGATGAAGCGTCGTGTCTTAGTTAGACCTTGCAGAAATGGAAATCCATCTTGGTGAGCATCTTCGTGCCAGTTTTCTCTTCAAAAAGAAAACAAGATGCTGGGGAAGATGAATTTCTTCAAGCCTTAACTTAGTCAAACTAACTCCCCTTCTGATGTGTCTGTCGATCTTCATTTCTTTAACTACAATTAATCTGCGCGATCAGTTGGTCAAAGTATCAATGAGTGACTTATCTCTATCTGTACGATCATTTTTTTCTGTGCGAATGAAGTCTAAGTCTAGGTTGTAAAAAGGCATAGCTTAGTACTTGTCTTTGAATCATGTCAAGAATGAATTTCAACACGACCATACGTGCAGCGTCGCCGGCCCTTTATCGACGTCTTCTCTTTGCACGCGTGTGGCTGGTCTGTAACTGTGAATGTCTAGTTGGTCCAATCAAATCACTTATATAGATATATCTTTAGGTTTAGTTATCAATCTTAATGTACTAGGACAAATAAAACGATATCAGCGCATATCGCTACCGATTCGTTCATTTTCTGAGTGCGTACTGACTGAGATAGGATTTTTCACAAAATCATTTTTTCAACCAGTGAAGACAGTCTGTTCTCACGGCCGAGTGCCTCCAACGTCTACTGCAGTATGTGAGGGACCCAGGGCTCTCCGCTCCTCGTGGCTTCCGTCGTCCTCGGAAAAGTCGGAGAAGCCCCCACCTGCCTCGCCACTGTCTACAACAATATGACGAAGTTTTTCTGACGCTGTATTGACTCCGTCTCTGGGACGGCCCCGTCGAAATAACGATTTAGTCGTCGATTCTGCTGTGCTGGCTGCAGGGATATTATTCTGATCTAGAACTTCACCTTCACCTTCTACTGCATCTTCACCTTCCTTTTCATTTCGCCGTGCGCGGTCGAGGCTACCCCCTTCGTGGCTGCCGCGCTGGTCCGGCGGGCCACCATCACCAACGTCGCCCTTCCCAAGGTCGCTAACTTCAACTATGTTTTCGGCGACTTGTTGTGCTTGCGTTCCCCTTGTTGCTCCTCTCTTAGTTTGATGCGAGTCTCTTCTCACGACCCCATCTCCTATTGATGTTGCACCAGGCGTGGTTGTACTAGCTTGGCTTCCCGCTACTTCTTGGTGTAACAACAAAGAATCTAGTACTACTTCGTTTTCAACCCGTCTTATATGCAATGAAGGGCCTGCTCCTTGGCGTCTGGCATCGGATGATGCACTTCTTATGTGGCTCGCTGTACGCGGACTTGCAGTTTGGTTCGTGCTCGATAGAACAGGTGGACAATCCACTCCGATAATCGACGTGGAGTAGGTGGTCGATAAGTCACCCCCCGTGCCTGTTCCAGTAGTATCATTCATATCGCCCCCGTTCGTCGATGAGCTCGAATTCGAATCCTTGCTCTTAGAGGACGACAATGAATAAGTAGATGATTCCAAAAAAAATGCAAAATATCTTAGGCTGACAGTACAACAACTCACAAAGAAGTGGAAATCCAGCCAGAAGCTGAAACTAGGATTATAAGAAGCTGCACCGGGGAGGATTTGACTATCTTTTCATCAGTACAACAACTCACACAGAAGCGGAAATCCAGCCAGGAGCTGAAACTAGGATTAGAAGATGCTGCACCGAGGAGTAGTTCGATATCTTTTCATAACACGAAAATTGAACTTCTAAGGTAAACTCCGTTTGCCTTAATTCCACCTTCTTGTTCCTCACTTGACCCGTCGCCGCCGCGACCTTTCTCCTGTCCCGATGAACCGCTTCGCCCGCCGCCGCCGTGGCCGTCTCCATTACCATCTTTTGATCCTTAGAAGAGCTACTAGACCTAGAATTTTAGTTTGAGGCTAGTCTTGCGAGCAATGCACGCCGTCACAGTCAACGAAAGGAAGTACTACGAGTAGACCAAATTTAGGTACTAGCCGCTGCCTGCTACAAATCTACTGGCATATTTAACCCTGACTATCCAATAAACAATGAGCGAGCAGCATCAGACATAGGTGCCCCATAATTGTGTGCCCCTTTATCATCCTTGTCGTCTCCGTTTTTGCGATGACGGTGGTGTCGGTGTTCCCTGTGCTGGTGATGTTCATGCTTTTCTTCTTCCTCGTTATTCACATCGAAAACGCGATCCTTCAACACAGATGCGAGAATGGATCCCAACAAGATCACTAGCAGGCCGGCGCAGACGTACACAGGTGAAACCGTGATGATATTCTGCAACACAAGCTTCAAACCGATCAGAATCAGGATCAACGAAACGCCATACTTCAGCATCGAAAAAAGCTGACAGCAGATGATGTTAATAGAATCAATGATATCCCAACAACATGACGCTTCACGGATGGGGATGTAAAGCAGGAGATATTCCGAGTCATTATGCTAAGAAAGCAGAAAGAAAAAGTAGAGGTACACACAAAAATCACAATATGAAACTACATTTGCAAGGGCGTTGACGACGAAGAAAAGGCATCGGATCCCAAGCATCGCGAAAATAGTACTCGTATATGCCAGAAAAAGGTCATCGATTTGCGCTACAATCGCCGAGACGCTATCAACGGCAAAGATGAGATCGCACACCTCCAGGCAAACAACAACCAAAAAAAGTAATGTTGCCCGTGTTTCGTAGCCCACCACACCGGAATGCTTAGACAGCAATCATTGGCTTCAAAACATATTAGCTGTGGTCTGAGCAGCTGGAGTTGACCATTCTAAGATAACACTACCAAAACTCTTAAGAATTTGTTCTAAATCTTCTTGTGAATTTTTCCTTTGCCCATAAGGTGATTTTCATCTATTGAAATTCCCCGCCCGGCATCTACATCTTTCAAGTCTTCCTTGATCGCTGGAACAGCAGCCTTTCCTGCGGACCCAGATCTAGCTATCGAGCGCGATGCCCAACCAGAACTGCCACTATCATGCTTCTCTTCTGCGAATGCATGGTGTAGCTGGTTCACGCGATTGAGAAAAATAATGTTGAAGAGGCCTCGTCATCATGTTCAGACAGTTTATTCATTGTCGTTTGGAAGCGAATGTGAGATCAATACAGTCGCTTTCAGAGCATCAAAAGGTAAAACTTATCTGTATGAAAAAGAAACCTTGCCCGAAGGAGCCGGATCTATTTTCTCCCTTATTGAGGATTCGTCTCCCGATTCTGAGCGTCCTTCACTGTAGAATTTCATCCCTCCTCCAGCTGCTTTCTTTTCGTCCTTTTTTTGCAATGCATCGTCCTCGTGTGCGCCACGAAGATTAGATCCGTCATGTTATCTCGTTGTTGTCAACTCAAGTGGGAGTTGATGACACACAATCAGATGCAATCCGTTTCGAATTCCATTGAAAGTCATAATAATGTCGGCTTTTTTCTGCGTCGCATCACCGTCCTTTTTCTTCGGTGCTGGCGCTGATGACATGACCATGTCGCTCCCTGGCCCAAGAAAAAACTCACGATCCTCGCCGATATTAGAAGAAACAGAGAGAAGTAGATCTCTATCTTATGATTAACGTAATATATTATACTACGTACTTCCGATTCCGTAAGAAAAAGAAAAGAGCAAGAACGTGCTACTGTCTTCTTATTTCTTGATCTTGCACTCAAAGAAACACCCACACTCAACACCGTAATGTCCTCTTCGGGTGGTGGTGTCGGCGCCGCTTTCTCGTCAACGGGTGCAGATGCAAAAGCGTCGCTGATGCGACCGAAGAAAGCTGAGATGCCACCTGGTTCTTCGTCCTCGTCCTGCTTCTCTTTTTCGGCCTCACTCTTCCTTAGAGCTAAACAGGTGAAGATGCTAGTGATCGACAAGGCACGATAATATTCCAGAGGACTTCTCTGTAGTTTGGCGTCCATGTTAATCAGCCACTAGCGGAACAGAGGAAAAAATGTCTCTCACAATGAATAAGGGCTAGCAAACTAATCGCTAGCTACCAAGGTACCGATTTAAGTACTCTATGTATCTGATTATCGCAGAAGTATCATTGTTAAATCAAAACAAGGCCTCAATGTTGACGTATCCACTTCCGGCTCCACATACTTTAGTTCTTCGAGATATACCGCATTCCCGTCTTTGTCTACTGGTACCCGCATAATAAATTAGAGCTTTCGCCAACAGGTCACACCTAATGATCCGGAAACCAGATCGAGATCATGAACATGAGTCATTGCTTTGGTATTTCTAGGCGTAAAGTGGCGAAATGATTATATCTCGTGACGGTAAAACGCAGAGATACGCCAAAAGCGTATTGATATGGCCATGATGTTGGGACTACACATTACCAACCTCTATCAAGCCCCCCAGACTATATTCAAGAAAAATGTGACTTCGCCGTAAAAGAAGCTCCCATGCTGATCGTATATCCCCACAAAAGGCACTAGGTCCTGCAGCCACTTCACAGACGCAGAATTAGAGAAAACTATTGCTTTTCAAGGGCATTACGTATCTATAATGCGATACATCAAGAGCACTTGAAGTACTGAAGTCTATCCTCCCCATAACAAATGTTGTTGGGTCTGCCTCATCATCGTCCTCTTCCTCGACGATGCTATTCATTCCGGTGTAGCTGTATAGACGAGTAGAGCGAATTTCTTGTGTTGAATCATGGGAGCTAGAAGTAGGATTTTGGTTGTGTTGTAACTAGATAATATCTCTATCTGAATTTGAACAAGTAGGAAAAAGCACAATTTTGAGAAGTCATCCTGTCAGCTTGTTCTAGCCATCATTTGTCTGAAGTAAGTACACTAGAAAGAGCCCGAAGATGATATGGGCAGCCCATATTCCGTGCACCAGAAACTCTCCGACAGCGATTAGTCCTAACCTGAAAAAGATCGCTCCGAGGATACCCACTATCAAAGGCTTGTGCTTCAGCGGCTCTGGGACAGCATGAAGTCGGAAAATCAGCTGAAAAACAAACAGATTGTCAAAGGACAACATCCATTCCAGAAAATGCTTAGAGGCGAATCAGGCTCATTCTTATGTTACCTAAATTGGTGAAAGGATCTGCTCGTTCACACCGGAGCAAGATTAGAAGTAGAACAAAGTAGACGACTCTCTAATTAATTGGCACTTATTATTGTGTATTGCCATTGAAGTGCCTCCATGATAGTAGAGAGCTAGTGTGAAGCTATAAGATATCCACTCAGCCAGCGAGACGCCTCCTCGGTGCTGTAGGCAAGATATAGCACGAAGCAGAAAAGTCCAGCACAAGACATCCAGAACATCGTTTGCAGCTGAGATCAGTTGCGAGGAGACAATGTCATTCTGCTTATCAGAAAGCGTACGTAGAAATTCTGAGTGAATGTGCTTGTACGGTGACTGCAGCAAACTACATTTTCTATATTACATTATATTATATTATGTCTGTGTAGTTTACAACATAGATAATTAGATACATACAACTGTAGAAAAAAATAAGAGATCCATGTGCAAAATCAGTTTTTATCTTTGAGAATTTTTTCTATCATGTAAATTTAATGAGGCTGTTTGTGCTCAAGTAAGCGTACTAGACGTTGTTACCGCTGCTGTGGTCAATGAGATTTTCCGGTTCTTCGCGTTCAGCACGAAGAGATCCAGCGCTATAAGCGCCAGAAAAAAGACTACAAAGAGCGTCCACACTAAATATCCCTCCACCGTAGTCATGTAGTGGCATTCTTAGAGATTTCGTCTAAAGCAAACTTACATTCATCACGCTCGGTTCTTCACGGATTTCCTTGAAGAAAAGAGTCAAGGACGCTTGTGAGGGACGTAATGGGGTAATCTAAGTAATGTGTGTTCCGAATCTAGGGAACAGATTGTTTGAGAATGAATTTCAAGTAGACCAAGAAGTCCTTGAATTCTCCTGCAAGAACTGCATAAACATTATTAAGTAAGTCACGTCAGCTACTACAAGCAAATCACCTCTAAGCGTAAAAGCTATCAGTTCCCGAGGATGTGTCCGCTAACACCAGTGAGGCACGCCGTGATCCTATTGCGAGGCTTAGATGAATTTACAGGCATCAATGAAAAATGATCTTCAATTATCATTTTCAAAGAGTTGTTGTCGATGCCCTCGTATTCATTTGAGAGTATGCAACAAAAGCATCAACATGTACAACTCTACAATTTTGCCGTCCGTTTCAGTATGACTTCTCAATGCTTCGGAATTCATCTAACTAGGAAGACATAACAGGTCGCCGCGCTCTTGTGGTGACAATGGACTTGCCCTTGCGGTGTCGTAAGCATGCTTGGTAACCCATTCCCAAACGGACTCGACACGCAGTCGATCTGTCCGGTGGCGAAGAAGCTCCCTCCCGCCATCATGCCGCCTGTGGTTGTTGTGGTAGGTTGTCGCACTGTGCACGGCGGAGGACCAGGGGAGTTCGTTGCTCGTCTCATATTGGTCTGGTTGTGGTGACGCAAGGAATGACGACCCATCGCGCAGCAGCGGCGACGACCGGTGGTGCCGCAGGTGCTGCAACTCTCTCACTACCATTCTCTTTTCATGTTCCGCGTCAACATAGGAGAAGAAGTGCCATTTTTCTTCTTTATTTCTCAAAGCGAGAGCCAGCGACTGGCGTGTTGTGTTTTTCTCCTGGAGAACTAGCCTTCGTATTTTCTCCAGATTATATACTATTTTTTTTTGAATTTTCCTCTTCGAGGAAACACTTGTATTTTTTCTTCGTGAAGAGGTGAGGACACGTGTTACAGTTACTTAGGTAGAACTTCTTCTCAATTTCAGTCGTCGAAAGCGTCACTGGATAGAACATGGTACGTCATCTCATAAAAATTGCTTACAGCGATAGCTGGAAAGCAGATTTCTGAAAAACATGCGCTCCACTCCTCCACTCTCTCCAACTCTGAACATAAACAGGTCTACTGCTCACCGATAATCATATATAATGTATGATGCGCAATACGCCCCGTTGCTTCAGTCATAGTCTTGTCACACGATGAGTAGTTGTGCTGCAACTCCTTAGAGTGAAGCGTTTTCTGGAACGTCATTGGCTATGTCGCATGTGTAAGTGTATCCATACTCTGAAAATGTATTGATATGCTGCAGTTTCTGCTTAGAGATGCACCATCCAGAAAGTCAAAATAAATTAGCGTTCAGCGCATGTCGCGACTATGGCTATCGCCACATCGTGATAACTTTGTCACGAGGAGTGGACGACCGGAGTAGATCAACGTTACAGTCGCCAAATTCCTGCAGCAGATTTTGTCCTGTGTCTATGGATGAATATTTTGACCACATGATCACGAAGGAAATGAATCACACACGCATGTGATGTTGAAGTTAATTACGTAAATATACAGAAGAATTCGTTTTGGTACTGGGATAGTAAATGAGTAGTCAATCATCACAAGTAAAACTTACTACCAAACCAGAAGCGTGTTGGAGTTGCACCGCTTAGGCAACGTGCACAAGATCCCAGTGCTGCATCGTCGGTTGTTATCTTATGACAGCAACGGCATCAAAATCAATCATACATAGCAAAAAAATATTCATCAGCATTCGAAAGCATGACAATACATTGTATTTGCTCAAAATCCTGAACAATTTCTTAGGTGCACCCCAGTGGTGCTGATTAAAGTATGTCTCTTACCTATATTCGCGTTAAAATCTTGCCGTGATAGTGGGAGGGAAGTGCGACTAGCAGACTTTCGCTCATATTTGAGCATGTCCCTGTAATAATCCATGCGGTACACCCGCAATTTCCTGCGAACTGGGTACTAGATGCTCTACTTCTATTCAACATCAAAAAGAAGCATTTCATCTTTCTTCATCGAAGAAGCTTACATGCTCTGCTTCTCAATGATTATGATTTTGATTATCGTGGTGATAGAGATCATAGGACACTCTGCAGCGTGAATCTGTATGAGGACTATCATGTAGTTCTCGACCAAAGTAGTGGTAAAGCCAGCTCTACATGGTCCTAACCCGCTTCATTGACGGTTCGCCGCTCATGTTTATGTCCTCATCTTCCTCGAAATCCCGTTTCGTAATTGTTGGGGAGGACGCGCCAAACATGTATTCGTTTGTGAGTTTGGCACTAGCCTGAAGCTCCCTCATTCGCTGCTTTACATCCTTGGCGTGCGATAAGAACCTGTCGTGCAAGGCAACGTACTTTGCGATGCCTCCAAGAATAGGATCCTGCATGCTGCTCTTCATCTTTGTGAATTCCTTAGAAAAATTACTCTTTTTACCGACAGGCGAAACAAGAGATCTTGACGATTCTTGTGGTCTGACTACCACTAATAACTGTAAACATTATTTGCTTCACTCACATCTGTTGTAAAAATCTACTTTATAGAAGAAACCACGAAAAGGACGTCAAGACAGGAGATTCTATTATCATCCTTTATTTTGCAGCAGCTCCCATGGTTTTTACTGTGGCAATCATAAAGCTGAAATCTTTCGCGCTGCACTGTTCGGTAACTGCCATGTTGCGAATAGCGTCTCTTGTTCTCGATGATGTGAGGCCCGACTCAATGCGAGCGCTCGAAGCTCGCTCGAAACAACGCCAAGTCGAAACCGTGTGCAAGAACGGATTACTTCTTACCACATTGCCAAAACCGGAGGTTGCTGATTGGTCCACTGCTTTTTGGATTAGACGAGATAGGACTTAGGGCTAATTGCGACAGCTTCAGGCTCAGAAACTTGCGTGTGCATCGGGGTCTGCCTGGGAAAATAGACAGCATGCATGGATAATATTTTTTGCTCTGGTGGGAAACAACTGCTCGTAAAAGGTCAAGGTTATCACCATCAAAAATCTTCGAAAAATTTTCAATATTCTAGCCTTAAAGCTGTAGCTGTAGTAATTTTCGAACTTCCTCCAGCAGTGAAGGAGATAGGTGATGACCCTGACTTGGTTGATGACGAGGCGCTGCTAAATGCTGTTATGCCGGGACTCGAGAAGGCCCGGCCGACCTCAAGCTCGTATGAAACCAGCTGAATTAGGCAGGCCCAATTTTCTGGTTGCAGTGCTCGCCAGGAGCTTGTTGGAGGTCCCGCTTGTCCACTTCGAGCGGACGGTGAAAAACCGTAGTTATGCGAGGTTGCTCGGTAACATAGAATGTGGAGAAAATCATCCAAGAAGTCCGCACAACGCTTCTCAGCTTGCTCGATGTGGCAGACGCATTGGTCGGTTTCCTGCACATTGAAATTGCTGTCTGCGAACTTCAAATAGTCGTCCAAGAGTCCGAAAATTTGCGAGTGAAGCTTCGTTTTTTAGAGAAAAGCATTGGCAAACGATCGGATAAGATTCAGCCTCCTCAACAAGAGTTTTAGAATGAATTCGATTTTTCGAGACAACAACTATTTGTACACATTCCGAATGGAGCCGTTTCCCAGCAAAGCAGCAGCATCAATTACGAGAGCTGACATCTCAGCTTCATGATTCAATAGCATCCCAGTGACCACGACCCTGGCCATATTCTACATGCTCTGCTGTCGGCAGGAGTTTGAAGAGTTGTAACGCGTTCGCGCCTGCTTTGTGGAATATTTCTTGGAATCGCGTTCCGATGTCTACACCGTCACAGAGCTGCCGGCTGCGCGCGTGGAAGCGCACGAGATCCCCGAAGACCAGACCATCGACTGCTACTCGGTTCATCTGCCTTTTGATCATGCGGATGAGCAGAGGCTTTTGTGCGCGTTTGCCGATGGCTGTCTCGAGGAACTGCAAAAATTCGAAAAATTTGTTCTTTTTCAATTTTTCCAAGCGATCCTCTGGAGTCATCTTTTTTAGATACTGCACGACTTCGCTATTTCGCTTATCCTCTTTCAGCTCAAGCCACTGCGCATATGGCATGGGCAAGTGTGTCTGTGCAATCATATGCACGCACTGGGTATCGACCTGGTTGTGCGTTTCTCTTGCATGATGGAAAATTGACAGTTGTAAAGCAAAGTAATGAAGACATAATTTAAGTTATTATTTCATGCAACAACGCCATAGGCTGGGAATTGTTTGAATCTCCACTGAGTAAAGTCTAAAAAGCAGTATTTAGAATTTGTCACATCATATATAGAGGAGATACCGTCGTGACCGTCTCCCTAAGGTTTTTGCTCGTTGATATCCTGACACCGAGAGCACCTAAGGCGCTGATAGGAAAAACGTGCTGAAACGACGCGACTTCACCTTCAGTGGCAAACCACTTCGCCGTTTTGATTTTCTTGATACTTGTTTGCATATCGGTCGTGTCCTTGTTCAAATCTACCTAAAAGTGAATGAGAAAAAAGAGAACCAAAGTAGTGAAAGACATAACGATAGCCCTCTCAATGGCTCTAGGTGCAAGGGCATACGCTTGTGCATTCTAATTCTATCTTTTTCCGGCTCACTTAATCATCTCTTTCGTGCACGCTTTCGCGGATGTTTTTCTTGAGTCGGAAATTTTGTGAATCCAAAACCGAACTTTTCTCCTCACTTTTACTGGGTAGGTTTAGAAGAATTAGATGACATGTTGTAAGCCATATATTACCTTGTTAACAACGAGGCAACTGGGTGGTATGTCGAGCTTCTGCCCTTGATTGTACATCAACCCAGCAAACCATTTGACCAATTTTTGATCGTCTTCACCAAGGTAGGAACAATCGACCGAGGGTGGCGGCGGCGCACGGTTGTAGTGACGCGCGGCACTGCGGGCTTCGGCAGGTGATTCACTCGAGAGACTCGCAGAAAGTTCGTCGTCGTCGTCCGGTGAAGTAACGCCCCCACGTTTGCTAGCCTGGTCATGGTGCATGGGAGATGACAGAAACCTCGTGATATTAAAGACCTTTTTCCCGAACGAAATACGGACTTTCATCATAGCGTCATCTCTAACACAGAAAGTTGAACGCATCACATCTTCCTTCTAGTACAAAAGTAAAAAGAACATTAGTTACAACCATATGGTGAAGAACGACAAGTTGACAACTTGTAGTACATATCTGCCTCCTCTGCTAAGCTCCTGCTCTTTCTCAGTGAGGTGCTCGTTCCCATATCCCGTCCAGTCGCGATGCTCTCCGCTGCTCGCAAAAGCAGCTGCGCCGCTCCAGTCGTCCTCCACCCCTCCGGGGTAGGCTGCTGTGGCTTGCCACCGCTCATTCGTGATCCCTTCTGACTCCATAGCAGATCCGGTCCTTAGAGGCAGACATTTCATCACCGGAAGCTAATTCAGCCGATTCCAAAGCCCACTGATATTTTAGTTCAAGAACTACCAATGCTTGACAGGTACACTCAGTTTTTATTGTACTCGAGGAGAAGATACTAATGGTTTTTATACTAGACTCTAGAAATTGAAACCATGTTCATAGATATCACGTTGACACCAAGAAACTCGACAAACTACAACCAGCTGTCAAAAGTACACAGTCGTGTGGATTAGAAAGCCTTAAACCTTGTCTCCATAAGATCTGATACAGCTCTTGTGTGACTGGGCGGCTTGGCGGCCATTGTTCCCCTGTATGATGCTGCGCTGCCGCGGCAGCCAGGTTGGCATTAGTAGCGGCCCAGGCACTTCCATAGTGCGAAGTACTGTCCGAGGCAGTCCTGTGAGACCAAGGAGCAGCCGTGCTTTCGCTGTCTAAGCCTGGCACACCGTTGGAACCATCCATCATCACATCGTCACCCTGAAAGAAGGGGAAAGAAGAAAATATAGCTTCTCACTAAATCTCAATCTATGCATGACTAAATCTATGCATCAATCATATTAAGATTAACGCAATAGCAAGAATTTGGTAAATAGCACGCCAGTACCGCTCTGGAAAAAAAGGAAATACTCCCGTGTACATGCAAGAGCCACACGAACCTCGATGATAGCGAAACAAGCAAAAGCGAAACAAGTAGCTACGTTCGCCTTGATAGTACTTTTTACTTGTCTTAGGTAATACTTTCGTAGTTTGCTCAGGGCTGCCCATTTCGTTTGCGCTAGTCGAAAATTTGTCACCGTCCACCATAACCAAAAAATAGTCGAACTCTGAAAAATGATTCTCCACATAGCGCTTGTACTGGTCTCCTTTATCCGGACAGTTGAGGCCAGGAATATCCACAAAAACCTTGGTGGAGTTATACGGTAGTCTGCAGACGAGGACGACATGGTACTGGGTTCTTCGTCGCATGGAACAATAAGTCTACTAGGTGGTAGTGATGGTGATGATCTACGCCCATATAATTAGTAAGAGCAAGCACGACTAAGTGTGAAGAATGAATGTGAATCAAGAAGCAGTGGATGCTAATTCTTCTCATCACTATGTCGCGACGTACAAGTTCATAAGTACAACTAAAATAATGAAACTCGCAAGACTCTTACGAAAATCTGCTAAGAACATCGTCAATAAGACAAACTAGAGCTACCAGATCGACGCCTTGGTTTGGAATAGTGCTGTCGGTGGACACTATCTCAGGACATTTGACATTCCAATGACATTCCTCCACTGATTCGCACCCCATTGACCTTCGCAGCTTTTTGTCCGTTGCAACGACTTGGTCATACACTTGCGCAGCAGGTCGGACCTCCGGTTTACCGGCACCCACAAATTAGAGAAGAAAGAGTTCAATTTTTTGAAAAGCGCGAATCATAGAAGTTTTCAAGTAAAAGTTGGGGTCATCGAATGGTGTCGCCGGTCGTAAAAGAAAACGCTCGTGAGACTCTGAATCATCGTTTTCGGCTGTTCTTGTTGCGGCGGCAGGATCTCGATGTGATAGTGGTGCACTCCAGCTGTGCAACGCCGGTCGGACACGCTGCCGAACTGGTCTTGAAAGATACTGTTGATCATCGTCGTCTTCCCTACGCGAGATTAGAGTTGTGGGACAAGCTGGTGCAGACCTCTAACGAAACTAAGTCGGCCGAAAGGATCATGCGGATTACGGTTAAGATCATATAATTCGTCTTAACTCTGATTGCCAAGGACAGCGACTTTTAGCTGAAACCTCGCTGAAGGCTCCAAAAGCAAAGGCACACAGTTCGAGACGACTCCAGACGGCTCCCCGAGGGAAGCACTTCCGTGGCCCTCCGGCATCTCGGCTTTTTCTTCTAGTTCGGAGTTGATGGAGTTGTACCAGTACTTCTACTTGTACTTCGATGATTTTACTTATCTAAGATAAGAATGAAGAAAGGGGAACTACCAAAAGCGAGGGAGATGTAGCTTGGTCCCATTTCTATAATATCTGTTTTTTTAGCAAAACAAGCAATTCATTGCGACCTCGCTCGTTGATGTTGTAGTTCGCACCTTGAAGTGCAACATGTACAACTAGGGAGTTACATTTCATCTGCAGGACGAGAGAAGCCTCCTGCAAGCAGGGCACAGAGAAGCAGATGGATCAAAAATGCCAAAGTGAGACAGAACACATACATAACATCTGCTTGCTCTTTAGTCTACAGGTCCGATGTTTGTCGTGTGCGAATACGTAGCTAGTAATGTCATCAAAACGAATAAGTTGGTCTTCACAAAATCTTCATGTTGTGATGCCTAGTAAAGGGCATGGTGATCTTCATCTGAATGCAACTATCGCCACCATTCTGACTTGCTGCTCTCCCCAGTAGTAAAGTCCAAGGACAAAGACAATCCGTCCCCACTAGAATGCTTCTCGTCCATTCTTGCGCCGCTGCAGAAGCTGTCGCTACCAATGCGTGTTCCGCGTGTAACGCTTTTTTGAAAACCAAGTGTAGGACATTAGAGCAGCCCTTGAAAACCGAGTCGTTCCTCAACATATTACTTGCGGTTGCGTGGTCAATTAAACATCTTCAATCGGAGTTGAACATCCAACAAAAATTCGCTTTTCATGTATCAGTTAAACACTTTTGCTGAAATCTAGTCCCTTCAAAAAGTGTTTTCATGATTTGACCAATCTAAAGTAAAGCATCTCTTCTTCTTTTGTTTCACATGCATAAGGTAAAGTCTTGCTTCCATTTTGGATGTCTTGGGTATTGTTTTCCTTCGATCCATGGGGTGAGCCAATCAGGTGTCGGCCGTGACTGGTGAGGTGTGTTGCTCATCAGCTGCTTGTGACGCACATTAGCATTGCAATCAACCGCAAGTATCGGCACGTTTCTCTTCCTCACGACGTAGCGACATTCAGAACAATGCAACTTCAGTACACCCTTCGTTCGGAAAAACCGCTGCTGAATGGCAAGAAATGGAGATGCTCCGGAGGATTGACCAGATCCGGGTGCCGTGGCACTACTTGTTCTATTAAGGGCAGAGGAAGTAGACAGGGCGTACAAACAGAGAGTAGGTACTGGAAACGGCGGCACCAGTGACAAAAACGCTCTGCTCGGCAGATCTATCACATTGCGTGAGCATGAAGCAACAACACACGACGGAGACATGTTTTCAAGATCCCTCTTGTTTGGCCCCTGTCAATCGCATCAGTGGATCTTTAACACATGAATCACTGACGTACTCCTTGTATGCTGTGCCATCTCTCATTTTCTTCTTTGTGACCAGGGCAAAACTTAATCAACTCAATTGCAGCTCCTTTCTTCTGTTTTATTTCATTATCCTAAAATTCAACGGAACCGATATTCTCTCTCGTCGACCTTGTACCACTTGCGCAGGCGCACGACCCTAATAACTGTGTGTATGTCAACGTCTGTTCCTCGTCGAGTGCACGCGTCGCTGGTATAAAAAACAGCTTTGCGCAAAATCTGCTTAGGCATGTAGCGAATAGGATTGCAAGATGCTTAATTTCAATTTTTGTTGAAATACAGCTCTGGCGAATTGTCTGTTTTTTTCGTTCGGACGTAGACGTATCAACGTCGTATTATGCATTAATTGATTGCTTTGATCCGTCACTCAGGTTGGTTGTAGTCGGTGCTAGTTGGATGCAAAAATGGTCTAGAATGTTTATTTCGGTAGCGCACTTTGTAATTAAGAGGGAAATTGGAATGGAAGTCAGTTTCTAATTGAGCCATTGAAGATCTTAGTAATATTCGCATTTCAGGATAAGAGGTCTGTGACTTGAAGTTGTCTGATTCTGATTGCAGACGCAAAGATGTTAATTCATTGGAGTTGTAAGGCCACTAAAAATCATAGAAATACAGAAGCTGATAGTGTAAGTTGAATCAAATGTCAGCTTTGTCGATTCTTGGGCGAAATAAAATACTTCATTCCCCACCATTCATCAGTGGGCGCTGCTGTCGAATTGATTCACGTACACCTAAGAAATTTTCGAAAAGCGTACACTTCTAGTACACGCAATGGTCACTAGTTGTTTGCAACGTAGTCTGCCGCCGCCTCCAGACTGGTATTGCCTCCCTCGGCACAGGCGTCGAAGAGTGCTTCTGCCTCGTCCTTTCCGATACCCAGGTTTCCAAGAGCACCAGCAAAAGCACCCTTGTCCATAGCCGCTCCTGGATCCATACCCAATGTTGCGACAGCATCGTCGAAGCTTGCAAACTTTCCCTCGACTGGAGTATAGATTTGATATGAGTGATGTTCATCTGACAATATTGAGATCGGGGAAAAAGATCGAGAGAGAGGGGCACATGTAGTAGCAGGAGACAATGACAATGTGAGGACAAAAAACAAGAACCGCATTAATAAGTTCATTTCGTGATAATGGAACTGCAGACGACAATTAAAGTGACAATAACAATTTCAGTGTCAGAAAACAGCAATTGTACTTGCGTCTCTGATAGGTCCGGCTGCAGAATCACCTCCACCGTCAAGGCCTGCCATTTCTCCATCAAGGGTTTTAAGCGTCGGTAGGATCTTCAATACTTGTGGTGCTGCTGCTTTTTTTGTCATACCCTCATAGATAGGATTGCCGATAAGCAAGAGATCGATATTAGAGCTAATTGATTCTACGCATCCACAAGGAACTCAAATACAGAGGAACTATCAAGACACTCAAACTTTCACATCTTCATGTCTAGTTAGTACTCATCAATCTAATCTTGATTATCAATGATTGAAGATCATCTTGATCTTTTTGTAGCTTCTATCTTTACATGAGTTGTTGATGTGGAATATGATTATGACGTTGTAGTGGTAGAGTCTTAATGTTCAACTCTGGTAGCTGCTGCAGCTTTTGAAGCTCGTCCCACTGCTTTATTTTGTTGTTGCTCATGAAGAGGGTGTTGAGTTTCACGCAAGGGTGAAGACCGTCTAACGTCGCAATGTGGTTGTATGACAACCATAACTCCTCGAGCGTTGCACCGACTTCCTCCAAACCTATGTCGTATTTTTCCAAAAACACGTTTTTATTTGATATCGAAAACGTACCTATTATTGCAATCCGAGCCCGAGAACATTCAAAAAGGGATGTGCAAAAGATAATCACGTAGTACCAAAGAACCTAGCTGCCTCTACTCCTGCACACTAGAGATAGTACTCATAAACATAAAGATATGAGAAATAAACCAATGACAGATTGCACACCATAGTTCTTCATAATGAATGAAATGAGAAAACTGATCATTAGTTACCTTGTATCTTCTTGATTTGGTTCCTCCCAAGGGAGAGTCGCTTCAGATTCTTGAGCCCTGGTAGGGATATCATCTTATCGATGGAGTTGGTCGACAGTGACAGGTACTTCACGTTTACGAGAGCATTCAAACTTGAGTCCATCTTGTTGATCGGTGGGATCAAACACAGAAGTGCGATCTGCTCTGCCTCTTCGGGATTCGCCGCGTCATTCTTCTCGCTCCACTGTTGGAGCGCTTTCGCGCACGATGTCATCCTCCTTTATCGCAAGAAGTGAGCCTACAATAATTTGATCGTCTTTCTCCAAACGAATGCTAACCAACGAAAGTCATAGAATCTACTCACTGCTATCAATCATGGTTGAAGTTGAGGAGAGGTTAGATACTTGCGTTTTGCTACCACGAAGTGGAGATATAGCTACTATTTCCGGGAATAGGACAAGGTTGCAACATGGGTTTGGGAGCGGGAGGTTTGGACTGCTTGTTGAATGAATGGCGACGGCGACACTCAACGTCTCTCGAACCTACTCCGGAGTAAATAATGATACAACGTCAACGATTTTTTTTTCCATCCGACGGATCCGGATCGCATCCTGTTTCCCTTACGATAAAGATTTTTTTCCTTAGAGTGTCCGAGTGAGTTTACTTTCGCTCCAAAATTACTCGCCTCACGAGTCTCTCTCCGTAAAAAAAAAGGTACGCCTCTGGTCTCTCAACTACTGGATCTGGATCGTAGCTAGTACTCCTTCATCTCGAAAATCGGGCATCCTCTCAAATCCTACGACAAGATTCACGTCACAATTCAGTGATCTCAAGGACCTTGGGCTCCATATTTGTGTTCATATTTTCAAACAGTACCTATAATGCTCTTGATAGTAGTCACAAAAGCAACTTGTTCTTGTCCTGTCTTGTTTTGATAGTCACCAAGCACATGTTCTGCTCGTGTTCTGTCCTGTTCAATTTACCAGGAGGATATGCGACTCAAGATGCGCAAAAAAAGGATCAAAGTGAGTCTCTATAGTTTCGACGTCGTTTTTTGTCGAGGATATGATCGTTAAATGTGCGTTCAGATAAGAACGCGGACTTCGTTGTCGGAAAAGAAAAGGATATATTGTAAAATTCTAATGCTAATGCGAAAAATGGTGAACTTGCGCAGCTGCAGTCAGTAACTGTTGAGTGTTGACATTGCCTAAGTTATCAGAATCTTAGACAGAAATGCTATCATTTTTGTTTTATTATCGGGCTTCAACTTTTTCGTTTTGCTTCTCCTCGCTCGACTCCTCACTTGTTAAATAACAATAAGAACTAACTTAGTAAACGTGCTATCTGTGGCATTGGCTCTGTCTGAAAAACTCTTCACTCACGTCAAATACAAATTACAGTACATGATGATGCAAATGTGGAGCAGAAGGCCTCGCAAAAAGGAAGAAATTTCGTTAAGTTTCATCATCATTAGTTGCTCCTTCACCATCTGCATCTTGCTCTGCCCCGTGGTCGCTCGCACAAGAACCCAAATCGTCTTCCCAATTGGGCTCTTCAATCTCGTCGGTTCGTGTGCTGCGACGGCAGGGACGAGTACTGGCAGTGCTGCGAAAAGCCTCGAACCTAGCTCCATCTCGCCAGACGGGAGATACGCCTTCGAAGGAACCGAAGTTACCATTTTTGGAACTAGCTCCTGTGGCTCTATGTTCGTCACGCTCTTCGGACGCGTCCGAGTTTGAAAAAAGCGTTGATGAGCCTGCTGACGTCCGTGAAGAATCTTCTATGATCATGTCGTCTCCTGCAGCAAGCGTGGCCATGGAATTCTGCTCACCGTGCTGCATGCGGAGTAGCCGTGTAGCTCCGATGTCGCGCACGGCCTCTTTGCTGCGTAGCATAAGCTTACGAGCTCGCCCAGCGGTTTCCAAAGCACTGCCATCAACCATGTAGTCGGGATCACTCTCGACTTCCTCACTAAAGTCAGTGCTCCCGTTATTTTCCAGCGGCTCGTCATCCATCAAATTAGAAGAACAAGTCCTTGCGGCAAGTCTAAGTCCTTGTGGCAATCGGCGGGTCCATGATCACACTGTTCCTTCCAAATCTCTAACTACGATCAACCTTGTGCTTGTGCACCTGCACGGATATGAAATATTAAATATTGATAAGTATTTAGTAACTTCGTCGAGAGCAAGGAGAGGACCGAAGACGGCGCGCTCTCATGTCACTAAACTCAATAACAAGGTATTTAGAGTACATTATTGGAAAGCACAACCGAGCTAGTGCCTTAAAGTAGATATCCTCTAGTTTTGCCCAAGGCTTCACATTCTGCGACGCTATGCCGAAGTTTTTAATGCGAAACTTGTAGAGTGGATCTTCTGCTTTGATTTTCAGTGCGCCTTCCAGTTCCGACGACCATTTCCACTTCTTTCGCTCTACTGCATACAATTTAGCACGAAACTCGCTGTTTCTTAGCCGTTCCTTACGCTCTTTCCAGGCAGCGTTCCAACCCGGAACTTTGGGTGGGCGATAGGTGCACTGTCGTCCGTCAGGCGTCGCATATTTTGGACCCCAACCTCGCTGCTTTGGGTAAAGTGGTTAGAGATGCTTTATTGACTGCGGCGGTTCGCTTTCGCAACCTCGAGCAAGTTCTTGAATTGAGTTGTAAAAAATTCATGATCACTTGTAACATCAATTTTCAGGGACTGGCATCATCTCTTGCTCCACCTATTGGTTGTCGTATTATCAAGGGCCATAATTTTGCATCTTGAAGATCAGGTTTTTCAAGCCCAGCTCCGTCAAAATCAGATATCGGTACTTCAGCAGCTTGTACCTGTATGATCGCGAGGGCGAAAATGTCAAAACATCCTCTATTGAAGGCTTCTAGCGAAAAATGTCAAAACACGATCAGCCTACACTAGTTAAATTCTAAATGTTGCATCGTATAAATGTACACGTCTAATCCTTCGACGTTGCATCGTCGAATCGCTGCAATATGTGCCGTTGCCCATCGGAAGTTATCGTTGACGTCTCGCGTTCCCTCGTGACAGCATAAGGCACTATTGCAGCGATCACCGACTAGTCTGCGAAAGCACTGCACTACATGCTTCGTCTTGTGTGAACTAATATTGAAATCCTTGACCAAGATGATTTCGCCCTGTGCAAATTTCGCACTGAGCATGCTCTTCGTTGCAATCCAAAGCTGTCGCTTGTGGCATCGTCGACGCAGGTCCTGGAGGGATTGCATGTTCAAAGAAGACGAAGAGTAACCATGCACATTAGAAATCACAAGTCATCTTCCACGTAATCATCTAATTAATAGCTTCGTTCTTCGCAAACAAAATGCTAGAGGCATCGACATCGTACTAACATAAATATCGAAGATCTACTAGGTCGCCCATGCCAATCACTGGTGTGCATGTGTATCAAGCTTATAACTACCTTCGGACGGATTGGGTGCACAAAGGAACCCTCCCAGTGGATATGGCCAGTTCTCAAGCCCATTCTAGCATTGCCAGAACGGATTTGTCTGCGGTGTTTGTGGTTTGTACACGGCCAATCATACTTGTTGTACTGAATGGTATTGTCGTATCCGGCTAGGGCTTTCCGATACCACGTGGATTAGAACATGGAGATGAAGAACTTGAAACAGTTACTTAAGTAGAAACAATCATCTAATGAAAATGATACAGCCAGCCCACAGTAAGAAATTAATCAAAAAAACCATCACCTCCACCGATAGTTGTACACTCCTCAGTTTTTCACAAAATAAACGTCTTGTACGCACATCATGCCTTAACAATAAGCCCAGTAAATGAGGTCTTTTCGGAGAACAGCTCCAAAAATGTCATTCGGGACGATGACCTCGCCTACGACCGACTTTAGGTCGCGCGAAATGACAACTCCTGTGTTTGCGACGATGTGGTTGTGCACAACTAAAGCCGCAGAACATGGATCAGTTTTCACGACCTCATGTGAGACTGGGGAAGAAGAGTGAGCCGGAGAAGGAGAATCCGCCGAAGATGCGACCACTTGCTCTCCGCCACTATATGCTGACGAGGGCGTACGACTTTGCTGTTGTGAAGATGCAGCTGCGGACATTGTTGCGCCGAAGCATTTCGGGGCTGCTTCTTGTCTACTCCTGCCGTCATCGGTACTATCATCATGTCTCTGTCCAATATTATGATCGACATCAGGATCATCCTCCCAAACTTCAAATTTATGCATAGGTATCTGGAGAATAGCGTTGAAACCGACCGCGGGAATCGTCCACCAATTCTGGATCACATAGTTTAAGCGCACAAGATCTCCTGGCCTGCGCACCACAGGTGGATCGTGAATGTTGGGCGGGCGCTTGTTGGAAATCAGTCTCCGGTACCAGCTCGTGTGCATCGCTGTCGGGCTTTTCGACTGCTGGTATTTTCTCTCGCTCATTTGAAATTTTGTATACCGGTTGTAGAGAAACTTTCTCAGCTTCATCGGGCACCGCATTTCCGCCAACAGCTGCTCCTTCTGGTCAGGTGTCAAGAGTGCCATCAACTTATCGCTCACCGATTTTCGTTGCGATGCCGTCTCCTTCGCCTCAGGGTGCTCCTGTCGACAAAACTGCTTTTCTGATGAGGTGCGGCTCTCAAGAATTAGAAATAGTAAGTGCAAATACTGTATCAGATGAGAGAAAGTAGAAGAGGGAATTGTATTAATCTATCTTTGAGATCCAGAATCAGAAGAACTACTAGGTCGTGTCATATACGCTGAAGACCATAATCCTCGTGATCGTGTGATGTGAACGTGCACCTGAACTACCATTTGCACTGACTTTTAAAATGTCATTAATTGCGAAGTTACCGGAAACTATAATCCTTCCAAGGTTGCGTCTCTCTGTGCGGTACCCTTAACTGATACGAGGCAGTACTGCTACTGGACGATGATGAAGAGGATCCTTCCAGTGTCGTTGGCCGCCACATAGTTTGCATGCTGGCCCGCCGTCGACTTTTGCGTCCGCCTGACACGGACTCGTCAGACCTTCGTCTGCCCTCATTTTCTTTTCCGCCCTGAAGGACAGCTGCCGAGGCACCACGGTCTTCTTGTTCCCGTTCACCATTCATTACCCCTCCACCATCTCTCCGTATTCGACTCAGGGTATTTAGTGGATGCCGTGGGTCCGCTTCAGGTAGATAAGCGCCAGCAGTTCGATTGAGATTGGACATATCCAGTCGTCCCTTTTCGACCTCTTTTGCGAGCGCTGCAGAAGACGTTGAGCGGCATCCGCCCACTCGTCGCCAAGTGCCATGCTGCATGGATTTTCGAGTCGACGTTTTGGAGTTGATGCTCAGAGCGCAGGAGGATGAAGAAGACACCGACGACCCACTCGGCGTCCGTGCACAGGAAGCACGCATGTTCAAAAACGTCGACATGCTTTTCAGCAGGAAAACGGAAAATTACCAGCTCCGACGTATGCGCAGCCTTCAAACGGCCGACGTCGTAGGCCATTCACCTAAGTAGAGTATGACTCGTTTCCAACGAAAGCACTTAGGCAGATATAGTTCTCGGAAAGGATGACAAAAATGTTGTCTTGAGTTAAGGATCTTGAAATTTCAGTGATAACCACCACGAAATCACTTCAACTGCTAGTATCGCGATCCGGCACTACGCTCTACTGAATACTTCACGGTCTCTCGTATCTCGGAGTGAGTCCTTCGTAGCATATCTCCTCTTGAGAATCGCTGGAAACAGAACTAAACCAGCATCAGAACATGCTCATGCGCTACTCCATTATAATGAGGCCTTACATCGAGAACGAACGAATATGATGAGGCAGAATCAAAAATGTTGTTGATATTCTCCAGTATCGCGGAAAGGCAGAAACACAAGCTGATCTTAAATTTTCGACCCTCCACTGCGTCCATTTGTGACACAAAGCAGACGAAAACTTCGGTCTGCGCGATGGAATTGTCATTTTTTTCTCGAGATGTTTTTTTCCTGCTTCTCCCTTAATCTGAGTGGTCGTAGGTCGTCTTCATCAATGATTTCACACAATGGCAACGCATTTCATTTTCATTAATCCTAGTGAGTTGCTAAATTGAACGATTTTCAAATTCAAAACCAAAGCTTTTGATTTTGTTTCATCTTAACTAAATTCATTTTCTGAAAGCCAATATTCTTCTTAGCAGCACTCCTCATTTCTACCAATATTCTTTTATAATCAAACAAAATTCTAAACCTGCAAAAACTGATTCTATCTAATTTCAAAAGCATTTCCTAAGAAGTTCGTTTCATTTTCTTACGACACTTTTCGTCTTCATCAATCTATTTTCAAAATTAAACAGCAATCTCGATATTTGAAACCTAAAATTTTGATTCTATCAGATTTTAATCACATTCACCTTCTGGCAACTAGCTCGTATCATTTTCTTGCTATGCACATGAATGAAATCGTTAGACATTAGCAATGAAATATCAAAATTGAGCATGATTCTTGAAATTCAAAACTCAAAATTCTGATTTTATCTCATTTAATCAAATCCATTTTTCTGCCAGGTCCTTTTCATTTTTTTGCTACGCACCTACTTCTTTTCAACAAGTAAAGTTATAAAATTGAGCATGAGCCTCGAAACTGAAACCGAAAATTCTGATTTTATCGTATTTCAATCAAATTCATTTTCTGATGCCCTCGCTTCATCCTATCATTTTCACCAAAAATGAAGCAATTGAAACCAACTCCAAAAGTTTGAAATAATATTGCTTTTTTTCTGGTTAGGCCTCTACTGAAATTCATTTTTGATGGAGTATCAATAATGATGATGATGAAAAGACTCGATTTTTGGGAGCAATTAAGGGCAAGGGATAGCCTTGCCAGTAGAATGATAGCCAAAACCAACTATGTAACTCATTAGATCTCGAACCGGAAACCTACAGTGCTCTCAAGTTTATTTTTACATTGGAACGTATCGGTATAAAATCTATGACGAGCTTGAGTCTTGGTTCCACTGCCTCCGGCCGGAATAACCCACGTCGAATCTGTAGCACCCATGCAACAATAGTCGATCACAAAAGTGATCGAGAACCACAAGCACCACACACTTTCTTCTCCGAAGCTCGCCCTGAATCGCTGAATGCTGCGCAAAAAAAAGCTCGCATCTGACGACATTGAACTTCGCTGCATCAAAAGAAGAAAGCAATCGACAGCAACTAGAATAAGTAGAGTCCAAGTCCATGAGCTGGAGACCAAGAGCAAGATGAAAGCTGTCTTAGCCATGCGCGCGATATTCCTGTTTACCAAGACAGAGTATGGTTATGGCTTCAGCTGCGACACAAGCAGCAGCACGGCAGCAGTCTCATTTTTGGAAAGCGCACTGCAATGAATGAGTCGTGGTTGCATGCTTGTTCTTTTTGGGGAGTCATGTTGCGAGTGGCGTTGCCACAGGGCAGGAGTCGTGATCGTGATCACAAAGAACTTTCTTAGTCTTCGAGGTATTGTCTGCTTTGTTCGGGCGTCTGTTTCTTTTTAGTAGCATCTCTTGATGTCATCTGCTTCTGCTTCGGTAGTCTGAAAGTAAGAGCGAAAGTAGACAGAAAGAGCGATCATCATGCAGAAGGCTTGTGGATCTCGAGTGCAAGATGAGACGACAAAGCTAAAGTTGTGAAGATGGCGTTTAACTGCTTACAGGATGCTGGATCGAGTACACGGAAAGTGAGGAAATGGCCATGATCGTGGCGGTAGCTGGTATATTGTTCAAGTAGAATGTGGGAGTGGGAGACCTTCGCATACTACCACGCCCGACATGGTACCACAAGTAGAGCTGGGTACGCTTCTTGTTGTGGTAAGAAATCTATAGCGATGAACAAAGGACCTCATTGTCTTGTTATTTTTTTTCTACATGGAAATAGATCGAAGGGCATCGGTAATGTTGCGATGGGCAGCAGTTGTATGGCAAAGACAGTGACATTTCTTGACCTGAGTGTGCGTTTCCCGGTGGAATAAAAACTAAAGTGCTTGCTATCTGCTTGAGCTTTTCTTTCCTTTCTGTTTCTCTCTGCTTTGCACAGACCGTTCTCAAGAAGTTTCCCGAAACTGTTTCAAGATTAGCGGCCAACGTACTCTTGAAATGTATTACATGAGCAAAAAATCTCGCCAAACGCTCAGGCCTCAGAAAACAAGCTCGTCAAAAGTGTAAGCTCAGATTGCAATCGGTTTTGCACGAAAAGCTTGATGACGTTGATTGCAGTTGGTCCCATATTCAACGGGAAGCAAGAGCCTCTCGACGTGAAAGTGAAACATCAAGCAGTACGCGGTCATGTATCGATAATTAAGGATAAGTGAGCACTTCGCTAAATCCAAAATCCTCTTGCTGGCAGTTCAACACGAACACATCAAGATCAAGAGCTATGAAGCATCTTCATGATCTCGCCTACTCACTTACAACGTTACCCGTGTCCTCTAGTCCCAGTAGGTTGGCTACTCTACTCTGCTTCTAGAACGCGTGCAGCCTGAACTTCGGCCTCGGCGAGGGCGTCTAGTTCAACGAATTCCTGGTCTCCTTCTTCCCTCTGGCGTGTGGCGCGCCGACGCGCTGCCATCATCTCGCTACATTCTTCCGCTATGCTAGAACAGACTTTCACTGCGGGAAGCAGGCACACACAAGCAGACGTGACCAATAACAGGAACCCGATGATCCATCCCGTTCGAGCTTGGATCCCAAAATCCATCTTATCCGAGGTCATATCGCGGAGAACAAGGTACGGATCCGCAGTACTGCGAATTTCAATTGTCAGACGGCGCGCAAACTCTCTCCCTGCCGGTTGCAGGAGTACGGCAGCGGCACCAGCCTCACGCCATTTGCTTTAGATACAGCGAAAGGTACTAGAAGGTAAGAGAATGAGCACGAGCACGGTGGACCAAATGAAAGTAGTGAATGTCGCTATCTACAACTTCTAGAAAAGAACACTTTTCAATTTTCGATGTATAATCACTGGAACCTATTCAGAAGATTGAGACGTCAATTATTCATCATCCTCATGTTACTCATACTCAACACCAGGCAGCGGTCATAATTGTTGTAGGCTGCTACCCGATCTTGAATAGCCTTCACCTGAGCCGAAAAGGACGAACTAGAAGTGGTCCACTTTTTCTTGCTATCCCCGGTGAGGGTTGAGGACGCTAAAATCGACGAACTCGGGTCAGACGACAACGAAATCGGGTGGCTAAGAAGATTTGGGTTTAGTGCAGGGACCGGTCGAAGAATGCCTCCATGTTCAACTGGAACAAGTGATGGCTTCGCTGATTGTATTTCTTGCGGAGTAGTTTGCGAGGCTTTTGGATTTATTTGTGGAGGACTAGCAGACGTAATCGAAGATGTCTTCTGGCTAGCGCTTGAGGCCGTTTGCATCGCCACAGTCTCTGCCTCTTTCTCCATACCTTTAAGTAAATCATGAACCAGGTCTAGATGCCGCGCAAAAGCGCCGTCGTGCTGTCCTTGTGCTGCCATCAATTCTTCAACGGTGTAGCCTCCCGGAAGGTCCGTCTCGTCACCACCAGTTGACGCAAGTACATTGAACAGAGCAGGCGGCTGCACTCCAAAAAGTTCCCTGAGAGTTAACGAATCGATGTAATTTTCCGCTAGCAAGCTTCCACCTTTCTTTATCTCTCCTCGCGGACCCGCAGTGGGAACGTACACCGGCTGCCCGCACATGACGCCGTCATCTGCTTTCACATCCCCGGGGAGGGCGGAAGGTGTGACTGTCGCAAAAGAAGAAGGTCCTGGAAGTGCAGGAGAGTGGGGCGTTTGTAAAGAAGGATCCTCTTGAGCATTCGCTGTTCCAGAATCTGTCTGCTCCGACGTCGCCGCGGTTGGTCCTTGAGAGCTGGACGACGTCCCAACTACAGCATGGAAAAAATTCCGGCTGGGCGGGGAAAGCCCCACAGTGTGCTTATCACGGTCGTAAAGGAGACACACACTGGATAGAGTCCACGTCTGAACACACAACTGCTTGTGCTGTGAATCGTACGTCCACTTGCCACATCCGCCAGTGTGCGCCAGCGGAAAAGCGAGCGGGCGGCGCTTCAGGCTTTCTTTTCTTGATGACTCTGCGAGGCCTTTTAAAACGGCTGTGTAAGGCACAACGTGCGTCACCGCGAGTGGAATGGCGGAAATTCTCGTTTCCGGGAAACCGTTGCCGCGCACCCGGGCCCGCAAGGATACGTTCCTCTCGAGCAAAGATTTCAATGCTGCGGCGACCTGCTCCGCCTTGCTCTTGTTGCTAGCAGACGCTGCGAAAAGATCACCGCCGTGCGGCAACTTGACCGGTGGCGAGGTGCCTTGCTTCGTAGGCGTTGACGAACTAGACGAGGTCGTAGCTCGACGATTGCTGAGTAGGTGTGGAAACCCTCCTCCGAGCCCGTTGAGTCTTCTTGCTCTTGTACTTGTTGAGAGCTTCCGCGTATGACTAACCAGTTGCTCATCCTGGCTAGTCTGCTCCACCTGGGCAGTTGCCACTTGCCTCTCGTCTCTTTCGGCAGCTCCTCCGCTTTCTGTTTGTACTAGATTTTGTATGTGCTTCTGTTCCTGCTTCTTGCCCGCGGCGTCATCATTTTTTTCATCTGGTGTTTCTGCTTGCACTAGTGTGTCACCAGTATCATCGATATTTTGCGGGCTATTCAACAGATGTTTGCTTTGTCCTCCGCCATCAAGTAGAATATCAACTTCTGCGACAAAAACCAGCGGCTTATAGATGCCCACGTCAGATCCCCTGGCCGTGTCATGCTCAAACAGGTCTTCGACGTCGGCTAGATGCAATGACTTGCGCATGTTTAGAACTATGATCACAATACTGCGATCCTTAGTTGTGGATGTGGTAACAACTTCGTATTTTCACTCACGAGGACTATGAAAAAGCGCCACTAAGGTTCAACAATACTTAGTAAAGCACGTGGCAGAGGCAGGGCTAAAAAAGGATGCTTGAATAGTGCCAGCACCTAGTGCGAAAAGAAGCTAAGAATCAATGAGGATGCACGATTAGATAGCTGTCTTAACATACGCGTCCAGGTCAACGCAGACGGCGCTCCCTTGTCAGTGGACTTTGACGAGCTGTCAATGTCGTCTTCGCCACCATCTGTAGATTTGGTCGGACTAGAAGAGTCGGAAATTGCAACGACCGTGCTCTGGTCTTGCGGGATCAGCTCGTCTACGGCGATTTCGAAGTTTTCATCCTCGAACTCACGACGAATATACTCGGTCCAACGCAACAAGTACCGCTCATAAACAGCTACCTGTTGCGAGCGATGATCTCTAGCGTTAGAAGAAAGTTGTAGGACATCACCGAAAGCAACTTGCCATCGTGAAAAAAATTATCTTTACCTTCTTCTCAATACGGCTCTTCTTTGATCTTTTGTGAAAAAAACAAGCGCCGCCTCTTGCTCTTCTACGTACACGTAGAACTAGAAGCTATAATCTGCCTCATGCTTACTTGTGTCTTCTCAGGCTCATGGATCTTATACTATAGTAGTCACGACGAGCCTTAACAACAGCCGCGATCAAGTACAGACTCGCGTAGTAGAGCAACAGAGCTCCACAGAGTGTTAGTACCGACGCAACGCATACTCCAACATTACCGTCTTCACCGACGTCCGCCGACCGGCTGTCGTTAGTAGAGCATCAACATGTATTTCGCGAAGCTACATCCTCGTGTAAAACCTCGCGAAGCTACATCCTCGAGAAATTAGGAGCTAGTATTACTATTAAATAATAGTATGAAAGAGCTACCTCATACTATTTATTACTAATATTCCTATAAGGTGGGGGAATAGCAAGTACAATTTCCGAGTACATAATATTTCGTCTCCGTCGAGCCCTTGCTCGTGCACGGGCGGCACGCGCAGCCGTGGTCGTGGTCGGAGTTTCTCGTCGCTCGGCTGTTGCCGGGCGCACAACGACCGCCTCCGTCTCCGGACTGCTGGCAGGGCTCACCGACACAGAATCATCTGCCTCTCGTTGCAGATTTAGCTCCAACGGTTCCGCAAGATTATTGCTGCCACTCATGGTTTTGTGATACAATCAAATTTCAAGTACTCGGACCGTGGCGGAAAAATATTATCGCAGATTCCAGAAGAGAAAAAGGAAAGAAGCACTCAAGCTTACTCTGTGTGCCTGCTGAGGACAAACAAAGCATCCACAAACAAGGCATCCACAAAGCATCCACAATTACAACGCCAGAAAGGTAAAAAAGATCAGCAATGAGGCACAGGGCTAGGCGGGTTCGGAGGTGACGATGCGTGCTCAGAATTAGTGCTGTAGAAACGCAGATCGTTTTGTAACACAGCTGTACTTGTTATGCTATAGCTATGACAACTGGAAGCCCTTGTTGCATTTCAGTTCTAGCGCGTACTCGTTACGTATTCGTGCGTCATCTCTTTGTCACCTTCCTTCTCATGCTTTGTTCATTGCTCGCGCTCTCTCGACACGAAACACTCGACAGAAGCATTTCCGGTTCTTTCGCGTGTGAACTTCTGTCCCGCAAACCGGCGTAAACGACATAAATTCGGCTTGCTCGTTTCTTTACGGATGCACCGCTCAAGGTAAAGTTCCAGCAGATCGCGGAATTTCATGGAGAAACAAATCACGAGGTCGTCAATCTTCGTTCAGCGCTCCTCGCGATGAACTGAACGAGGAAACTGTTGTGCCGGGTACGACTATTTTCCGTGTCCAGTGGACAAGGATTATGGAGATGATCTACTCTATTTTCAATAAAGTCGGGCAAACTGATAATGGTCAAGCATTCAAATAAATTTCAATCATCGGACAGTACTTTATTGTAGTACCTATACAGCAACAGCGAGCTGCCGTGGGATACACGACGAGTATCACGCATCACTCAGAGTATTATAGCGTTTCGCAGAAAGCCAAACTGGAATTTTTCTTACATAGAGGATTAGATTAGATGAGACTAAGTAGATCGGGGTAGCGTAATAGAAGTTCATACATCTTGAATCCTTCTATTACAGAACAGTCTGGTAGGTTTCCAGATTTCGGGTTGTGTGCCAGCCGCGTCATTGGTCGCGGATGCTATGAATTGCTCTGCTATTGTATGGTTTTTTTTTATAGATGGAGGCTGCCTGCTGTTGCTTTTTAGTTCTGCAAAAACTTATCTCTCCTCGCGCCTGCGGGTGCGGACCACTCATTGTCGTTCTTGAGTAAGAAAAACCATGCTTGATCATGATTGCCAATTCTTATAATATAGTCAGTTCGTTTGTAGATGTAAGGCGTGGGCGTTTACGTCAGGAGTATTTCGCTCGATAGGTGGTATCAGGTCTTCAGGGGTTCTGCATCTGAAAATGAATAATAAATACAAAACTTCCAGGAGGAGAACGAAGACTCTACCTTTGTTTCCGACTGTAATACTCATATGCTGTTCTGCTACAACGATGAAAGTATTTGAGGTACTTAGGATTTAGACTCTTTCTGTTGCGTAGGGGGAGGAGTTGCAAGATAGTAAGGTGATGTTCTGCTATGTTTTGGAATGTTGAGCCATGACATTCGTTTTCCTTGAGCATACGCATGTATCTTTCACTAGGTAACTGCCACATGATTTGTTTTCGCGAACCAAGAATAATTGTGTACTCCTGCTTGTGGGTCATGTCATTTGCTTGTCGTTGCGGCTAGGTTGTACTTTGTAGATCTAGTACTATGTATTGCAACGTGCTCATGCATGTAGTTTCATGCTTTTGTTCTTATGAATGAATCAATAATACTCATACCTACTACTTGTAGTTTCTCTTACTCACTCGATTATGATTACTCTTACTTTTTCTTAGTTAGCTCGTAAAGATCATAAGCCAACACTTCATCGATCGATCGACCTTTATAGTCATCAAAGAACCTCAAAAAGCTGACGTCGCGCGGTATAGATTGTAGTCCACCGCAAATGCCCGCAAGTCATTGATTGCCGCCTTCCGTGATTTCGCGATGTCCTTCTTCAGTTTCTTGAATCGATCCGCGTCGACGGTCTTCTTGGGCGCCTTTTCCAAGCCAGGCATCACGCCTTTGGGTGCTTCGTCATCTTCTTCCCACAATCGCAGTCCAGCCTTGATGCTGTCCCGGTATCCCCGACTTTTTGACAGCGCCGCGATCCTCCTGAGCTTCGTGTCGCACGTGTAGCGTGGTACTTTTGCCTCGTACAAGGTGATTTCGACTTCTATTAGCGTTTGATGATGATGCGGCCGTTGTTTTACAAGGATACCGAACGTTTTCAACGAACATGTTGATGATGATCATCGACACACAACAAAAAACAGGTAGGTGTTACCATATTATGGTTGAAATGACTGGGTAAGTTTAAGAAAAAAGTCAAGTACGTGAAACAATTGACAAACATCGGCACCATAGTCGATTTGTCAAGATCTCATAACGTTCGTGCCCTCATCTTGCTTTTCACATAAGTAAACCAAAACAAATCTTCAGTTTTTGCAGCAGAAAAAAACTCGGCAAAATAGCACCCAAGTTAGAGATCTACAATTATTAAGATTAGACTACAGCTCAGCCATAAGTCTCTCTCGTGGTGCGGCAGCTTGTTATGTGAGCCAACGCGTACAGGCCGCCCACAGATTTGCTCGAATGCTGCACTCGTCTGCGGCATGTCAACCACGTGATAGTGACGCACGCCAATAAACTCGACGCCTGAAAATGAGAGTAAATAAAAGTATCAATATTATCATTCGGTGGTAGCTAAGGAAAAGAAAAAGCTCATTCTTGGTTTTCAAAATTTGATGTGTAGTTCTATTTCTAAGTACTTAAAAGAAACTAGAAAGATGCGCGACTACAAGAACAAAATGAAAGAAACAATAGAAATGGCGGAACGAAAAAAGCATTTTCAGCCTGGAAAAGTTGTAAAAAAAGACAATATGAATGTACTGCAAACTGAATGAGATGTTTTCTCATCACGAAGAACAATAAGTGCGCCTTTCACTACTGTCGCGAGGGAAACATCATACCAAATCTATCAGCACATCACTGTAACCGAGTTTCTGCCATCAATAGCTTCAGGCTCAAGCCCCTGAAGCAGCTTAGTGCTCTGCCGCACATAGTAGCAGCACAAAAGCGCACACGTAAACTTGAACTCCCCGTACGAATGCAGTTTTTTAGAATTAGAGCCACAAGGCGACAGCTTTTATAATTGACTGAGTACCTTCAGAGCACTCTTCGAGTGTGGCAAGCATCACCCGCTTGGTCGTTCCTCGCAAATTCGTCTGCGTGCAATTGAACGAGTGAATTTCTGGCAGAGTAGCCAGCCTCTCCCCAAAAGCCTCCGTCAGCAGAAATTTCGCACACATGTAGCCTGTACGTCTTGCAACGAGAACCAGGGACTTCTTCTGTTCCATTCGAATCGTCTGGATTACCTGAGAAGGACGTCGGGTGGACATCGCTTTGTATGAGCATCGGTTTTCGCTGCTAGAGGTATCTATAGCCTTGTCTTAAGATACGAGCATGACTCCATCAAAACCATTTGTCTTGGCTCAACACTGGCCGTGTGTAAATTTAGTACTACCAGCATCGTCACAGTGCGTGGCAGAAAACGGAAAATGTCTTTCATATATTGTTTGGTAAGCTCTCGTAATACAAAATAACTACCAACCACGGTGAGAACGGTAGCGAGGTTCCTTGCAGCTCCACAACAAATATAAATTATCACAAGAAGGAGACCGACAGTTGGATCACGACAATAACTTTCGACAGACTATGCCTAATTTGCTATTGTTGAAAAATAGTTGCTACCCTAAATAAGTACCTGTTGTAGTTTTGGCGCGATTTCCCCAGCCAACCGGCGGATGGTTGCTATGTTGTTCGTAACAGCACAGGGCGGGTAAGCGGATACCGTGTACATTCCAAGCTTTTGGTCGCGTTGCGACTCTTCAAGCTGCGCTGTGTCGAAACAGTCTTTCAAAGTGTAGCGCGAGTAAGATCGTCCATGCATCTTGACCGTCTTGACGGCCGCCTTCGCCAATCCTGAGCCGACTACTTTCTCAGCATCCAAAGGAGTCACAACGCGCGGGTAATTGTCCGCGTTTCCCTGAAATAGGGAAATGTATCCTTCGTCGTTGCGCACGAACTGCCCGGCGTCATTTTTGTGGTAAACGCTGTTGTCTCCGATTTGCACGGGAGGAACTGCCCCTGCCTGTCGTTGGCTCTCGTCCTGTACCTCGGAGGTTTCACTTGCGTCTTCATTTTCGTTTTGCGGGAGCTCACCGAAGGGTTTGCCGTCTTCGCCTTTCAAAACGTCTAGTAGCGCTCTATCGGGCATGTTCGGCTGCGCGGGCGTTGCACTAAGCAAATACAACCAGGTAGCCCATGCACCGTAACCCGAAGTTTCCTGGAAGTACGTGCGAAGGCGGCGCATCGCGGGAGCAAATCGCGCTTCTGATGGCCGAAGAAGATTATGTGCTTCGTCACAAATTACGAGCTTGCCCGCATACGGATTCGAGTCATGCAGTCGGAAACGAAGACACGCGTCGATCTTGCCGTCGCGTACTCCTTGCACGTTGTAGCCGACGGCACGCCCTCCCGCGGTTGAAAAGTTGAAGATACGCAGCGGAGCTGCTGGCGGCTCGCTACTCGTGTCCTCAACGAAAGCGCTGCGCCAGCTCTCATTTACGCGGCCGCGCGCGATCAGACCCTTTAGCCCTACGCAGTCGCGAAATGCCGAATAACGGCCAGCCACCCAAGGCATTTCCCATACTTCATCCAATCGCTCTGCCCAATTTTCGACCACCATGTCGGGGTGGCTTGCCGCGAAAAAAGTTCGCCACTTGTTTGGAAACTTGAGGAACTCCTTCATCAAATTATCGACGTGGCTCTTTTTTGGCACGATGAGCACCTTGGTTCGACTGCGATCGTAGTCTGCTGACACTAGCTCGATGAGGGATCGCGTCTTGCCGCTGCCGGTCTGATGATCGAGCAGCAAACGGGGTGCGTATCCATTCTCGAAAAGATGTGTGACCACCTGCTGATGCGGAAGAAGTGGGAGAGACGATCTCGCGTTGCTGTTGATGATGGGACGAGGGACGCGAGCAGCACGCAGCTTTCTGACCAAGAAGAGGTTGTATCCGATAGAGCCCTGACGTTGCTGCGGCGGCACTGGTAAGTGAAGGTCTTCGATTCCTACCGCATCCACCGTATTCTCTTGTTGTAATTGCATAGCGTCTGCGTCCGCGTCTGCGCCCTCGCCATCATCCTCATTATCAGACCAAACTTCGTCCTCCGAGTCGATAAACCCCGCTGGTGCTTTCGGCTCGATGACGTTCGAATCCTCAAGCTTCTGTATGAATGCGCCGCTACTTCCGCTAATCGCCAAGGCGTCAGTCAAGCGCGATACGAGATTCTGGTCCTGCAACAGCTGAGCCAATGCTGCAGGGAGCTGCACAGAAACCTTAGAGTGTCCATCTTCCTCCGCCGCTGCTTCTGCGGGCTGCGCCACACGGGGTTCTCGACCGCCTAAGCCAGCACTCACTCGATCCACTTTCTGCCTTTTTCGTAATGGTCCAGCTGGTGGCGTCGGTGCGTCTTCGCGCACAGGCGATAGGAGAGGTCTTTCGCGATCTTGTACTGCCGCTGCATTGCGTGCGCCCAATGGTCGACGATTCGGGCTCGCCAACTCATCGTCGTCGTCTTCTTCGTCTTCACTGGATGACGCTTCATCATCCTCCTCTTCTGAGCTAGTCGCGGCAATGGATGGTGGCCGATATGTACGAGCAGCGGGCCGCGCGGCACCAGGAAGCGCCAAAAGGGAACTCGGTGGCGCGCTGCTCCTGGCATTCGCGTCAGAATCTGATGACGGCGCATTCGTAAAAGCAGCAGCGCGAGGGCCCCCTAAAAATTGATGACGAGACGATTCAAGTTGTAAATGGGAATGGTAAGACAAAAGCGCGAACATATTAGATACAATCTTCTTGTTCGCTTTCTTTTCCATCATGGCTCTCATCGACTTATGCAGATTCCCCCACGACTTGTTGTCGATGTATGAATCGTAATGGATTATAGGTGGCACCGGTAACCAAACTTTCACATTTTCGATAAAGATATTGATATGTAGTTACCAGTGTTGCTTGCGGACACAACATCAGGGGCTGCATTGCGAGGCATGGCTTCGCCTTCGACGTCGTTGTTACCACTCATAGTCGTAGCGGAGAGTTTCCACATTGCAACGACATTTGCTGCTTCCACTGATTGGAGTGCAATGCGCTCGAACCCGCCACAGGAAAAACCACGCGGTTCGGTCCGGATCCGACGTCGCATCTTTTCTATCCACTCCTCTGCAGCAGACGCGGTTCTGCATTTTGTCACCAGAACGTTCGTGAGGAAACGGACTTGGTCAGGATGTTCTAGCCGCGAGAACCCTGCGCGAAGAAGCAATTCATCACTTCAATCCAGAGAACTAGGACTTAATTCGAGTCAAAGATACGTCGATGGATTAAAGATTCATCTATTCGTCAACTGTCGGAAAAATAAAACTTAACATCAAGATCTGATCAATATCATTATTCAATCAACAATGACTTTTTACTGCTCATTATATTTCAACGTATGCCCCCCCTTGAGGGAGGCATCGTCAATCATAAAAATAACAAGTCAGAAAAAGAAAATGGTGGATATATTTATTATAATTATACATTACAATATAACTAGGTAAATAAGTTATATATGTTCCAGGGCGCGGGGCGACGCCCCCCCCGCTGGGAGGCGTCTGCCGGGGGCGGAAGGCCTCAAAAGGGGGCCAAGGGGCTGCCCCCTTCGCGTTTGCATGTACCCTCCAGACTTGAGGGGCCTCCGATGGTGGTGGGAGGCTTCAAAAGGGGCCCAAGGGATCGACTGCGTCCCCGTCCAGGTGCCTGCCTGTGCCCTCAGTGCATCCGTTAGGCTTCGCTGCCGCAACAGGGCACCGGCAACGGAAGGCCTCCGAAGACGGCAAAAGGCGAGGGGCGGGACCCTCGGGCCCTTGGTCATCGGCTTGCTTGTGACCGTGGCCGCCTCCGGCGGCCTTTTAGCCCGAAGGCCTCCCGCCTGTGAGGGTCAGCAGAGGCCAGGCGGTCCCTTCGGAACACGCTGAGAGGGCCAAGGGGAGGCCCGCGCCAAGTTTTGACGCCTCCCACCACTAGAATCCGCGAAAAATCCGCGCGGAAAAGCGCGCGAGCGCGCCACCACAGACCAGACCACAGGGGGGGGCGTGCGGCCCTGGATCATATATAATGTAACTGACGTGCTTCCGCCTCCATTGTTTCTTGCTTTCGACAATGACTAGTCACTATGGTGCATCTCGTATCTAAAAAATACCCGCACGCCGCGAACGGGCTGCGTTCCTGGCTCTAGTGTTCGCCCCGAAAACCTTCTCGAGCACAATTTCCTCTGCTGCCTTGACAGACGCATGTGACACGCTCTTATGCGGACCGAGGGAGAACCCATCCTGTTCAGTACTCGCCACTGAAATGCAGATTTTCAATGCTCCGATCATGTTCTGCGCCGCTGGCCAACCCAGCGCATCCTTTTGCCGCATAATTCGTTTGACGATAATTTCTACATGCTCATCATTTTCAAGGCCACCTGCGCCGGCCCCTGCTGCAGGTTCTGCCCGACTTGAGCTGCTCGTGCTGGGCATCTCCACCACACGACTTTTGCAACGAGCAAACTACTGCAAGCGTGGTCACAGATTTTTCAATTCCAAGATACGATAGTGATGAATCAATCAACGATCGGGATGCGGATGATTGAGTGAGATCAAAAAGATGAACTGCTATCTCCCGCAAGCAAGTAGTACTACCATATTAGTAGGACCCAATCTCGACCTGTATCTTCTGGTTCTTTTCTTGGATGATTGTGGAATGTGGATGTTGAGCACAATGTGAACGAAGTATAATTTCTAGGAAATTAATATGGATATTATAGTAGAACAGTTTATAAGGTTTCCGGGGGCCGGTTGGCATGGCACGAATGGAACGGTTGGAACGAATGGCAGGCATCCAATCCGGGGCTTCAATGTGCTCCGCCATTCGTGCCATTCGTGGACCTTTCAGACCTTCGAGAGCGGGGCGCCCTTCGGGCGCCCTGCGTTTTCAAGCGGTACCTCCCCCGCGGCGTTGCCGCTCTCTCCGAATGCTGCGCACATACTTTGGGACTCCCACTCGGGCGCCCTGCGACCAATCTGCCACACCCTCCACGGCGTTGCGCTTCAGTAGGCTCCCCAAACCCGGCGCCCTTCGGGCGCGTTGCTTTTGCGCCAGCCCTCCTCTGCCACCCGCGATTCAAAGCTGCCACGCATCCGACCCGCCCCCCAAGCCACGGCCCACCTCCGTCGCCGCTCTCCCACGGCGGCGGCGCGGTGGATCAGCTGAGCACCCTAGGGCGGAGGCCGCATGCTAAATCACCCGCCTCGTCGCAGCATTCCTCTCGTGGAATTCCGCGGGGGTCATGCAAGTCCACCAGAATTTGCGTGGCCCGCGCGGTAGTTCCAAGAAAGAAGCCAGCCCTCCGACGGTCAGCCGCACTAAGACCCGCACTCTTTAGAGAGCAGCCGAGTCGGCTTTGTTTCTGGCTAGCTCCCTTACCATTTTGAAAATGGCAGGGGGGCTTTCCGTAGAATTGCAGGCCTGCCTTCGAATCCCCATCCCTGTCCGCTTGTGCCAACGCCAACCGCGCCATTCGTGGCACTTTTTGGCTTCGTCGGGTTGTTCCAACCGTGTCATTCGTGCCAACCGTGCCAACCGCCATTCGTGTTATAGAGGAAAAAATTTATGTGGTAGCAAAAGCTTCAACATACAATATGAATAAGAAAAAACTTCGCCCAGGAAGTTTACTTTTGTCCTCTACAAAGGCATCACCGGATTTCATTGACATTTCACAGAGGCTCGGAGTATAATTGATTTAGTGCGTGCGGACTCGGACGAAGGGCTATAGAAGACTACAGTTATAGAAGCAGAATCGAGAGTCGCTGGATGAGACTCTGCACCGATGATCCGCAGGACATGGTAAGTTCGGGGTTACACCGATGCCTGAAGTCGACAGACGGATACTGATCTTTTGTCTTTGATGACACTTCACAAAAAAGTGAGAGTCGCATAATATCATCACCGACGCAGAAACTATATGCACTCTAAAGTGCGGCCATCTTGATGCTCATTTCCTTGCAGTGGAAATATGGGACGGACACTCATCCCTGCTTGTCATCTTCTTTCACCGATTTTTTCTCCGAAGCAGAAGTAGATGTAGAACGAAAAAACGGTAATTCTGATATGAGATGACCGATTCGAAAAACGCTACCATGATGTAGGATATCACGATGAAAGTGCTCAGTACGAATGTCATTTAGTGCCTCTGGCTGAGGCTTACCGTGTAAGTACACGAGACCGATGACACAGGGACTCAGGATGAGTCTCAGCTTTGAGATTCCCATATTTTCAAGTTGAACAACTTCTTTTCTGCATCGTGCCATTACACGGAATTGGCATTGATGCTTCCTATTGACTGGTGTAGTTGCTTATGAATATGGGTCATGACGGATTCCAACAAGTTTTTAGACGACGCAAGCGGAGAAGATAAAGAAGTGTGTATGTGTGTGCTGATAGTTGTATGGTTAGAGCTAGAGGATGTTATATATATTATAGTTATGTTTTTTTAACACGTGGATGCCAATGTTTCCTAGGGATTTTCTAGTAATGCCTACTGCGTGTTCCACGATTAGTATGTTGTTCTTTTGTAGCCATTCTCGTTGAATATAATATAGCGAAATCCAAGACAAAGGCTTCTGTGTATTATGATCGAAGCACATGTTGAAGATGCAGATGATGGCGTTACTTTGCAGTTTCTATACACGGCCTGAAGAAGAGGTGTTCTCTTTAATACGTAAGTACGCTTTTCAGTTTTATGCATGTCATGTAGAAGTAGTTGTAGTTGATTCCGGGGGTCGTAGTGTGCTACCAACCACTTTGTATAGTACCGGCGTAACTTCGAATTTTCCAATGCTGTACAATTGCATGGGCCCCTACACTTCTTTCACGTCAGACGTACACGCGAGTTCCTATCCCTTCAGGTTGTTGTGGCTCCGACGTGGTGTCGTCCATTCGGATTTTCGTTCCGGATGTGTTAGAAGTTGAAGAAATCAGTTTCACATTATCCAGTTGTTGCATTGCGTACTTCATCCAAAGCATTAAACATAAAGCACTTAAATATTAGTCGTCCTGGAACAGCGAAAATAGGAGTCGTGGTGTTGCTCATTTCTAGGAATAGGATGCGACATCTTCATACGTATGAAGAAACTGTTGACAAGTACCACGAGCACGAGCAGAACCTTACACAACGACAACAGGGTCCCGGTCCTCCATGCATGTACTAATTCTTGTCGGAGATGAGCACGACAACGTCTTCGACGCCTTAGAAGAGTAAATGTAAAAATGTGTGTGGCGATGTCCCAAAATATCTTAATAGTCGTGTCCTTCGCTAGGAGGCGAATTTTTTCTGACCAGCAGTCGCGTTGCGCGGCCGTCGCAAAGCTAAGCTTCAGTGACCAGGTCCATAGGAACTCCCATCTGCCATCGCCAAGAAGCAGGACAACTGGAAACTGCTCTTCTGATTGCTCGGGCGAAGAGGACGCAGGAGCGATGTACTGCGATAACCACGAAGCAGAGGAAACTGAAGGTGAAGACCTGACGTTGTCGTTCGTGTTGCCGACAGGAATACGTTCCTGTTCTGGTGTTACGCGAAGTTTCAGAATCAAGTCGAAGTCTCGTGAGAATTCTGTTTTTGTGAAAGAGTAGCGAGTTCGCGCAGGCTGTGCGACGACAGTTTCTCTGGGGCGATCTAATCGAAGGTTTATGAATGCAAATGGAGCAGATTTGGAGGAATCTGAAAGCAGAAGCAATCCGCAAGCAAGCGCAGCGTGACAACAGGTTGAATCCAATTCTGCGCCTGCCGGTTTACTTCTGGCCATGTTGGAGTTCATGCCTGCAATCGAAGCTGACGAACCGTGTGCACCAGCAAGTCTCCTACTTGGAGTGGCATTCAGCAACACCCTCTCTGCAGCATCGAGGTTACGAGAGAAGACGTAGGCCATTGCAACCTCCTCATCATCGTCGTCCTCGGAAAAATCCTGGACGAAAAAATCGTTAATCATTGGTGGATGCGTTCTTAGCCGTAGCTTCTGCTTCTTCCGCTGCGCAGCTGCGTATCTATCCAAAACAATCTCTGTCCACGTTGAACATGCATCTTCGTGTTGCTTGATGGCATCAACAGTCGTGGACGTCAATGCCTGTTGCATCTTTGCCTCCTTTTGATCGCCGTTGTTAGCTCTCGTAACGTCTTTATTGTTCTGAGAGGCGTTGTCATCAATAGGACTTTTCGGCTGCTGCGGACCCTCGCGCGCTGTGTCCGCGATGAAGCTGCTACGGTTAGAAAATAAGGATCTTCTTTGTCATGGAGATTTTTGTAACGAAGGAATGATAAATGTTCTTTTTGTGAGAATTATGCGCATGAATGATGATAGCCATGCTGAAAGACGAGAAGTACTAATATGAAATTGCGGGCGAGAATGTCTGGTGTACTGAGCAAGATTCTCATTTTGGAGGGCTAAAATCTTCAGCATCCATGATAATTCGTATGGAAGATCAAGATTTTCAGTGGCGTCCTAATCAGTGTTCGCGTGACGAGCTGGCGTCCTCTGACTGTCTGCCCGCTGCTTCCTAGAAGTGCCGAACTTGCAGCACCAACGTACATACTCGAGGATGAGTCTAGAACGAACCGTTGCCGATCGTCTGGACTCAGCTGTTTATTCTCGTGTATGTCACACAAGGGACCGCCAATGTTCGTTAACCTAGAAGATGTGCTACTGTGGTGGGCTCTGGCTTCGATGTCTTGCTGAACTGCAACAGAGTCGGAAATATCTTCAAGAGCTGGTGTGGTACCTGAGGAGTCCCATCCGTTTTGTCGACTGCTGACCAAGTCAGTAAGAGAAGAGCGGCTTGTTGACTCCCCAAGAATAGAGTTGAGATTCAGGAGTTTCGAATTTGAGGCTCGCGCGCTATGCGCTGGCGACCACGACGTGCGATCGGTTGGTGGCGCCGGCGCAGATAGAGTCAGCATCCCGTCAGTGTTCGCGGTTTTGTTGATGATGGCGACTGCTTTGCTATTTGATGACTCTGTCGTCGGCGGGTGCATATCTCGCATATTCTCATTTTTGCTCAAATCAGCCTCTGCCCGCTGACTGTTCGACACAAGCGAGGAACTGCCGGCACCGCGTCCGCCTGAGCTTTCTGGGCCGTCCGCTAACATCCGCGTCCAGAAAGCGTCGTCATGTTTGAATATCCGGATTCGACTCGGAGATGCATGGCCAGCAGCCGTCAGTGTATTTGCCAGCTGCTGCAAGCTCAATGGCTTACCTTTCTCGTCACAGAATTGCAAGAGCACATCCTTAGCTAAAAAAATATCGTCGTTATTTTCTTCATCCTTCGGTGGAAGTGGTGACGTGTCTATCATGCCAGATGTAGTTGGAGTAGCACTGGCGGGTATTGGAACAGCGAGGTGCGGTTTTCGTTCACGATCCGTACTCCAGATATTCCGCATGATCGGTCGCACGTCGTCCTCGTTGTCCGCTGTTAGAACACCACTTGCTATCTCCTGCATCGGGTTCCGCGTGATCAGAACATACAAAGTTCGGAGCAGGTCCACGGGAATGTCAGTCATGGACTCCGCATCCGTGTCGGCATCGACAATGCCTCCTTTGCAGTCGACGCCGGCTGTAAGCAAGCGCCAATCCGCAAAAGATAAGCGCTTGTAGCGGTTGGCGCAGGCGTCGTTCACTTGCAACATGCAATGAGCGTTCCAGTGCAAAAGCAAGCAGGACATCAACAACTGGTACCTGGGCGATCGTTCGATTGAAGTAAAGCCGGCGGTAGGATAAATATTTTTCAACGTGAACATAAATATGATGGGCACCGCAAACTCAAACTAGATACATTACAACGGAATTCAGTACTATTAAACGTAAAGGGCGGTCTATCCTAAAAATCGTCATCAAGAATACTACAGAAGCAGAAGTTAAAGTACAATGCAAAATGTGTCTTCAGCAAGTCGAAAAGCGAGGCTGCTTCTGGCTCTTCCGAGTCTTTTCGTGTGGAACTGCGAAAAGCCGGATGCATCCTAACTCGTCTTTCCACCTGTCGCCACCAAGTCATCGCTGCGTCATGAAGTACCCGATCTATACGCTCCCACTGTGTATTAGCAGTAGTTTTACAACTTGAGCTTGGTTTTCTTCTGATTCTAGGTTCCGAACGGTAATCGGGAACGTGAAGAAGTAGTGGCACTTTGCAATGTCTAGTCGATACAAAGTTTTTTTGTTACGTCTCATAACTGGCGGTAGCTGCATGTTCGCAAAAACTGTCTTCAGAACACCACAAACACCTAATTGGGCCATTCGCAACGAGTTCAGAAACTCCACCCGGACGACGTGCGACAGTGACAAGTTAGCAGAGAGAAATTCTCCAACCTTGTTCCGATCTAGCTCGGCTCGTTTGAAGAGCATCGCAAATTGGACCGGAAAATCTTGCACCGCATGCACAGCTACTAGAAATGCTAGTCCGGCCCCTGGATCCTTGTTAAAGTAGAAGATGCCGAGTCGGACGAGCGCTCGCCGGTAGTCCAGCTCAGGAACCAACCCGTTTCGTGGAACAAAAAAAGGCTCGAAACGCAGAACATTCTCCCCGTCCACGGGGCGCGGCCGAGACCGTAGGCCGTTCGGGGTTGTGGGCGATGACACACCGGATGCGTTCTTCTCCATCAGCGATTCCGATTTCTTCAGGCTCGGACTAGGGCTACCAGTCTCGGCGTCATCAACGGCCCGATTCGCGAACGAGCGCCGCGCAGGCGCGGCCTCCTCTGCGGAGGGAACGTCATTCGGTATTCCTCCAGTTCCTCCAATTGGCGGAGATTTTTCTTCAGTCAGCGCACTGCCTCTCCTCAATGATTTATTCTCATCCCGATCCCCAAGATCGGCCGACGGAGAAGAACCTCCGATATGATCCACATGAACGCTTTCTTTTGAAGAACCGCCTTGCGGTCCAAGGTATTCGTCCTCGACTGGTGGGTAAGAGCTCCCGCTATCACGCACATAAAGGACTTGACGTCGTGGCCGGCGCTCGTTGCCGCGTACCATGACGGTTTCTACCGCTGAGGGATCCTGAAACCCATCCTCGATCACGATTTCTTCTATTCATGAACAGTGGTGTCTTCATGAGGAGCGAACGAGGCTGCTTCATGGTTGACAACTTCTAATTGAAACGAAAACGAATTCGAACAATGAATGTTAGGTAGAAATAGAAATTTACTACAACGAACATGTTATAAATCTAGTACTTACATTATTCAACACTGCCAAATTCTCCATAAAATTCCATCCTCAGGTGATGTTTCTTCATCACCTCGTCCTTCAGCGCGTCGTCTCGCTTTCTTCAGGCGCTCGTGCTCTTCGCGCAGACGCGATGGTGTCTTTTTCTTACCTCCGCCGCCTGCTCCAGCACCGACAAGGCATTAGAATTGGGGTTTCTGTAATCTCTGTTATTTCGTCGCTGTTGCGAATCTGAATGTGATATTAATAGTGCACCTGCACACCACGATCACTTTCACTGAATGTGGATACGCAGGTAATGTTTTTTTGAAATATACAAAATCTACAAGTTTGCGAGTGACTGAAAGAAAAAGCGGGTTCTGGATGGAAACGTCAGGCCGTATCCAAAGAGTTGCTCACGCTTCGCGTATTCTTCCCAGAGCACACCGCGGGAACGAGAATCTGCCGCCAGGTCCCAACATGTGTGGCCTTCTCGTACCGTCGTCGAATCCGGATCCGCGCCTGATCGCATGAGCTCGCGGATGACAGCATGCCGAGACACCGCGCACGCAACGTGCAAAGGGGTCCACCCGAACAAATCCGGCTGAAGAACCAAAATCGATGTGCGAGACGAGGATTCTAGGCTTTTAGACGAACGTTTTGCTGACCCTGCACTCCCTCCATCGTTGCCGCATGTACGGGGACCATCAGCTTTGGTCTCAACGCTATCTGGTGACAGACTTTGTGCAAAAAACGCCAACAGGTCCCGCACAACGAGCACGCTTCCGGCACGACAGGCTACGTGTAAGGGCGTTGTCCTGTTTGCATCGCGAGCCAGCGGGTTGGCGCCGAGGAGAAGGAGCCAACGGACTAATACCACGTTTTGGGAGGCGGCGAAATGGAACAGCCGACGGTCGATGTCACGCGGAACAGCCAGAAACAGGGTGTCTGGGAAGACAGTTCCCATAGGCTCGTGAAGAGCGTATCTGCTGACTGCATTCTGCCTGGTACATGATTCCGGATAGCAGACGTCGGATTCGCTACAGAACAAGGGCACATTACCCATCTTTTCTTAGTTGAACGATGAGTTGCAAGATGAAGACGAGCGTTGTCCCATTTCTATGCTGATTGACGACTTTTCTAGTATGTCTTACACTTACAACAACAACTTCTGTTCGAGGACCGAGAATCATTCAACGAGCAAAATGATATTCATACAGAAACACGGTGCAGTTAGTTATGGTTTTCGAAAAGAAAGTCACATGTACTATAGATTTTCGAGGAAGACTAGGTAAGCACAAGAACTCTACCGCAGCAGAACTCCATCAAAAATAAGCCAAGCATGATAAATATAATTGTGTCAGAATAAACACGTCCATGTACTTGGTAAGGTACTTTTTGGGAAGTGATGACAATCTTCTATCTGGGAATCGAAATTGACTCTCATCTACGATGAGCTTAAGCACAGAGTTGATTAATATCAAACCGAAGGATTTGTAGGTTTTATAATTTGAGCACCGTACTAGGCTAAAGATTCCGACCGACATTCTTGTTGTACAACTACAGATCGCCAGGCCTCTTCGTGTTCGCTCTTCCTCTGCATGATCTTGATCTCTACCGATTCTGAGTACCGAAAATTCTCCAACTTATGCACAGCTCGTTTCGCAACATGGACGAATCAAGCATGATCAACAACAGACGAAAACAGTTCTGCAAGAACAGGAACTAGACAGATCTTCGACATAAGTCATTACCTAAATAATACGTTAGTAAGCTTCCTCCTTGCGACGGCAGGAGGTGATGGCTGGTACCGATGATGATCGCAATTTGACGATGAATAGATCAGGTGATAGTGATACCCTCTGCTTGATCTGAATACGTCAAATTCTTCTACTTTCTACTCAAAGATTGCTTGTTACATGATTTTCGATTGACGCGGCCCTTTCTCCGAAGACCTCCACTTACCTGAACGAGCTCGCTACCTGGAAACACAATGTGCAAACTCGATTGGATGCAGAAAGGGATGCCACCGAAAAGTCATCAAGATTGGGAAAAGCTTGTTTGGGCGCGTGTTCGTGAAAAATCTAAAAGACCATGCGGGAGGTCTCGTTCAAAGGTGGAATGATAAATGGGTAAAGCAGCTTGTTCTGCGTTGCGTTTCCAGGAGGAAAAGTAGTGGCGTGGGTTGGAATTTATTCCAAACAGATCGTTACAAAAACATACTTACATGCTGTAATCGTTGTATCTTGTGTATGACATCTTTTCGATTATCATGCAACGGTCTTTCAAATGTGGTGGGCGAAAGGCAACAAGGGCTTGATGGCCAGATTGGGATGAAAATGCGATTGAAGCCACATTATGTTGCTTTGTTATGGTGAGCGCGGTTAGTGCATCAACTACATGGACATATATATATTATACTTAATCATGTTGAAAAATAGTGCGAGTCGCTCTTCGCGGATTCGTGCGTATCTCTAACTCTATGGAGAAAGTTTGACCATGCTCCTTCAGGATCAGAAGGCGATGTGCTATTTGCAGTAGTGCGCGAGATCCAAATCGTAGGATGATACCTCGTAGACACATGGTATCGAATTCGGGTTTTCAACGAACCCAACAACATCATATTAATCTTCCATCTGGCTTTCCTAGTTGAGTAAAGCAACAAATTAACCCCTATCAGACTAGATATACTTGATGTTCCTCAATTACGCACCACCATGAGCAGCTTCATGACCTTCGACACCGGCAGCGAGGATCTCCTTGGTCAGCGCTCCACTTCCCATCCGCAGGATGACAAACTTGTCCTTTTCGACATCCCATTTTAGAGTGGTTGAGCTTTGGCCTACGGTCGTCAATTTCGTTTCCTTCTGTGTCTGATCTTGATCTTCTTGTTGATGTGGTTCAGTAGAAGTATGATCCTCGGTCTTCAAGCGCTTGCTTGCATGTTCGACACCATTAGCAACGTGATTGTCTGCACCATCATCTTCTTCATCTTGCTCTGCATCCGAAGAGCAATCAGGGCTCCCTGCCCTCTCCAGAGCAGCCAACAGTGGTTCAAGCAAACAGCGGATGTCGCGTCGATGTTGGGCTGCTTCGGTAGTCGAATCCGAAGCCGTACCAGCTGCGCAGGCAGAGAGGTGTTCGGACGCAGCAGTGATCGTGGGGCCTTCGTCCCCGCACGGGCCGGAAACCAGTTTGTCGTACCGTAGGACAGCTGCGATAGTCTTCAAAAGTGTTTCGAGCGAAAAGGCGCCGCCTGCAGCAGCGAAGCAGTCCTTGACGGGAAAATCCAGAGGATCCTTGTTCTCTTCTTGCGCGATATATTTCTGCAGCGCGGCCAACTGCGCGCGCTCCGTTGTGGTGAGAAGCAGTTCAGTGCTATCCTCGACGAGGTCCGGATCGACACACGGGATGCCCATCTTGGCACAGACGCGCTGCGCTTCTTCCAGTGTCGTCGCGGCCGGCTCCTTCGTCAAGTTCAGACTGGTAGTCAAAAGGGGTCGCCGCATAAAGCCCAAGGTCTCTTGCATTTCGGGCGCGTCGATCACGCGAACCCCGAGCGACGGTCCGGGACCACAGACGTGCTTCAGCCCACTTCCTTCCGCAACGGGCAACACGAAGGTGTAACGACCGGGGAGTGCGGAGATCACCGCGTCGTGAACTTTCGTCGGCAAGGAAGACCATAGGGTATAGGTCTCAATTTGGCCAAGATCGCACAGCAGCACCGAGCAGATCGGACTACGACCCCCGCCTTTGTGCTCTAAGCACTTGCGGACAAATGCTTCTTCGTCCGCCAAACAACCGATGCCCCACACAGTGTCCGTCGGATATCCGATGCTGCGCCCCTCCATGAGTTCAGTGGTAGCACGCCGCCATCCGATCGTGCGGCAGTTCGTTCCCTCACCAGAATGCTGATCGCCGCTCGTCATTTTCGTTTGCCTTGTGGTTGTACCTACCTTGAAAGTACAATCGGAAAAATACGAGCCTGTTTTATGTAGAAACTACCGCTAGAAAGAAGTACACATACAAAAAGCAGTGTGCTACGAGTACGACATCGACTACGAAGAGGATAATTATAGAACTTGAAGCTGAACCATGATATTGAAGGTTGTCGTTGTGTAGCTACTAGACTTTATTTTCATGTTCATCATAAGATATCCTTCCTGATCCTGTATGAAGATAAAGTCTGTCATCGACATGATTCATCATGATAACGAGGTGGAGGTTGTTTCCGTTTCGGCTGAGAGTCAATCAGAATGTGGCCTGTAGTTGTAGTAGTTGTTGTATGTAGAATTATATTTTCGATGACGTCCAGTAGATCTTCTGGGATCGCTTGCATGTTGATTCATAACATGATTAATGGATCCTCAACACCGTGTGATCTGGTCGTCTGCTCAATCATGATATTCGACTTCGTCGGGGGGAACACATTCAGACCTCCAAATAAGAACACTTGGTGTCCGTCTTCTGGGTGACAATCAACAACATAATCGATGCTCACTCTCTCATCAAAGTTCCTTTCGCTAGTTTGCCGTGGAGAACTTTCATTTTCACGCGTAGGCAGGTACCTAGTACGCACAGACTACCAGTACTATAATCCATGTCATGCTTGAGGTTGAAGTTGCTGATGTGACAGGAGCTGTAAGAATGATAAAGTCGCAGCGGATAAGCAAGAAATCTTGCCTTGGCGGATCCCAGCCTTTCACAGATACTGTCTGCCAGCACTGAGAGAAACGGCAATGGGATTATTATATACTAAGTAAAGCAGCTGCTCCATCGACCATCACACGATGTTGTTCTTGTAGTTAAGATACATGAAAATCAGGGATGGAACGCTCTCCACCTCCAGTTACGTAAAAAAAACTTTGCGACTTCAAAACGTCAAGAACGAGTAGTCGTACTACATGTACATATTTAAAAAAATTCAAGTTGTTAATTAGCTTGATTTTGCTAAGTACCTCAACAATGACTTATTTATCATGTACATGTTCATGGTTATGCACGCTCTACTAGATAGTGACGCATCAGCCAACTGCGTAAAATGGCAGCGAGACGAATACTAGATTTTTCTAGAGCGGAAAGCCGAGAAAATTCGATCGCAAGAAAGACACAACGACGGCGGGCTGAGACAAAGGCTGACTGTGCATGAGGTACGTAGTCTGGTTCTGGACCAATAGTTGATTTTTTGGTTATACCTTTGGAGTATGAAATCGAGGCGGCAGGGGACGCTCGGGCTCGAAGGGGCGCGGGCTCATCTACTAGATTGATTGGCTTGCCACTTTGTTCTTGATTGGTCTCAGTTCTAGAGCGAGGCGGGAAGGCAACAGGAGAGGATGTCCTCGAGCAGTCGAAATTCTCATCTTGTACCAGTTCTAGATCTAGTTCAAGATGCTCATGCTCCCTCAGAAGATGGCCCTTGTCAAACCCGGGCTTCGAAGGACTGTTTAAGGCCATGTTATAGAGAATCGCATTAGTAGTTGCGTCGTGATCGCGTGGTGTCGAGATGGCAGATGAGGACATTGTGCGACTCGCAGCGAATGGTAGGGCAGGTGGCGCTAAGAGACTTGCGCCGATGAGCGGTTGCGGCACAAGAAGCGATGTACGCGCGTCTTCATGCGGAGTCTTTGGTAATGGGCCGGAAGGAGATCCTCGTGTTCGAGATGAAAAATCTACTTCTCTAGCAGTTTCCGCGAGAGCTCGTTGAGAGCCGGTAGTGAAAAAGTGCTGCATGTATTCCGAAACACCTAGAACAGCGCCGCGCCTCGCAACCCGCACTCTTCGAGGATTCTTCTCAAAGGCGAAGAGATCACCTTTTTCTTCGTTCAGATGATATCGAGGCAACAATGCATGCCGCGGATTCATAGTTCTGAATGCGGAGGAGGACGACGACGAATGGCGCATGTTATTATAGCAGAGTAATTCCTAAGGTTTGGCGCATCGCATGGCATGGAGTGCACGGATCGCATGGAGCTAAAGGGGGCGCTTCTTGCGTCCCTTATGGGTCTACGCTCCATGCACTCCATGCGCCATGTGTGCAATAAACTACTCTGTTATAATTGTAAGGCAAAGGCACGCTGGTTGATGAGGTTATTGGTACTCCTGCAGCATTCAAGTGTTTGCTCAAGCCACGATCTTGTTCCCGTGGTTGAGTTTGGTTTTGGTAAAAGTCGCGACCCTCGAAGACTTCGACAGCACCTTCAACCAAAATGAGTAGTTGAGTTGCCGCAGTACCTGCAGAGTAAACGCAGCTCCCTCCGTCGTACACGCGGAACTCACTCACACCGGCCAAAAGACGTGCCAGGTGGGATCCCTTTGCCGAGGTCTTCACACCTTCTGGAGAATGAGCACCAGAAGTTGATGTGGATGTTGATGATGGTCTTTTTAGCCTTCCTTCTGGGCGAGGAGATGTCTCTTCGAGGAGCTCGGAAAACAGGAGGTCGAAGTCCTCTTTCAAAGCAAGTTCCCACACCCTTTGGGCCGCTCGTGGTGCCGAAATTCCCACCTTGTCTTGACTCTCGACGCTTGCTATCAGTACTTCGCAGATCGTACGTTCTATTTCTCGCTTCTCCGCAGCCACGCGGCGTTCCTCTTCTGTCGGTCCTGTACCATCACGACTAGCAGGAGGCGGGTCTTGCATTTGCAATGTCTGGCTACTACCAGCACTAGTACTTTTCATCACTGCACCCTCCGTCCTCCGACGTTTAGCTTCTAGCAGGATGAGGGCCTCGCATTTTTCCAGCGCATGATCTAGGCTCGTTTCGAAAACCAAATAATTGTGTCCTGCATCTGCGTTTTGTAGTGCATTCCTCAGGCGGCGAACCAAGCCGCACACAACGAGCTGCACGCCGGGTTCTCGTGCCACTTCCGCGATCGCGAAAACACCGTTCGCATCCATTGCTGGTACAGAACTAAAATCCAGAATCAATGTCGGCAATTGCTGCGATTCTTGCTCCTGGTAGGTCTCTTTTTTTACAGCGTCTTCTATGTTGATCACCTCTGGTGGTCCTGAAGCATCGGTTCTTGAAGGGGAAGTAAAATCAATTTTTCGTTTTGCTTCCCGCACTTTTTCGCGAATGCGTTCCACTACCACAGTCGCGCTGCCGAAGAACAGGTAGCCGTGCAGATGCAGAATTTGTACGCGACCAGGGTTCTGCATTAGCAGTTGCAGTTCATCCACTTTGTAGTCGACACAGGACTGCATTGCGCCGAGGTCGCTTTCAGCTGCGACGCCCGTGAGATTGGCGTACTCCACGACAAAGAGCACTAACGAAATCAGGAGGCCTAGTGGCACTCCAATGGTGATGTCGTAGACCATAGCGGCGGCTGTACCCAACAGCGCACACCACTCAGGTCGGGCTATCCGCTCCCGCGAGTCCCACAAGGCGTCTGTCGCGATATCGAGTCCAACGAGCACCACGAGGCCAGAGAGAATGAACTTTGGGAGGAAACTAACGAAGAAGGACGGCGTGAGGATGTACGCGAGTCCGTACCCAAAAACGCAGTACAATGGCCAAGCGCGCGGACGGCACGGCCGGGTAAGCAGTAGAGAATTTGTCTCCACGTGGCTTCTCGTTTTACTGGTCGCGCCAGGATTTCGCATTTTCAATTTGCGAATAGCGTCCTGCTGTTGGCTTTTGAGAAGACGATTAGTACTGCCACCGGTGAATGTTGTTACCGTCCTGGATGGTGGTGGTGCTGGCTCAGGAACTACACACGCAAATGCTGAGGTGCGGTCCATATCATGATCTACTTCGCCATCAACTACTTTCTTTGAACTTGTGCCGCTGTCCCCTCTGTCGACAAAATGAGCATAATTCGAGGAGGACTTCGCGATCAGAGCCTGTACCGCTAACGAGATTTGAAGACTCGGGCACGCTCCCAAACCCGCAAAGAAAAACGAAGTGAGAACATTGCATAAACCACTCTGTGCCGTCTCGAGATCCTCCACGATTGGAATATCCCTTGTTTTGCTGATGCTCTCAATTCTAGGTTGTCGATCATTCATCGCCTTTGCCATGTGACTGTAGTTGACTGCTGAGTCATGGTCATCGCTCCCCACGTCGCTGCCGCCACCTGGAGTAGCAAAACCGTCAAAAGCTGCAGGTTTGAGGTATCTTCGTGCACGCGAAACAGTGTCTAAGCCACGACGAGAAGATGCCGGGACGGGGGTCGGCACTAAGCAAGTGAGTTTAGAATTTCCTCCTCCAGCATTCCGAGTACGCGTCGTCTTTTCTTGCCGCCCTGATACTCCTCGAATGTCCTCTGGCGTTCCTTGCGAGAGGTCGGTTCTTTCCCTTCTCAGCACCATTTCCTTACTTGTGAGCACCTCCTGCGAGAAGATAGTTGCCAGTGTGGGGACCCGGCTTCTCGACAGAGGACGCTCTTCTGGCTGAGAGTAGTCATCTGCCTCCCCGTTCAGTATTTTTGCAGTCGTTGCACTTGGGGAGTTAAATTCGTCCAGTAAAGAAGTCTCAAAGCTGTTATCTCTCCCGGACGTGCGGTGTGGTGGAGGTGGACTTGCAGACGGCGTTGGTAATCTAAAACCCTGAAGACGGTGAGGAGACGACAGCTGGCTCTTCGAGTTAGCACGACTTGAAGGAACCGATAGGGGTGATTTTGGTGGTGTACTTGCAACACCAAAAGGTCGCGGACGGGCCTCATGATCATAGTTGAACGTTTTCCCAGATAGAACAGGACGGATATTGTACCGCGTCCACGTTCTGGTCGGTTCGACGTCATCGTCCGCCAATGTAGCAAGAAAAGTCGGGATAAACCAGCGTCTCTTCCATTCCCACTCTCTCCGCGGCCCAACGAGCTTCTTACAGGCAGCAATGTGCAGAAACCAGTTGAGCAACATCACAGCCACGTAGCTCAAAAGGCTACTCGGGAAGTACAGAGCATCCGAATGAAAATGTTCCGCATCGAAAACAAATTTCAGAAGTGACAATGGATTTGACACCGCGAGATGCACTACGCTTGGGTCAAATGATGTCGTCGCAGTCGCTGTAGAAGTCGTTTCAGAGGTGGCCTTTGCTGGTGCAACAGCAACATCAGAAGAAGAAAGACCACCTTGGAGGTCTAGGTACCAACTGCGGGGTGGTAGTCCACACGTGAGGAAAAGTCCTTCGCATGCGATTACAAATGCTACAAGGACAAAGATAGCGCCCAGTGGATGCTTGTCTTGTGCGTATCTCGAACACACAACAAAGAGCGCGAGGCAGAACAGGAGCGCGGTTGATGTGCTCAAAGAAAAGCCATCGACGCCGGTGCTCGCGCTGCCATCTGCTCGTTGTAAGGCGTTGTTGTCTGGGTCATCTACCATCAAGGCTTGCGCATCCGTCGCAAGATGATTCAGATATTCCGGTATTTTACATCCTAGAACCAGCTCTATCGCGCTCTGTAGTATGAGAATTCCAGTGCCTCCAATAAATCCTGTGAGGACGGAATAGGGCAGGAAACGAAGTAAAAATGTCACACGACGCACACCAAGCCAATACATCGCTGCGTTGAAAACTAAGCTTGCAACGACATTGAGGCACAGAAGGTGTGCTGTAATTACATTATCATCGATCTCCGCGTCCCTTGTTCCACTCTTGAGATCTGCGACGTCTGAAGGGGCGCTTGTTCCCACATCGATGCCAGCTTCTGATGTTGCATTAGCGTGGTCTCGACGCCGCGTGAGAAGCAATACCGTTTGCCGGCCTAGCTTGCCCAACAGGACTGCTGACACGGTGTCGACGTTCGCACAGGTCTGAAAGCGCGAGAAAAACAGGAACAGCGTGCTCATCACCAACGCGGTCATCAACGCCTGATCTGCAATCGCGCTCGTGGCCTGTGGAAAGCCTGCGGCATTGGCTTCGACAGCCGCGAAGGTCCCTACAGTCGGGATGCCAATGGTAATTGCAAAGACCAATGCATAGAGATCGCTCCAACCAAATGCGAACACCTCAAACGGCGCACGAAGCCATGACTGCAGCTGCAGCCAAATTGGTTCATCAACAAGTTCAACAGGTGTCTTTGAAAAGATCTCGGCCGGAAATGCAGTACTAGCCTCAACATCAGCAGGATTCGCTCCAGTTGACGAAGATCGAAAATACTCGCTGAGATTCGCGAAGCAGCTGGTAGATGGACTGAAGCCATCCCGTAGATTCTTGTCAACATAGTCGGCTGTTGACTTTTGCTGCTCAGAAACTGGTGACAGCAATGGCGTGCGCAACTGGTGGCTCTGCTCCAGCGATGTGCCAGAGAGCGTTGTCTGCTCGTTCCCACTTCCGTTTTGGTGACTCAACATCATGACAAAAACGACTTGGTGCGTAAAGCAGCTCGCATTAATGAGGTGCAACTACACCGGATCATCGCCACGTCCAAGAAAAACAGGTACTACCAGCTGTTGATGTTGTGCCACCGACAACATCCCATGCACATCTTCGATCCTCTTCCTTAACCTTAACCTGTTAGTTTCATAAAAATTTTGATCTGATGCCACCTACTGAAGAAGAACGGTTGCTCAGACACAGATCCACATCTGCAATTTGCAGAAAGCAACTCTACCCGGATTCCTTGAGGTTGGGCTGCATCAACCTCTCCCTCTCGGTGTCGCTCGACGTCAGAGTCGACACTTTCCCAACTATTGAGCGAGTACGTGTACGTTGTACAGTTGGTGGTGCTTCTTGTCCACCGATCTCAGATCCACATGACTTCGCAGACAGCAAGTTCAACAACTACAGATATAATCGAGTACCGAAAGAAGCCATTTTACAATTTACAATTTATCTCGCACAAAGTTCAGTGCAGACTGCCACAAGGGCGTCATAGATGATACACACGATGGTTCTCACGCAAAGAGTGGAGTGGAGAAGCAGCACGGTTACGTCTGTTGTGAAAAGTTACAACTTAACACGAACTAGCCCTAAGCGAGAGTTTTAGACAACGAACCCCAACTATCACCGTTCAAACATCTAAGACTTTAGTAAGCAGTGTACTTAGGTGAGACGGGACAGCCTTTTGCTTTATTTACGCAAGCGGAACAACTTAACTACACTACCACGCGCTTCACAACACAAGACTTGAGCTCAACGAACTTACCGTAATAAACTTTTTTTTTTATTGACATAACCGAGAAAGCAACCACTGAAGACGACACTTTCTTCCTTTACTAGCTTAGCCTGCTTATGTTAGTGACTTTATAAACTGCCCTGCTTCTGCTTTCACTACACGAGAACAAGAGTTTTGATAGAAAGAGAAAGAGCACTTTTAGCGTTTCTGTAGAAGAGCCACTTACTTACTTTCACTTAGGACAACCTGACAGCTTACTTGGCTGCCAGCACCTACCAGCCTATCCTCAAATACTAGTCGCATGCCCGTCCTCGTCAGAGGTTGGAGATCAACACAAAGGATTAACAACATTGACTCCCGCGGATTTCCTATCCGTATGCATCGTGGCTGCTGTTTGAGAGTTCTCTACTCAGGGAATTAGTATAGTATAGATACTAATTCTTTCGCAAGCAGATGTAATAATACATGGCTTCTCTCGGTTCCCTCGACCATGATCTTAGAGCTCTAGCTCTATAACTCACTATGGATATCTGATCCCTTGATCTTATCAGTACACTCCTCCGGTGAACACTCGCAGATATTCTAGTGCTACTCAGCACTTACTCAATCTAGTGCCTCTAGCTCTTGTCCAAATCGTATCAGTATCAAACTCAGGGCCTAAAACCTAAAGACCTAGGGTGTTTGGAGTGATGATTCGTTTCATGTCCAAAGGGCCAGAATGTGCACCATTTGCAATGTTCAAACGAATATCATTCTCATCTCTGGTTTTCACTCGTGTAAGCCCTTTTGCGAATTTGTAACGAGAAACGACTGCCACATACTAACTCTTATCCGTTTGTCTTACAACACAGAGACAGAACATGCTGAAAACCCTGATGATCCACATGCATATATCCGTATCGTTCGTCTTCGTCGAGTTGCGCAGATGAATTGTACAACTAGTCCTGTATCAATCTTCATGATCATGTCGATTCGTAAGCGTATTGTCAATGGCACTAGATCTAAAAGAAGCCCAAGCCACCACCCTCCGGGACCTGCAACTCCATGATGGCTCCATTGATGACATCTTCACCAAATTCGTTCTCTGCTTCTCGCGGTACCGCTTCCTCGATTGCGTCCCAATCGGCACGGGTCATCTCCACCGTGAAACTGTCCCCGAATTTGTCGGAGTCCAAGTCGAGCTGTTTTTGTGTCTTCGGCGTTGAAAGCAAAAAATGCCGCTTGCGTGGAATAAGAAGACGACGCAACGACTTCATGCGAAAGCCGACACTTGCTTCGCCTGCCGCTTGAAGGGTTACATCTCTTTGTTCATCCTCTATCTTCTGTGCTTGGTCCCGTGTATTCGAGGACCTCCGGCTAATCTGGTCGTGGATGCATTCGAGTAGATAGGCTGCATGCATGACGTCAGTCCGACACACTTTGAGATGATTGCGCACGCGAATGTCGACCCCACCAGCAACGACCAAATCAGTGTGGTCTTTCCGAAACTGCGCAACCACACGTGCTCCGTAGTCTTGCAGTAGGCGATCCAGAACGTGGCGACGACCGTCAGGCCCGTTAAGGACGCAAATCTCGAGGCCACGAAATACTTGGAGTGCACGCTCCGGGTCTTCCACGGCTGACGCGACTGCAAAATGCAACAGACTAGCCAAACTGGTAGGAGGCGGCCCTTGTTGTAGTCCCGTTTTGTCCTTTGTTGCCCGCAATCCGCTTAACAAAATCTGATTTCTTGCCGTATTCATCAAGTCTTTCTGCTCGTCATCGGACGGCAAGCCGAGATGGTCACCGCCAATTTTTCCGACCACTTTCGGTTTCTTTACAACCCTTGGCATCTTTTGTTTTTGCTTCTCTACTGCGGCATCCATGAGCTTTTCGTCGCCTTCGGTGTCCCCAGCGCGTTTTCTACGGCCCATTGCGAGACTGAAACGCTGACTGGCCGCTTCGGCTTGCATGAATTCCTGCAATTCTTCGAAACTCATACTTTCATCGAAACCCTTGTCGTCGCGCATGCGCACGCAGCGCGGGAAGCGCATCGTGTAGCCTAGTTCGAAATCCACCGACCGCACAATCTCGCTTGCCTCGATTTCCAGAACGACATTGGCATCCTCCAGATTTCGGTAGACGACATCCGGCCTCGTATGAGCGGGGAACTTGTACGGAAGCCATGACGGCGGTTTGGCAGCATCGTAGCGGACAACGTAGGGACGCAAAAGCTCGCAAATATTCGACAGCTCGTCGTGGCTGTACCCCGTGGCTACTTTAGCAAAGGAGACGACCTGTCTCGTGCCATTATCCTTACCGCCGTCGCCACGGCGCAGCGGCTTCATCCCCGCAATAGCTGCAGCAGCACTCTCTTCGTGTTCACCAGCAGCTTCGCCATCCGCATTCTTGTCATCGCCCATAACCGCATTTTCCGGGTCAGCATCTCCGTTTCTGTTTTCATCTCCCTCCTCCGTCCCTCCCCCACCAACGCGCAGGGCTAAGAGGAACTTACTCACGTTGTCCACTAAGTCGGTGCCGCCGCGCCGCCGCGTCTGCGTGTCCGCAAAGTAACCGCCAATAACCACGAGGTCTAGATGATCGGCGTAGCGACTGCCGTACTCTGGTTTCAGCTTCCACCATCCAGCTTTCCGACTGTTGAATCTGTACCTGCTTCCGGTATGCTTCACCATGATACCTTCCTCCCTCCGTTCCACAGCTTGGGTCAATTCCTGCTCGATTTCCTCCACGGTGCTGTATGGCCCTCTGGGTTCCACTAATTCCACCCAGTTCTTCTTCTGCCTGACTACCTTGTGCAAAACGTTCTTCCTAGTGGCGAGCGTGTTACTGCGCAAGTCGTATATACGTTGCTCGCTCTTACCCTTGAACATGAGAATGTCGAAAACCATGTAGCACAAGTGCGTCTTGCCGCTCAAGTCCAAGCTGCAATTGCGATTGGTACCAAACGGCAGGAAAGTCTGCAGGCTCTCATCAAAACCTAGAATTTCGCCGTCCAAAATTCCCTGTTCCCCACCGAAGCACGACAAAATGGTCTCCTTCATCTGCGGGCCGTATTTGGGCGTGTAGTCATTACCATTCCGCGTGAACAGTTCTAACCGGCCCTGCACTTTATCGATGTGGCAGACCATGCGCTCTCCATCTAGCTTTGTCTCAATAAAATAAGCAGGCTTTTCTCCCGCTTCACTTGCTGCAAATTGTGGATTTCCTTCACCTCCTGTTGCAACAGATTCCTCATCCTTGTCTTTGTTTGCATCATCCAATGACACTCCGTGTTGCCCGTCACCAGCATCGGCATGCCCTCTCTGCGCACCATCAGCCACGGAGTTCCAAGGAGCCTCATCTTCACGACCAGAAGTGTCTGCTTGCTTTCTTTTTCCCCCAGTTTGCTGTTGCTGTTGCTCTCTTGCCTGCGCCTCAGCCGCTTGCTTTTTTGCGTACCACTGAAATAATTTTGCGTCGCATTGTTCCACTCCCAAGCGGCCACTAAGCATGGGCTGGATTCGCTGGAAGAGGAAATTCACACTAGACAGGCTCTCGGTCGAGTTCACGCCTAGTCGCAGGCGGTCGAGTACCATTTTCAAGTCTGCAACTTCTTGGTACAGGGGCAGGGCATCTTTGTGAAATCGCGCAAGCACAGATTCTGGGGAAAACCCAAGCTTCGTATCTTTCAGCACAAATCGTGCAAGCCATTTGATTTCCACTGGGGACATCTTCCGTACTCCAGCTAGAAGCACACGGAACGATGATTTGTCCTGCTTTGTGCCTGAGCCTGCTCCTGCTGTGGCGCCTGCTGCAGCATTTCCCTTGCCCTCTTGTTCACCTGCGGCAGTCGTCGCTCCCGCTGCTGCCTCAGCATCGCCTTGTGGTGCCTGCACTGGTTGCAAGTCTTCGTATTCCACTGAGAGCTGGTCTAGTACGCGGTTCACGTCTGACACTGTAAGACCACCAGAAGCGTAGTTGGCGCGAATTTCGACTAGAGAGAAGAGTACACTGGAGAAGTCACCGGGAATGCAGCGGAAGCCCTCCTGCAAAGCCGCGTCTCGGAACCCGAGTAAGCGCCGTTTTTCTTTATCAGGTACACCCAACACTTCGGCCAAAAGCTTCCCAAGCTTGTTCTCCTTCATCTCGTAATTACCGCGGTGGCGATCCGCGTGAGGAAATATCAGTCGAAAGGCCGGCCACAGGTCGCCATCGGACACGGGTCTCAAAAAACCCCACAAAGTTTCGAGCTTATCCTTCTTCTTGCGACTGCGGTGTAAATTCTCAAGGAATCGGCAGAAAACGTCGAAACGCACATTGCCGACCTGCGCTATTGGTGCCGCAGATGATGTGCTACCGTTGGTGCTGGAAGAGCTCATCGTGTTTGTGTTCCTCAATTCTTCTTGGTCATGCTGCTTTCTTATCGTAAGTTGTTCGCAAAAAAACTTTTTTTGCCTTGATTTCCCGGTCTTCTTCGCTTCTATGGAGGTAGACTCTTCACCTTCGCAGGCAGAGGTGGGACCCCAAGTGGCCGTAGCATAGTTTGGCAGATTTGTTGCGCTACTTCTACGTGAAATGCAAAAATGACATTAGACCACCCGTGCAAGGTCGCATTCAAGAACCGACTATGAGGGTGATCGCAGCGTCGTGCATAGCCATTTTTTCTCAAGAATCAACAGCTTAAGGATGAGGGGCTTTTCAGACTCTGAAACAATAGGTTCTGACTAAGTAATCGTGATGGGCTAGAGCGTAGTCAAGATGAAAAGACTGAGACACCGTTCGGGAAGCCCTTGTGTGATAAAGATGGCACGCGAGAAATTCTACAGCTTTGACTTTTGATGGTCGAAATTACCAACATTTTGTTCACTAATTAGAACAAAACCAAAAGCGGACGAGTGACATTTAATTACAGTTATTGAACTTCCTTCTAATCTAGTCCTAGGTTCTCGGGGTCAGGGAAATGAATACCAAAAAACAGTGAAGCTCAGCTTGAAATCGACGCAAAGATATGAAAGGAAAAAAGTAAATTAAAGGAGGGTAAAGCTAAACGAGAACCGCTCGCTCTTGCCAAAAGTGCCTGGACCTGAAGGTAAGACTCCGAAGTTGGTCGTGTCGCGAAGATGAGTCAAAAAGTTAAAGTAGTTTGATGTACGCGAGATAGATCTTACTTGGGTAGCCCAGCACAAGAACCAGGACGACAATCGTCAATTGATTCTACATAGTCAGCGGTTCTGACAAGTCGATTCTTTGTATTCATTGTTAGCTACTATGAAATCAAGATGTCGATCTCGATGCGCAAAATTCAATGTCGGGATTGTCGGATCCGTTAAATCATGACATGCTGCATAGATGTTGAAGGCGGGACACAGAAGTTGTAGCCATAGGAATTACAATAGGGCAACTTTCGCTTTCCTCATCAGTTTTGAGCATCATAAGCCATCTCACCAATACAGCTTTCCCCAGTGCTCTTCATGTGGATACTCCTGTAATTGCCCTATGCTGTAGAGAAGGTGTTTCTCGGCATGGTCTTCTTGCGCATCTGTGTCCTTCGGACTGCGCGCGATTGCGAACAAGGAGACCAGCAGGTAAGGCAAAATGCACTCTGCTGGTGTTCCCGCGCCTATCATCCCATCAACTTCTGCGATAAGTGTCGCTGCTTTGCTGCACTGGAAATCCGTCAGAGTCGCGCGGTCCAAAAGAGCATCCCGAAGAGGTCCGACAACGGCCGCTGGTGCATACGCTTCTCGCAGTAGCGATTCAGCATCCTGTTCTACCTGATAAATAGAAGAGCAATAGTGTCTATGATATGGGAGTCTATGCGCGTCACTAAAAAACGCTTAATTATACAGGGTAGTTTGACGACTAACGATATGACAAATAACGAATGCATGTCTTAAATAAGCTCTGAAGCGGAGAGAACAGTGCAAATGATCACGCAACTACTTCTCAACATCTAGAGGTAGATTACCTGTGCATCCAATCAAGTTCAAGCTACTATCAGAGGAGCAGCAAGGACAAAGGAGGGCATAAGCAAAAACGTCATAAATGGGATGATCACTCAAGAAAAAAAGAACAGAAACAAAAAGGCGGGCAAACCGAGACGCTGGAGGGGGTCAGAGGTGAGAAACTCCGCACCTCGTCTCCCGCTGTTCTTCCTTAACAGCACACGCCACCCGACAACCGACACGGCCAGAAAAAGTAAAAAGATAGCTGACCCTGCAGCACAAAACGTCGGCGTCTGCCTGCGGGTCGTCTGGAGCATCCGGCGGGGCCTTTTTGAGTTTCTTCTTTGGCTTCCCTCGGTCCAAGTAGGAGCTTCCGAACGTGCTTTCCCAATGCTCACCAGATTCGCGTCCTCCAAGCGGCTGCTTCCGCAGCACTTGCTTGAATAGCTTAAGAATAGGTTAACATTACACGCACTAGAAATTGATTTAGGAACGCAGGCTCAACGTGAGTGATGTCGTTGTAAGTACTAGCTGTAAGTAAGTAGTACATCCTCCACTGTTTGGCTGCACAGTATGTGGTCCACAATTTTTTCGACACTTTCGTCTGGAAGGGCGTTACCGAGTCGCAGTATATCGTTTCTTGATATTTTCTTTTTCAGCTGCAAGCTCGCGTCAGCGCTGCTCAGTCTGGAAGCCGGATTCACCAGACTCGCACATGTGCTCTGCAACAATGTGATTGCCCGTCGACAGTCGCCCTCGCTGAGCGCAAGCAAGACGTCTAGACCTTCATCGGCGACCAGCAAATTCTCGGCTTCGCAGATTCCCCGTAAGTGTTCGCGATGCTGGCTGTCGTCCAACGGCTGGAAGCGGATTAAGGCACATCGCGACTGAATTGGCTCAATGATCTTGTTGACATAGTTGCAACAAAGAATGAATCTGGCGTGACCACTGTGCTCTTCCATCACCCGTCGCAACGCGGCCTGCGCCTCAAACGTCAGCGCATCAGCCTCGTCCAAAAGCACGAACTTCAAACACGGACTAGAACAATTAGAACATAAGCATAACGAATACGATCGAAAAGGAGCAGAAACTGAAACAAAATGATCATAATCATCAGGAATGCAAATGCGGCAGCACCCATTCTTACAGGCGATGTGCTTATAGTGTCCTTGTAGCTCGAGTAACTGTCAAGTCATCAGTCAAATGCTCCATAAGATATTTGTCTGGCTCGTCGTCCTCCTGATAGACGTCATTCCTGCAGTAAGTCTTGACCTCCTCACGTATGACTCGAACTCCGCGATCCTGGGATGAATTCATTGCTTTCACGTGTTTTCTCGCTGCTATCGGACCGAATAGCTCGTAAAGGAATGCCCAAGCAGTCGTCGTTTTCCCGACACCAGGCGGACCGTGGAGTAGCAAATGCGGAGTCTTCGCAGGTGACGCCAACATTCGTGCGAACGTGCGCTCTGTCGCGGCGCTATGCACGATGCTCCGCAGCTCTTTTGGTCGATACTTTTCTGCCCATGGTTTCGCCCTCTTCTGGAATTTTTTCTTGTCAACAGGTCTTCTGGAAGCAGTGGCGCTCCCCGCGTCCATTTGCGTGAGGTCGAGCGGATTCGCAACTACAGAGGCTCTAGAAGTAGCTCCAGGTCCGCTCCCTGCCAGTCCGGTGCCGAAAGGGGGCAACAAATTTGCTCCGAACGGTCGCAACGAAGCTCCGCTTGGCAGCGAAGGGTGGTGACTTCCTGGTTGAGGATCTGGCATTTTCGTGAATGCGACCACCTAAGTACTTCTTCTACTTTATCAACGAACTGAATTAATTCCAACCAACAAGAAGTCGTAGTGTTATTGGTCGTACCATTCATAACGATATTTTCATTTGTTGTGTCTATCGTCAACGACATTCTTCATCAGCAACTTCGTGATATGAAGGAAAGGAGCCAGTGCATCCGAGTGGTAATTGTAGAGGCACTGAAGAATCAACAAAATCACACACACCTTTTTCTTCATCTTCTCCACAACTAGTTGTCACTTCTATCATGAAGATCGCCCTTTGCAAGATGACAGGTCCGTTGTCAAGTCCTCGCCAACAAAACAAAATGCTCACGTATTTCTCATGATTTTAATGTGATCTGTCTGGAGCAGGGCCAGGGAACTTTTAGTAAGTCTTTTGATATTGTTGACTAAGTAAGTACAACTACGCTACTCTACTTCGCGACAACACATGACAACTTTTTGGCTTCGTCCTCGATCTCGGTCGAGTGAGAACTTCATGCCCTGCAAGGGCTTCCGGCACAACGTGGAATCTCTGTCTCCTCGTGGGTTCCTTCTACACATGGTATGGGACATATCAACTGCGCGCCAAACTTGTAGTTTTAGTCGTTTTTACTTTTACGGGGCATCCGGTTCTGATCGATTTTACGGGTTCATTGTTTCTTCGATGAATCAATCTCTATTTTAGCATGAAGGCGAAGATACTGGTAAGACCTAGCTTCGATCATTCTTGATCGAAGGCCACGACATAATGATAATAATTCGAGTTTCTGTTTCTTTATCCTCTAGAATTTTCTCTTGCCATAATGTTGGTGTGAAATTACGAGTACCAAAAACAATGCAGAGTACCCAGACTGCAAGGAAAAGAAAAAGGAAGGGAGGAGCGCGTCGCCAATCTTCGCTTTGTAGCGATACGATTAGCGATCTTGTTTCTCACATCCTGCGGATGTACGCTTGATGTTGATACTTTTAGGGAAAATAATACATAGTCTCTTTGTTCCATGGATGAAATCGCGTTCGTTAAAGGAGCGCCACATTCTAGAAAGAAGCCTTAATGACAGCTGGACCGGTTTTGATAATGATGATCATTTCTTTTGAAAAGCTGAACGTTTGGCCCTATCTCGTTCATCGTGTGCGTCTGTCTAGAACTTTTTCGGTCATGGTTGCTATCGCTATCCGGGTTCCGTTCTTGATCTTGAAATCAAATGGGTTTTTACTAGTCGGGGTCGTTTCGGTTTTACCAAATTTTACACGAGTTTCTAACACAACGCTTCTGTTTACAACAAATGATGGTGAAGCGAAAGGATTCATTCAAATGATTAAAGATGAATTCGCCCTTACTCCAATGTGTGTTGGAGGCGTTCTCATGGTGATTCTCTGCTCAAATGTGTCTGCCTTTTGTAAGTACGCAATTACCACCTACGCTTGCCGCCTCCCTTACTGGGTGGTCCGCCGAATGACCCCTGACCCTGCGCCATGCGCGCCAACTCGCCTGGCACTTGCTGGGCCGCTTCGCGGAGGATAGACATTAGTGCTCCTGCCATGCGTACTTTGTCAGGTGTAAAAAATGTATAGGCAGACCCCGTGGCGCCAGCTCGACCTGAAGGATCAACAAATTGTAAAAAGTAAGTGCTTACGTACATTTTGATTGATTCTACTAGTACTAAAAAATGCGATGAGGACAACATTAAGATTACTTAACTTCGAGCAAACAGATACTCAAACTCATTTGTTATTCTACAACTTTAACATTACCCGTTCTCCCGATGCGATGCACGTAGTCCTCTATCTGATTTGGGAAGTCGAAATTCACCACATGCTTGATGTCTTTCACGTCAAGACCGCGGGCCGCAACATCAGTAGCGATCAAAATTGGGTTTCTGCCTTCTCGAAACTCCTTGAGCACCCAATCCCGTTCCTCCTGCTTTTTATCCCCATGAATTGCCAGTGCTGGCCATCCCGCCACACGCATCTCCTTAGTCAGGGTATCAGCGCCGCGCTTGGTTTCGACGAAAATAAGGATTTTGCTTCCGTCCATGATGTTGTGCAGCAGTTCTTGCAGTCTGCGTTTCTTCTCGTATTCTTGGATAATCTCAACGAACTGTGAAATATTGTGCGACGCTTTCAAATCCAGAGAGCCGATGTTGATATGCACCGGGTCTTCACGGCACAAATCGCGAGCCAGCTTCTGCACCTCTTTTGGCCATGTAGCAGACCACAAAAGTGTCTGTCTGTCAGGTCGAATCTGCGACGATATCTTGCGAACCTGCATCAAGAGAGAGAAAGAGATCGACATGATCTTGATCATGCAGCATATTTAACTTTGCTTGTTCATGCCCTACTGGTATTGATGAGTTTCACTTTCGAAAGCCACCGGTATTTTCATCTGTACCTGCTGATGTTGAATGTAATAAATATGAGAGAGCATCATCATGTATACTTCTCAGCAAAGGCAATAAAATTAGCCTAGTGCCTGTGGTTCGAATCCCATATCAAGCATTCGATCGGCTTCGTCCATGACGAGATAGGTCACTCGCAAGGATTAGACTTTTCGGAAGATGAGTGAAGCCGCGACTTCCTTGTCATATTGTATGTACATCTAGTAGGAGTAAGTACCTCATCTAGTAGAGTCTACTAATGAAAAAGAAACATATAATTGATTTATTAAAATTAATGCTTGTTCGATCTCGATCTCCCTGTTCTCGATGAATCACGTATTAGAACTACAATTATATTGGATGGAATTTATACTATAGTACTAGTTGTATTGTCGTTGTCCTCGTGGCATAATTAAGATTTGTGGTTCCCTGCTCGAGAAAATCTATCAATCGTCCGCAAGTTGCCACTACAATTTCGACGCCGTTGCGTAAGTCTCCTGCTTGCCGATTTCTCGGAACGCCTCCGTACACACAGGTGTTTCTGATGTTCGCAACCTTTCCGAATTTATTGCACTCCTCTTGTATTTGCACTGACAGTTCGCGCGTCGGGGCGAGGACCTGAATGTTCATGCGACGAAGAGGTTAGTTTCTAGATGCAGAGTGATTTTCAACATCCTCGAATACTGCTCATGCGTTTGGGTTTGGAAACATAAACTTAAATGATTGGAGTTGGACCAAAAAAATTGGTAGGAGAATGCGTAGGAGAATGCAAAAAGTTGACAAGATGGACGAGGAGCAAGCCTTGCTCTCTTGTAAAAACGTACCAACATGATGGGTCCTTCGCCCCGCTGCAGAGCAGGCTGCGCCTGAATGTGCACGATGCCTGGCAGTAGAAACGCTAGTGTCTTGCCACTTCCTGTGTCAGCGATTCCAACCATGTCTTTTGCGTCTTAGAGCTTATGTGTGGATGATCACAGTTCTTATTCTTGAGTCTTTTAGATACTTGAAATTGAATAACGTTGATGTTAATGATATAAATATTTATAAATATAATGTCCTCAACGTAATGCCGCCAACAAGCAATAGGACATCTTGTTCATCACTACAACCTAGTAATATACAAGCTCAAACGGCCGAAGATTCCTAATTTCTATATCATATACATCAGCCTCCTGCCGTAACCTGAGAGTGCTATTGGCCAGCCCTGAACTTGGATGGTCGTTGGAGCCTGAAATCCTGCGCCGTAGAGTGCCTGCTTAAGATGTTGTGGAAACGGTGCCTCCTCAAACGTTCGAATCGGTTTAGGAACGTGGTGGCCGAAGACAATGTTGATTTGTTTTTCTTCCCGATATCTTCGCACATCCTGCTCCGACAGTGCTGTCACCTAAAAAAGTGGAAGATTTCACATCTGGATGTACATGTAAATGTGAAGACTACTTAAACGGCGAAGTGAGCTAGGTGGGATGGGTTGATGCGCCTGCACACATTCGGAAGATCTAGATTCGCTGGATAAAAAAGTAGTTGATAAAGAAGAGGCGAGGAGAAGCACAATCATGTTCATTAGCTGCGCTTTCACTTTTTTTGCATCTAGCTTGAGAAGAGGAGGCTGCAAAAATACCTCGAGACTAGTAACATTAGCAATAACGAAGTAGAAGCAGAAGATGAATAATCATAAACGCTGTACCTTGACGAGGTATTTTCTCTAGCCCCCTCGGCGCACGCCGGCTAGTAGCGGACCCTTCCGCACCGGCGGAAGAGCACGCGCCGACATGCACCATATTTTTTTTGACCATATCTACTAGTACACATGCTCTACCTCTAGTACCGACATACGCCTACAACATCTGAAAGGATGATGTTCGTGTTACGTTGGGGTGTTCTCGGTAGAAATTTTTCTCGAATTTGATCAGAGATTGCTGTTGCCAGTTCATGTGCATGTTTAGGCGGCTTCCCAGTTGCCCCATGCGATCTCCTCCGCCCATACAACCGCCGAATCCTCCACCGAAGCCGCCTCCACCGTAGCTGCTTCCACCCCCATAGCCGCCACCACTCCCATAGCCTCCGCCACCGCCGCCACCGAAGCCGCCTCGTCGCTCGCGCGATCGTGAGCGGTAGCCTCCGCCTATAATGACAAGATTTTCCGAGAGATGACGGACTGTTCCGTCAAAAGAATAAAACCCTTCATGTTGTACGTCGACACTTCTGTTGAAACAACTGTTGATGATGATAGCCTGAAAGGGCGGGTGGGGGGATAATATATTAAGGTGAACGTAAAAGAATGATAATTGCGACAACTATGGCTAACTTTATTACACAATCTACCGTTCGTCCTGCCTGGAAACAAACACCCAAGAGTAGCAACATTTACCCCGGCTTCTGGATCGCGATCGGCTGTTCCGCCTTCCACCTCCATCGACACGCCCGCGAGGAGGGCCAGCACCGTACATTTTGAGGATGTCTTAGTTGTCGTTCGATGATATCTTCACCTAGTTCTAGTGAACGGTAGGAATAAAAAACGAAAATACAAAATATTTCTACTACCCTATCTCTAAAAACAAAACTACGCGCAAAAAGTTGTAGGTACTCAATATGAAATAAGGCTTCACATTAATGAAGACAAAATGCGAATGTCGCGAATATGGATTGATATGTTCAGTGATGTGAAATTATCGTATTTAGATGAAGATCATAATGTTAGACTTAGAGAGAAAGTCTATAACAATCTAGATCTAAAAAGCTCGACGGAAAGTTATACTAACCTCTCTTCAACCAGCTCATTTCTTTCGAGCAGCCTCGCCTGTTGGTCGTCATAGTAAAGAATGAAGATTATGATGTCCTCGTGTTTGTGTTACATCATCAACTATTATGATCAAGCTAGTACGTTTTCACTTTTCCTTGTCCTACACGACAAGTCGCTTCTGGCAGTCTGTACTGCCTTCTGAGGAGAAGAGGCTAATGGCACTGAGTCTTTTCAGTTCCTGGCCGCTGAAGCCTCAACAAGTTAGCGCAACTTGCTTGTTTTGCGTGGTGGAATCATGCTTATCTTCAGCGTCGACTTTGTGATTACTTAAGAAGTAGAAGAAATAGTAATGATCATTGTCATGAGCAAGTGCCCAAAACAAAGAGAGGAGTGAGGACCGATAAAAAGCGATGTTGACAGAACCGGAACACAACGATACGGCAACCCCAACTCACTTCAAATGAGTACACGCAAATCAATCTGCAAGTCGCAAGTATGCCTAGCGTAGTTATGTTGAGCGCATTAAGGCCATAAAAAGAAGATAGTGTATGTAGTGCTTTTAGTTTCAGTTTTACTCGAGAGTATCAGCATCAGCATGGGTATCTCCAAAAGACATACTTAATCATGATAAAGCATGGTCTTCAGATATTAATGTTCATTCATGATATGGTTTGTCTCATGTGCTAGTGTATGTTCTTCCATATGTGAAACAAGCGCCACATGTTCTTCATCCTGAATTATGGTGATATTTGCTGAGGAACTCGCGAGAGCTGCACCGGAATTATGAAGCGCCAGACGGTATTCGTCAGGGGTGGACGTCAGCTGCCGCGCCGACTGCTCGTCTGCCCTAACATCGCTAAAACAGGAAAGGGGAGGCGGTTTGGACTGCATGTAGCCCCCAGGTGATATGTTTTGCTACTTAGCGAAAGGAGATGTTTAACAACAGTGCTCATGTTGTCTCGTCCCAGTGTGTTGATCTTCTGGGTGATTTCTTAATCATTCTACCTCTAGTTCTTGTTCTTGTCCTGGTCGTCTTGTTGTGATCCTGCAACATCAACACGGAACAACAATTGTTCGTAGTATTAGTCATCTAGCAGATAAAAGCCATAATCTTTAGATTTGAGGAGCTGCTTTCAGCGCCACCGTTTTTCCCCATATACGTAGAGCTATGGTCCTCGCAACATTTCTTCTCGTACCACCGAAACTGGCTGAGTATGATGCCGTCGTAGATGCAACAGAGCGCGCCAATGAGAATTTTCGGAAGGTTTCCAGTTAAAATTTCAGAATCGCCTTCTAGAAAGGCCAGCAGAAGGTTCTGTGAGAGACTGCAACAACCACCAGTGAGATCTAAGAGGTACGTGGTCCTCGCAAGACCCGCTGTAGACCTGCGCTCGTGGTTCAACAGGATTTGGGACGGGTACTTGACTGCGGTGATCACTACCTTGACGAAACCCAACAACGTCAAAAAAGAGAAAGCGTGGTGGGACGGTGTCGCCACCGCTCCTGAAGTAGATCCGCTTAAACCAGTCGTCGCAGATAACGAGGAAGGACTTTGGTCGACCCCGGTTGTTTTCGATGCGTCAAACCATGGAATTCTCTTCGTCAGGCTAAGAAATAAACCAACGAAAACGATGAAACCAAGCACCAACAGTAAATAAACGTCTTGCCGCATTAAGCCGTTGATGACGACGTCCCTTTTTGGTTTTCTTACATGACCCAATGATGTTGGACTCGTGTTATAACTACTAGCATCAGCATCTTTCCTTGTCTCAGAAGCATTCATCTCGTCGAGGGTGGTCGTAGAATCGGTCTCCGATACGGATGAGTGCGATTTTTCGTGGTGATGACGTGCACCTCCTGTCGCGCTGGATGAAGAAGTACTACTGGTAGGACTGCCCTGTCCCATATTGATATGTGGAGACAATTGTCGTGTGCTTCCAGCGACAGCCACGTGACGACCGTGGCCATTGCTTTTAGGTGTGCCCATGGATGCTAGCATCTTGTCGCCCCTAGCTGCAGGCGAGCGAGAACCAGGCGACGACTGTCTACTCTGCGGCGGCGGCGCTTCCGATATACTTCTATCAGCACTACTCCTACCCACAACATTGATCATTTCGATTGCGACGGGGGGACCGTGGGCGCCTGGTTGATGGCGGAGCGATTCGTCTCCGGATTCTGCGGAAGATGAGCTGCTTTCAGCCGAAGAACTTCCCGACAGATCTTGCTCTTCGTATTGTGCTCGCACAAGCCCGCCGGTTTCACTTTTTGCGGGCGAAAGGGCTAGTCTTTCCTCTCGCAGATATTGCTCGGCGCGTCGACGTTTTTCGTAGGAAGCCCTGAGCGAACTATGATTGTTGTAAAAGACGACCTGCCCCAGAAGGATAATGCAACAACCAAGCCCATGCAAACTGAACAGAGCATCGTGCACCGTCACAGCCTCCGGCAAATCATAGGCATCCTGGATTACGCGCGTTGCCACAGTGTATGCGAACAATGAAGAAAGAGAGATCAACATTGATGGATCAACATGGAGACTTTTTTAACTAGGATTTCGGGTAAACCACCTCCGTGTGCCTCAACATGGAGACTTTTTTAACTAGAATTTCGGGTAAACCACCTCCGTGTGCATGCCCGAAAGAGAATCGTACGTATCATTCATTTAAGTAAACGCAAGCTCATAGCAAATCACACAAATCGGAACCATCTATATTTTGTCGCCATAATGAGTAACACAGGAATCCCAACACGTTGTAGAGGAGGTAACCAAGAGACAGGGCTGCGGCGTTTTTGCGCTTGTAGTTCGTGTAAATCTGCGGCCAGAAAACCAGAGTCCACGCTGAGACATATATTACACCTAGCATGCCAGCAAGCAGAGCTACAAAATGCTCAAAAGGAGCCAATGGCAAATCGTCCTCCTCCTCGTCCTCTTCTTCTTTATTTTTGCCTGTTGCAGAAGGTGCGAGACTTACTGAACTACTTTCACCAGGCTGCGCTGTTGAGTGTGTCGTAGTAGGTAGAGTTGTAGTTTGTTGGTGGTCCGAGGATGCGACAGGATAGCCACCGGCGGTGCTCGGCTGTCGCGGTTCCATGCGGAAAAGGGCCTTCGCTTTTGTTCGACCGTCCTCCTGAAGATTTCCTTGACGCGAATGAGTGTCCTGGTAGTACAGCATTTCTTTCTTGGCAGCTGCTCTTCCCGCCCAGGATGTTGCTGCTGAGGTTGCGGAAAGCGGTGGTAGGTGTCCGCTTGCAGTTGCTATCCCACCCTGGTCGGGTGTTCTTGGGGAATTTGCGAAACCACCATTTGCTGCAGCAGCACTTCCATCATGATGTTCTGGTGTCTCTGTCTGTCCATCCCCGTGGTGGTACAGGTCTTCTGCGCTCGCGGCAACCTTTTTTTTCTTCGCATCTTTCACTCTTTGCGACTCCGGAACAAAAGACTTGAGTGTCGTGCTACTGTTAGAGATCGCCCTAATCCGTCTCGAGACCCATCTTGAAACCGTTTTTCCCGTATGGAGCGGCCTCAAGATGCTTTTGAAGATGGATTAGGGGAAGCCTTAATACTGGCAGTCTTCTTGGCGTTGATACTTGGCAGTGGTGAAGCAGGAGTTTCTATGGCTCCTCCTTGGGCGGGAGTAGGTGCTGTTGATGATGCAGAGAGTTCCGCATATCCAAGGAGTGCTGCAGTTTCAGATGTGGACGGGGACTCGGATGGCAGCCTACGCGGAACCTCAAAACGATCATCATGCTGTTCTTTTCGCCTAGCTTCATCTGCCAGAATATTTGTGCCACCGGTGTTAGAAGTCGAAGTCGTCGTCCTTGAGAACGTTTCATCTGCCGACCTCTTGCGCGTCCACAGACCATGTCGATGCCGCAATTTCTTCGCACTAATCAGCGCGCTCGTACGACGAGGACCATTCCATCTCGAAGACTCGTCATCTGTAGCCCCATCATTGAAGAACAACACCGGCAAAAACAGGCTGCTCGTGACATAAGACAATACAGTTTCGACGATTCTCATGCGCCGCGCAATCCTGCTCCGCGTGGTCGTCAGATATGGAGTCATTATTTTTCGACACTTTCTTCAACACCAACGCACCAGAGTCTGGATCATCACTGGCTTCCTGCAACCTTGCTTTAGTACTTGAAATCTGCATTATTTTGTGATTCTGGCGGATAATTTGGATTTTCTTTAATATTACCAAATATGTTTCACTAAGCTTGTGGCCTCACCTCACTTAGGGAAGTTTAAAGAAGAGGGAGAGGTGCGAGAACTACCTCTTGCTCTCATACAAGATCTGATGGGGAGGTTGATGTGTTGTTTTCAGCAAAAATTTGCCATCCCTCGACTTTTCGGGGTAAATAAAATGTAGTCAGCTACTCCGTCTACTTGCCAGGGGGTCGCTCGCGGAAATAAAAATTTATGCTAGAGGACAACACGAAGAGCGGCAGACTAAATCACATGTGCTAGCTTTGGTCCGCTGGCCAAGTTAAAGTGCGACATGATCTATATGCTTAAAAAGAGCTTTTCTTCTTGGGTCTGAATCTCGTCCCTTTTACCTTGTGAAGCGGACGTCGCCGGGAAAGCGAGAGGGTTCTTGAGTCAAAATCTGTTTTGCTTAGCCACAATGACATGAGACGAGGGCCATGTGTCTTTGGTGCTGGGTTTTCTTGAGGCATAAATTGGTATGAATGTTACCAAATAGAAATGGTCACTGGACTGGCTCTTGCACAGCGCCACACGTGATAGATAGATGTCGAAATATATGGTGAATTGAAGTTGAGGGTTGCGTGCACTACAACTTCTAACCGCAACAACCTTTCCTATCGTTTGGTGCTGCAGCAACCGGATGGCTCGTCAACTGAATCGACTGCGTTACGCCTGGCACATGCCCTTGTCCACCATCGGGCTGGATTGTTCGCTGCGCCATCATTTTAGCGTAGACGTCGGTCAAGATTTTTCGAAAGGCAGTCTCAACATTCGAGTTCTCGAGGGCAGAGGTTTCTATATGCCCGAACCCATTTTCTTCAGCGTATGATTTGATATCGTCGCTATTAACCTGCCGCAGATTTACCAAATCCGTTTTGTTTCCGACAAAGAATGAACGCGAGGAAAAAGAAACGGGGGAATCCAGTACTTCAGGATCAGACCGACGAAATAGCAGCTCGTGATCATGCACTTATATCAGTCAATTTTTCAACATCTGAAGATTCATTAAATGAACATCCTACTTCTACTTGTGATTATCGTTGTTCAAAACCCTCACCTTGTGCTACCGTATCCGTCCTAGACCATGACGAGCATAACCTTCACAAGACTATCTTCAAATAGTGCTGCTCATAAGAGTAATAGTGAAATTGATGGTTCTGAATGCATGCGGAGCTCCTCAATCCAATTTTCTTTGAGGCTCTGCCACGATGCCGCTTTTGTGACATCACAGACGACCAATGCGCCTACTGCCCCACGATAATATGCGGATGTAATCGCTCGATATCTCTCTTGACCGGCCGTGTCCCATACCTGAGAGTTGTGCTACTGAGTAAGTGATCACTGAGTCTCATTATACGAGGAGCAAGATGAGACGAAACGATAGAGAATGACATTGAGCCGACAACAACATGTTAAAAAACAGTAGAATGTCAAATCATGAGTAATCTAGCACCGCAAGTTAAGCAACGACGTTTCAATTATAGCATGTATTTGTAATCATAGTCCCGTAGTCTACTACTTAACGAGTACCTGTGCTTTGAGAACGACGTCCTGCCCTGTGTCTTCGTCGCGCACGACAAGTGACTTTGTCGCGAATTCAACGCCGATGGTGCTCTTGGATTCCAAGTTGAATTCGTCCCGAGTAAACCGCGTCAAGAGATTTGATTTTCCAACCCCGCTGTCTCCTATAAGCACGATCTTGAAGAGATAATCATAATCGTCGGGACGGACCATCTTTTTTTGAACTAAAGTGCATAAACAATAATACCGATGAAGATCAAGGAAGAATAAGATCGTGCGTGGTAGGTAGTTGCATGCAGCATGCGGGCCGCATATTATCCTTCAGTCATTATAGAGAATGTTAACCTCTATCAGTAGCTACGCGTACGCGAGAGTGAAACTCGCCGTCAAGGTCAGCTAGCACGTAACTAATTGGAGTCATGCATTAGCATAATATCCTAGGTCTGTGTTCCAGTTCGGATATAATATACTAGTAACGTCGTAAGCTGTTGCTGTACCACATCCTCGTATAAGGCTAGACCACCTACTAGATTATACGATGTTGAGTCCATAGTTGTTCTTGTGTCAAATAGAGCAACTAGGAAGATCTTCCAATACGATACAACGCAATGGATGCAACAAATCTCCCACAATGCAATACAATACAATACAATGGACTTTCATTTCTTCTGACTCGGCAATTGATGATGGTCTGCAAGATCCACAGATCAAAAACTGTCTGGAAGGTGGAGGCTTCCAGAACACTCATCTTCATCATATCGAGCCAGCGAGGAAGCGTTCTGCTTCGATCATGTGGGATAAACTCCCAACATCTACATGATGTCAAAGTTCCTTTATATATATAATACACGAGGCCAACAATGATTCAATGGTCATAAAAAGTAGCAGGCGTAAATAGTTATAGTACAATTCTTGGGAATGGGATGAAACTAACAAAGATATCGCCCATCGGCGATACCACGTCGCCATACTACGACGAGTATCATCTGCGTAATTAGTTCATTGCGCGCGCGTTGACCCGGCTTACTGACAGCCCTTCCTACACCTGCCGCTAGGTCATCGCTTCGTGGCCATATTTAGCTCTTTTTGCGGATCAAAAAATGAGGAAAAATAAGAGAAGCGGACATGAAGTAGTCAAAAATTCAACAAATACAACTGCTGCACTAGTAATAGTTCATGCGCGATTTCACCGTCACTGTGCCAAAAAGACTAAATTACATCAAAAAATACATAGTACTACTTATACTTTCTTCCCGTAAACAAAAACCCGATTGAGTTTAGCTCTTTTGAAATAACGTTGACAACTGCAAAAAAATCGATTAACCTGTAGACGCAACAAGTTCGAGAAATTACTCAAAATCTCGTTCGCGACAAACAAGACTTCCATCAAGAATATTTCTTCACGTGCCAACTGGTAGAGTACTTAATCGCAGAATGATAAGGCACTTCCTACACACACATTCGAGGTAAGCAACTCGTCATGAAAATCTTACACGGTTACATTCTACAGATGACTCTCCTCCATCTCCAAGTCCGCCGAGTCATCGCCACCCATGCCCATCGTTTAAAAAGTCAACCGATAAGAGATAGACCGAGGAAGACCAAAGGGTTGAAAATTCTTTTTACAGCAAGTGAAAGGAACAGTCTGAGCCTAGAACTCAGAACTCTCTGCTGCAGGAGTTTGCTTGGATGTAGTAATTTACATCAGACGCCCTTCATTTTTTGTTTGTTTCTTTTCCTAAGGGTGGCGTTAAAAGGTGACTGTCCTACAAGTGTTCGATTGTGAGTGGTTAAGATTAAAATAAATAAATATTTAAAATAAGTTAGACTAATACGCGTATTAGGGCTACTCCTGCCCATGAGGTCAATCAATCAATAAAAAATAGAAATACTCTACCTCCCCTTCCTAACCACCAGTTAGTACGTAGACTTACGCGATGATGTCTTCGTCCACCTTTTTGTCAGCGCGCTCGCGCAGCTGACTGAGCAGGTTATGCGGGTGGTGTGTTTTCTTGTCATCATCCTTATTAAGATGCGAGTGGTGCTCTTCTTTGAGGCAGCCCGTTCCGTCCTCTTCACATGGATAGTTCACTTCGGTAAAGGCTCCTGGTGTAGCCCATGCGCACTCGTCCTCGATTCCTGCCTGCGATCCGCCTGTCTTCAACCTAAAAAAACCCATCTCTCCCCAGTATTCACCCCAGCTGTTGCGGCCAATCCAGTACTCGCCTTTCACTGTCGTTTTGGTGTCAATAATATGTAGAAGAAGTACTATTATGACGGTTCTATTCTACTTCTACAGCGTGGCTGGGGGACGACATTCTTGATTGCTCTTCTTCTTGTATTACGACTAGCAAGAGATATTCATATATTCACAACTGAAGAACATCAACAATTTTTTCATGTCCAGAAAATATTTGTAGACTAGCTCCACTAGCACTGGTACACACCCAAGTCACATGCAAGATTAAGTGAGTACTTACCTGGGTCCACACCCCATCCGATGACAGAGATCACGTGGTTAATATTGCGCGTTCCATCGGGGATATCAAGGACGCCACCCTTGTAGGTTCGCAAGTTGTCGGCATCGATACCTTGACGAGATTTTTGAACATGGTGATTATGCGTGGTAGAGCTAGAAGAAAAAGATAGAAGCTGTTTTCATCATAGCTACAAGAGGCTGCATCAAAACTGAAACTGATTTAAGAATAAATCAAACTTGACCTTCGACGACCAATCGAAGTAAAAGCCGATGAACATTCTACCTAGCATACTTCCAACATTCACGTGTGTCAGTTGAGAAATCACAAACACGTAGCGTGTAAAGCAGAGGTACCGCACGCAAGCGGTCCCTTGAGCAATTCTTTTTTCATATCGTGGACGCCTGACACCATACCATATTCCGAGATGGTTGCGTTAGGAAAGTGGGTCAAGCCGACACATTTGCCTCCAAATTCAGGGAAAGTGCTGCAAGTTCGCGCGATGTTCGCCGCGGTACAGGTGAAATCACCCGCCGTGCACAGTCCGTTTTTTGAGTCCGAAGAACAGGCTAGATACGGGTTGCCACTGTCATAGGCAACGTACCTTATTGAGGTGATCAGTTGTAATTGTACTCATAAATAGTGCAGAACCTTCAAAAAAACATTCGCGGCGCAAAAGAACATCTCCGTAGTCTGCTGTATACTTACCTTACGTTTAGGTTTGCCACTTGCAGAAACCATGCGTAATAAATGTCATTACCCGTTGTCATGGATGAACTGATAGGCTCCGCTTTGGGACCCGCCATAGCATGATCCAGCAATATCACCTCCGCAATTGAGCACATGCTGCACAGAAAGATTGATATCGGGCGACTTTCCCTTTCGGGCGATCTTGATGCGGTCCGAAAGTGAAGAGATCGCGCCATGGGCCCAACAGGAACCTGATCGAAATAAAGTTGTTGACTGACTGAATCTAGCCGGAGGGAATACAGATACAGAACAGCAGTGGATACTTATATATTCCTTATTCCTACACCTACGAGCTCGGGAGATGATGTCAGCCAGTACATCCTGTACGTATAGATGCGTATACCCAAACGACCAATCAAATGATCTACATCTATCATTCCTTAGTTGTGGTTCTTCTGTTCCTGTAATAGTCAGATGAACAACAACATCAACAACTACAACAAGTAATATTAAATAAGAAGTACCACAGTATTGCGGAATGTGTTGATTGAGATTCTTGGTAAGCAGGCTTTTGCCCTTCACGTTATCCCAGCTGAACGAGTCGGGCAACTCTTCCGCTAACAGCTTCATGTGAGCGCGATCAGAAATAATATGCTCCGTTTTTGTGTGCCCAGGCATCTTCCTGTACTCGTTCAGGTGTCCCTTCAGTGTAAACTGAGGCTCCAACGTCAGGGGCTCTAGAGCCACGGCACTGCTGCTGCAGCAAACAGTAGCCAACGCTGCGCCGCGACGGAAAGAACGACCATCGGACCTTGACTTTCTCGCCATAATGTTTGCTGCTCCGTTGAATTCAAATACTGAAATACACGAAATGACAGCGGGATAACAAACGGTAGAAGACAGAGCGCACACTGCAGCTTGTGCTCGATTTCATCAACTAAGCTCTTTATTTTGACCCAACTACTAAATGTTGTAGATCATCGACGAACAAAGAAAATGTCTTCAAAAATGAATGAGTCGCTGCAAACCGCGAAAACAACTCTACAGATGCTGAACAGAGGATCTATGAGAGACTCTGATGCTCGTCGCGTTGAAGATTCATTTCGACAAGAATCGTCAGTTTGGCACAATCTGCCGAGTCTTCCACCTTTATCTCACTTGCGACAACTGGTCACACACCCTATATAAAAAAAACAGACTATCTCTATCCAATCCCGGCAAAACCGCAAACCTATACACTTGTCTAGGAGGTTCTTAGATCAACCTAGAGCTCTCCATATTACAACAAAAGTGCTTTGCTGTATGGAAGCAACAACGACTTAGGCATAAATGATCTATTGAAAACTGAAGAGAAATTTCGATAAACACAATACAGCTTTCAACTCTGGTAGATACTTACAATAGAGCAGTTTATAAGGTTTCACAGCTCGCATGGCATGGAGTGCATGGATCACATGGAGTAGCATGGAGCTGAAGGGGGAGCTTCTTGCGCCCCTTAAAGCTCTGCGCTCCATGCACTCCATGCTACTCCATGCACCAGGCGTGCTATAAACTACTCTGTTACAAGATCATCAAGCTCATGCTCGAATGATGCCCGAACTAGCACAACATGAAGAAGAAAACAAAAACTATGATGAAAAATGACAGAAATCTTCCATAGACACAGATAACACAAATTTGTTCAACACAAATATTCAAGGGGGTTGAAGCCAAAACTACGACAAGGGAACGGGAAGATCATGAACTTTTTTGCTGAACAGAGTAGAATCGGTATCGGAAGACGATGTATCGTAAATACTTGTATCCTTAATGATTACAGAAACTGAATATCTATGTCGCTCGCTTGTGTGCGTGCTCGTTATTTCCGCGTTCTGACATCATGGTAATCACTGTTGGCGTTCTTTTTTGGGTACTCTCCATCTCGTCTCTTTCTGTGACTCCATCATGAACGTGTTTAACCTCATACGCTCTGCGTTTACTTACTCTGTCGTGGAAAACATCACAACGAAAATGTTCAAGATAAATTTCTCTGCTCAACATTTATGATTAGTTTGCAAATCTAGAAACTGGGACTCACACTCATCACTCAATGTTGGCCTCAGAACAGCCTAATGGTAATATTATCCACGTCCACGCCCAGATAATAATATGAACCCAAGTAAAGCGCGGCTCTTGTTGTACCACAATCGCTCTGGATATCTCGACATATGCTGTGAAGTTGCATAAGTACAAGTAGGTACTTGTAATCTGAATCTTGTACTGAAGGGACAGTATGACAATCTTTTTGCTTTTGCAGTCGTGATGTGCCTGTGCGAAGTAAGAAATGAATACAAGACCGCAGTATACAAGCAGAACGATGTAGCATCTAGTTCAAAAGTACTTACTCTATTTTGCGACTTTCCTTTTTTTCTTGGCTGGTTTTTTGGCATTCACACTTGCTGCTGCGGAGTCATCTAAGATCAGGGAGGCGAAGCCTGACTTCGCATTTTCGTCTCCTTCGGCAACGGCTTCCCGCTTTCGTTTTTGTTTTTCACTAGTCTTATTCTCAGTTAGCAGTTGTGCTAACTGCAACTCTTCGACTGTCAAGGCTTCTTTCTCCGCTGGTTCGAGCACTAATTTGCGCCCGTAAAGATGCGTATGCTGGAGGGCTTCAAAGGCAGCGCATGCTTCGCTCTTCGTTAAAAAGTCGACGAAGGCGAAACCTCGGTGCTGCCCTGATCGGTCCGCCTTTTTCGGCAGCCGCAGTGACGTCACAGTACCGTAAGGTGCGAAGAGCGCCGAGAGTTCTCCTTTTGTTGTCTCGAACGCCACGTTGCGCACACACAACTTATTACTCAAGGGCTTTCCGTCATGTGCTAGTTGCTTCGCTTTCGATCCAGCAGCTACCGAGCTGGAGGATACTGCATCAGCACCAGCTGCACCAGACCGAGAAATAGCTGCGTTCTTGATCTCCGCTCCTGCCAGTGACGAGTTGCCTTTTGCTTGTCGACTAGAGACTTGCAGGTGCAAGATGTGGCCGTCAAGTGCCAGCGCTTGTCGTTTCTTCACCACCTCCTCGCACTGGTTGACGGTTTCGTACTCGATGAACCCGTAACCCATACTCTTCTTTTCGCCATCAACGCCTTTTTTCTTCATGATGGTGACGCGACGAAAGCCTGCATGCTGCCGAAAAATTTGCTCCAGACGCATGTCTCCAGTGCTGAAGCTCAAATTCTTAACGAAGATACAAGCTGACCCCGTAGAGGCACTAGCGTCCTCATTCGGTTCTTGAGTTGTACTATCATCTTTCGTAGTTGCTTCCCCGTGTGCTCCGGCTTCAGATGCATCTTTAGCGAAGATCTGTTCTGGCGCCCACTCTAAGAACAAAGGAACGTGCTTGTAACGCGAGAAGTTTACTTTCGCGAATGCCCGCTCAGCGTGCTGCGCTGAAGCGAACTGCACAACAGCTACTGTCTTAGCAGGTGCCAAGCAGAAGCGCTTGACGTCCCCGAAGCGTGCAAAGCGCTCTCTTAGCTCATGTTCCACTACTGACTCACTCGGAAGATGCTTCACGATCATGACGTCTTTGGCTCGTCGCACTTTAGATGAGGACGCAGCATCTTCACCTGCAGAAGAACTACGAGACTTCTTATTGCTCTCAGCATCACCCTCGAGCATTGGGTTTTTCACAGCCGAAAGTAGGTTGGTGCCTTGTCGCGTGAACGCATCGACCCAAATGCCTTCGCGCTCGAGCCATTGCTTTGTTTCCTGCAGAACCTGCGTTTCACCGAGCGCCACTGTGACCGCGAGTTGAGACGATTCCTTATCGAGCAAGTCTCGCTTCTCGACTCCTAACTTCTTGGCTATAGCGTCGGTCGCGGCGTTAGCGGACATGTACAACAAGTTCCAGATTCGCTCTGATTGTTGCTGTTTGCGCTCTTGATTTTTCAACTTCTTGTAGGAGCTTTTCGCGTCGCCTGCTTTATTGGTTGCATTCTTGTCCTTGGTGAGTTCAGCATTTGTTTCTCCGTCTTTTGCACCATCGTGTTCAGTAGACTTTATTTTACCAGTCATCTGTTCGTCTTCTTGAATTTGCGCATCGCGAATCGAAATCAGCCTGCCCTGAAAGCAACGTCCATCGAGGAGTGATACAGCGCGAACCGCGTGCTCCGGAAAGACGTACGTGACGAATCCGAACCCGCGAGACCTTTTGGTATCTTCATCGATGCAGATTTTCACGCCACCGACTTCTCCCTCCTGTGCAAAAAACTCGCGTACTTCGTCGTCGGTGCACGAATACGGAAGATTCCGCACAAAAACGCGTCCCGTCACTGCAGCAGCTAATTCTCCTCCAGATGACGAAGTTGTACCAGATTGCGATGTTGCTCCCTTCTTGCCAGAAGGTTCGCTCTCGTCTTCATTCTTTGGCGAGCTGTCGCCTTTCAACACCTGTTCAGCAGCCTTCTCGGTTGCGCCTGCTCCACTTGTCGGGGGACCACGCTGTTCTGTGTCGTCTTCAAGCGCTTTTGTAGGTAGTGGGTCGTCCTCAAGATCCGAATCCAAGTCGTCTGCTCCGGTCTTAAACTGAGCCAAGTAGTCCGCGTCAGTAACGGTCGCATCGTTGGCAACGGTTTTTGAAGCCGTTTCATCGGACTCGTCTGCGGGAATTTCGTCGACTTCTGACTTGGCGCTACTTGATTCCGAGGTTTTCTTGACAGCCTTAGATTCCTTCTTTTCGGCGTCCCCGACCTTCTCCAGATTAGAAGATTTTTCTGTCGTGTTGCTTTTTGCAAAGGAGCTGCTGCCTTCTGAGTACTTGCTCCATGGCCGCGCGATCCCAGTGTCGCCTACTGGGCGTGCAATTTCAACCTGCATTTTGTGTGTGTCGAAATAGGTTCGATGTGAAGCGGCTACGCACTTCTTAGCCTCAGCAACAGTCTTGAAGCCAAGAAAAGCAAGCTGTCGGGACATCCCGTTTTTCGTCAAGATTTTTACGTCCGTGATGGATCCAAACTCGGCGAAGCGCTCACGGAGTCGCTTATCAGTCGCGTAGGGTGGAATGTTCTTCAGCATCACGCGCGAACTCTCCACCTCACTCGACGTAGCAGTTGTTGATGTCCCGGAAGCAGCCGCCGCCGGAGCAGTAGATTTTAGGGCTGGTGCCTTCATTGTTGTTCTCGTCTGTCGTCGTTCGAAGCGGAAGTAAGAATTCAAGGACACTTCAGTGAGGAAGATAAAAAAATGTCAATCCATGGTAAGCATAGATACGAGTCGTTGTACAATAGAATTCTATTAAGTAGAAGTATGCCGTCGATCTCAATGGTCCACTTTCGCTGACTTTCAAACAGGACTCAAATGTTGAGTGGCTGTTGACTTACATCATAGAAGTAGGAGTAGACATTGTTGCTCATCGCCAGAGAGCAGGGGATCTTCGAGTATTATCATGTTGATGAACGTGAGCGATTCCGATATGGATCGTCATAGGATCTAGTGTATCTATTGTCAATCGAACGAGGATCTTCTTAGATTGTCACGTGTAGTTGCATAAATCGTCTCGTTCTAGAATTACACTCTGATCTTCGTGGAGCATCATTTTTTCTGAGAGAGATCCAGTTTTTCCTACAAATGACGCACAAGAAATTCTGGTTCTCTCTGTTGAGCACCAGAACGATCACATCTCCACCAATTCTTATCTCACAATGTGAGTACTTATACTTATAAGAATAAGAGTCGTGTTGGTGTTCTTGAGAGCTTGTCCTTGATAGATAATAGTTGTCAAGTGACGTTCGATCATCGATTCAGTTGCGGAAGTTCTACTTGTCATTATTTATTTGTCGAGAAGATATGACAATGTTTTTGTCTTTGTTCAAATTGTCAATAATTCGAATTTCAAATACATAAGCATTCATGGCGTGAACCTGCCAGTTTTCCAATATTCAGAGGCGTTGTTCACAACGGGCGTTCGGCGCGATACGTATGGTTTCAGTTTAAAACCAGTGAGGTCTGGGACCTTGAACATGGGTATCAGTTGCGGATTGATATGAAAGAAGGCTTTTTTCGTATGTCTACCCAAACCTATGGACCCAAAACCTTTCCGGAAATGCGGCGCGCGCTTACTTATGAGAGGCCCTCGACCTTTCGTCGGACCCATCTTGCTCATGAAGAAGCGGGAGAAAGCAAGCAAACCAGACATTTTGATTGTTTTGATGATAGATGTGGATGTGCTTGATGATAGCTTTAGATGTTGTGATGAAATTGAAAGCAGGACTCAAACGCAGTTGTTGCAGTGGTGCGTGCCATGAGGAGGATCTTCTAAATCACAAACTTGGGTGCACGTACAACTTTTGTCACTGAATCCATCATCTTCACTCATTGCCAATCACGTGATCTTGCAAGCCGCGTTGCTCAGTCAACAAAACTTGGTGTTCTTTCAGTGAACCTGAATAAGCTTTGAAGCAGAACCTGAATAAATTTCCTCGATATACAGACGCCAAATTATGAAAGTGAGCAACAAGAACGATGGCGCTGCAATAAAACCTGCGTGCGCTGCTGGAACAGCACTTTTCCCAGTCGACAATCCAAAGCACAAGTGCTCTGGTTGCGCTGTGGAAATCCTGATTGTGGTCAACGCAACACATTCGTCCTGCGAAAAATCAAAATGAAAAATATTACTGTCTTTGTGATTTTATGTCGTTAGGTGTGGGGGCACAAAGATGGTTGGAATCGGTTTTTCGTGGAAACAGTCCTAGCGGGACTCGAAATGAAAGGGGATACGAGATGAATCATTGTTCAACCAGATCAAGATTACCCAATAGAATACAAGCGTCGTGTTGCGTGCTCGTTTTGTAGAACCGTGGAAAGCATTGACATTGAGAAATCGTTAATGTGCTGTCCTTGTGAAGAGAAAGCTGCTCCACCTGAATTTGGTATGCCGTTTTCATATCTGTCGACACCCGAACGGCGTGTTGGAGCCCGGCTACGTAATGTCCTGCACATGAGTTGGCCGCATGGTCGCTCTCTATCGCTACCCTAAGTACATGAAGCAGGTGCATATAATTAGTCACTTCATTCCCGAATTCCATGTCCACCCAGTGCTTGATGCTGTTGTGCGCAACTGCCCTCCAGAGGGTATTTGCGTACTAAATCGATTCTGAGTAGGTGTCCGAGTCTGCGTTCCGAGTTTCACAGGCGGCCCACCTCCGGCTCCGCGCCCAGCGAGCACCGGAGTCGAAAAATACGATCCACCCTTCTTCGACAAATACGTGTCCACTAACCTAGCAGCTCTTGTTGTGTTTCCGGGCTCTTGCAAGGTGGTATTTGCTGATGTAGTAGATCCCCCAGCGCCAGAAGTTCGTTGTAGCAGAAGTGAGGAAGGGCCTCCATGACCGGGATCTGGGGGCGTGGACGGTGAAATTGCGTAAGAGGTGTCTGCATCCTCGAGCTCTACTTGTTCGCCAGGTTGCCCTGCGTGAAGCTGTCGGTTCATATCGTCGAGTCGGGAAATCACCTTGGTGAGACCCGCCTTGACCTGCGCCGCATGCTGCAACGAGACCACGCCAGGCCTAAATGGGTGAAAGGAATGCAGTAGAGGGTTGTATTTTGTTTCTTTCAATCAAGATGCATGAAAACTTATCGGGAAATTATTCGCAAACAAGAAACAGGCACAGGGGAAGCTAGAAAAACCACGAAGTTCGCTAACAGAAATACAACTTACTGTGTCCTTCCCGCCTGCATAGCAGCAGAGCGTTCTCGAGCATTAAGTCGCATTCCCATGATCCAGTGTTCTTGTGACTGCGCGAGGTCTCCTACCCTACGCTCTTCCCTTTCAAGCTCCGCGAGTTGCGTCTTCAGTTCGGAAGCTGGTACAAGAAAAATAGTAGACGCAGATGGATTCTCATTTTCGTTGGAGGTCGTGAACTACAGATATTACCAGAAGACGAAGTAGTAGTAGCAGATGCAAAAAATAAGAATGAGTCACAACTTATAAATATGGAAGAAAAGAACGAACTCAGTCGCAAAAGTATAAAAATTCGCAGCACGGTGGGCGAGTCGGGGGCTCCTGGTCCTTAAGTTAGTTAGCTATCTCTTGAAGTAGCTAGTTAAATACGTAGTAACTTACAATGAATAGGTTTGAAGGGCTACTTTTTCAATGACTAGAAAGGTGCCAGAAGGTAGGAGTCGCGTCCGCGGATCCAACTGCCAGGGCCTGAAGCATTGGATGAAAGTGGTTGCTTTGTTCTTCCTGCTTTTTTCTACATCTACTATGCCTCACACTTTCAGAGTCTGGCTCCTCTTTGGTAGCTGATGGGGGTCGCGGATGACGTCATTGATGACAAAAAAAGTGGATTGAGTTTGAGATCGTTTTTTTGACACACCAGGTTCCGCCAAAAAAAAGTGACAATCTCAATCCTATCCCACTATCTAATTATATGCTCGACGATGCTAGAAAAGTGCGCACTTTTTGACAGAACCTAGTGGGGAGCGCCTGCCACTACATGACGCTGGAAGGCTGTCGTCGTTGACACATTCGCAGACACACCCAGACGCCCAGACAACTGGCAAACTTCCTGAGCCGCCTCAACTCTGGCAATTCTCTCAAAACGGCGATCGTTCGGATGAGGTGGCTTGGAGACCTGTACGTCGAAGGCTGGGAGTTGGATCCGCAGACACGATTTCAAAACTCTGCCACCTTTGTGGCTTTTGGCAAAGCCTGCCTAGCTAACCTCTTCGCGCTACGTATTAAGCTAGCTACCTACTTCAGTACGTAGCTGGCTTAAGCTCTAAGAGCCGCCGACTCGTTCACCGTGCTGCGAAGTATTAAACTTTTGAGACTGAGTTCGCGCCTTTCTTCCATAATAAAAGAGAAAAAATCATGGATCATGCTAGATGAGCATGAGCAAGGGGAAAACCGCTAGTGGAGAAGATGTGGTAGAGTACTTTCATGCCCTAGTCTGTCCCGTTCTTTTTCCAGTTCATCGCTACGCTCTTGGCAGCTTGCCAGAGCTATTTTTATCTTTGCGACTTTTTCTCGTGTGGAGTCCACTTCTTGCGCAAAAAAATCCTTTTTCTTCTTCAACTTTTTATTGCGGTATTCACGCGCCACTACGTCTCGCCAACGATAAAACATCTGGAACCGTGTAAACTCTAGTTCTCGCATTACCTGTAGTTTCGAAGATTGGTAAACAGTGTGTAGAGAAGCATGGAAGCGTTGTGCTGGTGCGGTACCTCATGATAGAAGATAGTTGGATATCATGGGACGAGACATAGCAGTTGCACTTTTTAAGTGAAAGTTTCACGACGGTCCTAGTTTTGAAACCGAAAATTCACGACTTGTTTCTACAAAGACAGTGCAGTCATTACCTCTGCTGTCTCCAGCTTATTTTGTTCGAGTTTTGTCCGCAACAGCTGGTTTGTGGATCTTAGCTCGATCACTTTCTCATCAAACAAAGCGACATGTGCAACCAGATCAAGCGCTTTGCTGTGCGCTTCGTCACTACCAGCGACTTTCGTTTTGTCACCTGCCGCGAAGCGTCCTCGCCGCGTGCTTGAAGACGACGCCGACGACGGTGTGGACATCACCGAAGGAAACTGCTGCAACGCGGACATTCCTTCTTTTCGCGCTGGTTGATGAACTTGAAGATGAAGATAGATTTTGTTTTTGATTAGGGGCAGATACAGTCTCTGTGTCAAGGGGACTGAAGAAAATAAAGAAAGTACTTACTTTTAGCGAGAAGAAAAGAGACATGGGAATCGAGAGCGCGAGTAAGTAGTCTGTTTGTGGTACTTCTTTTTAGTAGCGGCTGAATGTGCGGACAATTTCAAGCTCAGCATTGTTTTCATCTTCATATTTTTTTGTTTCAAGAGTTTGCCCCTAGAGATTGGCCATCTTCTTGCAGCTACGTGGCTTTCAAGCTACTATGTGGTCGTGCAAGCTGTTTTTCGTTCGTTTTTGATTTTGCTTTGAGTTTGATGTCGTCCGCTAAGTCTTTCTACCGATCTGAGTGTTTCAATTAATGCAACTCGCTCTTATATGAGTCGACACTTTGCAAATCCGACGTGGTTTTTTGCGCAACTTAAGTATTCTCTTGCGAGTTTGAAAATTCAGACGGGTCCACTTTTTCGTCCGAATATTTGAAGACTTTCCGACGGTTTTTTGCTCCCGTTTTCGCTTGGTGATCGTGCCTGGTCTCCACTCTTGGTCTCATCACATCGCTGGCCTGGTCTGAAAGTGTTGCTGATCTGCAGAGCTGCGGCGAAGCCCAAAACCACAACCCTTCCCAGTGTTGACCCTGGAAGTTGTGCCGCTTTTTTGGCTGAAAGTTTCAAAGTTTAGGGCGGATGTCTGAAACTTGCGGAAGGTTCAAGCATCCCCCAAGTGTTTTCTCCCCGAACCTTCCGAAACTTTCAAACTAAACTTACAGCCGAAAAAGAGGCACAACTTCCAGGGTCAACACTGGGAGAAGTTGTGGCTTTGGGAGTTGCCGCAACTCTTGAAAAAGCGGCTGATGATCAAGGGAATCACGACGGTGGTCACGTCTGAGAATCAAAGTGAGACCATAGGCGTGGCCGTTTCTGATGAAGATTATGGCTCATTTTTTCGGAAAAAAAGGCGCCAAATCGGGAACCGTCTGAGTTTTCAAATTCGTGCGCGAATAAGTTGCGCAAAAAACCGGGCCAGATTTGCAAAGTGTCAATTCATACTATCTTACAACCACCAGTACAGCACACTCAGGGACTCATACAGAATTGGCCTGTAACTGTGTTACAGGACAGCGCATTTCAGGCTGGTGTGATAGTGATTAATCCATCGGAATAATCTCAAGCCAAAACTCTACAAGAAATATATTGATCGTAATCAACCTGTCCAAGAAAACTATTTAATAACAGACTGCTGTCATGGACCAAAACCAATCAGCATTCAATCATCTACAACGGAAGGCAAAACTAGTATAGTCAGAATCCCTCTCAACTAGATTATACACGTAGCACAAGCAACAAAACTAGTGTTTGTTTCTGATACATAGAAGGAATCATTTGTCATTCTTTCATGGACTTTTATTAAGAAGTCACATGGAAAAATGCAACTTAGAAGTTGTAAGTGTGGTGAAGATATCTTGATCGAAGGACCATTAAGACGGCACTCTGACTAATCCTCCAGCATATTCGCCGCAGAGATCGGCATTTGAACCAGAGCCGATACAAGGGGCCGCACTGTGTCCCGACAGAGAACCGAGACGGTTACAGTGTCACTGGCTGAAACGTCTACGCACTCAAGGCGTACTGGTAAAGTTCATTAGAAGGACAGAGAAAGAGATGTACTTATCAGATAGGTGAAAGAGATCACAAACACAAGTGGGTCGTGACTGACTGAATTGAGGAGTCAGCGAGCAAGTGGAGCTTGATGCAGGAGTCGTGCTGCATTATAATATACAGCGTGTGGGGGTGCGGTTCGTTGCAATCCAGCCCCTCCCGAAAGTCAAGGGAACCCTCAAACAATCTTGGCGTGTAGATGTAGACGCAGTAGATGAACTAGATCACGATCACAGGAGCCCTCCATAAGAAAGAGTGTAGCCGGGTACCAGGAGTGGCACGTGAATCAGAGGGTTGTCGATGCGATATATCGAACCACTTGCGTCCGTTTGCACACAGAGGTCCATCACGTGGCGCTCTCCAGCATTTGATAACTGTAAATCCAGCTCGAACTCCGGACCCATGCCTTTAACCTGGTACAAGGTACAACAACAAGGAAGAGGAAAATGTTATGCTTATAACCTTGATAGAGATAGGAGGTAAACAAAGTATTATATCGTCTCGATCATCCCCTCAAGCAGCATTAAGTTCTTCAACGAAACAATCCGAGAATCAGAATCAATTACCCCTGCATTGAGTCTGAGTTGCGTTACGCCTTGCGCTCCTGTCCGCACCACTGCACCTGATGTCCCTAGAAGCTTCACGTAGGCCCGCGCTGTATTCAGCCGAAGCTTGCAAAGATCACGTAAGAGTTAGCGCCTCCTTCGTGCTGTCTATGACCACCAATATTATTTCTGTGGTGCCCCTTGTTCTCGCACTCATCTACAACAGTTGAAACTTCGAAAGGTTGAAGAAGCTACGGCGTCACGAGCGAAAAAAGTGACGCGCGGTGCTGGACTATGTCCGAATTTACGGGACAAATTTCTGAACGACGGTACCTCAAAAAATATATGCGAAAGTGTTGAAAGTGAATCTTCCTAGCAGATCCTACTTATAAATATCGGCTAGTCGACGTGAAAAAAAGTGGCTTGGCGTCCTCCTCCTCCATAATGAAATATCCTATGCATTTCTACTGGCTGTTCCCGTTCGCGTGCTGTCTGGTCCACGTAGAGCTTTGTCTTCTTCGGCACATCCAGTGGCGTATCCTGTTCCGCAGGAGGTCCCGGAGGCTGTGAACTCTTCTCCAAGTTCGCGGTTCTAGAAAGCATCTTCACAACTAAACCGCCGCTTTTCATTGACAAACCTGGCGTTCGACGTATGGATAGTTCGAGAGAATGGACGGATAAAATCCATATCATCAACATCAAGAATGCTCGGTTAGAAAAACAGACAGTGGATCATGCTATTATCGTTATCAGTACGTAGCTCTAGCTGTAAAAAGATTAGTTTCATCTTGTCGAGTCAGTTCTGCGACACAAAATCGATACCAAAAGCAAATTTCATGTATGGTGCGTCTCTGAGAGTCCTGTCCGTAGCACCTGTGGAGACATCAACAAAACAAGAAGAAATCAGTGTTGTAATAATACACAATGTCCCGTCCTCCCTACCGAACATGCCGAAGCACATTCCGACTACTGGTTCTTGTAATGCAAGTGTGTGTACGAGGAATTTCCCGTTGTATGTTCGCACTTCGCCGTTCTTCAAAGCCACCAGGAGGCACTTCGCTTTGGTTTTTGGACTTTGCATTAGTTGCATGCACGTAATAGGATGGTCCAAGTAGATGGAGTGCTGCTTTTTCCAGTCATTAGCGATGTTCATTCCAAATCGAAGTGATGTTCGGATCTCCCGTCGTTCGCGGGAATGCATATTATGTCGAGTGGCCACAACCGCTTGACCACGAAGAAAATAAAAATGTTCTATAACTATGCGTTGTGTCGACGATGTCGAAACAAATTTCTTAAATATTTGTAGCCTTAACTTTGAAATGAAAACAATGCACCACATTGTCCATGCAGCCAACGTAGATACCTGGAAGAGAACTGTATCGAATCAGAATTCTCTAACTCTAACTAGTACGAAAAGGAAAACAAAACACACAACATAGATTTAGATTTACAGAAGATCAGCGAGAATCTCGACGTACAGGGCCATATTTTGTCAATCGACGAATACTTTCACCATCAACATGGGAATGTAGGCCTAGAGGCAAAATGTACTCTTGTCTATCTTGACTAGGCCGACCGGCAGGGTCTCCAATTCGATTACCATGCTAAGAAGTGCTCCGTTTTTCACTGTGTACACTTTTCCGTCTCGGCATGCGCATATGAGTCCTATTGTCATTGTGGGTGTGAAACGACAAAGTGAAGTAATCTTTTTAGTGAATTCACATTGACTTTGACGAATGTGTTCACATAATTGAAGATCCTTCATCGCGTCATCGAGGATCAAGACAAGAGCATTTTAATTCGCATCACAAGACCACATTCTTGTGAGCAAAATATATTTTCTGCTCCCTCATCCGCGACCGCGAAGGCTATCTAACAAAAAAAAACTAAATCAATAGTGATACGATACTCCACTTCGTAGAGGCCGCTCGTCACAAGAAAAACCGGGACACTTTCGAGTTCCACTTTTTGCACAATATCGAGGGCGTTGCTGTCAAGAATATAGACGTGCCGGTTTTCCGCACCAAACGTGAGCATTGCGACGCCGCTGGGATCCTCTATGTTCACCTTCATTAGAACTTGGAGATGTGGTTATGGGCTGTGACTAGTGGTCCTAATGATTAAGCATACACATACTAAAAAATAAAATCATTATGATTATCAATCATTTCTCCACCATGCTAATGCTGTTAAGTATATTTTTCCCTGTTTTTTCAGTCGTGGACGTCTCCTTCATGGATTGTCATATTATATATATAAGCCTGCTTTTTACAACCTCCAAATCTGTTTGTAGCAAGTTCAAGTCTTAATCCAGGAGAATGACTCCGTCAAGAAAGATAGTAGCCATAAATTTAACGTGTCCATGCAAGTAATTGCGGTATTTTGCATAAAGGGGTGCTCCCTAGCGGCCTTCACGTATTCCATGCGCTCACTTTCCGGCTGATCCTCCATCGCTAGCAGGTCCATAGACCTGTTCGTCAAGGCTATCTGGTGAAGATTTTGAATGAAGGAACGAAGGCGAAGTAAAGCTATCCTCATGATCCATGTTGCTTGTGCTCCTAGTTCCATGTCCATCTGCTTGTATCACAATGATCATACAACACAATCACAAACACACGACAAAAAAAGCACTCTCTTTCGAAGTAAAAAAAGTGCTTTGTTTGTAGTCAAAATAGTACTCCTTGGTCCCGCAGATGATTCAGTTTTTCCATCGCCTCGCCAACGCTTTCTGGTCGTATTGAACTCCATATACTGATCTCTGTCGCGTTGATCTCCATTTTCGGTAGAGTGTATTTCAGATGCGGACGCAGGTAGCGGTAAACGAATATCTGATGACCGCTAGCAACAGCGAGTGTGGGTATGGACGGCGTCTTGTTCTCATGGAAAAAGCATGACACGCTGATATTAGCAGCTGAAGAGTAGATCAAAAATTTCAATTTTTCTAGCACAACCAAGAACACCCTCCAACAGCTACAACTAGTACTTAGGCGTAGTCTACTCGGACCGATGTACTAGCGTGCATATGTCACCAAAAGTCGACTATGAGTGCTGGGTGTCTCCTTATGAAACCTGTAATTGAGGACACAATAAGAGTCACTGTTTGAAGATTTTAGGGAATTAATGATCATAACAACAGGTACATCCATGAGTTTCTGCTCCCACTGTATGGTAGTTCCTTTGTATATCCGAATCCTTTTTTGCATGTCCACTAGAATTAGCCTGTGGTTCCCGTCAGCATGTAAATCGCAGAGGCACATGAAGGGGGAGAAGCAGACCATGCCCGCTACTGGGTCGCTCATCGCGTCCAGCCATGGCGACTTGACAGTCACGGTGCTGGAAGAAGAGGCTCCTTGCGCTTCCGGCATTTTCGCTAGGTACAAAAGATTCAACTTCTCGGATAAATGCCGAAGACGTGTGCGTTCTGGCCTCGCAGTCTATGGTGGCTACAAAAGGTACCACCGGGGGCACAACCAATTACACCAACTGAACGAATTTCATTCTGTATCTTTTTCCATCACCATCACTTCGCCACTGGCAGCAGTAATTGTATTTCGCCGTCACGCAGCTGCAGCCCTGCCCGGTTTGCTTCGTGTTTTCCTGTAGTACAGCTGCTGATCGCTCTGCGCGTGTTTGTCGTTTCAGATGTTTCACACCAGACCTACTTGAAATGGATCTTCGCAAGGCTACTGGAAGGAACTGAGGGCAACTGAGGAAAATCCGAACAGCGAGAATATTTTTTCCCGCGATGTGTCAATCGGCAGTGAGAGAAATCAGAATTTCTTGCTCTCAAGAGTTGTCGTGAAGTCCACTTCAGTTCATCTAGTGTTCGTCGGAGGCCGAAGAAGTGCTGGAGAACTTTTTATAGGCACGCTAGGGCCGACGTCTCCTGGGCAGCTCCATTAAGTCCATAGATCAGGGTTTTTCGCGAAAAACGTGAGTACTAATCAACGTTTTGACCGCGGCACGTCCTCGTCGTACAATGACATCAATGGTGTGGTCCGCTCAACAAAAGGCACTTGCAGAACGGCAGGAATGCGTAGTCGGCTTCCTGAATGCGGATATTTAATACTATCGAGTCCTCAATACCTGTCAGATAGCCGTAGAGAAACGTAATGGCCGTCGTTTCTAAGCATAATAGCACACATGTAGAAGAAGTTTTTAAAGATTGTGAAGATGGTCCCCTGTTTGATTCGCAGGCTATATTATAATCTCAAAGTACTAAAAAGTAAAAACACTGAAAAAGGGAACAGGCTGCCCTCTCTACATGGCGTCGTCAAGGCCATCTCTCATTCATCTTTTCGTCAGGGAATCGTCTTGTTTCTCAAGTCCTTGGCATGATGGAGCTAGTAATGAAAAAGAAAAACAAGAAGAATCTCTTTCGTTGCGTTATAAAGTAACAACTCACTCGTCTCAGTCTCAGTCTCAGTATAAAATGTCCTCGGTCGTCGACGTCTCAAGTGTGATATCTTCCAGTTGACACAACTTCTACAGAGAACTACAGGAGGCCAAACGCAATCAGACCGATCGATTTCTCGGTTTCGCTGATTCATGTACATAACGAGAGTAGTTGGTGCCTGGGCCTACAATTTCCCACAATAGTTCCACTCAATTACCCCGCGGGAAGCCTGAAGCTGAAGCACAACGGCCAGGCGCTACAAATACGCAAACGATTAAGCATGACGGCAACCGCTGCAGAAAAGCTAGGGCCCAAGCCTCGCGGGCATCTTAGTCGACGGCTCTCAAGTAGAACAATGATGGAACGGATCTGATGCACCACGAGCGACAAGAGCTAAGCCCTCAGGGAACGAACACGGATACAGCCAGAAGTTTGAGTAGTAGTTTACCCATAGAGATAAGTAGTAGGAGTAGGAGTAGTAGGACGTAGGAGGAGTAGTAGGAGAGATAACTCGTTAAATGAATGTGCACCATGAGAAGGAGACTGATTGTCTCTCTCGTGTAGACAACCGAGTGTGAGCGTGTGTTTGCTAGATGAAGCCATGCATTTGTTTCATAAAATATTATTATTATTATGTTCGCGCGCGACCCTATCGACGAACACATATTTTCTATTCCTTGACGGACGCAAAGCCTTTACGTATTATCTGTTCCTCCAGATGATGTGAAGGCGAAGGAATAAAATAGAGTAGGGGAAGCGAAGCGCGGTAGCCTAGACTTCTCGCAGGCGTTTATTTTTCGGTAGGCATAAAACATCCTTTCCGCTAACAACATCTGTCCATCTCACACTCTCTTGGTCTTGAATGAGGAATAATGATGTCCGAATGTCAACACCAGATGCGCATCAGGCCAAGAATGATGGACAAAGAAATTACAGAATTTTTTCGGGGCGCAGTAGATTTTGTTTGTTTCGGACAGCCATGTAATTCTGATCTTCGATCTTGATCTACGTGCTTGTTTTTCTATGAATATTGTTCATCTGAAGCAAACTAAGAACTAGCCGAGGCGCTGATGCAGCTGAATCGATACTACATACCTACGCTACGTAGATATATCTACTGCAACTACCTCACTCTGATTGTCCCTTTACGAGATCTCTTTCTGCTAATGTTGAAAGTATCTATATGATATTTTTGTGCATTTTTAACAGGAACAGACTGAGCTAGAACATATAAATATTTATTTGAAGAACTTCCTACGACTCTTTATTTCCAAGGCCAATCTAAGTATTTTAACAATTACATTTGTGTTTGTCAATATTTCTGCATCTACTGACCACCATAATTCCAGAATACAAATCATCAATGATAGATACAGATCTTTATTTTATCGTATACACCAAATAACTGAAGACAGTAATAGTTTCTCAATACACGATACATGTGTGGCAGACGCTATACCTGCACCAAACGGTTGTTTGTTACTTCGTGAATTAATGTCATGCTCCTTATCTTTTTATTCAAGAACAGGTAGATTGTTATGATTTTTCCTGCACCAAGACAGCTGCTATGCGCTTCCTTGCACATTCTGCACTTCGGATCGTTAAAATAATATGCTGGAGTTTCTTCATCTTCATCAGTCTTGAACTTAATATCATGGTATCCATTGATTGGTTTTTAAGTAAACGTTCCCGATTAATACAAGAAGAAGTTGAAGATAGTGAAATAGTACGCTTGAGTCTACTCTTTCCACGAAGAGCAGCTGTGCTCATCGTCTTTGACGTCGCTTTTTCGCATCAACGACCTACTAGTACACAGTCTTTTCTCGTCCAAGAGCAGCTGCGCTCATCATTCTCTAAGTTGCGTCGTAATCAACTGATTTTGATCCTAGGCGTGATCGCGGCTTGTTGCCCTTGTCGCGGCGGACAGAGTGTGCCGCTGAACCCGATCCCGTGGCGCCCAACAAGGCGGTTTGCTCTTAGAAGATAAGCAGCTAGATGATATTCGATATAAGTAGATGCATATCGCTCCGAAGGAAATGAATCATCGCAGAAGAACGAAGATAGGAGACTTCTTATGGAGAAAAAGAACAACAGCAATGAAATAGAATACATCAAGGAGGTACAGAACTCCCACTACAAGACGAATATATAGATCATGACGTTCTAGGATCTTACCCGTAATTTTCCCCTCTTCTGCCTGCAGTACACTGTTTCCCATAGCCGATTGCTGCGCCAATGAAGCACATCAGCGCCGGGGAAACATGCAGAAAGATGTTTACGAAGAACCTGGTGGAGATTATGAATGTGGTTGATTAGATTTGGTGCGAGTAAAAATTGCAATTTAATGTCAACATGAAATACAACTCTTACTTACTATAATCTGATAAAAGCAATGTCCTGCGACCCTTGGTAGGTCCTCACCACACAAGTAGCAGCACTAGGGTACTTACATATCATGAAGTTGGGCACAACAACTACTAGGCCTGTTGTTGAGGCTAGTAACATACGTATGGGTATGGCGCTAAAAATATTACCGTTGCCAAAAAGTCAGAGCGTCCTCTGCATGCTGTTCGAGAGTCACATCAGCGATAGTAATGATTACTGCGTGAAGGAAGGCCCACAGGGAAAATGCCAATGCGATATTCTTAGAAGGTCATGCATTAAATAATATTAGAAAGTTGTTCCCCAGTCGTCCGACGATCTTTGATCATGTAGTATTGGAGGAAATACCCTTAGAAGATCATGTATAAAAAAAAACTGACTCGCTTCTTTTAGTGTGGTTGAGCAGGACAAGGACGATAAAATCATAATTCAATCGAGTCAAATCTCAAAAGAGGAAAAGATTTACGGTTGCTATCAGTTGTTTTCGTGCCTTGTTTTGTGTTAAACACCTGTATGTAAGCATCTGAATGCTGAAGGTAATTACTTCTATTTCCATTTCGTTGTCGATCTATGAGTCTCCTGTCTACTCCGCAAAAAAATTGTTAGTTATACAGGAACTGACGACGCGGAAGCTTGACTACAGGAACTATTCGGCAGCTTGACTAACGTAAACGTATTCAGGAACAGTTTTGTCATAAAGAAAACCCAAAGTGCATCGAGAGGCGATCCCCCGAAAAATCGTTTGGGCTTGCAACACCAACAACCACTGACCACGCAACATGAAATTGCGCTCAGAAATTCCAGCATCTGTGTAGCAGTTACGAAAAGCAAAGGGTAAAGATCATTAAGGAGGAGCGAGTCGCAATTCAAGATACAAGAGCTTATCATGCAGACCATCAGGAATGAGGTTCCAACGTCGAATTCTTAGTATCGACGCATGAAGGAGAAGTCAGCCGTAGGCGAACTAGATGAAGACTATGTCTCAGAGGTCTTCAAATAAATATGATTCTGCACATGCAAACAACTTTGACAAGCCTAAGCTAGCACTTCTTCTCAGTGCCCCAATTAGCGTTAATATTAAGAGCAATAAAACTTTGCAAGCACATCCCTTCGGAAACCTCAACCTCCAACACCCAAACCCAAAACACCCAAACCCAAAACACCCAAACCCAAAACCTCCGACACAAAAACAAACAAACCCCAAACCCATGAACCCATGAACCCATGAACCCATGAACCCATGAACCCATGAACCCATGAACCCATGAACCC